TCACCAACAGCGGCCAGTACTGGCTCGGATTTGAACGGAATGGCAGTGATGGTAACAAAATAAAAATAAATTGTTTCTCTAAATTAACAGTTTTGATTTGTAGGAGGCCTGTTTAGTTATAAGAGAGCGTCTTAGGCCTTATAGAGAGAAATTCCCTGACTTATCCTGGAAACAATGGGTATTCAAAGCGTACATGGATAGAGTTAGTCTTTCAGCAACAGGTTTCCATAAAACTCCTGATATTGGTTATAACTGGGATACGTGCGAGGGCTCTATGTTCAATTACTTTACCTACGGCGTTGCCTGTACTGAAGTGGAGGTAGATACACTTACGGGGGATCACCAAGTCATTAGAACCGACATAGTAATGGATTTAGGAGAAAGTATTAATCCTGCTATTGATATAGGACAAATTGAGGGCGCCTTTATACAAGGTTACGGTTTGTTTATTTTGGAGGAAATGGTTTATTCACCAACAGGTGCGACCATTACCAGAGGTCCAGGAACGTATAAATTACCAGGATTTGCTGATATCCCTCTTGAGTTTAACGTGTCACTGCTCAAAGGTGTATCAAATCCCAGAGCAGTGTATTCTTCGAAGGTACACATTGATTCCATTATTTTTTTTATACATTCTGTTTCTGATCTAAATAACATTTACTTTTTAGTTTTTCATAGGTCTTTCTAAATAAACCGAAACCTTTATATTATGATATTTTTAGGCTGTTGGTGAGCCTCCCTTATTCCTTGCTAGTTCTGTGTTGTACGCTATTCAAGATGCTATCAAAGCTGCAAGAAAAGAAAATGGAATCGACGCCCCTTTTAAAATCGATTCTCCTGCAACATCAGCTAAGATTCGTATGGCATGCGTAGATAATATTACAAATAAGGTAGATGAAACTACTATATTATCATTATAAGGTTATATTATATTTCTTTTCAATTTCAGATGGTGGATCCCAAACCAGGTTCTTTTAAACCATGGAACGTTGTAGCTTAATAATATATCACATATTTAATTATTTTTTTATTAACATATGTTAATAAAAATACATATTTAAAAACATTTTTCTGAAATTTTATTTCAAAATAATCATTTTAAAATGTATTCCGGTACTGGAAATCGAACCTGGATGCATCATGAGAGATATTTAAAACATTTATTTGTCATATTAATAATTAGGTACATTACAACATTTAAATCAATCAATTAGTCAGGGGAAAATTAAAAAACCCTTGTTAGTTAGGTATCCTAACCACTAGACCATGCTCGCGCAACTTTTTGTAGATTTAGTTAATTTCCAACAAAAATATGTTCTAAAAATTTTAAACCCTAACTATGCGAGTTATAAAATTAAAAGATATATATTTTAAACTTAGTAGATTTTTTAAATTACCCCGTTTTTTACATTATAGTAAGTTTATTTTTATAATAAATTAAATTTGCCAGTCGATAAATGGTATTCCATTCAAAAAAATTTTAATATTTTTCCCTGTGAATTTGGCATTTTTTTTCATTAAAAAATAACACCATGCCTGTAGAACCCCCATTTTCCTTTTAAAAAGGGGCTCATCATTGTAAAGGCGTTTTCAAGAACTTAACTTTTGAAAAGTTAGTGAAAAAACTGTTTTAATAATAAAGTAAAATACTTTAACCTCCGCTACAGATAAAATTATATTACAATTTTTACAGAATTAAGAATATTGTGTTAAAATTGCATAATGATATTTTTTCTACTCCCACCTTTAAAAAGCCATTTATCGTACATGTTTCCATGACAATAAGTCACCTTTTAAATACACATTGACAAGTTATTGCGCTTTACTCACGGGCTGAAGTTAGCAACATGTTTTTAGTCACGGGCTGAAGTTAGTTTTAAGTTAGTTCACAGTTGTCAAATGTCATACAATCGTTAAAATAAATTGCATTTCTTGTAAAATAATACTAAATGTGAAAATTATTTTATTATCTCAATACAAAACTACAAAAGTATTAAATAGTTTCTTAACGCCAATATTTGAAAAGTTAATATGAACATTGTACTGATCTTAACTTAAATTCGGGCACGGACTCCCCTGTAAAGTGCTCATAAAACATTTTCTTTACTTTCACTGTGAAAAACTATCAATTTTCAAGAAATACATTTCGATTTATAACCTTTATAATCTGTGTTTATAAAATAAAAAAATTTGACATTTGACGGTGACATACAGATTCCCCTATTGTTTCATAGATGGCGCTTTATACAAATTTTTGATTTAAATCATTTTAAGTATCTGTCGTAGAAAAAGTATAGTATGCACCTCATTTATAAACTTTTCTATACACTCATTAATTTACGAACTCGCTCGCAGGCTCGCTCGTGCCTAAATTAAATTCGTGTATAAAATGGCGTTTATCAAACTTGATACATAATATACTATTATATAGTTTTTAAAATAATAAATTTGGTGTTAAAATTTTATAATATCTTTATTATGAGTTGAAAAAATATTCAAATTTCGTGTGGAGAGCAAGCCAAATCGGCATTTGTTTATTAAAAAATGATATAAATTATCAACAATGACGAATAGCACGATAATAGCGTTGAGTGAAGGAGTAGTTAGTTATTAATAAATGATAATAGGTTACTGCTCATTACATTCAGTTTTCAACAACATCTGAAATTTGTATCAATTTTTTATAAATAGTGTACGAGATAATGATTTTTCAATCAAACGATGCAGTGTTAAAAAACAAATGAATTTTCCTCATCGTAACTTAATAATAATGAGGTGATTATTTTCCAATACTTAGCTTTAATCCGTAGGCTTATTTGGAAAATTTCTACTCCAATATTTAATTTAATTTAATTTAATAAATACGAGGTGTGTTCAGAAAATAACGGGAATTGTTAACTTTCGCGGGTTCGGAGGGTCCGGTTGTCATAAAATTTTATTTATTATGTTGGTATACATGCCCCCGTATATAATAAAAAGCTGTTTTCATTGTTTACTTTGTCTGTGGCAGCCGCTAAGGTTAGACGTGTTTTATGAGCTCGACGATTTTTCGTTCGTTAAAAGAAATGGATCAAAGAATTTGTATCCAATTTTGCTTAAAAAATGAAACAAATTCTGTGAAATGTTAACAAAGGCCTATAGTGAGTCTGCTATAAGTAAAACAAGAGTTTACAAGTGGTATAAGAGTTTCCAAGATGGCCGTGAAGACGTTGAAGATGACGAACGCCCCGAACGCACAAGCACATTAACAACCGATAAAAACATGTAAAAAGTGGAAGAAATGGTTATAAACCATCAGAAGTCGCTGATGATGTTGGTATATCGATTGGCTCATCCCATGAAATTTTTTCGAATGTTTTGGGTATGAAATGCGTGGCAGCAAAATTTGTTTTAAAATTGTTAAATTTTGAACAACATTTTTGGCCAAAAACAATACTGTAATGATGCCCCACCCTCCATATTCGCCAGACATGCCTCTGTCTGACTTTTTCCTATTCCCAAAAATAAAAAGAACTTTAAAGGGCCGTCGTTTTGCAAGCATAGATGACATTAAAAGCGCATCGCTGAAAGAAGTAAAGGCTATCCCAAAGATCGAGTTTTAGAAGTGTTTCGAGTATTGGAAGAAGAGCTGGCACATGTGCATAATATCCAATGGGGACTATTTTGAAGGCGACAACATTAATGTAGACAAATAAATAAATATTTGTTTCAAAAAACGAAAATTCCCGATATTTTCTGAACACACCTCGTATATAGAAAAAACGTTTTGCAATCCAAATCCATGATATAATAATAATTTGATCTATGTATGTAGATCAAAATTGTTATTCTTTAATCTTGAAAGAACACATCACGTGGCTGATATTATATTGAGTTAATAAATGTGATTTTAGTACATACAATTGTTTTTGTAGTTGTTATTAAGCTTATCGAAAGTTATAATGTCAAATTTTGCAGACACTCTGATTTTTTTCGTTAACGGAAAAAAAGTAAGTAGTTTTAAAAAATAAATATAACTATAATAATTATTATTTAAAAGGTTAATTTAATATAAAATTCTAATGTAAATTTAACCGGTTTTTGATATAAGATGCATCCGTATTATTGTTGGTAATCTGGCGAATTGTGATTAGTGAAAGTAAGGAGGCTAATAAATAAAAAAAATAAAAGTACAATTAATATTGTTGCCAAAATTTATTGACCAGGGCATTTTAATGGTTTAATAATGCTAGTGTGCTTGACTATATTTCGCCAAATTTGTTGCTCGTATCTACTCTTACTTTAGTATTTCTGGTACTTTTAAGTACCCCTTGTATTATGGTATCTATCGTTATTATTAATTAATATTAAAAAAGTATTAGGTATTATTAGTGTTTTTTGTAAATTTTTTTTTATTAATTTTACATTTTAAATAACGATAGTGCCTAAAAGCATATATATATATAGTACCATAATAGAAAAAATATTGATAATAGTATGGTATAGAATGTAAATTTTTTAGTTATTCCACAATTATGAGTTATTCTATAATTATTATTTCAAGATCACATTACAAAAGATGTTTACTTATTAAATTATTTTACAAATGCTTTAAAAATACGTTCAATTGCGTCATAATCCAGGCATTTCGTAAATTTGCAAATATAAGAATAATATTAAGACTTATCTGCATACAAGATAATAAAAATTACAATATTTCAGATAGAAGATAAAGATGTTGATCCAGAATGGACTCTACTACAATATTTAAGAAACAAATGTATCCTTTATTTAGTAATTTATTATCAACCAAAATATAGTACACGAATTATCCTTGACTAAAGACAGTAAGACTATGTGGCACAAAACTAGGTTGTGGAGAAGGAGGATGTGGAGCCTGCACTGTGATGGTCTCCAAATACGACAGGGCAAAACGGCAAGAAGTGTATCCTTTTCAGTTAAATAACCAATGTTTAAAGTTATTAAAACAACAAGCTACAACTTCCTTAACTTTACCTTAGTCATTTGCCAGTCAACGCCTGTCTTGCTCCAGTCATGTCCATGCACGGCCTGGCAGTCACAACCATAGAAGGTATCGGATCCACAAAAACAAAACTTCACCCTGTACAAGAACGAATCGCTAAGGCCCACGGCTCGCAATGCGGTTTTTGCACGCCCGGTATAGTCATGTCAATGTACACTCTCCTAAGAAACCTACCTAAACCGACTATGAAAGATATGGAAGTGGCTTTTCAAGGCAACCTCTGCAGATGTACGGGATACAGACCCATCATCGAAGGCTACAAAACATTCACAGAAGAATGGGAGTTACAACAACAAAGCCATAACATGAACGGTAATGGAGTACTAAATGGAAATAAGGGCAACGAAATAACTAATGGTTGTGCTATGGGAGAAAAATGTTGTAAGCTTCAGGATAAGGGCGAAGAAGGCAACGAAGAAGTTCTTTTTAAAACCAGCGAGTTTACTCCTTACGATGCTTCCCAAGAACCTATTTTTCCTCCCGAATTAAAACTGTCGAACCAGTACGATAGTCAATATCTCAAAATAAATGGACCCAACCTTACTTGGCATCGACCAACAACATTACGGGACCTATTAAAATTGAAACAACAACATCCACATGCCAAAATACTAGTGGGAAATACAGAAATCGGTGTTGAAGTTAAGTTTAAAAATTGTCATTACCCCATAATAATCCAAAGCTCTCAAATACAAGAATTAGTTTCTTTACAAGAAACATCTTCAGGCATCAAAATCGGTTCTTCAACCACGTTAACAGACATTGAAGAATATCTAAAAGGGCAAATTAAAAAACAACCAGCTTACAAAACAAGAATATTTTCTGCTATATTAGAAATGCTTCATTGGTTTGCTAGCAAACAAATACGAAGTGTAGGAGCATTGGGCAGTAACATTATGAATGGTAGCCCCATATCTGATTTAATACCAATATTAATGGCTTCTAAAGCGAGTTTGGAAATAGCTAGCCAAGCCAGAGGTAAAAGAACAGTATTGCTCGATGATAAATTCTTTACAGGTTATAGACAATCTGTTGTTATAGAAGACGAGATATTGTTATCGATTACCATACCTTTTACAGAAGAAAATCAGTATTTTAAAGCCTACAAACAAGCACGGAGAAGAGAAGATGATATAGCAATCGTAAATTTGGCAGTGCAAGTCGACTTTAAGTTAAACACAAACATTATTGAAAATATTTCGTTTGGAATAGGCGGTATGGCCCCTACTATAGTAAACGCACCTCTAACAGAAAGTAAACTTAAAAATTTAACATGGGATCAAAACACTTTAGAGTTGGCCTATACTTATCTTCTCCAAGATTTGCCTCTAGATCCATCTGCCCCTGGAGGAATGATCAACTATAGAAAATCTTTGGTACTAAGCTTATTTTTTAAAGCATACCTAACAATTCTCAAGCATCTCTCCCAAAGCTTATCCAATATAAAAATAAATCCACGCAGTTTAAGCGGCTTGGAGGGCTTTAAAGGAGGGGAGCTGAAAAGTTCTCAGTACTTTTCGATTGTACCCGAAACCCAGAGTAAAACAGATGCAGTACACAGACCTGTAGTACATTTGTCAGCTTACAAGCAAGCTTGTGGAGAAGCGGTATACTGTGACGACATCCCTTATTTCGAGAAAGAATTATACTTAGCATTTGTTCTTAGTACTAAAGCGCATGCTAGGATATTATCAATCGATCCATCGGAAGCTCTCAAAATATCAGGTAGGTAAAGATGTGCAACAATATATTTGATAAAAAACATCATCTTGTTTAAGGGGTGCATGGTTTCGTTAGTGCAGACGATTTGGATGAGAAGAGAAATATTTGGGCTGAATTTCATGATGAGAAAATATTTTATTCCGATAAAGTTACCAGTCAGGGGCAAATTATAGCTGCGGTAGTAGCAGATAATCAAACTATAGCACAAAAAGCCGCAAAAAAGGTTTGTTTTTATACTATAACTAACTTAATTTAATTTATTCACAACTACTTCAAGGTAAAAGTAATATATGAAGAACTTCAACCGGTGATAATTTCGATCGAGGAAGCTATAGCCAGAGAATCGTTCTTCGATAATCCTCAAACCTTAAAAAGAGGAGATGTAGATAGAGTTTTAAAAGAATGCCCCCATGTAATTGAAGGAGAATGCAGAATGGGAGGTCAAGACCACTTCTACCTGGAAACTCAAGCTGTAATAGTGGTTCCTCAAAAAGAAGATGATGAAATAGAAATATACGCATCCACTCAAAGCACAACAGAGTTGCAACAATTTACTTCGCATGCTTTGAATATTCCGCAAAACAGAATAGCGGTAAAGGTCAAACGTCTGGGTGGGGGCTTTGGTGGAAAGGAAACTAAACCCACAATGTTAGCCCTGCCTGTAGCAGTGGCTGCCAAAAAGTACAACAGGCCTGTTAGATGCATGTTAAATAGAGACGAGGATCTTATAATGACAGGGGGTAGGCACCCTTTCAAATTTATGTACAAAATTGGCTTTGATGATGATGGTAAAATGCTGGCTTGTGATATGCGGATCTATGCCAACGCCGGATATTCCAGGGACAGATCAATATACGTAATAAATAAAAATTTGTTTAGGTTTAGTTCATTAAATAAACCTAAAATGTTTTAGGTGGTTGAAAGGGCCATTACTCACTTCGAAAATGCCTACAATATACCAGCAATCAGAGTTCTAGGATACACTTGTAAAACTAATTTACCATCGAATACAGCTTTTAGGGGATTTGGAGGACCACAGGCCATGTATGCGGCAGAATCAATGATGAACGAGATAGCGGAATATTTGAAGAAAGATCCAGCACAAATAACTGAACTTAATTTGTACAGGGAAGGAGATTTTACTTATTATAATCAACAATTGAATAATTGCAGTTTGGAAAGGTGCTGGAGAGAATGTATTGAAGCCTCCGATTATTGGAAGAAAAAATCCGAAATTGAAAAATTTAACAGGTAAATTAATAATAAAGTTGAACCTTCTTTGAGCTTTTGCTTTTATGAAAACTCGCTCTTAATGGAATGAAAATCCATTTAACCTGGGTTCGCAAATAGTGATAAGGTTTTCAATTGGTTCAGATTCATACAAAAACATGCGTAAAAAAAGATGTACCAAGGTTTTCCAAAGTACCTACCTATTCAGTTTCTTTCTTTTATATAAAAGACCTTTGACTGACTAAAACATTATTTTTCACAGGGAACATAAATATAAAAAACGCGGTATAAGCGCCCTTCCAATAAAATACGGAGTGGGATTTAGCGCACCTTTCCTAAACCAGGCGGGAGCTTTAATCTTGGTTTACACCGATGGTACCGTGCTTTTATCGCACGGTGGAATTGAGATGGGTCAAGGTTTATGGACCAAAATGATCCAAGTTGCTAGTAGAGCTTTGGAAGTACCCATTGAGTTAATACACACCAGCACAACGGCTACCAATACAGTTCCAAATGCAACACAAACTGCTGCCAGTAGCAGTAGCGACTTAAACGGACCTGCTGTTATTGTAAGGTTATTCAAATGCAAGTCATACTTATATAAAAACAATTTTTTTAGCAAGCTTGTGAAAAAATTAAAGAACGCCTACGACCTTACAAGGAAAAACATCCCGAAGCAGGCTGGCACGAATGGGTCAATAAAGCCTACTTCGACAGAGTCAGTCTGTCAGCTACTGGTTTTTACAAAACCCCCGACATAAACTATGACTGGGCAACTGGCGAAGGAAATTTGTACAACTATTTCTCATACGGTGCTGCATGCTCCCAAGTAGAAATCGACGTCTTAACAGGAGATCATCAAGTATTAAGGACCGATATCGTAATGGATTTGGGGAAAAGTCTGAACCCTGCAATAGACATAGGACAAATAGAAGGGGCTTTCATGCAAGGATATGGTTTATATATGTTGGAAGAAATGGTTTACCGACCAAATGGCGAGACCTTCACCAGAGGACCTGGTACTTACAAACTTCCAGGATTTGCTGATATCCCTCTTGAGTTTAACGTGTCACTGCTCAAAGGTGTATCAAATTCACGAGCAGTATATTCTTCCAAGGTAAATAAAAAAAAGAAAAATTGAATTATCTACGAGTTAATTTTTTAGGCAATCGGTGAACCACCACTATTTTCAGCCTGTTCTGTATTATTCGCAGTAAAAGATGCCATAAAGTCAGCAAGAGGTGAATCGGGAATTTCAGAATCATTCGAAATTGATGCCCCATTGACATCAGCAAAAATAAGAATGTTATGTTTGGATGACATTACTTTAAAGGTAATAAAATGATTTTTTTTGACCCCAGAAGGGTTATAAACCCATAATTAAGTTCTGTAAAAAAAGAGCGTTCCCGGATTGACTCTCAAGATAGGTGTAATATACCAAACAAATATTAGTACACTTTTCATTTTAAGTCAAGCAGTAAATGAAAGCCGTATTAATATTTTTTGGTATTCTTTGAATCAATATTAACGAAATTACTGTTTCTTTTTAGATGGAAAATCAAAAACCAGGTAGTTTTGTACCATGGAATGTGATAGCTTAAGTTAGTTTAATAAACATTTTTCAGTTTAAAACTGGTTTTATTATTTTTACACTATTACATACTATAATTTCATTAGACACGTTTTTTCAAAATCAATAGTATCGATGGTTTTATTTTTTTCAGTATTTAGAAGATATCTCACTGCATCTAAAATCGTTTCAATTTTATTTATTTGGTAAGAATAATAATTATTGTCTTACCTTTTAATTGGGATTCCGAAGTTATCACTCCTTTTCCAATATAAGTAGCTATAAATTGTGCATCAAATAACAATCCATACGAATACTTAATTACTAATAATTTTAATTGGTTTAGGTCTTGGTCTGACAACTGACGGCCAGACTTTTTCGATTCTAAAAATGCCAGCTGAAAACCGTACAAAAATGTACCCTTAATTTCTTCTTTGATAACTTCTGTCAATTTTGACCCATCCTTCTAAATAATATTACATGAATAATAAAATAATAAAAATTAAAATAAAACGAACCCTTATTACTGAAAAATCTCCTTGTTCTACCCGTTCAAGAATTTTTAAAAACCTAAGGAATTTAAGTTCATGATTCATATCCTTTTGTGCCGACACAGCTTGGACAAGAGAAGAAAATCTTCGTTTGGCATCGCGTGCCATCGTCTTAACATGACCATTATTCGCTTCACACATAAGTTTTACCTTAAATAAATATTTTAATTTATGTCTCTAAAATTACCCTCAAATACTTACATCTTGACTATCATTCTTAATGGCATCTAAAGATTTGCATTTATCATCAACGCTCAATGACGAGTCAGCAGAGTGAAGTGATTTTTCGTCTTTACTTTTTCGTTTAAACAATTTTCCAAAAACACTTGATTTTGTTTTAAGTTTCTGCCGTCCCATCATTTCATCAGTCCTCATTGCCAAAGATTTTAAATCTTCGAAAAACTTGCCATCGACATATAATTGCTCTCGAATTTCTATTTCTTTCTCATAAATTTTAAACATATTTTCGAAGAACGTATTACAAATTTGACTCCTCACTGTATTCATAACACACAATTCGGTAAGGTTCTGATTGCTAAAACAACCTGAATAAACTTGATCTGTTAGGGAGCTTTTTTGTCGTTGCAGCTGATCTTTGCTATGGTCCGTTTTCGATACAAAATTTTCAATTACTTCTTTATCAATTATTGAACCAAAAGAATAACCTACTTTAATGCATTGCAAAGAAGACTCCTGATCGATATCTGTGACTTCTATTAACTGTTCAGAGTTTTTAACACTCAAGGTGCTATCTTCTAAGGAAAGAGGTTCAGATTGTTTCGAGGAGACCTCATTGGAAGCTGAATTTTTAATGATTTCTAAAGAAACATGTTCAATTTTGTTTATTGTGACTTCACTGGAAGCCAAGTCTCTAATGTTTTTAGAAGAAACATGCTCAGTTTTGTCATGGGAAGCATTGGAAGGTAATTTCTTAACACTTAGGGCACTGTTTTCAGAAGAAGAGTGCATAGATTTTTCGTTGGAGACTTCGGTGATTATGTCTAATATGTCTATATTTTCTTTTTGGCTATTTTCAGATAAAATATCAAAGTTGTCAGATTCGTTTCTAAATATCCTACACACACTTAACATCGAAGAGTTGGATGTGGGGTAATTGGATTCTTCTGATTTTACAGGAGTTGTTGTTTGTTCTGTAGTTGGTAGGAGTGAACACGGGCTTGTTTGTGTCGTGATATTTTCCAGCGGTAATAAACTTGGAGATGAACATTTAATTATTACCGGTTTTTCTACTTTAGATACTTTGGCTTTTATGTTTTTTGTATTTCTTTGAATCTTGGGTATGTTCTTTTTCTTTGTAAGAAACCTAAATGCATAAAAATCACAATCCACACAAAATGTATTAAAATTCATACCTAATCCTTGTTTTGCTGGGTACAGTGTCCACAAAAGAAGTATTATTATCAAACCCAATTGTATAAACATTAGCATTTGGGCGGCATTCTTGACTGCTTTTGCCTAACAGAACCCCCAAAGGTATTTCTTCATAACTGATAACAGTTTCACTTGATTTATTTTCCATTACTTTCCGAGCATACATCTGACATTCCATTCTCATCTTGTTAAAGCTCTCTTCTTTTAAATTATTTACTACCAATTTATCATTGCTTTCTTTGCTTTTTTCTGAACTCGCTGGTTTAAATAAAGCAAGGATGCTGCTCTTTTTGAAGAAGTTGGTAACCGAGTTGCATTTCTTGGAGCTTGCATAGCCACTTTCTTCTGATAACGGACTACGAAAAACTTCGTTGTTAAGCGTATTTTCAAAGTATTTTTCGAGAACATCATGCGGTAATACGTTTTGACTACTTAAAGGCAGAACATCCAAGGTAGTTACTCGGATAGTTTTCTCCACATCTGTAGAATTTCCGCTTTCTTCTGAATTTTCGTATAAAAATTCGAAAGACGAAGTAGGACTGTTTAGTATGGGACAACTAACTTGGGTACCAAACAAAGTTATTGGTAAATCTGATCTCATAAGATTCAGAAATTCTTCTTTAGAGAATGGCAGGCCCTTGCTGTTTTTCTTTGTAATTTTTGAATCCTTTGAATTTGCGAATATTTGTTTAGGTTCATTTTTATTAACACTAGATGAAGCAATGCTAGTAAAAGATCCTTCAGTGGTTTCATCAAATATCTTGCGTTTTTTAACAGGTGGCGTTACGTGTTCACTCTGAGATTTGGAATAATGGGCTTGACACAAATATTCGATTACACTTTTAACTTCGTCCCTTTTATCTTTATCGCTGATAGATTCTTCTAGTTCAGATGTAGATCCTTTGTTTTGAGATAAAACTTGCATAAACTTTTTAATAATTTCTTCATTCTCTGTGTCGGCAGTTTTACCAACTGGTATTTCTGAAACCGAAGGTTGAGTCTCACTATCTTTGCTATCAGTCAAGCATAATGGAGAAGTGGATGTGTTAACGTGTGGGATTGGATTAGTATTCGTAGTTATAACAGAATGTTCTTGTTGTACTGTTTGAACTTTTTCTGATTCCGCGGTTACAGGTGATGTGTTCACGCTAATAGATTGCAGCGTTTTTTCATCCGTTTGTAAAAATTTGGCTTCCCTTGAATATGCTATTTTCTGCTGGCGTTTTCCCGAAGGGATGCCTGTGGGTCTAGGTTTAAATTTCTTTGCTGTTGCTTTGGGTCGAAATAAAAACGGGGAAGGGTCCGTTCCTGTTGATTTCATTTCCACACATTTTTTATCTTTCACTAATACAACCTCAGTGCAAGCTTTCAAAGGAGAAGGATCCTTTTCTTTTTGCCAATTGGTTAAATTTATTTCTGTTTGGACGGAATTCTTAGGTTTTTCTTTCTGAGAATTGCTTACATTTACTTCAGTATGTTTGGGTTTTTCTTTTTGTCCATTATTTAAATTTACTTCAGTTTGCACAGAGTTTTTGACCTTTTCTTTTTCGTTGGGTACAATATTCGGACAACAAATCACAAAATTACAGTTACTGCCGTCAGTAACAGGTACCACTTTATTTACTATAACGTTACCAGTGGTAGCATTGGTGCCTTGTGTATCGTTACCCATAACTGTAACGAACCTTACTTCGAAAATCTGTTGAGGAACAGGTTCAGATTTTTTTGAAGGATTTTTCCTTAGCCGTCTTCGGATACTTTCGTCGTAACATTTACGTTTTTGGAAAGCGCTCATTTTAGTGCCAGTGTATTGTTTCGTTAAAAACATACTACTATTCATACGAGACGCATTTTTTTCCAAAGACCTATCCAAAGAACCTGCAAGAGAGCGGTTTCTTGCATTTGGTTTCGCTTTATGAAATTTATCCAGTTCTATTAAGCTGTTAATTTGCGATTCGTCTTTTGCCTTATTTGCTTCTCTTGGATTTAATTCGGACTTTGATCTGTTCAAGGTAGGTTTATTTTTTTGTACCACCTTCGAGTCTACTTTGGGTTTTTGATTTTTCACAGCAGGACTCTTTTCTGACTTCCTCGAACTGTTTGATACGTTGCGATTCTTTTCCGGTTTTAAATCAGGGGCGGCTTTGCTCTTTTCAGCTTTCTTTTCCGAATCATTAGCTGACGACTGGGAACTCTGTTTTTCATCTTGTTTTAAACTACCGCTGGATTTTGAATGCAGAAGGTTACTTGTTTCTTCTTTCTTTTCTAAAATGTCAACATCGGATTTTGATCTTTTTAACATGTTATTTAAGGAAGGGTTTTCATTCCTTAAACACGTAGGAGGTGGAGGAGGTTTAGTAGTTTTTTTATTTGTTACATTTTCATGGCAGATTTTAGGTTGATTTTTGGTGGAACATTTTGGTGACTTGGTCCTAAAAACGGTTTTAGGAGGAACAATAGCATTTGTGTGCTTATTTATTTTGGGCGAAAGTGATCTACTTTTAGATTGATTGATTACATTGATTACTTTTTCATTGTCTGTTCCCGAATAACTTCCTTCCACAAACTTTGTATTACTAAAGTAATTTATAGTAAAATCATCATGCGGCTCGTACTCCCTATATGTCGTTAGTTCATACTTATAAACTTTCTTATCCTTTGTATTTGTAGTAACTTGGCGTTTAATATCTTTAATATTAGTTTTACAACTACTATCTTTAGTTAAAAGTTCACCTACAAGTTCTTGGAAAATGGTGTTAATTTTAGCCTCACTAGCAAGATCAAGTGGTGAGCTATTATTGACGACAACTTTAATTTCGTCCTCATATAAATGTTTGTTGCTAGAACTTTCTATATCACAGATATCAAGGGGATCGGAGAAGTCTACCTGTATTCGGTTGCTATCGCTAGCAACAACAATTCTATCGCTTTTCACTTGTCCTGACGTGTCTCTGTATTCGTAGTAATTTTTAAATAAAGCACTTTCCATTTTCTTCTCTATCGGATCCCATTCTTGTGTGTGGTCTCTTAAACTTTTTTTTGATACCAAAGTTGGTGGAAACGCCATTATTGACACATTTCTGCATTCCACATTTGTTTTAAATTTGCTTATTTTCGGTGTGGGACTTGTAGATGGCTGGATTGTATCTTTAGTTATATTTCCTTCTGTTAGACAATTCATGCTTTTTTTGACTTCATCAACATCGTTTTCTTTGCAAGTTTTTTTCTCCTGTGACAGTATAGGTGTAATCAAGTGGGTGCGTTCCATTCGTTTTTTGCGTTGCCTCTGAATTCTACGTACCAGATGGATGCTGCGTGGATCCTTAAGGTCGAGATTATGATGAAATACGTCAGGACAAGTTAAAAGTGGATTTGGGTCTTCTTTTACACAACTTGGAACGTCTATTTGGACGTGCTTTTTTTTCTTTTTGTGTTTTTCCACTTCCCCTTCGGGAACTAATAGCTTTTCAGCCTTATCCAATTTGTTACACTCGATACCGCTTTTCTCTTTTTCTTCATCTTTCGTGTTAGATTTCGGTATAGTGAAATAAAACATCTGTACTGGATCTGGAGGTGTAAATACTACTTCCCTGGACTCTTTCAGGTGTTTGTCCTCTTTTTGACGGCGATGTTTTTTTCTTCGCTTTTGAATTTTAGTACGGCTGGGTTTAGATTTTTCGGAATCAGTGTCGATGTTTTTATCCAATTTAAGTTTTACACGTTCTTTGTGTTTTGGAACATTTTCTTTAATATTTTGCTTTTTAGTTTTGGATGATTTAAGTTTTTTATGTAAGTCCAAGTCGCTAGCTTCCGAACTATTTTTGATAATTTCTGTGGGTTCTTTACTTGGAGCTTCGCTTTTTGTTTGATTTTTATTCAAGAAAAAATCCAGTTTTTTCTGCATTTTAGTAATTAACATGCTTTTAATGTCCAATTCAGTTTTTTGTTTCTTACTTTTCTTCTCTGCATGTTCTATAAGCAAATTTGTGCTTTCGCATTCAGAAAAATTATCTCTTATATCCATTAATTGAAGTACTTCCATCTCCTTATTAGTTAAATTATTGCTGATTTCTTCATTTAACTCCTTTTTCACCCTTCGTGTTTTTCTTTCATTTTTGTGTTCCAAAATAACCTTTTTTATTTGAAAATCCTCGCTCACCGATCCTTTTACTTCAGGATTTACTGACTGAATTTTAAATCTGTGTGGGCTATTTACTTCAATGTTATTATGATGCCTTTCCCTTCTTTGTTTACTAACCTTTTTTACTTGTTTTCGATCTTCTGTATTTTTATTAACAAGTTCATAATTGTTGGATTCAATAGGAATTTTGTATCTCTTAGGTTTAAGCATTCTTTTATCAGTATCTTCTGGCAACTCACTTTTTTTTAAAAGGTCTTCTTTTTCCATTTTTCGTTTACTTTTTTCCTTCATTTCTGGACTAAGTGAAAATGTTCGGGTATATTTAGATTTTTGTTTCCTTTGCTCCTTCTTTGTTAATGTTTCGTCATTTGTTGGCTTAACAGGTTCTTTTTTAATGTGGTTAATTTCGTTTTTCTCGATTTTCCTATGCTTTTTACGATCTTCTAAATCTAAGCTCATTAAATGAGGTCTTCTGTAACTTTTTTCTATTGAATTCTTTTCATTTTTGATCCTATCCTTCGACAACGGACGTTCTTCTTCGTTCCTGTTTAGTTTTAACAAACCTTTTTCCAAAAAACTCTTTTCCCTTTTGTGTTTCTCCTTTTCATTTTGAATATTTTTTTTACTCCTTTCCATCTTTTCCATTTCCTTTTGAAAATCATAAATAGGCTCATCAATTACCGTGGTCGGCAGTTTATTGGGCAACTCCCCTGATTTATTCGATTTAGTGCCATCTCTAAAGAGGTCCTGTTTTCTAGACTTTTTGTGCATTTTTACCTTATCATAATTTGGATGTTTGGATCGAATGTGTTGTAACGTGCACTAACGAATATGAAAACGAAACGCCGTAGATCGGCGGAGTGTAAAACCGTACTTTAAGAATTCATATGAATTTGTCAAAATGAATTCATATGAACTTGTCAAACTGACACTGACATATTACAAGTTTATAGTGAACACGGTGAATGCTTAAGAAACAGTACGTCTTGAGACACCATAAGATGCAGACGCGCAAGCGATCGCTTTTAAAGAGTAAGGAAGTAATAAAAACCTATTAGTAACAATAAATCGGTCACAATTAAGTTTGCTAGGCCATTGTAAGTGTATACAGTGCGGAATTACAGCCCAGGGCCACTACCTGTGTTGGTAAATCAAGGTACCTGTCTCCCGATGTCTTCAGAATCAGCAAAGCGCTAATACAGTAGTGCAGTGCAATACAACAAGTGAATAATGTAAGAAATCAGTTACATAACCTGTACAGGTGAAATCAATGTTCTCTCGAAGGACTTATGTAGTATCATGGTTACAACTAAAGATAAGTTCAATAGCTTTAATCCGCATTCTCTATACTAATAAAGTAATCTTACATCTTCTCGAAAAGGTTAAGCGTCTTCAACGCATATAAACCAGGAAAACAAAACAGCCAAACAAGAAAAAGAGAATTCCCACAGGGCAGCAGGTCATTATTTGTAAAAACCGGTACAAAACCAAACAAACAGCCGTGATACGCAATAGACATTAACATAAACAAAAAGCCAAGTGCAGTCACCTAGACATCAATAATAAAAATGCTAATAGACATGAAATAAAGCTAAGGGGGACAATTAATTTACTTCACAGATAATTTTCGCATAATTCGTTATAAACAAAAAAAACTATTGTTAACTATAGGTAGTCGCATTGCCGACTACTGAAAACTATCTATCGATGGTTCTCGACCTTAGACTGAAGAAACGGTTTCTCAGTAAACTTCGAACTAACCACCCAAACCCCATTCCTGAATGGGCGTATTACTAATCCCTGGTTTAGGGGGATTCGGGATTGTACTTAGTTTTAGGTCACTTTAATGTTCCCCAAAAAACAAAATATTTTCCATCATTGTCCCGCACTTCACTAGCCTAAATCGGGCGTGTGGCCCGGCCCGGCGCAAAAATTTCCATCGAAACTGTCATCCACGACCTCCTAAGAGAGATTTACCAGCCGGGGTGAAATGATGCTCAATTTTGTTATTAGAATGAAATTTTATTATTGTTGGGTTTTATTTAATACATGTGTACATATTTCCAGGCAAATAATTTAATTAATTAAAAACGTACATCAATCACACTACAACGATAAAGAACAACCTAACCCTAAAAATTATTCGATTTACTAAAGATTCTAGCATATCAATCTTTATCGCCTGAATTTCCGTTTTGCTTCGGTGCAGATCTGCTTTTAGACCTTGATCTAGATCTGGTATTCTTTTCCGCAGTACGAGAGCGACTCCTGCTCCTTTTAACGGATGCAGATCTAGATCTGGATCGGTTCCTGGAACGACTGCGGCTCCTGGAATTGCTTCTTGAACGACTTCTGCGGTCCCTGGATCGACTCCTCGAACGGCTACGAGATCTGGCAACATAACAACAATGGCGCCAAGTTAGCGAGACGGGTTTTAAGCGATTTGCCGTTTTAGCGGGACCTTATTAGATTTTCCTTCCCGGTTAATTGGGATGGGGCTTCGGAGGGGATGATTAGGATGCGCGTTTTATTGCATAATAACGGAGTTCTTTTGTAAAACAGCACATCTTTATAAAACAAGTCCAAAATAAAGTATGTAAGGTGAACATTTTTAAAATCTGCCATTATTAGATAGAAACGACTGCCTTATTGTTAAAATTAATTTTCGTTGATATCTGGTTAATTTTTAAGTCAATTTGCGACTATTATTTAAAGTAATCCCAATTGAAACAGAATACATAAAACAAAATCTTTAATCCATAACAATGTGCCAATTCATAAAGGGTGTTTAAATTTGAGGTTGGAGTAAATTGCTAAGTAAAATACACAGATGTGACCTCCCTCTAACTCTTTGGAAGGATATCATTCTTTTGAATACATTGTTGATGATTATTTCCCATATCTGCGGCGATATTTATTTGTTAATGTTATCTCGAAGGATTGTCAGGAAAAATCTGTGAAGGATATTGAAGAGTCACTGCATCTTCAGCAGGTGGATTATTAAAAATTTGACTTGAAGTCTATAGTATACTAAAGACGTTCAGCATATACATACTTGATAATTAAAATTATCTAACGCAAATAAAGGATAAGCGAGATAAATTAAAATTGTATGTAAAATATTTGGTCTATTGGAATCCACTTCATTGTGACACTGATGTAAATTTTTGTTCCTGTCATTATTTATCATTTTAAGTTATGTTGTCCTCTGATTATGTCGAAATGATGTTTATTTGTGGGCGCAATGCTATGGAGGCAGCACGAGTTTTTGCTAGCGCTTTCGAACGAAATTGAAGGTGCTCCTTAACGTATTAGAACCTCGGAAAATAATGAAGCTATTTTCAATGCCTTTGAGGCAAATAGTAGGAGCAGCATAAGGGAAGTTGCAGGCAAATTTCCCGTTTACACTTCAGCGGGTTATGAAGTACGTTCATTTTACGCGAGACATAATCCCGCTAGAGTGGAATTCTGTAGTGGTTGCTAGAGATTTTGGCTCTGGGGTACAGAACTAGTTGTTTTATTTTTACTTTAAAACATTGGCGTCCTGTAGTGTGACATTCCTTTTTGAAAGGTTAGTAAACACAGTGGGACAAAAGAATTTAAGACAACAATGTTTTATCGTCTACTAGCAATTTATAAAGCTTTTACGTTTTTACGTTTTTATTTTTAAATTTGGCATCTCCATTGCTATCAGCAAGTTCTCATTTTATAAAGAGGAAAGATTAAGTAGCCGTTAACGCTTCTTTTAAAGTTTATACTATTAACCCTCAAATCATTGTTTGTATTTGTATTTTGAATATCGTCTGATCCAAGTTTAATTTTTGGTAAAAAGCAACCTCATATTTGGACACCCTTTATAAGTAATTATACGCTGTATTCGTAAGTATGTTTTAATTAAAAAGTGAATGGAAAAGACAGCAAATTGTTTTAGATAGTATTTAATTTAAATAGATAAATAGTAGGTAGATATAGAAAATGTTTTTAGTATCTTTACCATTGTTTGTGAGCTTGTGAGACGTGACGACTAGAGCGACAACACAACAACATTGTAGATAAGTAGAGAACTATCATCGGATCAGATCAGATGAGATCAGAGTAGGTGGTAGAGAAGTGGGGGGATACACCCGGGATCGTATCGGATCTTTCGATTTGTCGTTCTCAACTCACTGGCTCACGCATACTGGCAGGCAGGCAGGCAGAGTAGGTAGAGGGTCGATTTGATTTCGATTTCGATCGATTGAAAGCAGAGATACGCTACGCCGCCGCACTAGTAGGTCGTAGGTCGGTGGGTGGTGCGTCGACGGTCTACGCAGCAGGTAGCGGTCAGTCTGCGCAGCGGCGATACTACAGACGTGGCAGAGCAGTCTTTCGATCGTTTGCGATTGCGATTTGCCAAACCGTGACACTGTGCAAGTGCGTGCGTGTTAGGTAGCTACCTGACTATCGGCCACATGCTCTAAACCTATAAACATGGCAACCATTGTCAGCAGCCCGTTCTCCACTCTGCGGCACGTCACTGCGCCACAACCATTTTTCGCAAATAAACACAATTCACATTCAATCAATAATTTACTTATTTCCTTATATGGACATTACAATTTTGACGGTTCATTTTGTATAATGCATAAACACTTTAAACGTCATTAATTTTAAGAAGGGTCGCATGGTAACAAAATAAACAAACCATCTAGCAGCTATTTGAAATTAGGTGTTCTTTTTATCCAGGACTCCTTTTTCCAAAGTATTGTGAAATCCAAATCTTTACATTTAAATGAATGAATAGCTGTATTGAACCACGAGAATTACAGGAAATCCTTCTTTTAATTTTTTTTTCAATTTAGTTAACAAATAAAAAAAATTTATAAAAAATTTGATTGTTTGAATCTTATCCTACAACTTAAAATCTAATTATTGAACACATATATGTATATCACAGAGAGAATTATCACAGTAAGACAAAATTTTAAATCAAAGAAAAACAAATATTTCCGAACCGAAGCTCTAAACTTTGTCGGCCAAAGTATTGTGAAAGCCAAATCTTTAAATTGAAATATTTTCGAACCTGCATCTCTGTTGGAAAACATTTTTGAAAAATGTTTTTTTAATAAAAGTCTGATACTTGAAAAAGGACAACTTTGGTGATATGTTAAAAAAATCGGCCATTTCAAGCGCGCGAATCGCACGAATTACAAAAAAAATTGTAGATAAATTATTATATAATATTTTGGAATCAAAATTGTCAAAAATATTCTTCTTTTATTAGGTTATACATTAAATAAAAAAAACGAAAGAAATATTTTTTTTGTCCCATCCACACCTGTCAATTATTAAAATTATCTCTACTTTTATAAAATACCTATTTCTATCGTTTTTTTATTTAATGTATAGCCTAATAAAAGAATATATTTGACAATTTTGATGCAAATAACTAAATAAATAAAAAAATAATATGTAATAAATTACCTACAATTTTTTTATAAAAACAGTTTTGTGATTTGTCCCGTCCGAATGCTTGAAATGGCCAAAATATTATAAATATTCCCACAAAATCAATGGATCCACAAAAATGTGTTTTAAATGGGTCTGAGATCATTATTAATAAATAATTATTATAATAAATATAAAATAAATAAAATAAAATTGAAGCTTTCATTTTATAATTTAGAACAATAATTAAGTAAGTACTGCAAAATTAAAAAATATATATAATTTTAAAAAAAACTTCACCAGTATTTTTTTTTAACTTTACACACTTTTCCTTTGTTAACTGTTAACTTTTTTAAATGAAGTGTTTAAGTGTTAGTTAAACAAATATTAGAAATATTCCCCAACACCAAAACAAAACACAAAGTGCTTAAAGTACTTTGTAAGTTGTTTTGGTGATGGAGAATATTTGTTTAATAAAAGTCTGCCCTATTTTTGATGCTCTACTTCTTAAAATTAATGACGTTTAAACTACCCTAAAATAGTATATTATAGACCAGGTGAAGAAAGCTCCTATTACTTAAGTATATAGTTATTTATAAACAAACCAAAAAATGTCTATTTTTACGATAAAAACTGGGTTAGAATTCGTAAAATCAGCAAATTTTTTTTGTTTAAATAATTAAATTGTATTGATAGCTTTGTATGATACAATAAAGCCTGCCAAGAAATTTTTGCAAAAACTAAAATGCGAAATTTATAAACAAATAAATTTTCAAAAAGGTATTATATGGAAACTTTTTAACGTATGAATCAATTTTGACTGAAACGGGATAATTAATTAGTGTATTAAATTATAATTATTATAAATATTAAATTAATTAAAATATACGTTTTTTTTTATTTAATTACTAAAAAATCAATTTTTAATTATGATTTGGGGTCGCAAAAATCTGAAAAAAAAGTGAGGCAAATTGTATTTTTTTCAGATTTTTGAGGCCCAGAACATAATAAAAAATTAATTTTTATAAATTATTTACATAATATGTATTATATATAATATAATATATATTATAAATAAAAAATCAATTATAATCATGTTCTTATTAAATTAAATTATATTAATTTTATTTAATAATTTAATAAACTAATAAATTATCTTTAATTTAAGCCGGTTCCATCAAAATCAATCAATAGTTATGGAACTAAAAAAGTGACCTCAAAAATGAAATGTTTATAAATATCGCAATTTTTTTTGAAAAACTGCTTGGCAGGCTTATTTGTATCATAGAAAGCTATTGATTTAGCCACATGCCAATTAATTATGAGAACCACAAATATTTTCTGCTGATTTCATGAATTCTGACCCAACTCTGATTTTTTCTGCAATAATGATACATTTTGAAATTGAATTATACCATTTTAAACATTCAAGATGTTTCCTATATTTCATTTTCATAGCTCCATAATGTTTTAAATGAAAGGCAAAATTAAACTTTTATTGCATTTTTTGTTTATGTTTTTTTTTAACTTAATGTGAATTGCCTTTAAATTGATAACATTAAAAAAAATAATTGTGGCACAGATACTGTACTTGCCCTTAATCATTATTATACAGACAAATAAAAATTATATTTTATGCAACTTTCAAATAAAAATACTAAAATGTAAATATTTATATTTAATGTTTAAGTTTAGAATTGTTTATTGTTTGCAAAACTAAAATGACTTTTATTGCAAACATAAAATGTATAAAATATATTTAAAAATTGAAATTAATATATTGATTTATAAGTCTGTTTTAAACTGAGCAACATACTTAAAACAAAAAATCAAAATTAGTATGTTTTCAGTAAAATAAAAATAAATAAATGGGAAAACCTAAATTTAATTTAATTTTATTCAATACCTGTGTCTTCCCCCTCGCTTATATCTATTGCAGTCCCTGGCATAGTGGCCCCTATCTCCACATTCATAGCAACGATCATCTGGATGGAAAGGCCTGCCCCTGGATCTAGGAGGTGGGCCCCTATACCGACCATTCCCATTTTTACCATTTGACATTTCTACCCGGGCTCTACGGCCGCAAATAGTTCTACCATCTAGGAACAAATAATATTTTTTACATAGTGAATTGAACTAAACAAAAAATTAAAATGGAATTTAATGTTTCCTTAAAATATCAAAATTATGCTACACAAGTCTAAAAAACTTATTATAAGAACAAACTAAAAAATGGTAAAAATTTTGGGGGTGGTAGGTATACTTTATTTTGTTGCTTAGTTTTTTTACCAAAGAGAATAAAAGAGTTAATTTAACTAGCATATTACTAAAATGATTTCGTTAATAAATAATAAATTTGCTTACCAAGCCCTCTGACAGCATCTTCGGCGTCCCTGGCGTCTTCAAATTCGACGAAGGCAAAGCCCGGGGGGTTCCTGGCCACCCAGACGTTCCTCAAAGGTCCGTAGTACCGAAAGGCATCCTCCAGTTCCTGTTTGGAGGCACTGTTTCCCAAATCCCCCACATAAACTTTGCAATCCGAATTATACCTCGACATGGTCGAAGCGAAACTGAAATTTTCGAGATGTTATCGATCGCAAAGGACGCACCCGGCGTTTTGTTTACACACCGCCGATTCGTGAAATACTTACATCGATTTTTCGCCTGTTCGTTACAATTGTTAAGATTTTTGTTGTTTGCACTTTTACACTAAACAAATTAGCTATTTTTTAGATATTTTCCGAAAAGCAAAATGGACCTGCGAAGCAGGTTACTTGTTTTTTTAGAAACGAGGATTAACAACACTGTTGTCAAATTTACTTTAAGTGCAACAGAACCAATCAATAAAAGAAATAATATTGAAATATTTAATAACATTAAACTTCAATGGGATCCATAAAATATAAACAAAGTTATAAAACACCCCACAAGTTGTAAATAGTTGGGTAAATTCAACGTAAATTTATAGTAGAAATCTTGTAACGTCGCATTGGCAATTTCGCTAAACCAATAGAAACAATGCCAATTATTGGCGGCAATTTTAAATAACCTTCATATTGGGTAACAATTTGTCAATCATCAAGATAAGAAATTATGTAAATTGATTATGTGGATTAATTAAAATTGAATAGTTCAACAAAATTAACCCCGATAACTAACTAAATTGAGCAATGCATTGATTAGTTTATAAAATCCAGTCTTTGATTTTAAAACTTGCTAGCAATCAGTCCTTGCAGTAAATTTAAATTTGTTTAAAAACATGATATTTTCTTATTTAGCGCCATCTGTGGCGTCAATTTTATGTGCTATCTATTTGTTGGTGCAAATAAATGGATTATCTGGTTCCAGCGATGAAAATATGAGCGGAAAATTTTTATACTTTGCTTATGGAAGCAATTTATTGGCTCAGAGGATTCACATTAACAACCCAAGTGCACAACGGGCTGGTATAGGAAAATTAAAGGTAATATTTTAGGATTGTTTTTTCTTGTATTGAATTATTGGTTTTAGGATTACCAGTTAGATTTTATAACTTACTCTAAAAGATGGAGGGGAGCATCGGCCACAATAGTTAATAAAACAGGAAGTCACGTTTGGGGTGCTCTTTGGCAAATAGACAATACTCATATGGAATCCCTTGACAGGTAAATAACCTTAAAATCGGTTAATTGACATTTTGAATGTCAAGTTTCCAACGGCGTTGCCAGATTGTTTTTTTTTTAGACAGGAAGGAGTCGAAAATAATCTTTATTTTCCCCTTAACGTAGAATTGGATACTCCAGAAGGAAAAACTGTTATTGCCCGCGTTTACCAACAAACTAAAACACCAGAAACTTTGGAAAATATTGAAAATCTTCCCGACGATAGAAAACCATCTGCAGTCTATTTGGGTACTATTTTAAAGGGGGCTGAGGAATCTAAATTGCCTGAAGAATATAAAGAATGGTTGCATAGAATACCACATAATGGATATGATGGTGAGGTTGATATTGGCTTAAGCCTTAATATTACTAAGTAAAACAAATGCTTTCAATATAATTTTATATTAATGTTGAATAAACCCATTTTATCAATTTTAAGTATAAATTGAATGTAAAATGTTTTTTATTAAGAAAATATACGATCGTATATTTTATCCTCGAGGGTACCTAAGTAATTCTCCGTTTTTGGTAAAATTAACTTAAGTTAATTATTATACTTTTTGTCATTGGAGAAATTTTAACCTTATAACGTTAGAGTAAATAGATTAGTAAGGTTCCACCAAAGATATAGAGATATATCTCTGGGTTCCACCTGCTTTATAATATTAATAATTAATATTAACAATTTTTGTTTTTTACTAGTATACTAGTAAAAAACAAAAATTGTTAATATTTTATTTAAAAAATTTATAAAAACAACTTTAAACTATATATACGCTGCCCGCAGGGCCGGATTAAGAGTTTTAGGGCCCTGGGGCCGACCAAGATACATACACCTTAAGATAGGATGGTGCGCATGTTGGGCGGGGCTTAATGACGTCACTTGATGAGTGTTTTTAAATCTTTAACGTGCTTTTTAATTATCTGCTGCTAAAATTCTTGTTTTTGCGATGCTTTTGGATGTTAACTTGCTCTACTTTTTGTTTAACTTGTCGTTTTTGTGTTCAGTAAGGTTCGAATTACTTTTCAGCGTTCAAATTATTGTTTTTGCGTTAGGTTAACCTGTTAGGTTTGTTTATTATTGTTTTTATGTTGCGTTAACTTGTTTTGTTTGTGTTTTAGATTGTATAGTGTCATTTGCATTTATTAAAATGCGGTGTGGCATATTTGGATGCAATTCGGACAACCAGTCCAAGAAAAACCCTTTAAATAAAAACATTAAATTTAATCGATTCCCGAAAAAGTTTGATTTGTGGAAAAAGTTTAAATGCCACAAAAATAATAGACAATATTTACGTTAAGACCGCTTCTGTTTCCTATAAACATTTTCTGGACAGTGACTAGAAGTTTAATTTAACACCAACGCTTAAACTACAGCCCTAAATGTTATCAAGGACTGAAAGCATCTATTATCCATATTATAACACTTTCTTCAATATTAGGTTTAATAAAAATGCACTATGTCCAGAAATTTCTCTATTTTCTTTGATAATATTACTATTATTCGAGTATTCGCACAGCAACTACTCATCAAGTGACGTCATGCGCGGGACGAACCAAAACTCGTACACGGGAGCATCCAGCCCTGGGGGCCGACATTTGGTGGGGGCCCTCAATATTTCTAAAAATTTTGAAACTTTTTATTATCCTTGAATCATTTAGCGTTTTTAAGCTATAAATTAAAAACTCATTTTTTTAAACGAAACACCCTGTATCTCGATAATGAAGCATTTTCGGACACCTGTTTATAAGAACCTTTTTTCATATTTTGATGAGAGGAACTTCTCCTGGGCTTTTGTCACCATAAGTCTAAATCACCCTGTATATTTGGAATAATACGAAAATAACCTTATATACATTTTACCCAAGTCTGAATAAATTATAAATTCGTATGCAAAACTATAAAAACGTAGAAAGTAGAATAGAATTGTGAATTAAAGTGTTTTTATATACTTTAAATTTTATATATTTTGAATAATACGAATACGAATACATTTTAATCAAGTAAAATATAAATTTATCTATGTTTTGTTTGTATTTTTAATACATACCGCAAACTGAAAAAGTGCATCAAAGATCGTATTATTTGTCTGTTTTTCATACAAAATCAAACAATAAAACAATCTTTTGTACAAAGAAATGCACGAAACAGTATTTTGGAAACACCGGAAAATATTCCACAACACTCCAATGTACCAATAAAAATCTGGGACAAAAACTAACTTTAATATTAGATTATAAATAATTGACTTTTTGCCTGTATTTACAAAAACGTTACAACAAGCACTAAACGAGCTGCTTAAAATTGTTATGAGTCATAACTTATGACTATAGACTTTATAAAACGTCTTAGCGCGACAAAACTTTGAGTGTGATAATTTACATTCTGATTTGCAAGCGGATAAGCGATAAAAAATCCGCGAAAAATTAGAGTTAGGTCTACGAAAAATTAATTGAAAATAACAGGATTCGCGCGGTATAACCAACCCAATTTTTTGTTTTTTCTTCAATTTTTTTCATATTTGTTTCATTAAAAAGCTACATATTGCATTGGTGGGGGCCCCTAAATGGTGGGGGCCCTAGGGCCGTGGCCCCGCTGGCCCCGTGCTAAATCCGGCCCTGGCTGCCCGTCAGAATTAACGCATAATAAGTAAAAAAACGCCTTTACCAATCTTTATAAAATTTTGGATAAAAAAAATTAACTTAAATCTCAGTTTACGTTTTCAAGGGTTTTTCGAAAAAATATCCTTAAAGCCATTTTATTTAATATTAAAAAAAAAACGCTCGAAAAAAAGATTTATAGGGAATTTTTTTTAAGTAAATAAAAAAATGCTGTTAAAGACCGTATTTTTGTTAGTATACGCTGAAGATTGGTAAAGGCGTTTTAGAGTTTTTTTTATTTATTATGCGTTAATTTTGACGCACAGTGTAGTATCTATAGGTAGGAATTGATCAAAAAAGCATTATTTAAATGAAAGTGTTTAAGAAATTAAAATGTACCTATTAAGATTAACTTTAAAATAAAAACATTTTGGCATTTGTAAGTATTTTGGTAGGTAGGTATATAATATATAAGGTATTTGTACTTAAATATTATGCAATCATTAAGAAAACAATATAGGTATTCGCTTTCTAACAGATCTAAGCCATACTTTAAACTTTTTTTACAAAAAATTCACTGAAATGTAACTAAAGGCTGAGGAAATTGCACCAATAATTCCAACGCAGGTCGTCAAAACGTTGTAGGCATCGTTTGATTTTTCCTTTTCCACCAATCTAAAAAACATTAAAAATAAATAAAGACATTTTGATCATCATCCTAGGAGCATGCACCAATTATTATCGCGCAAAAATTGTACCAAATATTTGAAAATTGCTGGATTTTCCTTTTTCAATAAAATTCAAATTCATCACTCACTAATCTAAATTACCTGGTGACATTGAGGTAGGCAACGTTAAACAAGTACCCTCCAGATAGTCCATAAGCTGTAACTATTAAACAGTATTGGTAGTCATAGGGGAATATAACTGGTAAACGTTCTCGGGGCTGGGCGTTCGAAAACATGTACAGCGGTATCAATACCGACACCCGCACCACCCCAAGGATTGAAATTACGAATTGATTCATGTGCTGCAACAAATAATTAAATTTAAATGTTTTGCTTGGTTTTGCATTTCAATTAACTTACAATTGGGATTTTAGATGCCAAAGTACGTCCAATTAAATCGCAGGTGTCCCTTAGCAGGAAGGTAAACGGAAGAAAATATGTTGCTGAAATAAAAAAGTATACTTTATTTCATTATGCTCACAAGTTTGGAAAATTGAGTGTAACTTTTGAAATATACAGTGTGTCGCACTGTATACCCCCATATTTTCGCTATTTGAAGGAATAAAGGTTTGAATTTTTTCACATGTTGATGGGTCACATTTTTTAAGCTACTCAACTGAAATCTGAACTTTAAACTTGGCCTGGCCTAGGCCAGTAGTAGCTAGGTACTACAAATTAACAAACAGGGCCAGTTCTCGATATTTTGCTTCGCGTTAGAGATATCGAAAAAAGTTATTGGAAAAAGTTGTTCAGAATATTATTCTAACCCCATATACCAATTTTTATAAAAAAAATCGCATTTTTAATTTTTTTTATTTTGGTCTACACAAATTTATTACAAGTTCATTTTTTAGTTTGATAATAAGGGAGCCATGGAAAGTAATAATTTGATACTAACTAGTGTTTATGACCGTTAAATAAATAATTAAAACAATTTTTGGAAATTACATATAAATTATAATTTATTAAATTAAGGAAATGGTATAAAACAATAATAAAACTAATAAAAATAAATAAATTAGAAATGCAAATTTTGCTGTGAAAATCGGTATACGGGGTTAAAATAATATTCTGAACAACTTTTTCTAATAATTTTTTTCGATATTTCTAACGCGAAGCAAAATATCGACAACTGGCCCCGTTTGTGAATTCGTAGTAGGCCAAGTTTATAGTTCAGATTTCAGTTGAGTATCTTAAAAAATGTGACCCACCAACATGTATGAATGTAAAAAAATTCAAATCTCTATTCCTTGAAATAGCGAAAATATGGGGGTGTCTTCATCTTAAATGCGACACACTGTATATATAAATATATATATATATATATAATGATTTTAATAAAAGTTGTTTGGTAGTTCATTTCAAATTTTAAGGTGATATTGCCAACTTAAAAAAATAAATACGTAGCCCCCCAAGGAGGCCAACTTTTTTTATTTATAATAAACCACCTTTATTAAAACACAATTTAAAAGAGGATTTTTTTCTGATTACAACAGTATATGTATATTAATATTAGAATTAAATTGCGTCATCATAAAAAGTTAATATCACCGCAAAATTTGAAATAAACTATTAAACAACTTTTATAAAAATAATTATTGTCAAATGAGTATGACTTATTTTAGTAGGAAATTGAACGCTCTATAAAAAAGGTCAGTTGTGTTTAATTGATTTCTCTAACCGTTGAGAAGATATCCGTATCCGAATCCCAATGCGTACTGATACGAAAATCTTCCTGACAGTTAGAGTAATCAATAAAACACATCAAACCTTTTTTGTAGAGCATTTAATTTCCTACAGAAATATTTTATTAAATGATTGATATTAAGAGCTCAGTGTCGGAAGTAAAACAAAAATATTCGATTTTTTTAATCACCCTTTTACCTACTGGTACACTATAGTGAAAAAATACTACTTACTTCCCCATGGTGTTTGTTGATCCTGGGAAACCACCAAACTAGTGACAGCAGGGCTAATAAACTGCAGTCCCGAAATCATAATCAAAAATATAAAGATGCTGCTCCATATTTTCGAAATGATGAACTTTGTCTCTGGCCACGACAGGAATTTTCTCCGGGCTACTGTATCGGATTTACCTATATAGTACAAGTAAAGCTTGCTGAATCTCGTTAAGGTGAACAGCAGCAACGTGATGGACATTACGAAGACCCCGCACAAGAAATAAATTAAGGCACTGGATTTAATGTCTGTACCAATAGCCAGAGATATAATTTGCAGGATGGAATTAAAAGGCCCGGCTATGCCTTCTCCAGTCAAATACCACACCATGTATTTCCTTGGAAATTTTGTCAAAACTTCAAACAGACTTACACCCAACACTGAATTTGCAGCTAAAATATTATTAAACAAAATGTAAATATTTTTAGTCCACCATTATTGAGGTTACTTACCAGATTTTAATGCAATCAAGAACATTGTTAAAATATAGAAATATAGTTGCCCTACAAAATTAAATTAAAAATAAGATTTTTGAGAATACGTAGTTTTTGTAGAATATACAAAGGAAGGTTAAAAACAAAACAATATTACGAAATAGTAGGAGAAAAGTATTAATACAATCACGTGTAATTCAGATATTATACGCTAGTTGAATAATTATAATCTAATATAATATAATATTGGTCATTGCTTATCAAAACAGTATTTTTTGCGTTTTGGAAAAGTAACTTTCACTTTTTAATGTAGGTAGGTATTGTTAAAAAACTGACTTACAATCGTCTGTATCAACACTTATAAAAACCGTGGAAACTGCGAATGCCATTAACATAAATGCAACACTCCATGATATCCTCGTCCTCACGTTAATTCTTTGCCCATAAACTGTAGTGAGCGTCATAAAAATAATTAAAGGAGTTGACCCGAAAATGGTCGAGTATACACCAAATTCTTTTTGCATTGTATTCCTCAAAGTGGCATTATTCCAGTCTTCGCCCAACGAAGTGTTTCGAAATTTGTACAAAAAATACTAAAAATATTTTTTGTGTAAATGTAGGAATTTTTTCCACTCCTATTGCATAATATTGACATTATTTGGGGTTTTTCCCTTTATAAAGGAATAATGAATTCATTATTCCCTTTGTTATTGATTGGCCGATTTCATTATTCATTTATATTTCTTTTTATTTTTATTGCTTTATTTCTCCCAATGAAAATTAGTCAATAGAAGTAGAAAAAGCATGGTATTACACTCGAGATTATCTCTCTTATAATAATATATTACCTGCGTTGCTACACTAAAGAATGTATTGGGAATAAAATGCATAAGTCCTAGGAAGAAGAAAAGCGCATGTACTATTAAAAAAGTATCCGGAGGAGGTTTTTCTTTATTTCCTTCTTCATCTTCATTGTCTTTATTCCCGGAATCATCGGGCGTTTCATGATGCCATTGTTTCTCAACAGGGTTTATATGTTCAATTATGTCTTCAACATCTTAAAAAATATTTTTGTATATGTAGCTTTTTATTTGAAGATATTTAAATTAAATAAAAGTTATAATAAGTGGTTTTAATTGTTGATACGTATTATAAATACTAATACAGAGTTCCAGTACTAATACTAGTACAACTTATAGTTACATTATATTTTTAAAGAAACAAAATATTTTTTTTGTTCTCCCATATTTCACCTAAATGCGATATAGTACAGTCATCTTAGTCAAAAAAAGGGATCAACCTCGGAATCTAACGGAATAAGCTGAATTTTTGTGAAAACCTTTATTTTAGCATTACAAATGTTGTCTCAAAAGTCACATATGCCAACGTGTGAGCGACCTTAGATATTCAAGGTCAAAGGTCGCAAAAATCAGTTTTTTAAGAATATCTCGTTTTCTCTGCCTCCTATCGTATTTGCATTTATTATAAAAGTTGTAGAGAATAAAATTCTCCATACATTTTGTATACAAAATTTTTTTATACGTCGAACCGTTTTTGAGGTAGAGGGCGCAGAGTGTGGAGCGCTCAGCCATACGTACCTTTAGCGCAACGTAAATCGTGAATCCCAATCTATTATACCGTTTTTTTAATAAATTATATAATAAATATTACTAAAATAAAAATTTAATACCTTATACTTATATTTCTTTTAAATCAAATATATTTTATCTTCATATATATTATATATATCTCATATTTTAATTTAATTTTACTGAAGGATAATTGTATCGGAGTAGGAAAAAATGTTTTTATTTATATCAATATTATTATTATTATTAATCTTTATCTTCTTCATCCTCGTATTTTTCAGGTTGGCCAGCAATTTCAGACTCATTCTCATCATCACTCTCCTCGTTATCATTGACATTAATTGTCATATCTTCAAAAATTTACTTATAACGCGTTTAAACTTTGCAGATTTTTTTGCCTTTGTTGCCTCATCTGCGACTTCACCACAAAATAAGCACAATATTTTAAAATCAAACACATCATTCCCTTTTTTACAAGGTACAGTTGATGACGTTGAAGGTCCAGTCTCTTCAAGGCGACGTTTTGCTGCTGCAATTTTACTTTAGTACGCTATAGCGTACAATTTTCGACACTCAATATGAACGTTCACAGAAGTCAAAGTATTTAGGTAGTTTATATTTATTTCTCTCAATAATTGCTTTTTTTTAAGTCTTTATACCACGCACAAAAGTCACAGAATCACCTTCAGAAAGTAACTTATTACAAATAAAATACAAATCAGCCATGTTAACCTTTAAAATATTACGAATATTACCTGTCACAACCCTAGACCTTTACCTAGGGTCACAACTTGCTTTAAATATAGGTATACCTAACCTTTTTATTAATAGCAAGCCCACTATACTGCCCTACTATGGAGAAAGGCAGTAACTGCTAAACAAGAAATTTGTGGAAAATTAGCATAAACAATATTTTTATAAAAAAGCAGTAGGTATTTAATTGATTTAATAATAACTTATGAGATATTTGACTGCATTTCTGTGTTGAATTCGGTTACAAAATGTCCATAGCTTTACCATAGCACAAGAAAACGCATTTTGCATTTTTTTGCAGTTACTGCCTTTCTCTATAGTAGGGCAGTATAGTATTTCTGTTATTTTAAAAGCAATATCTGGATCCAAGAGATGACCAGAGACATATTCATTTAATGTCTTTTCTTCTTAAAATGCATTTATCATTAATTAGAATAACATTAGAATATATTTAGAATGATTCACTTCATTATTTAATTATTTGTATGTCAAAAGTAAGTAATATTTAATGACTATTTGTTTTAAAAAAATATATAAAAATAAATATAAGGTATTAAATTATTATTTAAGTAATATTTAAAAAATAATTAATTAAAAAAAACGGTATAATAGATTGGGATTAATGATTTACCTTGCGCTAAAGGTACGTATGGCTGAGCGCTCCACACTCTGCGCCCTATATCTCAAAAACGATTAGACGTATAAAAAAATGTTTTAAACAAAAATTGTAGAGAATTTTATTCTCTACAACTTGTATAATAAATGCAAATACGATAGGAGGCAGAGAAAAGGGGATATTCTCAAAAAATTGATTTTTGCGACCTTTGACCTTGAATATCTAAGGCCGCTCACACGTTGGCATATGTGACTTTTGAGACAACATTTGCAATGCTAAAATAAAGGTTTGTACAAAAATTCAGCTTATTCCGTTAGATTCCGAGGTGAAATGCCTAGATGACTGGACTAATAATAAACAATTCACTTTCCTTTAAAAAAACAGACTAATTTTGGTAATTTGTTTCTTATCTCATATATGTATACTATACATTGTTATTAATATAGTTTATTATGTAAAATTTGGAATAAACTTTAAAATTACTTAAAAATAATATTATTATTATATAATATTATCTATAAAACTTTCTTGTGGGATTTTTAAAGAACAATAATAGTTAACATTGATCCCGGCGCATTCGCCATTTTTATAAAATATAAATAATTTGAGGATCTGGAATATGATCAAATAGTTGGGTCGTTTTCAAAAAACACCCGCCTTCCGCTGTCCGTAAGTTTGAATTCCAATAAATTTGTTAAAAATTATCGGATCTTATTGATTTAAAAACCAAGTGAAAGCCTAACAAGCCCTTAGTAAACTCTTTCAGAAAATGTTTGTTTAGTTATTTCAGAATTGTTTTTTTGTAATTTTGAAACTTGTGAAACACACATTTTCGCATGTCCCATTAGCATTAGCTTTATAGCAATCCATAACATCCTTAGTTAATACAGTAAACAATTTATATATTAAATAATTAATTTTAATCTACTTTTTTTAAATTTGAAATTTGCGTTACGTCCGTCGCGTTACGTCCGTCGCGTTACGTCCGTCGCGACGCGTCGCGTATCCGATAGAATATTAAAAAAAAAACATATATATGGCAACTTTTTTGGCACTCACGTGATCAACAAAAGATGTTCGGACCACACATTACCCAGCTGAATTTATTTATTTAATCAGGAAGAAGATATCAGTTGAAACAGGTGCGGGTAACGCGAATGTAATAATTGTTTGTCCGCTAAGTTACTCAAAAAAATAATAAAAATAAGGTAAGAAAAAATGCTATTTTTCATTTTTATGTTTATTTTAGGGCACTAAAGCTCATTGAGAGTAATTAATGACTGTAATGTCTTATTATTATTTTTTAAATATGGTTTTACAAAACTTTGTCCACTGCGTTACCGAGTCCACTATGTTACCTTATGGTAACGCAATGGAATTTAGGGTAACGCAATAGAATTTTTCGACAACAAAGTGGATATTTAAAGTCGCTCAAATTAAAAGTAGTTTATGATAAACCAATTTAAAATTATTTGTGATTACAACTCATAATATACATAGATATATATGTAGATTACATCCAAGGAAAAATTACACGCAATATACAAGTACTAAAAGGGACCTTCACCAGCTTATAGTCAATGAAAAAGGGTGTCTACAATTTAGAAATCTAAGTTGTTATTCTGCAAGTGAGCACCACTACAAGGGATTTTGTTTATGCATTACTCTAAAATCGTACCACCCTATATAGTTTCTTTTTTACGTTATCTGATTAAGTCCTTTGTATACCCTAGTCCGTTGTGATACCGACGTCAATTTCGTTACTTTTTTTATTTTTTGTTAAAAAAAATACTTAAAATGATTTTTATACACTATCACTTGGTAATACGTGTTTATAAATTAGAGTTTAACTCACCAATAAGGTGAAAATATTAATGTTATTGTTTTTTTAACAAAGAATCAGAATGGTTTCTTTTAAAAAGTAACTTAACAAACATACATATTAAAAAAAACATACAATTTAAAAAAAAAAATTGGAGTCAAAAGTTTGTGAACTACATTTCATTTAAAATTATTTTTATAACAACTTTTTTTATTGAATTAAATTTTGAATTTCAAATTGGTAACACAGTGGAGATATATAAAGCTAGCTAAACACCTTTTTCTGAAAAAAACGTAAAAAAAATAAAAAGTGCACTGTCTGTCTTAAATGTAAGTAAAAAAACTCTAAACATTTATAAAAATCCAACCAAAAGTCAATTTAAGCAAAAAAAAAATTTTGATCTTCATTTTCCTGAAAGCGGGTGTTTCTTGAAAATGGCCCAGTTAATGTTATCACATTCTAGATTAAAAATAATATTATTAATCTTGAAAAATATAATTATGGGTATTGCATAAAATAAAGCCGATTATATTTCAAAAAAATATTATTATTATTATATTTATTTATATTTCAAAAAAATATTATTATTATTTACAAAAAATCTATTTTTCTTGTAAAATATTTAAAAATATTGTTTTTTTTTTAATGTGATTACTTACCTCTACTTGCAATGGTTTCAGCCACAACGACCATTTTCTATTTTTATACTTTTTTTTTAACAAACCTTACTGTAAAAGGGTTAAATCAGAACTGAATTAGACTGAAAAATCAATCTTAATTAAATTTAAATTTTTTGTTAATGAATTAATCTATGATAACGGCGGTTTCAAGTGATCATTGTTATACAAATTTTGGTTTGTGATTGTACTGGAACGTATTTTTAGAAACAAATACAAAAAATATCAAGTCATGTTCTGTTTTTTTTTCATGAAGTTAGTTTTCCTATTATTTTTATGAAGAACTGATTTATCCTCTGTATAATACTGGCAAACTTTTTAGTTTTTGTTTTATTTTTTTCGCAATATTTCTTTGTTTTAAACAATTCAAAACAATCAATTAAAATCACAATACTTTCGGGCATATTTAAATTGCTTTAGCAGTAGCTGTAAGTTATTGAAATGTAAATATATTTTAAGTTATTAAAATGTAAATATATTATTATACCTCATATATTTGTTACGTAGATACATTCACTTGAATTGTGAATCAATAATGTCAATTAGCTAAGCTATATATATAGATACATATTATTGTTTAAGTAGGTACCTAATTTTAAATGTTAAGTATGCCAAATTTGGAAAGAAACATTTTAATTCCACTCTAAAAAAATAATATATATCATTTTCCAAATTTCTTTTTAGATAATCCGAGTAGATGCATCTATTATGGACGTAATCTAAAATCAAATAACCAAAATTGTTGTCGTCCCATTAACTATAAAAAACCTTAAACCTATATTTGTGTGGTTTTTAAATTATTTCAATGTCTAGGTATAGATAACGCTAATTAATTATTCCAAGAGTCATGATGATGAAGTGCACAAATCAGTTTGTGTTTGACTGATTTATGTCAATAAATATTTCCAAATTTATTTATGTGTATTTATAAATAACTACCGACTTAAATTATAAAAAAACAAATATGTATTAATCTTTTTTGTAGTTTTTTGCAAGTAATTAAATAAAGTATATAAATTAATATTAATATAAAGTATCCCTATTGTAAATGACCAATAGAAACCAATAAAAAATAAGTAATTGGTTTGAAATGTGTTGCATTCCTATTGGTAAGTTCCAATGAAGTCAGCGGTTTGGATTGGAAAATACCAATCCATGCCTATGCTTGTCTCTATTGGCTAAATCCAATAGAAATACACATGGAATGAATTGGTAATTTATAGCTCCAAACCCATTCCAACCAATTAAAGCCAATTAATATTTTTAAATTTAAGTTAGAAAATACCTACCAGTTTATTTTTCATTCAAAAATAATTTTAGATCCCAGAAGAATAACCGGGTAAAAACCAGAATTTACAGAAGAGACAAAAAATGAATTGTTACTGAGGAATTTTATTTCTTTATTATTTTTTTTGTGATATATGTATGTATTGATACATATAACTTATTATCATAAAAAAGTAATAAAAAATAAATAAAATTACTCGGTTATAATAATTTTTTTGTCTTTCTGGCAAAGGGTGTTTGTAGCCATGGTCGAAGTCGATATTGTTTATGTTAAATTTTTTTATTTTGTCCGCTGTGACAACAAATATTTGTTGTCACAGCGGACAAAATAAAAAAATTTGACATAAACAATATCATATGATACAATAAGTAGTTTTTATTTACTTACACAAGAAAAAAACACTGCATAATTATTGGAGGATAAAAACCGATTTTGTATTTAGGAAAATATTTTTGTCCCAACTTAATTACAACATTTTAATAAAAATAATAATATTTTATAAATATGTGTTGTGAGGGCTATCTTAATTAAAAATTACAAAATCGATAAATATAGTCAATTAAAAATTGGGTCAAATCTTAGAATACGAAAAAGAATAAATTAAATTAAAATTCTTGACATTTTTAATTATAATTTTTTTTCTAGAAAAATGTATGTATGTCACATGTATACAGTATGTGTCTTGTCAGTTTTTAACATACAATGATGTTTTGCGTTATATTTGGCAGAGGAAATTAATAAAAAAATCAAAATCAAATAAAAAAATTGGACATAAAAAATGTTTTGATTTATTTTATCCATCCGGTGCACTGTATAAGGAGATTGCGGGCTTTGAAAAATGAACGTTTTGTATTAATCTGAAAGGAGACTATGTTAAAAATAATGGTAAATATTGTTTTGTAAAAACATATCTGTGTTATAAATTAAACAAAAGCAATTTCTAAAAAACTTTATTTTTTCTTAAACCTATTAAGTAAAAATTGAAGCCAGTGTATTCAAAAGCCTAACTATCCTAATCTATAGATTAACAAAAACCTATGTAAAACTAAACTTCCACAAAATTTTGATTACTTACTTTTGAACCATTACTTCAATTCAAGGTATTAGTAAAATCACAATTGCGTTATAATAAATAAAATCCTAGTCTACAGAAAATGAAGATATCACAATGATCAAAATAACTTCTAGAAAAATATAATACAAATTATTTATTACGAAGACTTTTTCTCGTCCTCGTCAATATCGTTTTCGTTAATTATTTCAAATTCGCTATCTGAACTGCTGTATGTCCGATGTAACGGTTTGGCAGTAGATGGCGCTGCCCCCTCGATTGCGTCTTTCACTAACGACATGCACATTTGACCCAACATGCCTGTGTACGACGACCCCGCTGACGGAGAAGATTCTTTGGAAAACTTTAAACCTAAATAAGAAAAATAAAAATACCAACTAAGTGATTAAAATATTTGTTTAGAGCGACATCTATACAAAAATAGAGTACCCAATGTGGCGTTGGGAATCTGCTTTACCGGCAGTCAAAATGTAAGCGTTTACCTTTTGAATATTGGTTTTCCTCTTCTGAAGAGCTGCTTCCGTTAAAGTGTTTAGAATGAAATTGCATTTCTTTATTGGAATCCGAATCTGTGTCTGAATCGGTGAGTCCTTTAGTGGGCGTAAAGGATGGAGTCTTTGCAGAGTCATACACGTCCAGGTGGGAGGGCATGGCGCCAATACCAGACGTCAAAGATTCCATCAAGGAATCTAAAAAGAATAATCCAACTGCAGGAAATTTTACCTTTTTCGGGATTTTTTGTACTCGAAAAAGAAGAGGGAAATCTTTTATGTGTAAAATGTGAATATTAGGGAATTATCAATAAAAATACTTTTATTTGGTCTACTCAACTCAAGACTTTTTTAAGAGCACAGCAGCCTGTTCCAAAGTTTGTTGCAGGCTGAAGAATTGGATGTAGTAAACTATAAAATTACATAGCTCCATGTTAAACTGCACAAAGAAGACATGTAAAGTAGGGTGGAGCGAAAAAATTTTTTTTTTCTTTTTTCCTTAGCCTGGGGGTGGAATTTGTAGCCTATAAAAAAAGAAAATTTTTGAAAAAAAAAAATTTTTTACTCAACGTCTTGAGGTGGCCCACTGATTTTTTAAATTAAATTTAAGTTAAAATTCTTTTGAATAAAAAAAAAAAATTTTTGGCTTGTAAACTTCGGAGTGTCCTCTTTCTTGCTAATTAACAGTTATGAACTTTTTGTGGTCATTATTGTTGTTTTTAAAAAAATTCCAAAATAGTAACATGCTTTTCTGAGGCAATAGAGCGAATTTCGAGTTGAACACGATCAAATTTGTTTATTTTTAGATAAATTTGAAGATTTCAAGACAAAAAAATTTTTTTTTTATTTAAAAGAATTTTAACTTAAATTTAATTTAAAAAATCAGTTGTCCACCTCAAGACGTTGAGTAAAAATTTTTTTTTTTTAATTTTCTTTTTTTATAGGCTACAAATTCCACCCCCAGGCTAAGGAAAATTTTTTTTCGCTCCACCCTAATGTAAAGTTAATTTTTTTTATCTGGACTGCGGCAACGTTGCAAATTTAGGGGTTTGGTTGGTAAATACGGAACCAAAATTGCAAAATGCAAGTGTTCAAGTTTGTTGAAAACATGTTTTTTATTAATATTTTTACAAATACTATTTTGAATTTTATTTTTGTTTTTTATAAAAACTTTTTATTAAAAAGTAATTTTTTGTTAAAAATATAATTTTTTTTCTTAACAAAAAACTCGAAAGGCTTTTTTGACTTACAAAAAGGGAATTTTTAGGACCGTCCTGGAGAATTTAAAAAAAAACAGGTTGGCAACACTGCTTGCGGAAATTTTTGTTGTCGTTATCCGCCTTTTGTTTACTGTCGCTACTTTTTGGCAGAGGTAGGTCAACATGTTTTTTTTTATAGTTATTTTCGATATAAGTAGAGTATAAGAGCTTTATTAACGTACGCATGCCGCAAAAGTACGTTAATAAAGCGTTATCACACGTATATTGTACAAATTTTTATCTACGCCTCTAAATGAAAAAATAAACGGTAATTATTTTTGTCTAAGACTTAATTTAGGGTTATTTTGACTTTTTTACTTGATTGGTTAAAAACAGAGAAAAACGCGTGCGTTAATGAACTTCTTATCTCACTCAAAATGAGTGGGATAAGAAGTTCTTATCTCACTGGCGTAGATAAAATCATTTATGGCATTTAAAATATACATATGACTGAAAACATATACCTACATTAAACTAAAAAGCCTAGACCAAACCTGGGTCTGGGCTAAAAAGATAATAAAAATATTTGGAGGATACTGTAATTTTATTTATCTAGGAAGTTGTTAATTTTGCAACTTTCTATGATAAAATAACTACAACAAGCGTCATACAATTTAACGAGCTTTGTACTGTTTTTAAAAAAATTTTCCCTTATCTTAATAAAATAAAAATGTTTATTTTATCTACAAAACACTTATAATTATTGTTCGTTTGCATATACAAAAAAACAACTGCGTCGGTTAAAATAGAAATAAAATAAAATTGAAACTAAAAATAATATGTTAATTATTGTTTACATTTGAAATGTATCAAAAGAAAATTTTCTATAAATAAAATGGTACATACCGTTTTATATTTTTAAGTTTTGAATTTTTTTTAGGCAGGTATGTGTTCTTGAGTTGCAAAATTCTTTGTTAATACTTTTCCTACTTAAGTTCAATAAACTCGTATTTTATTATTCCACAATACCGTTTTCAATAATTAATTAATAATAAAAATACACAGGATTGAGGTTCAAAATAAAAATGTTAAATTTTAAAATTTTAAATTAAAAATAAAATTTTAAAATAACAATTTTTATTAGGTAAAGATGTTTTTTTTAATATTTTGACACAAAACGTCATAAAATATATCTAGCTACCTTATAAACGTTATTGGATGTGGAATACTGCATATTGGCTCAAAAACTCAAATACCCTCATGTGGTACCTTAGCTTATACCTACTTCAATAAATAACATACCTAAATATCTGTTTCATTGTTACAGAAATGATAATAAAGCGCAAATTAATTTAAAATAGATAATATTGCGGAAATGTATAAACATTTACCATCTGTTTGATAATTAAAAACCTTGAAAATTAAACAATTTAACCGACGCAAATTAAAATAATATTTTAATGTGTAGAAAAAAAATTTCTAAACATCAAAACATGATTTCAGAATTGTTTTAAATATTTATTATTTATTTCAAAACTACATTTTTGGACATTTCCACTTCTTTCCCCAAGGTTGCCACTTAAATGGCAATTGTTTATGAATGTCATGATTGGTTAGTTTAATTAACCTAACCAATCATGACATTTTAAAACTAACCAAAAATTTTTCCAAAAAACATTTGAAGCAAACTTTTTAGTTATGCTTCATTATTAAAAAATATACACTAACCTTGAGTCCTATCTGTTAAAAGACTGTCCGTCTCAGGATCATTATTATCAAAAACTTTATTTGATAGAAATGGCAAAAGTTCTTCTTCAGCTAGAACAGCTGAAATATCAGATACATTAATATCCAAGGAGTTGTACCTATAAACATCGATTGTTTACCTGTTTGTGATCCCAATTTTATAACACATTGTCTAATGGTGTTGGCTGTTTCTTCAGGTAAACATTGGAAAGCCAATGGCACAAAAAATATTGCCAAAATAATAAGATATATCAATACATAATCTGGCATGCTTTTCGATAGAACATAACCAATAAAAAACATGATACTACTGGAGAAACAGAACTAAAAATTATAATTGTATTTCACTATAATGTTTGAATTAATAACTTACTGAAAATCTATTTTCTTTTCTATACTCCATTAAATTAAGTGCAATGTCTGACAAACTGGTGCAAAAATCATTGAAGCCTTCAGAGTAGGGGCTTACTACCCCATTGGGGTTTTTGCTTTGAAAATAACTATCCCAAAGAAATAAAACCAAGATAGAAGTAAACATTATTCCATATATTTTTATGCCCCATTCCACGAATATCCTAAAATAGATCTAAGATGCAGAAGTATTTAAAATTTGGATGTATGCCTTACCAAAATAAGAAATTAATTCCTAAGAAAACCTTTAACGTTAACGCTATATCCTTCCATGCCAATATATGATAAACAAATTCCGAATACAATTCGAATCTGCTAATTTCGCGTGGTGCCGAAGTTTGGATAGCTTCTTTAAAAATAAACTGTTTGATTGATTTCAATTTTTCACAGAAGTAATCCATTGTCAACTTCACACGATTCTTTTGTTCTTTGCACCTGTTAAAACTCACAAATTTTTGTAAACCGAACCGAAATTGCGATGTTGTTAAAATTCGTTTGTAAACAAAATATTGTTATTGAATGCGATCAATGGGAATTACGCACCTTTTTAGCACCAATGACGTGAAAAACGTGATTTCATTTTGTTTATGAGAGGTGGGTTTAAATTCGGAATCGGCAAACCTCGTGTTACGATTCTCATTCTCTAGTTACAACCTCTCTCTCGGTTTGATATTTTTCTTGTTTCATGTTTATTAGGAGGGTTTTTGTTTTGTTTTCGTGACCCCAAAGCAAAATACCATATCACCTATTACAGTATATTGAAGAATGATTGGGAAACATCTAGGTTACGTAACCATATACAGCTGTTGTTTTCACTATTCAGCTACCAGTACAATTAACCCAATTTTAATTAAGATTCATAGATAACAAAGCCTTTAAGAATAACATGCTCCAAATTGCGTTGCTATCGTTTAGTCGTTAAGTTTAATCAATGGTTAATTAATTATGCTTCAAGGTTGCGGAACCTTGACCTTAAACACTGCGAAAAATCGATTTAATTCGGTCCCTTAAAACTTTTTTTGCCAAACATGTGTATGAAACAGCGTTGCCAACCTTTTCGTTCGAAAAATCCTGAGTTCTCTAGTCAAATATCCGTAGAAATCCGTGGGTGAAGGGTAAAATCCGGACATTTATCCGTACCAGGGATCAGAGGTGGCAGGCACCGCGGCGCCTTAGAATTTTCACTAAAAATTTTGATTGGAACTCAATATTTATCAGCTGTTCAGTTATTTAGCATTGAAATTTGGCGCAAGGTGGCGCTTTCTTAGTAGTGCTTGGCGCTTTTAAAATTCATATATTTATAAACAATGTAATTAGATACTAATAGTGTGATACATGTATAAAAAACTTTTATCTACTCCTACATTGACGAGTTGTGACACTATGGCATTTTAGTCACGGGCGGAAGTTAATAACAGTGGCTTTTGGGCATTTTAGTCACGGGCTGAAGTTAGCTTTATTATAAATTGCGAAAAAGTGAGGTTAAATTTGTTAAATGTCAAATTTTATGAAATAAAATTGTCTTTAAATTCCTATTTCTGTTCGTCGTAGATAAAGTATAGTATGCAAGTCGTTTTATAAACTTCTCTAGACACTCGTTTTTATTAAACACTCGCTCGCAAGCTTCGCTCGTGCCTAATAAAACTCGTAACTAAAATGGCGTCTACAAAACTTGATACATAATATACCTACTATTAAATGTAAATAGATACCAAAACAAATTTAAAACTTTGGTTGCCATTTTTTTCACAGCATCTTTTTGACAGACAGCACTTTTTCTGGTAACCTGCTGGTAACAAACACATAATTCCTACACTAATGAGTGCGTTCCATGAAACGTTCCATTAGTACGTTCAGTGCAAGGTTTTATACCTGCCGTTTACTGGACGGAGCGAAATAGTTAAAAAATATAAGAAGGGTTTCAAGCAATTTTTTACTTGTCGCAGGTTTTAATACATAAAATATCATGTAATTATGAATTATGCGATAATGTCCAAATATCCGTAGATTTTCAGACAAAATCCGGTTATCCGTTAATGAACCTTAAAATCCGTAGATCTACGGAAAAATCCGTAGGGTTGGCAACGCTGGTATGAAACACGTGCGTATTAGCAATCAATGTAGTGTCAATAATTTCACTTGGCTAATTTATTTGGCATCTGTCTATAAATTACATAATATTATTACACAAAGTAAAGTAAATAGCAGCATTTGTTATAGAATAATTAATTTTAGATGCGACAATTCGATGCCAAAATATTTTGTTACACCAATATAAACAAAGAAATAATAGTTTGCCAAAAATAGTAGAAGTATTTTATATGTTATCAACAGAAATGCGTTTTGGAAATTATTTTTTTTTGCGTTTTTTATGCAACCATTAATACTACAAACATTCCTCATCATAATATACCATACCGTATTTTCGGTTTAGTCCTTGTCTTTTTCTATTGTTTTGTCCGTTAATCCTGATTTATAGATTGCCTTCCTTCCTTCCTTATGTAAAAGATACCAAAACCGTTGTGCTGTTTATAGATTTGGGAATCGATCTGAATACTTTTACCGTGAAAATACAACCTCTATAAATAAAAAAATGGATCTATTTAAAATCAGTTGGCAACACTGTAGGTTAGGTTAGTTAGGTTAAGTTTCTACATCCAAAACATCAGCACGTGTGTTAGTAAATTTTGTGATATTTAAAGTATAAAAATGAGTTCTAGCGATTCAGACTTAAGCGATAGTGATGTCGAGGTAAATTATTATATTTGGATGGGTTTAATACATTATTTAATTAATTGTTTTGTAGTTACAAGAGGCACTTGCAGATGGTAGATTAAAACCAGGTCTAAACATTGTAGATCAAAAGCCTAAACAGTTTGTAAACAACACAGTAAGCAAAAAAATTTAATAATCCTAAAAAATAACTTTACCAAAACCTTTTCTTTTAGACTGGTTTAAACCAGAAACTGGAAGAAATAAAGTCATCTTTGCCATGGATTGAATTACTTGATTGTGTTAACAAACAAGCCCCTCTTGCACCTGAAATGGCAGCACAGATGTTGGAACAAGAGCAAAAAAGAGAGAACCAATTAAAAAACAACAAAAAGCTGCAACAATTTGCTCCCACAGATGATCCTGTATTGAACGATTTCAAAAGAGAAATGATGTTTCACAGACAAGCGCAAGCTGCAGTACAAGAGGCTATACCAAAATTAAAAGCAATGGATATTGCTACTAAAAGACCAGACGATTATTTTGCAGAAATGGCTAAAACTGATGCTCATATGCAAAAAATTAGAGAGCATTTAATGCAAAAACAACAGCAGCAACAAAGGAGTGAACGGGTGAAGCAGTTGAGAACACAAAGGAAAGAAGGGAAAATGATACAAATCCAGACGAAACTTCAAAGACAACAGGAGAAAAAGGAAATGATGGATCAAGTAAAGAAGGTAAGAAAAGGGCTTTCCAAAGATTTGGACTTTTTGGATGGTAAGAAAAATAAGGCCATATCTAGAAAGTCGCTGGAAAAAAGAAAAATGAGGGATAAGAAGTTTGGCTTTGGTGGAAAAAAGAAAGGTATGAAAATGAATACTAAGGAAAGTGCTGCTGATATAAGTGAGTATAAGAGGTCTGGGAAACCTGGGGGAAAAGGTAAAGGGGGTAAAGCAGTTGGGAACAAAAGGCCTGGAAAGAACAGGAGGGCACAAAATAAAGCTAAAGGTAGAAGATAAATGTTGTTAACTGTATTATATACTTTTTTAAATAAAATTTTATTTGAATTAGTTTTTTGATAAATAAAACCCATTGTAAGCAGGCAAAAATATATTTTCTAATGTAAAGTTTCAGATACAATTTAAACATACCATTAAAGTTAAAAATATGTTAGCAAAACACATTTGGCTTGAAATCACAAATTCATATAAATGAGTCTTTGACTCTGACAATAAGGCATCAAAATTCAAATTGAGGCCAGTAAATTGTAAAAATATAATATTCTATTGGTTCCACCAAGTTAAAGTTAAAAGTTCATGTTCCAAACAATAAAATTTGTATATCACAAGTTTTTAAAACTAGACTTTAAAAATCAATTTTTGTTTAAAATCACATACTAGTATTTAAGTGGAAGCTCTTTTAAAACTAGTACTGCATCAATAAAAGACAGTCCACAATAAAAACAAAGTTTCCACAATTTTGTAATTCTATAAGTAAATATTGCTCAAATCATTGCTACTTTCACCAATTTGAGGTACAATCAATAAATCCCAGCCTTCTTACATACGCAGGTTTCAACCTACGGCGCAGGCTGAATACAAAATCCTTTACACAAAAAGGAACAAGCTCTCAATAGAGCCATACAATTTAGCAAGTCTTGGTTTTGTACTTTTCCTTCAGCGCGGAGGCAACAATCCTACAAAAAAGTAATAAATTATGAACAAAAATTATTAGGTTTTGTAACTTACCATTGCTAGTAGTCGACAATCGGTATAAACTCGAAGTTTCTAACTCGCCACTTTCAATAAAGCTGCCGCAATTCTCATTGATTGACAAATATTGAGAATCATCCTCAATGTTGTAACCATCTATTGTATTAGTTATAAGGTTTACTAACTCTTCTTCTGTAACCACTGGAGTGTCATTTACATCTAAAAACATATATCATTAAGCCACACCACACATTAAAATATTTGTTTATTTGGCAAATATAAGGATGGAAAAAATGGGAGATTTCTATTAGAAATCGTCGTTCCAACTTAGCTGCACAGTTTTAGTTTTAAGTACTGTTAACTAAGAAAATATGTATTAACTAAGCAAGTCAAATTAAAAATGGGTCTTTCCATCTCAAATCACCTGTAAGAAATTTTTAAAAAATGAACAGAAACATCGATTTTGACACTTTTTCTTGAAATTTATTTTCGATCGTTAGGTAAATGTTTACTACAAATAAAATAATATAAAAAATTAAGTGAATTCACTCAATTTTATTTAAATTGTTTTTTCTAAAAAAGGCAAAAAAAATTGACATTGCCACGTTTTTTTTACTTCATATTTTTTTCGTTTGAAGTTGATAATGGGAACAACTTTTCCCGAGTTGGCTAAATTCGTCGTTTTGGAATTATTACTTTTTAATGAAAATGCCATTTTCTAGTAAGTTCATGGTTCATCGCAAAAGTTTGGTATTTTATCTTGGGTCATGAAACTGGGGTGACCTTTATAAAGTGTAATTTAGAACTTTTTGACATATTTAACATATTTTTGTTACTTCTGGTTTCACCGGAAATGCTCTTAAGTAAGTAAATTAAATTATGAAAGATTTTACAGTAAAATGTAAATTGATACATTTTCTTTTCTTTTAAAAGATGTAAAAAGTATATGTAAGTTAATTTTTATTTGATTTATTTGATTTCATATTTCGTTTTTTATTTATTGCCAGAGATTTTCTACAATGGCCAAACTATTGGGCAGTTAGATAAAACTTTTTATAATAGTTTCAAAATATTTTAATGACTATTTAGTAGTTTAAACCTAAAAAATGTTGAGCAATTACTTACACCCCTTTAATTCTAACCACCTCAATTATTATTTTTATTTTATTTTATAAAAAGTTTTAGCGTATGTTTTCATAGTAAAATAAAATGTTAATAATCACTTACCAGCAAAACAAACTGTCAAATCTGATACTTCTTTTAAACACAAAGGTTTCAAAGCCCTCTTAATTTATTTAATTCTGTACCCACTTTAAAACCTAATAAACATTCAAATTTAATTAAGTTTGAAAGCGATATTAATAAAAAAAAAAAAAAAAAGCGGATTTCTTTTATGACCAACGAACCACCTTTTATTAAAAAAATAGTTTTGGCATAAAGTATAGTTTTTCAATTTTTGAAAGCCCCAAAAAACCAGCATTGCAAAAAAACTATTTGGCCCAATATGAGGCAGAAAAGCCAATTCAAGGCACTCTAGATACAAAAATAAAATTTAATCAACAAATGATTTGACCTGTCAAAAATTGAGTGACATATGTAAGTATTTAGAATTTTATTTTAAATCTAAATATGTAAAAATTCATAGGGTGTTTCATAAACACTCTACACTTTATAAAGGTAAGTGGTATTTTCATTAAAAAAATAAGAATTCCGAAACGACGAATTTAGTCAACTTGGGACTTTTGGTTAAAGTTGTTTATAGTGTCTACTTAAGTTGGAAAACTTTCTTATTATTAATTTTACAAAGAAAAGTTATTCCAAATAAAAAGTTCTGCATGTTCTAAAATCTAAAATAAAATCATCAGATATCAAATTTTTCCGTCATATACAAGGTTTGACAAAAAATATGAATCTGGTACAAGAGTAAAGTACCTTTATTTGTGACAATATGGAAAGTTGTAATTATGAAAAACTTTGTTTTAATATGCAATTACGTTCTTTTACTAATTTACAATTTTTTCTCAAATTACCGATACCGAACATTTACCTTTTTTATTTATTACAAACATGATAACCTTTTTGTTCCATTCAGAAAGCAAATTCCGATGTTTTGACATTCAATGTCAAACCTTTCTTGCTATCAACAATCAATGAATCCTAGATTACATGTAACTACAGTTACATTAGCATTGTTATTGTAAACAAAAAAGAAAAAATGATTTTTTCCATGTAAATGGAAGTAATTGCATATCTGAACGTAGTTTTTAGTTTTGATAAACTTTTTTAATAAGAATTTTCAATATTGTCAAATATAAAGGTACTTTACTCTTAAATAAGATTAATATTTTTTGACAAACCGCGTTATCTATGGCGTATACGACTGACATTTTTTATATCTGATGATTGTATTTTAGATTTTAGAACATGCAGAACTTTCTATGAAAAATAATTTTTTTTCTTAAAATTAATAATAAAAAAGTTTCCCATATGTTGCCAACTTAAGTAGACACAATATATTATCAACTTCAAACGAAAAAAAATAAAAAGTAAAAAAAAAAGTGGAAATGACAAGTTTGCCTTTTTTAGAAAAAACAATTAAAAAAATGAGCAAATTATTTAATTTTTTATATTTTTTTGTATGTAGTAAACATTTAACTACAATTTCAAAAAAAAGTTGTAAAAATCGAAACATTTTTGGCCAAGTTATTGCATTTTCAAGAAAAAATGTTACTCATAAAAAAAACAAATTTAAGCAAAAAGAAAGTGTAAACAAATTTCGTTAAAAATACATACCCTTTTTTGTCTGGTCAATTTGAGATGGAAAGGACCAAAACAATTGTTGACCCTGCTGATTTTAAAGTTTAAGTGCAACAGCGTTGCCAGTTTTACTCACCGACATTCTCCTTGGTTGCCTCCGTTTTGACGTCGCTTCCATCGTTGCCGAGCATATCCTGATGTTTTTTGGCCTTGTGTTGCAGCAACTTGGCCTTGCTGGCGTACTGCTTGTGGCACCACTCGCAGTTTTGCGGCGTCGTCGTTTTGCTGCCGACCGTCTGCGAGTAGGTGGGGTTGGGCAGGCTGGAAACTTGCAGCGAGTTTTGCTTCCTGTTCGACATCGGCAACTCCTCTCCCGGGTGGTTCTTCAGGATGTGCACCTTGCGTTTCGAGCTGCTCTTGTAGAACTTCTCGCAGTACTGGCAGTAGTAGATGCGCGTCGTCTGCAGTATCGGCAAGTTCAGTTCGGGAACGGAGTCGGGCGGAATGTCTGGGTGTCTCTTGGCCAGGTGGTTGACCAGCATGCCGCGCCGCTTGAAACCCACCATGCAAGTGTGGCACTTGTAAATAAACCGGTGGAAGTCCGTAGGTTCGCATTTCGATTTCTTTTTCGTTTCTTTTTTCACCTCTTCAGTGGGCGACGGCGTGCTGTTCTCTCTCTCCTCGCTGTGCACCTTTTTTATGTGCTCCGTCAGTTTATCCTTTCTCTTGAACTGTTTACCGCAACCCGCGCACAGAAACTCTCTGTGGTTCGAGTGCTTCAACTTGTGCAGCTTCAGTTTGTCCTGGTTCATGAAGGTCGCGTCGCACTCCGTGCAGCTGTACTTTTTATCGCAATGAAAAGCCCGGATGTGCTTTCTTATGACGGAGTACTGCTTGAAGGTTTTCTTGCAGTACGGGCACGTGTACTGATTGTTCTCGCAGTGGAGGGGCACGTGCAGCTTCAGCTTCAGCACGTGGTCGAAGCTCTCTTTGCATATGGGGCATTCGAACATTTTTGTGCCGTGGTAGTGGGTCTTTACGTGGCAAGAGAGTGCGGAGTTGTTCAGGAAACGCTTCGGACAGTAGTCGCATTTGATTGGTTTGTTTTCGTTCGCCGCGTGGGCGATCATGTGTTTCTGAAGCAACACAAAAGAAAAGTGTTGTATAAAATGCCTTTTATATGAATCTTTTTCACCAGGCTAATTAATTTAATATCCTTTTGTAATTAAAATCTAAATACGCACAAAACCTTAATATGTAAAATTTACATCTTCAATTTTTGAATATTGTGTTAACAACTAAAATAATTTTAAAAAAATGCTTAAGTTATATTTAAAATCAATAAATACATAATTTTGGTGGCATATTGAGTTATCAAATACTGAGCAGCAAAGTTAAATATGTTTTCATAATAAAAATTAAAATGAAAAAAAATTGTAAAGTTCCGCATGAAATCCCTCAATTTTTTGATAAAACTAAGTAGTTTCGCTGCAAAACAATTTTTATGGGTTAGCTCGTTCTCTCAAGATGTTTTTTTCAAGTTTTTGCTATATTTTACTTATTTTTAATGGAAAAGACACCAAATTTTTTTTTTTAATTAAATTTTTGACTTTAATTTGTGAACACTCTGTATAAGCTAGAGTAACAAAACTAAGCAAATAAGTAGATTGTGTATTACCTAAAGAAATGACAGTGATTAAAAAAATAGATTTTTTCCAAATTTGACCCTACTTTTTGAACTTTTAAAGTTTTTGGAGTTTTTCTATTATTCATAAAAAGCCATGGGAATGACATGAAATTTTTTTTCTTTAAAAGATAGAGCTTTTCCAGTACTGGAAACTAAAAACATTTTTTTTAAATCTAAATGTTTTTAAATAAATACCAAATTGTCGCCAATCAAAATGAAACACCCTGTATATGATTGAACATGTTTTTTTAAGGTTTTCTTAGGTTGATTACAAATTTCAGGTTTAATTTTCAAAAAACAAAATGGTCGACATTATTAAAAAAAAAATCGGATTTTGTCTAAATAATGCGTACTAGGGTTTTTAGGGTCGCTGATTACGAATCTGAATTACAATGCTTAAAGAACAAAATAGCGCATCCAAAATGGCCGAAATTTTTTAAAGAAAAACTGATTGGCTTTCGTCGAAAACATATATATATATATATCAACTTTGTTTTAATCAACAAATTTTGACGGGAAAGGGGGTGAGAATGGTTGAAGTCTCTTTAATAAATGATAAATGACAGTATAATTAATTTTACCTCATAGAATAATAAGATAAGGAATGTAATAGTTAGATAAGTTCATATGATATATACTGATTTTGACAATAATTACAAAAATGTAGTTTTATTATTTTTGTTATTCCTCTTTTGGTTTCACTAAAAAAATATTAGAATTATTTATCCAGTGGAAGTAAAAAAAGGATCAGTACCATCTAGAAAAAAATGTTAAACAATAATTTGAATATCTATTTTTGACTACACCCCCTAGAGGGCGCAGTGGTCACAGAACAAAACTTTAATACCAAGTTGCTTATCTGCGGGGAGTAAATTCGCGATTTTTAATGAAAGCACGACTCACCTGCAATCTCTCTTTGGTGGAGAACGGTTTGCAGCAAATGCTGCACTTGTAGGTGACGGGATTGGCCGCGGCCTGCGGAAGGGCGTGCTGCTTCACGTGGTTCACCAACTGTCGTTGCGTCGGAAATTTACGTTGGCAGGCCGGACACACGTGATTCGCTTGCTCTTCCGACGAATCGGCGTCGTGCTGCAGCTGATGTATTTTCAGCAGCGCCTCGGATTTGAAGCCAATATGACACACGTCGCATTCATAATTACTGCGGAAAATTTGAAACTTGAGAAGAGTACAAAAATAAAAAAACCTCATTTGATAAAAAAATTATGACTTTTTCACACTTTTTTAGGATTTGTTCTAATTTTTTTTAAAAAGTAGTCGGGACTCAGGTTAAAATTAATTTAAAAATCTAAAACTTTGGGAATACCTTCAGAAAAAAAATATGATTTTTTCCCACTTTTTTTAGGATTATTTTTTTAATTAAATTGAATTTAGGATTTGAAAATATAATGTTTCCCACTTTTTTATCATTTTTTTTAAGTGGATAAAAATTAATTTAAAAATCTGAAACTTTGGAAATAGAGAATACAAAAGTGACAAAAATATAAAAAACTCGTTTAAAAAAAGTAGGTAGTAGCCCCTAGAGATGTAAAAAACGGTTTTTTTTTCAGATGTGAAAAAAAACGGTTTTTTGTTTTTTTCAAATCCACTACAATATATTGTAGCGGATTTGAAAAAAAACAAAAACCGTTATTAATGTAGAATGTAGAATATATTACATTTTTCATTATTGAAAATTTTGACATAGACTAAAAAATCTGATTTCTTATTATTTGGTAGTTTCCACATAAGAAACCAATAGCAATGTAAAACTTCTACACTAATAGAAAAAATTAAAGGATAAACATTTTTTTTGCGATTTTTCGGATAGCTGTATCTTCGTTAAAAATGGTCGTATTGGAGCCGCAAAAAAAGCAATTTAAAGCTTGAAGTTTCTAGTTTTGAGATTTTTAGATAAAAACGTGCAACGGTCAATCCTAACGAATACCGTAATAAAAAAAATTTGGCTACGGAATGTTCTGACTTAACCACCAATGAATAAATGTTCTACAAGAATTTGCTATTGTTTTTTTTTTGAAAAAAAAATTCCATACTCTACATGAATTTAAAAAATCATGAAAAAAAGTGAGGCCCTTATTGGTCAATTTGGTGGTGGTGGCGCGTGCAAAGCGCGAGACTGTATTTACATTTACTAAATGTCATTTAGTGGCTAATTTTAGTCCATGAACTGGACTGGAAACATAAAAAAATAGGCAAATGGGACTAATCTTGAAAAAAAAAACTAAAATGCGAAAAAAACCATTTGAAAAAAAAAGAATTAAAAAACCTGAAAAATACAAAAAAACGGACCGTTTTTTTAAGTCGCATCTCTAGTCGGGGCTAGTGTTTAGTGTCGGAAAGAAACTGGAACAATTGGAGAGAAAAAAAACTGTTTTTTCAGGCATTGGAAAAATTGTCTTTTTTGGGAAAAAATTATTTTTTTTGAAAATATACACATTTGAAAACAGTAGCAATATTTAAATTAAAAAAAAAAAAAATTCTTACAGGAAAATAAAATAAAACTGAACATTGAATTAAATTAAATGGACTTAAAAAAATAAACGTACCTACTTATACGTTAAATATACTGACGGTTGGGTATTTTGGCAAAAAGTATTCCATTGAAAATATCCATACAAAATAATGAATGATTTTAAAGTTAAATTATTTTATATATCATAGTCAAATAAAACGAAAGTTATGTTAATACAACACCGAATATGTTTTTTGCGACCCGGTAGAATATTTTTATTATTAAAATAAAAGGAATAATAATTATTATTAAAATCATAAAAACAATTTTTATTGTAATCATAATATTATGACTATATTCAGCGTCGAAAATTTGGAAATTTTCAGAAAAGTTTACTTACATTTTTTCGTATTACCCTTCGAATAAAATGAAAAAAATGGAAAAGTCAATTTTTCTGAAAATTTCTCAATTTTTTTTCCGCCGGTTCAATTTTCCCGGAAATTTTAAAACCCTAGTAGAATATGATAAACATAATGTATAAAATTATTCATAAAATTTTGCTTACAGCCACTTTCATAATCAAACTTTAAAATGTACTTTAACTAAAGATAAAGTTTTACTTCAAGTCCACTTTAAAGAGAGCTAAACCTACCCATTCAAAATTTTCATAAGTTAAATCTATACTTTAGACAGCTGAAAATTGACAAAATTTGACAGATGTGTTATTAAGTTTATTTTCGTGTTTTCACTATGAACAGTTATAAATCAAAAAGAGGTAATAATTTTGTAAATTTTGATCAAAATACTAACTAAAGAAATTTTCAGTAAATAATATTGTATATTTACTAAATATTCCTACATAATTATTATATTCTATCCTGTTACATTTTTATTTACTTAATAAAATTTTTCAATTAATTTAATTTTTAAAAACAGGGGAATGCGCCAGTAAATATAAAATTTAACTAGTTTGTTACGGACAAATGTCAAAATTAGAACAAAAAAAAACGTCAAATATGAGATGAATAATTAGCTAATAAGCTATTAGCAATGGCACACACAAAAATTAGGTACTAAGTTAATGGTTTTATTTTCATAATTTCGTAAAAAAAAAAGGTTTTAAAACAGGGAAATTGTTACAGTTCATGGTAAACAATACCTAAATGAATAATATTTTTTTAACACATCAGAATTACGCTTTAAAAAAGCAAATTAGTAGCAGTAACTTTACGATTTAAAGTTGGTAATGCTGACGTCATTATATCGCGTTGGTGATTTGGCCGCAATTATTTTTTATATTATTATATTATAAGGCTGAAGGACCCCGGTCGATGGCCTTTTGTATATTTTGTATTATATGTTCTGTATTGTACTGAATATGCAATAAAAACTTAATTTATTTATTTTTATATTATAATACTTACGTTATAATTGAAAAAGATTCCTCAACCGACTTAGGACTCGTAACTTGGTGAGTTTCGCTTAAATGCTTTTTGAGGCCGATGTAGTTGAATTGTATGTCGCCGCATAAATTGCACTCGACCGCCGACGAATTGTGCTTCTTAATTTTGCTCTTTTTCTTCAATTTTTTCGGCTCGACATTTTCGTCTTTGGCTTTGTTATCGTGCACGTCCAAATGCTTTTGCAGATCCTCGTGGTTCGTGAATATCTCCGTGCACTCGTAGCAGTTCCAAAATTCCTGTTTCGGCTCCAAAATTGGCAGGTTAAATTGTTGGGCGTACGCGTTGGAATAACCGACCTTGAGTTCTTGCTTCGGCAGAATAGGTTTCGTTGTAATAAAGTACAAAGAACCGTTGTCCTCGCTTACGAGAAGATTTTGTTCTTCGAAATTTTGCGCTTTCCTTACAAAACCCATCCAATTTGATGAATCTGTAAAAGATGTTTTTTTTACTTTCGCCATTGAAAAAATGGTTCTTAGGCACCTCTAGAAAGAGTTATAATATTAATAGGAAGATCCTCCTCATCACAGTAAACAGTTTTTTAAGTCCCTTATAAAAAAGACCATATTTCATTATTATTCAATCGTTTAATCAAATCTTTTGCAGGAAATTGAATTCTTTACAAAAAAGGACTGATGTGTTTAAGTGATTACTCTAAAAGATATTTAAGATCAAAGTTTGAAGAATTTATTAAATTTTAATAATTTTGTAACTCATTGAAAAATAATTATTGTGAAATGAGTATGACATATTTTTGTAGGAAATTTAACGCTCTACAAAAAATATGTCATACCTACTCATTTGACAATATTTATTTTTGAATGAGTTGCTGTGATAAGATTTGCAAAAGTGTGAATGTAAAAAATATTGCAATTATCATTTTTTGAATGGTAAAAAGACCATATTTCATTATTATTCAATCGTTTAATCAAATCTTTTGCAGGAAATTGAATTCTCTACAAAAAAGGACTGATGTCTTTAAGAGATTACTTTAAACATTTAAAAGATATTCAAGATAAAAGTTTGAAGAATTTATTAGATTTTAATAATATTGTAACTCATTGAAAAATAATTATTGTCAAATGAGCATGACATTTTTGTAGGAAATTTAACGCTCTACAAAAAATATGTCAAACTCATTTGACAATATTTATTTTTCAATGGGTTACAAAAATATGAAAAAAAAAATTCTGTGATAAGATTTGCAAAAGTGTGAATGTAAAAAATATTGCAATTGTCATTTTTTTTAATGGTAATGTAGTTAAAATAAATTAATCATTAAAAAAAAATTGTAATGAGAAATATTTTCATTACACATTAAAAAATTAATGAGGAATGTTGAACAATACATTACTCATTAAAAAATAAAAAATGAGTAATGAGAGACCATACATAACAGATGTGTAATGAAAGACATTAACCATTACATCATTGAAAAATGATCAGGCGTAGGGTTGATGGGGTGATTTTTTATATGGGGCATTTTACACCAAGTCTGACAGTTTAAAAAATGTTGATTTACGATTTCTTTTATTTTTCGATATTTTTAAGTACCCATTAAAAATCCCTTTCTGGTGAAGTTTGATTTTTTTTTATTACTTGTTCAAAAGATATCAAATTTTTTGCTGCAAATTTCTTTAATAATGGTCCGAATTGAATTTTTCCTTTCTTAAAATTTTCGTATATCAAAATTATCCAAAGCATATTTCCATGCAAATTTAGCTTTTAAATTTTAATTTTTAAACTGTTTGTATGCTTCAATTTCCTTGCAAATTTTTTAAGTTAAACTTCTACCCACTCAAGAAAAAAACTCAAAAAAGTATTGAAATCGCGATGGTATGAACAAATAATTAATTTTGAACGTCTGTTACAGGTAAAAAACCAATTCAAAATAAAAATTGAAAAAATGTGTCATGAAAAAAATATCTTCCTTGCCCACTAAAAATGAGTAATTCGATAAGCATTAATTTCTCATTTAAAATTAAAAAAAAATAAGTAATGAAGAGTGAGTAAATTACTCATTAACTTTTTCACATTACTCATTTTTCATTTGTAATAAGTATTTTGAAATTTTTAATTACAATTTTTTTTATTAACATAAAAAAATTGTAATTGAACATTTTAAAATACTCATTACAAATGAAAAATGAGTAACAATGTTAACATAATTGTAATTGAAAATTTCAAAATACTCATTACAAATTAAAAATGAGTAATGTGAAAAATAATACATTACTCATTGGAAAAAATGTAATGAGTAATTAACTTAATTTTCATTAAAAAAAAAGTAATGCATAATAATAATTAAACGCATTACTCATTATTTTAATAATGTGTATTAAAACCTTAATGCATTAAATAAATAATGCATTATTTGCAACTCTGTGATACGGATCCTCCTTTTAATATTAAGAGCTCAAATTTTGTGAGAACTTTCTAGAGGTGCCTAAGAACCAATTTTTCTGTGTCGGAAGTACAAAAATTATACATAATAAAGTATACTTACTTTCATCAGAAAAATCAACTTTATAAACGCCATCATCCAACTTGACAAATAGTTGCAAAATGTTATTATCAACTTTGACAACCTCATCTGATTTAACATGGACATACAAGCCTTCCAATGGCCCGAATTGTGAACTTTTGGGAATAACTTTTTTCGCAAAAACCGCATTTTCTAAGAAAAAAATTAATAAGCGCGCAGTTGTATTTTATAGAGAATATGTTACCCTCGTTGATGATGCTTATAACCAAGAAAGAAGCAGGAAGGGAAGCCCTAGCTCTTGATAATATAGGTTTATCGGAAATGCTGTAAACGCACGATACTAAAACAATAAATTTATGTTGGGTCAAAAAATGTTCGGGAAAATCAAAATTGCAACCTACATAATTGTTCCTCATCATCTAAATCTGTTTTCCCATTTCTTCTGGTCTCCATTTTAACATAGCCCAGCTCCTCTTCATTTTTAACAATATCCCCGAACGCCAAACTGTTGATGTAATTGTTTACTGTCGCATCCACCTGGCTGACCCTTAAAATTTCCTCGTTCAAATCTTCGTCTTTCAATGTTAAATTGCCCGCGTGATCCAGTAGAGCATCGTCTGGGGCGAGAGTCTCCAGGAGTTGGGGGTCTTCTAGGCAGCGCTCCACCAACAGTTCCTGCGTGCTCACGCTGTAGGAAATTCCGGTTTCCTGATCGGTGATCAGCAGCTCCACAGCTTGCTCGCCTTCGGGAACCAATTGCAAATTGTCGACCCCCGAAGCGTTTACAATTGTGTTGGTTTGCGTAGGATCGCCAACTAGCTCCAAGTATTGATTGTTAACCTATTCAAAGTGTATTATTTATTTATCTACTTTTTAATTATTACGAAGAAGAAACTGTGATATCCACGAATATTTTACAATACTAACAACACCCTGTGTTATGTAATTAATGTAATATATTAAAATGAAACTTTTTTTCTAAATTCTAAAGACTAAAAATAATTTAAAACAACCTTTATCCTACCAAAAAGTACGCCACTGATCGAGTAGGAACTTTGGGCTAATCTGGTTGCCTAATTCAATTTATTATGTTATGGTTGGCAACAACTAGCGTTTCCAGATTCTGTCAAAAAAGTTGCCAGATTTTGTTTAAATTTAGCTTAATTACAAAAATGACAAAATCAACCATGCAAATTGTTAATTTGGCGTTTTTATTAATTGTTGGTTATGTAATTTTTGTAATGAAGGTAAATTCAAACAAAATCTGGAAACTTTATGACAGAATTCAAATTTTAGGTTATGTGCTCAAATTGTAAATATCTTAAAGTAAAGTGCTTTTGGATTTATTTACACAAATTGAATGATTAAAGTTTATCCTGTGAACTTGTCCTAACTTCATCTGAGTAAGCAGAAATAAAAAATTAATTTTGTGAGTTTTTAAAATAGGTACTAAATTGTCTAATCATTGCTTAAGCTAATAGCTGGATGAGTAAATAAATACAGAAAGGTATTAGAGCTATAAGGGCATACAACTTTTGTATTTATTGAGTTTTTGTTTATTTTTTGCAAGAAAAAATGTTAGTAACAATTTTTAACAACTGGCAACGCGCAGCTACTTTGTTGGTTGGTATAAAAAACTTCTAATGCATATTTTTTCTTTATCTTTTTTAAAAAATATTTTTACACCTTATATCAAAAGGTATTCAGTATTTTAATATATTACATTAATTACAAAAAAAAACACTGTAAAAAAATATATTTTTAAGTAGGTATTGGAAAAAGAAGAGTAACCCAAACTGCCTTAAAATAGTTTAATTAACTTCCAGACATATAAAAACACAGCACACTCAAAAGGTATTCAGTATTTTAATATATTACATTAATTACAAAAAAAATACTGTAAAAAAATATATTTTTAAGTAGGTATTGGAAAAAGAAGAGTAACCCAAACTGCCTTAAAATAGTTTAATTAACTTCCAGACATATAAAAACACAGCACACTCTAAAAGCTTTCTCTTCATATGTTAAACAGTATTATATTAATATAAGAACATAATCATATTATTTACACGCTATTTTTGTATTATATTTTTATATTTTATACTCATATTTTCCGTGATTTTGGGTTTACCAATGCATTCCAGTAATCAGATTAGAAAAGATATTCTTTATAAAATACTTTTTTTTAAATTATTATAAAAAACGTGTTAGGCAGTGTTATTTTGTAAATAATAAAATAATTTAAAATAAAAAAGGCGTTAATAAAATTTTGTATTCGTAGTCAGAAAAAATGATTCATTTATTATGTAAAGTTTTTTTTTTTAAATTTGGTGTAATTGTAGCCTGTTAAATAAAAAAACAGATGTATACTATACTTTTTCAACTTCAATTTGAGACTTGTCAGTTTCAAATTGAGACTAATCACATTCAGATTGGGATCAAACATATTCAAAATAAGAATAAACAAATTTAAAATTAAAATATTCACTCTCAAAATAAGAATAAACATATTCAAATTGGATCTTAATAATCAAAATCAAAATAAGAATAAACACATTCAATTTGAAACCAAACAACGTCAAATTGAGACTTGTCAATTTCAAATTGACAAAAAAGTTTATAGAGTAGATTGTAACCTATGGTTTGTAAACAAGTTGACAGGCTAATTGGTAATTGGTATCAAACTGGTTATAATAAACAAACAACCAAAAGTCGAGCCAAAAGTATATTTAATATGCCATATATTAAGGAAAAAGAAGCAAAACATATCCGTAAACAAATTTGTGCAGTTTATAATAATAATGGCGAATGGAGAGGACTTGCTAATACTCTTGGTGTGAAGATCATATCGATGGGTAAAGAACCAGGAAAACGAGAGACCACGTGGTAGAAGAAGGAGACTCAAAATTTCTGAAGAACATCATAATTTTATTATTCAGTACGTAGAGGAAAATCCAAGGCTAAAATTAAATGAACTAAAAATAAAATTTGAGGTAAACCATCAAATCACTGTTTCAACTGAATGTTTAAGAAAGCATTTGGATGGCTTAATGTTTACTTTAAAAGATATTCGCAGGGAGCCCGAACGAACCAACAGTGAAGAAAATAAAAGGAAACGCCAGGAATATGTGCAACAACTTTTGAATTACCAAGCAGACAACATCCCAATTATATACATGGACGAAACGAATTTTAATTTATTTATTTCGCGTAGACAAGGGCGTTCTAAAAAAGGTACTCGGTGTAGCTATATTTCAGCAGGCTGCCGTGGGGCCAATATCCATCTGCATAGGAATAATGGGCCTGATTCACCACGAAACAAGAAGAGGTGCCTTTAGAAGAAAAGAAGCCAATGAGTTTGTACGTCAGTGTCTGCGTGCTGCTCAAAACATATACCAAACCAATGTGGTGCTGGTAGTAGACAATGCTCCTTGTCATGCAGCTATTGAAGAAGTTTTTACAGAGGAAGAATTTGTAAATCATAATTTACTGAGGCTCGCTCCTTACAGTCCAATGTTTAATCCCATTGAGCTGGTCGAGTTTTAAAGCAGCAGTTAAGCGGGACCTGGCTGAGCAACTTTCCCATATTTTGGCTGGTGAAGGCAGGGCAAATATGACTCAAAGTGAGTTTCGCCTTCAACAGTTAGAACATATTATAACTGAGAACATTAACATTATAAATATTAATAATTGTGCCAGATTTGTTGCCCACGTACAAAGGTTTATCCCTGATGCGTTAAATTTAATTGATATGAATGTGTAGAACTTTATTATAAATAAATTAATATTTTTTTAAATATATTTTCCTGATTTTAATACTTTTTATCAATTTGAAATTGACAAGCCTCAATTTGACGTTGTTTGGTTTCAAATTGAATGTGTTTATTCCTATTTTGATTTTGATTATTAAGATTCAATTTGAATATGTTTATTCTTATTTTGAGAGTGACTATTTTAATTTTGAATTTGTTTATTCTTATTTTGAATATGTTTGATCCCAATCTGAATGTGATTAGTTTTAATTTGAAATTGACAAGTCTCAATTTGAAGTTGAAAAGGTATAGAATATTATTATACGAGAGATAACGCGCATTATTTAGTGTAATACTATGCTTTTTCTACTCCAATAGAGTAATTTTTATTATAACATCACTTTCTCCTGATTTTAAAGATCATTATAGTCGCTCGTCGTTTGTATATAAAAAAATCTGACATCTGTTAACCTTACTTTTTTCCAATTTAAAACCCGATTGGTTCAAATAACAGTGAATATTGGAAATCAGCCAATCACTCATGCCTAACAACGTGAATAATGAGTTCATTATTCCCGTTGTTGGACGGGCCGGTTATACTGGTTACCATTATTTACTTTTAAAAATGTTTCAGATACTTAAAATTTTACCTAGTCACTTTTAATGGTAGCTAAATTATTAATTTAGTCAATTGTCAAATAGTTTTGCAATTATGTACTTAACTAAAATGTGTTTTTTATAAAAAACGTTTAAACACAAAACAATTCTCTTGAAAACAAACTAAAAGTTTATTTTATAAATGATTTTTCACATAAAACCAAATTAATAATTTACTTTTAAAAACATCCCATATACAACAATTTGGATAACCTTTGATTTAGAATAACAGGAATTAATAATTAAAGATAAAGATAAATTATTTATCTTTAAACACTGCACAATAGCAAATATAAAACAAAAATAATTATGAGGTGTGTTGTTGCCGCTGCATGATACAAACAACCCCAATCTTTAAATGTGTTCAAATGCACTTGGCACTGTATACTTTTATAAAGGCAACCACCAAATTTAAAGTAAATTGATTTATATTTGAACTAAGAATAGAATGGAATTTTGATCCGGCCAAAATGTTTTTGTTTTGTTTCTCCATCTTAAAATAAAATGTTTTAATCAGTTACCCATATACATTTACATATTATGCATATGGGTTACTCATTAAAACTATTTGAATAAACCAATTCAAATCTTAAAATTTAATTACTGCTAATTTTGAGTTACTCCAATATTTTACTGGAAGTATTATTTATTAAAAATTAACCTTCTCAAAGTTAAGAGGTTTGTTTAAATAAATCAAATTCTAAAATCATAATTGAAGAATTACTTTTTTGTGAAAAACCTTGATGTCAAGAATTATTAAAAATAAATTATCATTCAAACATATAGCAAATTACATTGTAAATAAGATTAAATAGAATAGAATTAAATTTTGGGCAAATTTATCCTTGAAGTATTAAAAAATATTTAAGTTATTTAATTTGTAATTTTAAATATAATAAAAAAGACAGCAAATTACATTGTAAATAATATTAATTAGAATAGAATTAAATTTTGGATAAAATTATCCTTGAAGTAGGTATTAAAAAATATTTAATTAATTTAATTTGCAGATTTTAAATATAATAAAATTATATAACAGATACTTTTGGGTTTTTAAATTAATTTAAAGTTTTTGTTTTTAGATTATAGGGTTAATATAAAATAATTAAATACAAATTTATAATGTTATAGAAAATTTGTATACTGTTACTATAATAAAATTAAATACATTTGACAGTCATGTCAAGCTCATCTTTATTATTTAGTTTCCATAAGAACCATTTTTAGATGTGAATTATTTCCTTTAAACTTAAATGCATGGAGCATGGAGCAAGATAGTACAAAGAATAGAAACCAGCAATGCTAGTGGTGAAAAAATAAACCGTAATTTCCATTAAATTCATGCTTAAATACTTAATAATTAAAAACTATTTATAAAATAGCACTTTCTGTGGCTTCCAAAAAACTTTTTAACCCAACATTAAAAGAATAATAAAACTTACTTCTCTAATATCATTATTGCACAAAACCGTGGGCATTGTTTCCAAATGAGATTGTGGGTTTAAAATATTACACAGTTCAGGCTGGACCTGATTCCCATTATCCTGAGTTACAAACACAATAGGACTAAAGTCATTTGTTGGTTCATTGTAAACAGGGCTGTACCTTGCCACTGAGCTCATATTAGGATCCAAAGGGCTAACATGAGTATCAAAATCACTAAAAACTTCTTGCTGAGTGGCCAGACCTGTTTGTTGGTCCATTTTTATCTAAAAAAATGATTAAATAGAATATTAAATTTATTATATGAATAATAGCTTACAGCAATGTAAACATATCCTCCAGCATTATTGTTGCCTAAATCCGTGCTGACACTAGTCCATTCAGTGTCCACAAGGCTTAAATCTTGAGCCCCATCGTCTGGGGCCCCCTGAACAATTGTATCCATTTTAATTATTCTCAAATATCAATTAAATAAACAAACAGGCATAATTAAAATTTTTCGAATACCGGCCGTTCTATAAATAGTCATTTCGTAACAATTTACGACATTTAAAAAATCATAACATCTCTTTAAATGTTGGAAGAGTCCATTTTGATTCTGTGGGTGAATCAACAATTTTAACAAACCAATTTCTTAAAAAATATCGTGGTTTAAGCTAAAAATAAAGGGGACATGTTATGTATAGGAATAATACTCCTTAAATAGACATTTGGAATTAAAACACAATTATTAATATTGATTTACGAAAAAAATAATTTCTTACTTACCTTTACATGACAGCCATGTTCCTGTTCCAAATCCAATGGTTTGTTCTGTGATGCAAATGAACTACGCAATCAGCGTTGCCAACTTTTTTTTCAAGATATAAAATTTATCCCTAGGATTTTTTTAATTAAGGATTTTTTAAAAGTTGTTCAAATAAAACTCGCGATTGTCTTGGAACTTTATTAAACTCCAACATATAATATATCTAGGTAATAATATAATATAAAATAGGTTTGTTCCCAAGGATTTTGTAAAATCCTTATACAAAAATACCCTAGGGTTGGTAACGTTGTACGCAATGCGTTTTGTACGCTTGCGTCAACTTGACATTTAAGAAAAGCGGTAAATTCAAATATTTAAATAACCATGGCAACAAAACCAATTAAATCTATTATCACAGAACATAATATGTTAATATTATTCAAAGTTGTCAAAGTATACTTTTAGGGTTAGTTAAAGCTCTATGGGTTTAAGATGTGTTCCAAATTAATTGTAAGAAAACATTTTAACGATTTACAGAGTATCTCCTTATTATTAATTTAAAATATAAATTTTTAATTTTCAGGAAAATATATATGATCAATCAATTTTGAATGAAAAAAGGTAGTTATTTATATTAAATTTCCATTCAGTTACCTACACAATCTATTTTTAGTGCTTTTCTAACTGAAGATGTGGAGAAAATAGCCAATAGAACATTATCAGAAATTTCAAATTCCCATAAATATGTAAAAGAATGTCAAAAAACCATTAATTTAAAAGATGAAGAAATTTGGAGAGTACCGAATCCAAAAAATAAAGTGATGCATGAAGTGAACGTAAATCATTTGATTATACAAGATATTCCGGTTTTTAATAAAGGAAATAATGGTAAGAAACGTGAGACATTAGTAAGTAGAAAGTATTTTATTAAATGGAGAAATATTGTGAAAGGGCGCAAAAATTTGTCTGTTTTAAAAGAACAACAAGCCAAAGAAAAACAAAAATTAGATAAATTAATTGAAAATATTTTAAAAACAAAGCCAAAAATAATGGATGAAAAGGTTGTAAAAAATAAGACCAAGAAGATAAAAAAGCCAAATGAACCCAGTTGCATTAAAAACCGCTATAAGGCACAACACGATATAATAAAAATGCAAAAAAATAAAATTGAACAGCAAGATAAAATAATAAAAGAACTAAAGCTGGGAATTATAAGGGAAGATCTGGAAAAATCAGTGGGCAATACAAACGTTGACATACATGAAATTTTCCACATGTGCTCAAAAAATTTAAAGTTAAAAATGCCACATCTGCAAAAGGTTGACGAAAGAGAGAAAATAATGGTAAACAGCCAGAAAGCTCCAAAATTGGTGCATGAAATGGAGAAAAGAGCTATGGAAAGATCAATGAAAAGGGAACTTATTCTGGAGAGAAAACGGATTATTGAAGAGGAGCGCCAAAGATTACTGGAGGAAATGTTGGAGAAAAAGGCGGCAATCGAGGAAGAACAATTAAAAAAGAATTTGGAGGCAATTAAAGAGAGGAGGAAAAAGGAATTGGAGCTTGAGAAAATTCGTCAGTTCAACAAAACAATATTTTTAGAGAAATACGAAAAGGCTGTAAAATTTTATAATGGCCGGATAAAAAACAAGTGTTTCAAAATATTATATGACGATTTTAGGGAATGTAAAAGAAAGTATTCTATGGCTGAAATATTTTATGAGAGAAAAATTCTGAAAATTGCTTTTAATTCTTGGATATTTTTTATTGAAGATAAATATAAGATGAAGTATAATATTGCTGAGGCAATGTTTGCTTATAAAACATATAGAAAATATTTAGATTTATGGCATAAGGTACATTAAAAAACGCACCACTTTGAAAGTAATTTATATTTTAATTATTTTAGTATTGTATAGAAATAAGATTCAATATGCAAACAGCTGAAGATTATTGCGATTTTCGGTTAACTTCCAATGTTTTTTCTCAATGGAGAAATGTTGCATACAATCAAATAATTTTAAGAGAAAAAAGAATGAAACTTGCTGAGGTTCATTACAACAAGTAAGAAAATATATATTAAAGCTTTTTGGTTAAAAAAATAAAAACCTATTATATTTAAGCTTTAATTAACAAAAATACATAATTATTTCATTTGATAAATAAAATGTTTTGCAGAAAAAACAATAAACTGGGTGTTTTGTAATGTATTAAAATGGGTAGTTCCTTAGAGTATTTAAAGAAGCACCTGAAACTTTTTTTCCTAAATTCTAAAGACCAAAAATAATTTATAACCTTTATCCTACCAAAAAGTACGCCACTGATTAATTTAATTTATTATGTTATGGTTGGTAATATAATTTATTATGTTATGGTTGGTAACAACCAGCGTTTCTATGGTTTCCAGATTCTCTCAAAAAGTTGCCAAATTTTGTTTCAATTTAGATTAATTACAAAAAAGGTCTAATCAACAATGCAAATTGTTAATTTGGCGTTTTTATTAATTGTTTATTATGTCAGTTTTGTAAACAAAATCTGGCAACTTTATGACAAAATCTAGTGCGTTTCTTTCAAAGTTTATGTTAACATAAACTTTGAAAGAAACGCACTAGATTTTGTCATAAAGTTGCCTAAATTGAATGTTTAAAGCAGGGGGGTATAAGGGGAATTTGACAACAGGCAACAGTAAAATAAATCTAGAGTGCGTTGAAACCCAAGTTGTTTTTGACAGACTCCAGTTATTAACCACGTGCCTAGGACCACTTGATTCTTACTTTGTTGTGATTGGTCTTTTCCAACTTGTTCGGTTTGAGAAATTACAAATGGCCGACAGCGTTGTTGATGTGGTGTGTACGAAGTTTTATAATCCAAATTTTCTTTGTTTTAGGTAAGTAAACTTGTTAATTTCGGCTTTAACATTTTATTAGGTGTTTTTAGTCAAGTTTGAGTTAGTTGTAGCATCATTACCGCGTTTAAAATAAGAAAATATGTGTGATAAACCGTATCGGTTTTTTTCTCTATGTTTACCGAAAACACAATGTTGTAAAAGTTACGATAAATCAAATAAAATTCTTTTTATTAATGAAACCTACGGCAAAGAGTAAAGACTCTTACTCTTTGCCTATGGGTTGTTTAACTAAAGCAAGTTTTGATAGAATTTAAATAGTTTTAAAGCGTTTTGATTCAAAACTTTCAATCAAAACAGTTTTTAACGTTTTTTTTTCTCGACACTAGTTATAGTTATACAAAATGTTAAATATACCTATAATCTTTGTCAAAATGTATGTTTTTGTTAAAATTATTTGATGTAGCTACGCGAAAACTGGACCTGGGTCCAGGGCCCCGCTACATTGGCATTTGGTGGAGCGGAGGTTATTGAACGAACAGCCCCCTCATCGGTGGATCGGACGTAAAGGGCCCAACAATTTGGCACTTCATGTATGGTCAACACATTCAACCGATCTCACAGTTTGCAACTTCTTTCTCTGGGGCATTATAAAAGATAACGTTTATGAGCCCCAAGATTTGTAAAAGCTAAAGACACGAATTGGAACTGCCGTGTATCTACAAGATGTTTGCAGCTGGAAGAGGTCATATTAAACACTTGTAAGCATACCGTTCAAAACTTGATTATATTACAAATGTTTTGTGCTTTCCATGTTTTTTTTACATAAATATAGCATTTTGAACTTTTGAACTACAGGGTGATAATCTTTTACAGTATTTTTATAATTATTTTATTTGAAGGGGTCAATGCAAGAAGTGCCTAAGTCACATTTTCAAATAAATTGTTATTGTGGCTTCATCTAAGAGTTTTCACGTAAGTTGAAAACCAGGCAAATCCCATTGAAGTAAATGCAAACTAAGGCACTTGGGCACATATTTCTGCCACTTTGAAAATACCACCTGAAACCTTATGTGAAACATTCTTAGATGAAGCCACAATGTAAATTTAATTGAAAATGTGACTTAGGCACTTCTTGCATTGACCCCTTCATTTGTCCTATCTGAAAGTCTGACATTTTTAATGTACCTACATAAATAACTAGACAATTCATAAGCAAACCTTTTAAAGAATTATTTTTAAAGTTTTTAATTCAATTATTTTTTGCTACAATATAAATTGATTTTAATTTAATAAAATTAATTTTAGCTTCTGCAATAATGGAACAATTAGACAAGATTTATCCTGAATGAAGAAAAAGAATGAAAGCTTTACTCGTCAATCCCAAACAGGAATATTTGACCAAATTTTTTTAATAATAGGTAGATATATATTTTTTTATTTAGAATTCATTTTTAGTTACAATTGGTGGTGGGTGAATATTTTTACAAAATAAATTAAGTAGTAATATTTAATTCAAACTTAAAATTAAATATTTAAACTACATAAATAGTTTGAATTATTTGAATAGTTAAATAATTACAATCATAATCTATTCAAATAAGTTAATTAAGGGTTAATGACAAGCAAATAACATTCTTTTTATTTAAAAATAAAATGTTCCATTTCTTCAAATACTATTGGAAAATTTTAATTTTCTAATTGAACCATTTAAAAATTAGAAACATTCAAACTATTCAAATAATTCTTGAATTCAATATTAAAACAAGCAATCTGACATTTTTATATTACATACACTTCTGCTTTAAATTATTATTTTGAGTCAGAAATATTTTATTTAGCAAGATACACATTAGGATATTAAAAAAGGATATTTTCATGTTAAAAAAGCGCAAGTTCACCATCATTAGTTTTTATAAGATTTTTAAATTAAAAAATAAACAAAATCATACTTAGTTAGTTACTTAGCTTGTTTTTACAATAAACCATTCAATTATTTTTATGCTGCTAAAACAATTACCTTTAGCATAAATATTGATACATTATTTTTATTTAATTTTAAAAATTATTAGGTAATATCAATTGTTTTACAATTTAAATTGATTTTAAAATTGGTATTGATTTCAGGTTTGGGTTTGTGTTAATGGAAGAAGCAGACAGGACTTGAATTTATCAAACTTCTTTGCAAAAGAACATAGAAAATATTAATTGCAGTTGAATATTCTTCATTGAATCAAGAAAAAGACGCAGGTTCAATCCATGAATCATGAACAAGATAAAAGAGAATTAATACTTAATATTGACCATCATATTGATCATCATACATAAAGAATTTAATTTTGCCGAATACATAATTACAATATTTTTAACATTGAGATTTAAGTGGTTCTATTGATTATTAATTTAAATTAAACCAATTTTACTAAAAATTAAATATTCCAAAGAATGTAATTTAATTTTTGGAAAAGTAGGAATTCCTTTTTGCCAAATATTCTATATTTTACAAAACTACAGTATTGTGCTTATTTAAAAAACAAATTATAATCATTATTCCTAAAAATTATAAGAGTATGGTTTGTAATAAGTCTAATTATTGCATTAAACATTTTAGGCATTAGCCTTTTGGTTTATTCCAATAAAGAAATTTAATACTACATTAAGAAATCTGAAAATACCTTTAGGTATAGAATAAGTCAGTATGTATTACAAAATTATTTATTTTTATGAATTACATATTCAAAGTTAAAATAATTTTAATTATATAATATACTCAAACTGTTTTAAAAGGTTGTTTTCTAATAAGGACCAATAAGTATTGAACTATTGTTTATCAAGAATTTATCAAATATTTTGATGGTTTGTAATATGTCTTAGAGTTAATTTGTTTAATAAACCTTTGCATTTTTATTAAGAAATCTTAAAAAACCTCTAAAAATTGTTAATATGTGACACAAAATTAAAATTTCTGAAAATTATCGCTGTAATCAAGCTATAATTGTCTTGTAGGCATATATAAGAGGGTAATTATCAATACTTATCATACTTTTTGATAAATTATACCTAAATAATTATAAATTATTATACATGTTTGATAAACCTTTTTTTAAATTTCACTAAAAGTTATAGAATAATTAACTTTGAATTTCTCCTCATTTAAATATTATTTGTTATACTTTAATTTAAAATTGAATTAAGTGTATATTTTGTTAAATATATTTATAAAAAACAAAAATGTGTGTTTTTCCACTTAATTAGTGGAAAATATCCGAAAATTGTCGAAATTTTATATTTTTTGATTTTTAATGGACAATATTACGTATATAATCCTTTTAAAATCAAAAAAATATAAAATTTAAACAATTTTCGGTTATATTTCCTTGTTTTAAATAAAAATTCAAATAGCCAAACATTCAAATTTCCCGCCGAAAAAAACAACTCGGTTTTCCAAGCCTGCTAGATTTAAAAATCAACCAATGCCTGTTGCCACTTTTGACTACAGCGCTTTTAATTCTCTTATGTTCTGTGGTTTAAAGTTTAACCTGTGAACTTGTGCTAATTTCATTCAAGTAAAAAGAAAGAAAAAAAAATCGATAAAAAATTAATTTTGTGGTTATGGAGTTTTGAAAATAGGTACTAAATTTTCTAATCATTGCTTAAGCTAATAGCTGGATGAGTAAATAAATACAGAAGGGTATTAGAGCTTTAAGGGCATAAAACTTTTGTATTTATTGAGTTTTTATTTATTTTTTGCAAGAAAAATTTTTAGTAAATGCAAAGTTTAATATAAAAAAAATTTTGTTTGAAGTCTTCGAGCGATGGCGCTACCTTTTTCTTTGTTTATGTATGGTTTGTTGCATAAAGTATTCGAAAAAATCAAATCTTACAAACTTATATTTTAAAATATATACCTATATATATAAGTATGAAAAATTGTAGTACTATTTTTATTTATATATTTTCTGCAAGATTTTATAAATCGAATGGAATAATTATGGAACATATGGCGCGTCATATTAATTAATTTATTTTTTAGAAAAATTTTGTTTCATCATTTTTACTTATGGAAGTCTTTGCCAGCAGTAATTCAACTGGAAAGAGCAAAGGAATTAAAGAAAAGTCGATGGCGCGCTAAAGTACTGGAAGTTATCCCTGATTATAAACCCCCAGAAGATTTTTAAAAAGAAAACCATGTTTGTAACAGACAATTTTATTAACTATATATTTTAATTAAAATCTGTATTAAAGTCGTAAGATTCCTGGCTTTTACCGCCAATATTAAAGTTTTCTAAACCTGCTGATAATTGTGTAGCCACTTTATCCCTCCTGGTTCTCTCCTTCTTTTCCTTTTTGAACTGCTTTTTCCTGATTTGATTCAGTTTTAGATTTCCTTCAAGTTGCATTTCTGGGTCTGGTTTCTTGACTCTGGCATCACCTTTTTTCTTTTCTTTTTTGTTTGAAGCCACACTAATATTATCACCCAACTAAAAAATATAAATGAAATGCATTTTATTGGACCTTAATTGTGAAATACCTACCAAGTCGTCTGCTACTGTGTCCTCTTCCATTTCCTCAATGGAATCTACAGGACCCAAGCTTTCCAATACAAATGATTTTTCTTTTGTTCCATAATCTTTTTCCATTTTATTTAATATGTCAGTTTCCATTGCTTCAAAGCTATCCAAGTCAAATTCTTTTGCGACTTCACTTACAATTTTGGAGCTAAGATGGATATCATTTTCATTTGCTTCCGGTGGGATGGTGTAATATTTAATTTTACCGCTAAAAATATCAATCATGATTTATTATTTTAATTGGTTTAAAGGTTATTTACCTATTCCAGTCTTCTAGTAAACCTCTTGCAGCAGCTATAGAATTAGGTACTCCTCCTTTCTTAAATCTACCGGTTCTTGCAGCTTTGAGGCTGTAAAATTCCTGAAATAAAAGTTGGTTTGGTTTGATCATAGGGGTTCAAATTTGTTTTTATAAACTGACCTCTGGGGTGCTGTACTCATGTATATCATACATTTCCATCATTTGTTGTTTGTTTACTCTTTGCAAAATGGCGTTGGCGGGTGTTATGGGATCTGCTAGCTGCGAGATACGTACTGCGTTACGTAGAGACGCGCTACTGTCCGAACCGGCCGCAAAAACTATACCGGGAGAGTCGAGGAGTTTAATTTTAGAGTCCAATTGAACTTCTTGCATCGCCCTATAATTTAAATGAAACAATTAAAAAACATAAATTTCATTTTTCTTTATCTGGACTGCGGCAACGTTGCAAATTTAGGGGTTTGGTTGGTATATATGGAACCAAAATTGGTTGCATTGATTAAAACAAACCAAAATAGTTTTTCTTCTTAAATCTGAACACAGAAACACTGTGTTAAGGGGTAATGGCCTTTTTATAAAAGCTATTTGGCCAGCTCATTATGTTTTTTTTGAAAATTTAATATGATCAAGGGTCTCAATTAAGAAATTCTGAGTACAACTCATCCCTTGAATCATTTATTTTATATTATTATTTTGTGTCTAATTTTTTTCACATTCTTCACTGTATCACTTTAATTTTTTTTCCACACTTGTTTTTTCAATATATTCTTGTTTATTTATTAACATGTCCAAAATGACTTATCATCACACACAACAATATTCCAAGAATACAAACTGATACAAAGTATTTGGTATAAGAAAAATTATATGACTCATTTTTCTTACATCAAATATCTACTAGATTTTTTACAAAAAGGTTAAACCTAACAGCAAGTAATTTTTATTTTTGGTTTTTTTATTTCCCCCTTTTTTTTTAAAATTTCAAAAATTTTTGATCTGCTTAGCTAAAAATAATGTGTGATTTAATAATTGTAAAATCAAAAACATTGAAATGAAGTTTTGCCCTTAAAAGTTCTTTTACTTTAAAATCTGATATTATTTTGGACAAAGTTATCTTTTTATATCGATATTATATAATAATTAACAAGTAAATTATCAATAATAAATATTACTGTCCATTTGACAGTGTCAGAGTATTTAATTAAGGTCTTCAGCAGAACTCCCATTTTTTAAATACTAAAAATACTGAATAAAACTGGCATAAGCTACCAACTTAATAAAAAAACACAATACCACCACAAATAAAAAATCAATAGAGTAATTGCATCAAAAATGAAAATCCCTAAAAACCTTTTTAATGTAATCTAGAGGTAAAAACACATTGCAAAAATATTTTTTTATATTCCAAAAGTTCAACCCGGCCCCAAAATATCAAATTAAAAAAAAGGTACTTTTCAAACGTTCCGAACTCCCGCCAAATTGCATGACGTCATAAGCTCCAACTGTCAGAAATCAAGATGTCAACAAATAATAAACACCGATAAAGTTTATGTTTAACATGGAAAAGGCGAAACCAAAAATTGGTTGTAAATATTGTTTTGTGCCTTGTTGTACAAATACAACCTGGAAAACTCCTGGGAAAGTTGTCCCTTCAATTATCAAAAGCAAAGTTTATGACCCTACACTGAGAGTAGTTACGGCTCAGCCGTATTTTCTTGGGTTTATTAATATTTAACATACCTATTCAAACCATATACCTAGTAAACGACATTTTATTTTACTTACATTAAAATGATCCTTAAAATGAATAATAAAATGTTGACTGCGGTGACGATGTTTTGATATCGCGCCGAGCTATTTTAATCCACTTTATCCTTATTTTCCCTTTTGGCACGGTGATAAACCTTTTCCCAGGAGTTTTCCAGGTTGTATTTATACAAGGCACAAAACAATATTTACAACCAATTTTTGGTTTCGCGTTTTCCATGTTAAACTTTATCGGTGTTTATTATTTGTTGACATCTTGATTTCTGACAGTTGGAGCTTATGACGTCATGCAATTTGGCGGGAGTTCGGAACGTTTGAAAAGTACCTTTTTTTCAATTTGATATTTTGGACCCGGGTTGAACTTTTGAAATATAAAAAAATATTTTCGCAATGTGTTTTTACCTCTAGATTACAATAAAAAGGTTTTTAGGGATTTTCATTTTTGATGCAATTACTCTATTGTATTAAAAATCACTGCAACATTGTACAGCACTCTAACAGCAGCCATTTTTAAGTTGTATAGGTGGTCTGTGGTTGTATACAATTCTTGTGATTCGAGTTTGTGCTGCTTATACAGATTAAAACTCGTTTTAAACGTTGTGTTTCTTACAGAGCCTCAAATGAGGCCTTAAAGTGCCAAAAGAATAACCATTTTACTCCTCTTTAGTAAAAAATATACCTTATATTATTAGGGCTGTCAAATGTCAAGTTGACAGTTTGATGACAGCCCTGATAGAATAAGATTTATTTTTTACAAAAAAGGGGTGCCCATAGCACTTTAAGGCATAATTTTAGACTTGCCTCTGTAAGAAATACAACATTTAAAACAATTATTAATCTGTATTAACAGCAAAAACCCAAAGCACAAGAATTGTATGTAGTGCACTATTATATATAATATTACTTACATGTAATATATTGGTGGGATTAGGTATTAATTAAAAAAAACTATAAAACAGTAGAAAATGATTTTACCTTGTTACTCCAGGGGTGGCTCCTACATTACATGCTCTAGATCTCTTCAAACTGTTAATCAAAGAACTTTTTCCAACATTAGGCAACCCAACCACACCCACCCTTATTGAAGTTTTAATTCCCTTATTTCTGCAATAATTGGCCAACAAAGACATTATAAGCTCACTACCAGCACTTGATGAACCTTGCAAATTATCATTTTTGGCCAACTTTTTTTGTCCCAATCTTTTCGACTGACTTTGGGTTGAGGCTTTGAAAGCCAAACATGGTGTAGTTGTCCTAATGAATTTTAACCATTTATCCAACACATCTCGTGGTACCAAGTCAGCTTTATTCATTATAATTACCAAACGTTTGTTACCCTTCATTTCTTTAACAGCTTGCTCCACTTGAGTACAGTGAGTACCTAAAGGATCTCTTGCATCTACAACCTCAAGTATTACATCTGCTGCTTCAACAACTTTTTTGAATTCTTTGTAGTAAGCTTTTACTGAATTTTCGCGATTTATGTCTGAAGTTTTGTCAGTTTCACTTGGAGCAAATGCTTCATGTAACTTTTCCCTTGACTCTGCACTATTTACCTAAAATATAGGTAGAATTAATAATTATATAATTGCTAATTTCATTTGCTAATTTTTTAGTGTAACTTGTAGAGCATAGGTACATGATTTTAAGTAAAAAATCCTCAATTCAATTTTTTACCAAAAATTGAATTGTGTTTGTAAACAAATATTGTGTAATAAACAAAATACATACTAATCCTTCTAGGCCTTCTTCAGCTTGTGCTTTCTTAGCTTCTTCCTTTGTTTTTTGTCTCTCAAACTTAGCAGCTTCATGGGCTTTTCGTTTTTCTTCCTCTTTCAGTTTTTTCATTGCCTCGACTTCCTTTAATATGTCCTCTTTAAAAGGGCAAATATTCGGCACTTGTATTGCGCCCTGTTTTACTTTTTTGGGGTTCTTTTTATTCTCCCTTTTTACTTTTTTATTGTGCTGTCTGATTTTCTTTTCGATTTTGTATCTTTGCCGAGCCGGTTGCCGCTTGGATTGTTTATCTAAAACAGGATTACGTTAAAATCGGGTTACCTTGAAGATATTCAATACTTACTTTTCATATTACCCATTTTGTCTTGGTTTGTTAAGCGTTTTTAATGAAAATATACAATACACACGTGTTGTTATTTAAAAATAACCTCAAAAGGAATTTGACAGATAATTTCAGCGCCATCTATGTACTAAGGAATTTATTTGAATTATAATTCTGGGCCTTTGAATAAAAAGTTCTCGGCAATATGTCAATTTTTTTAATATTCCAAGTACAAAAAGTACCAAATAAGAAAGGTGTCGCCTAGCCTAGCAATACTAGTTCTATGGTTAATAGATAACCCATTTTTTTAATCTATGGTTCAACTACAAAACTAATAAAACTTAATAAAAAATACACAAGCCAAATAAATTAACATCTTGGGATTTTAATTTGAAAATTTGATTGGTCAGTTTTAAAAATATATAACATATTATGTACCTACCTATGAGCAATATGAAACAATACATGGCCATAAGGTGCTAGATTTTGGAGATGGCAAATAAGTACCCAAATAAAAACAAACAAAAATACCTACGCAAAATATTTATTTAAAAATAATACTAAATAAGAATAAATTAATCAAAATTTTCCATTCCATTCCATGGATCAGTATCACTTTCTGGGTCTGCTTCATGATCTGAAGATGTTGTAGCTTGCGTTGAGTTATAAGAAGCATCCCCGCAAGAATAATAACTATCCCTTAAAGAAACCCTTCCAATATTATTTAATCCTTCAGTGGCTCTTTGGTTATTTGGGTCCAACTTTAAAGCAGTCGTAAAGTGGTGGAAAGCCTCATTATCTTTTTGCAGATTCACAAAACAATCGCCCAATAATTGATGCAGTCTTGAAGTTGGATTCGTTTCAATGTGTTTTAGGAGAATTTGCGAAGCTTCTTCATGTTGATTTTCCTGCTCGAGAAATTCCACCAACATACTAAGGGCGTTTGTTGTGAGGTTTTTGTCCTGCATTACTGCTTTTTCCAAGTATTTTCGTATGCATTTTTGTGATGCCATTTGGTCTTTTAAAAGAACAGTAACAAGAAGCTGAAAGGCATATTTAATTAAGCCTGATTTATAGATTGCCTTCCTCCCAGAAGATGAACAATACAAAAACCTGTTGTCCCGTACGGAAATCTATAAATCGCACTACGATTTTCGTATTGTTCATCTTCTACGGGAGGAAGGAAGGAAGGCAATCTATAAATCAGGCCTAATGGACGAGTGTGAGAAACGTCTTATGAGATAAGTTCTTTATAATATTTTCTATTTGCCAAAATTCTAAGAATAACATAATTCATAATGCGATTTATTCTGCAGTTGGTAGTACCAAATGTCCGTTTAACCTTAAGTGTCAAAATTCGCTTGAACCAAGAAGGCTAAAAAGATTGTTTTATTTAGTCTTCTTAGCTTGAACTATATGTTTTGTCTACAGTTTGTAGTACAAACTGATGAATAATAACAAATTCCAAACTTGTTTTTAGGCAAATGCATTTTATTGTAAAACGAAAATAGAAAAAAAACCTGGTCTGTGTGTTTATATTTGAAAAAGTTGCTATGGAGAATTCACACAGATGTGCAACAGTTTGTGCCAAAAATATGGTTGTAAAACAATTTTTTTATAATAAAAATCGCGTCGGTATACTTTTTATTTTAGTTTTGAAACATTTTTAATGTGCCTTTTAAATATGCTAAATACTTACACATAGTGCCTGTGGACTGTTATTCAATACTTTTAAAGCATTCTGGGCTATGGACTCTGCCTCTTTGAGTCTATTTAATTGCAATAAACTATCAACCAAACATTTATAAATGTCAAATCTATAGGAACAGGCATTAAGTGCTTCAGTGCAATGTGTGGCTGCTTCATTATATTTTTTTAACTGAAAATAAATATTAGCCTTTAAAAGAAGAGCCTCGACGTTTTTTCTGTTCATTGTGTAAGCTTGTTGCGCAAAATATGCGGCTTTTTCGTATTTTTTATTGGCGTACATGTAATTGCCTAGCACTATCCATTGTTCGCAGGTCCAGAGCGACATATCCTGAGTAGGTGTAAGAGATTCCAGAATTTTTATGTCCTCTTTGTTACTGGAATTTGCTAAAAGAGTTGAGAACAAATCTTGACCCAATATTAACCGTGGATCTAAATGATATGCCTAAAAAAAGGTTTTTATTTCAAACAATAAAGTTTACAGTGATCCTACCCTTTGTAATATGCTGATAGCCTTTTTATTTTCACACATGGAGTGATAACAATAACCCATGTTCACCAATAAAGTGGGGTTATCTTTCATAAAACCATGTTGATCCATAGATTTATAAGTTACAATAGCATTTGCAAAATCTCTTGAATGTAATTGGGCTTGAGCTTTTAACCATGTATTTAACCAAGATATATCATTGGAAGCTTCAACCATTAAGGAATTAACCTCTACACCCTTAATAATAAATTAAAATAAATAAAAATTACAAACAAATAAGAAAAACTTACTTTAATCCCAAGTTTTAATAAATTATCTGCAGCTTCTAAAGCCATGGGGCATTCATTTAAAACATCTTTAAAATAAGTAATTGCAGGTCTATCCATACCACTATCCCTGTATATATTGCCTAGAGCCATATTTATTTTAGGTGTTCGATTTCGGACACTGATTTCATGTAGAATCTCTGTAGCACCTTTTACTTGTTTTAAAGCCAAACAACACAAATGTATTTTGTATCTTATATCTACATCTGTAGTCATTTCCACTTGCACATCTTGCATTTTATTGTTGCTGTTTTTTGTTTTAACTTTGATGTTTTGTTTCATCTGTAATGCTTGCCTATATAAGTTTTCAGCCTGAAGATATTGCTGAGTGTTGTAAAGAGAGTCTGCATAGTACCATAATACTTGGTGTTTTACTGGAAGAGTTATTGTTTCCGGTTTTTGTTCCGAAATACTTAAAGTAATATCACACTAAAAAAAAACAAATTGTAGAAATACTTACAGGCGTGTTTTAATGTTACTTACCACTCGCACCACATTTGAATATAATTCTTGTTCATATAAAGTTTGAATTTGTTTTAATATATTATTCATTGTTTTTCTTTGAATTAGATTCAGCACATTGTTCAATTAAATTTTATTTGTTGCTAATGACAGACGTCAAGCTGACATTTGTAACTACCAACTGCAGAAACTGCAAAAATAAATCAAAATTTCACACAGTTCAGGACTTGAAGAGAAGTTTTCTCTTTTAAGAAAAAATTTCATATACTTACCTTGATAAATATATGAAAAATTCACAATCCTTGGGTAACAACAATAATGACAAAAATTAATTAATAGTTTATTTGGCAGCGCCATTTTTAAAAGAATTGATGAAATAAAAATTTCGCGTCCAAAATTTTTACACTTTAGTTCCGCCAAACTTGGATAGATGGCGCTGCTACCAAATAGTTTGTAGGTAGGCAACTAATAAGTTGGGTTGTTCTTCGGGTTGTTCTTTGGTTGTCACTGGATATTTTCTGTGACTTGATTTTGATATAAACTTAGTTATTCTTCGAATTTGTGTTATTTTTGTTCGTTAATAGTTAAAACCTTTAACTATTAAAATGGCTGATAATCCTAATCTACAGCCATCCGAAAATTTAAATACAAAAAATGGAAATATTATTTGTGGTGTTGTTGAAGGTAGGTTATTAACTCATAAATTAACATACATTTGCTTGTATTGTAATAAAGTATAACTAATTTATCATGTTTTAAAACTTTTTTAGGCTTCTATGGGAGGCCATGGACTACAGAGCAAAGAAAGGATTTGTTTCAAAAGTAAGTGTAGGAAGGTTTGTTTGTTTAGTAATAAAATTTATAAAATGAATTTAAGGATGAAAAAATGGGGAATGAACTCATATGTATATGCCCCAAAGGATGATTATAAACACAGAGCCTATTGGCGAGAATTATACACAGTTGAGGAAGCAGAACATTTAACAGGTTTAATTCAGGCAGCAAAGGACCAAAATATTATGTTTTATTACGCCCTATCGCCGGGGTTAGATATTACATACAGTAGTTGTAAGGAAATTACATCATTAAAGCGTAAATTAGAACAGGTAGCTCAGTTTGGCTGCCAAGCTTTTGCTCTATTATTTGATGATATCGAACCTGAAATGTCTGAGGCAGACAAAGAGATATTTCAGTCATTTGCACAGGCTCAAGTCTCGATCACAAATGAAATTTATCAACATTTGGGACAGCCCAAGTTTTTAGTTTGCCCCACTCAGTATTGTTCCACTAGAGCTGTGCCAAATGTAACAAATTCTGAATACCTAAATACATTAGGATCTAAACTTGCTCAGGACATTGATATCATGTGGACTGGTAAGAATATTGAGAAGTATAAATAAGTCAACTATTTGTTGTTTTTTATTAATTTAGGCAGCAAAGTTATATCGAGATTATTAACGAAAGAAAATATTCAAGAAATAACTGATGCTTTAAAAAGACCACCTATAATATGGGATAATTTACATGCTAATGACTACGATCAGAAAAGGGTGTTCTTGGGGCCATATTCAGGAAGATCACCAGATTTAATACCTAAACTAAGAGGGGTTCTGACAAATCCCAATTGTGAATATGGTGCCAACTTTGTTGCAATACACACTTTAGCTCAATGGTCAAAATGCACTGTTGATGGACAGAGGGATAATTCTTTAAGTAAGTTTAAAAATCACAAGTTTTCTTTAATGTTTCATTTAAAAATAAAATTAACTTGAGCTTAAGCAATTTTCTTATTTTTTAATTTAACTGAAGTAAAAAAATCGGTATTTTTTTCTTGTTGGCTGTATTTAATTAGGATATAATATAATTTTACAACTTTTTAATACGCCTATAAATAATAAATATATAATACATTTTCAGTTGTGTTTAGCTGGATTAAAAAAGTATTCATTCCGTGAATTTTATGTTAACCTCAAAAAAATGTGTTAAACCCTTTAAAGGGTTCCCACTGAGCAAAAAAACGTAAAATTTATGTAAAATTAACGTCAAAGGTTGTAGTGTGACGTATAAGAATCTTGTAAAATAAACGTCACATAAACGTCGCTGTGATGTGCCTATGTCCGGATCCTGGGCCGTGAATTAGCCCTAACCGTTACGTGGATAAGGAGACGTAAAATTTCCGTTTTAAAATGGACGTAAAAATTACGTTTTTAAAAGGACGTAAAAATTCCGTTTTAAAATGGACGTAAAAATTCCGTTTTTAAAAGGACGTAAAAATTACGTTTTAATATGGACGTATAGGTTTTGTTTCAACTTGTACATAATAGTTACGTTTTTTTTTTAAATAAAACTACCACTTTGGAAATATATTTTTTTTATTAAAATAAATTATAAAAATAAAACAGTCTTCTAAAAATAATAAATAAAATAATAAAAATAAAACATTATGACTCTGGTAAAAATAATAAATAAAATAATAGAAATAAAACATTATATGATCATACTCAAGTACCGCCTAATTAATTTTCGGCCTCATTTTCATGTCCAAATTTGGCCAAAAAACGTTTTGAACGTTGCTTAGCAGTTCGGAACCACTCCTTACTCTCTTTATCAAAATCACATTCACTCAAATGAAATAATTTCATACTGGCTTCTAAAACAAACATCAATAACTTAAGTTATCTAATTAGGTATATTACTGTTGTAAATTACCTTTTACAACTTTAACAACAAGCAAATCTTTAATTTTTTTGTTTTCTTTAGCCCCTGTCCAAGAGCATTGCTTTTCTAGGACAGTAGAGAATAGTTTTCTATAGGATTGTCTGATAAATTTTCTTCCATTTTCACCGCCCAACTTTAAAAGCATTTGCATCTAAAAGAAATGTTCATGTTAAAATGAAATTTAAATGTAAATAACCTTGAAAGTTCACAAAATTTAACTTTTATGAAATAAATTATGAATTATAAATAAAATTAAACCCCGCTTGTGCCAACAATTTTTCTCTGTCCATTTTATAAGGTTATGATTAATAATTATTGTGTTTTGTGTTTGTGCCTTACTACAAAGTTTCTACATAACATGAGTTTCAATAATGGATTTTGAGTCACTTGCCACTTTTAATTATCAATATTGCCATTTGAAAAAATTAAATATTTACTAAATTGTATAAACCAGATTTTAAAGTTATTTATTATGTATTAAATAATTCATTAAATTAAGAATTGTGTTATGAAATAAATTGTTTACTAAATTATTAAATATTGTATAAACCCGGCTAGAGTCACAGGTTATGCAAATATGTAAAATGTTATACCAAATACGCAGCAAATACCCACTCTATACAACTATGCAATTACTACAAAAGAAATAAGCATTGTCTCACCACTTGAACTTGAAGGTCCTCAGATGTTGCCAACATTGTTTCCAGTTCTTGCACTTTGCCCCAAGTTTTAGAGGGAGTATAGAAATAACTTTATTGAGGTGTTTACTGTTCCCACAATTGGGAGATGTCGAACTTCCATTTAGTATTAAAAGTTTAATTTCATCAAGTGCCTTATTATTCGCCACGACATAATTCTTAATATTTACTAATTCTTTTAGAATTATGTCCTCTAAAAAAAAAGGAATTAATAAATTGAATTTACTAAATTCATTTCTCTTTATACTAAAAGTACCTTTAGTTTCCAAAGTTTTATCTTCAATTATGACTTCTTTAGCATATTGCGCTAATATTCGGAAACTTGATGGCTCCAATGGTTGCTCTGGTTGTCCGTCTTCTGAAATTTTATTGCTTTCCAGATCGCTGTCATCAGGGTTCAAATCCTCACTAGATCCTGAAAGATTGTTTTCAATGTCCTCAATTTCCATATAATCTTGCTCTATAACACATTGTTCTCGACTTGATGAACTTGGCGATGAACTAGGAGGTTCTAAAACAAATACCAATATAAATACCAATACCAAGTTTGAACAAAATGTCTAACTAAATAGGTATAGCTTTTGGGCCACTTATAAAAAAAAATAGCTTAACTAAGAACGCGTCTATAACACATACAAAAAAGTTTATATACAAAAGTGCTCTTTTAGTTCCACCCTTACTTCTTAAGAAGTCCCATAAGCCAACTGAATGGCTTGTGCGGGGGCTTAAAGTTCCCTCCAAAGGACTAATCTATTTAATATTAGAGCAGTTTTAAATGTTATACCTTGTGCATTTAAACGAAGCTTAATCGAGATACTTACGGGAAATAGCAGGCAACGTATTTTTTGCATGCGTTTCTTTTGGTTTAGAAACCTTTCTAGACGGTACGATTATCTGTTCGTCTCCGGGCTGAAGATTGTCATCATCACTCGAATAGGATAAGCGCCGCAGGGTTTTCTTTCGTTTTCCTCTTCCCAAAGATTTCTTGCCATCCGATTCCGAACCTGATAACTTTTGTAAATGAGCCTCTCTTTGCCTGGCTTCATCATATGTTGCTGTAAACAAAAACATTTTAAAACAGGGTTAAAATTGGCAATGAAAACGTACTATATTTTCCCAAAACTGTCACCGGAAATAGTTCCCAATCCTTATCCACTTCCTTGGCTTTTGAAATTAAGGCACAGATATTTTTTTGTTGAACTTTGCTTTTTGGCCAAAAACTATATGTGTTCCCATCAGCAGCTTCTTTGTACCAATTAGACGGAAAAACAGAATAAGTGTCCTCTTCGGGGAAATGGCCCATGTAAAATAATATCTGAAATGATATGAGTTGGGTAGCAATTTTTTCGAAAGCAATACAAACTGTAAGTAGGTACCTTCTGAAACGTTTTAATATGGACGTATAGGTTTTGTTTCAACTTGTACATATTAGTTACGTTTTTTTTTTTAAATAAAACTACCACTTTGGAAATATATTTTTTTTATTAAAATAAATTATAAAAATAAAACGTACTATATTTTCCCAAAACTGTCACCGGAAATAGTTCCCAATCCTTATCCACTTCCTTGGCTTTTGAAATTAAGGCACAGACATTTTTTTGTTGAACTTTGCTTTTTGGCCAAAAACTATATGTTCCCATCAGCAGCTTCTTTGTACCAATTAGACGGAAAAACAGAATAAGTGTCCTCTTTGGGAAAATGGCCCATGTAAAATAATATCTGAAATGATATGAGTTGGGTAGCAATTTTTTCGAAAGCAATACAAACTGTAAGTAGGTACCTTCTAAAACTTTAGTGATTTACAATACTTTATGCTTTAAAGCCAATAAAGCGGCTTTATTATTGCTCGCAACAGGTATGTACATACATTTAAATTTCACCTCTGAATATTCCACCTCGAAAGGTTCAGAAAAATAATGCTCTGCCAAAACCTCAGTTAGTAATGATGATTCACACGGATTAACGTATAGAGGAGAAATTTCTAAGAAGCTTTTAACAACCAATATTATAAATTGTTCCTTTTTAACAATACTCTGCACTTCTACAAACTTGTTGCTTTTTAACATTAAGTAATTATCTTTTCCATTTATTTTAATGAGCAGATCTTCGACTCGTAAAGTTTTGTATATTTTATATTTATCAGAAAAATTTTCTATTTCTCCAGTAAGGATAGGCAAGCTGTAGTTAAATGCTTCTTTCCGTTGTTCTCCCAAAAAGCTCACCTCTTCTTCTAACCTATTACAAACTTGTTGTAAAGCATTAGGACTTTTTCTAAACAATTTTTTTAGATGTTGCAAATAATTTTCATACGGAAATGCGCTAAATTCGTCAAGAGTTCCATGTACTTTTGTATGATCACTTATGTGAATTAAATTGTGAACGTTGTGAGTCACAAATTCGCTGCCGTATAACTCAGCATATTGTTGTACGAACTTATTTAATAACTTTTTTGCTAAATCATTTGAGGTTAGGTAAGTGTCAACCGAAACTAAAATTTTTGAAGCACAATGCAGAAGTAGAAAATGATTGTAATATATTCTTGGTAAGTGGCCTCTTAGGACTAAAGCTCCAGTATACAGTACGAAAAGCCTCAATTCAGTTGCCTTCCAATAATCTATTTCCTCCAAAGGTCTTGGCAGTCTTGAAAATTCTTCTGGTATATACTCTCGTATATTACGAATATTAGAATTCATACTGCTCATAGCTTCCACCGAAAGTCTTAGATCTCTCGGACCTTTCACCCAAAATATTATTAAGCGCTTTATTACACCAATACAAATTAGGTGCATGTAATCTAAAGGTACAGAACTAACTAACCCAATACCAATTTGCTCAAGTGGACTTGGACCATCACGATGATATTCTTCATCCGACCTTAATCTAAACGACTCATCCGTTCTTAAATCCGCATTTCTTTGCAAAAATACCATCCTTCTGTTAATAAAATCGCCCTCATCAGTGCAATAATTGCACCCGTGGTAGCCATTGTGTGCCTTTACGTTTAAAAGATAAGCCTTTGCTGGTGCGTCACATATAATATTGACAACTTGTACAGCCAAATTTTTATTACATAAGTGTAACCCATTATTTTTTAAATTCTCTATATCATTAATAAACGGTTGCATAAAGTCTTGAAGTGATTTTGGCTTTCCTGTACCATAGTATATACCCACCGGAAAAACTTGTGAGTGGGCTTTATTTGGAAGGTTTCTTATTGTAATTAAAATTGGCCAGAACTGACTTTTTGAGCTATTAGATATTGGTAAACCATCAATATTTAAACCAATTTCTACCACATTATTGTGAAATTCTACAATGTTGTTCTTTAAGAATAAACATCTTATCGCCTTTTCTATTCCGAAATGTTTGTATAAACCCGGATCCATTTTTAAAATACTACTTAATTTTGGAGTATGCATAAGAGTTCTACAGTCTTTTGGTAAAGAACTCCCAACAATATGATTTCTTAAAATTCCCAATAGAGCATTTAAACAGTGAGTTGTTACATTATATTTAATCGCCCAACCTCTGATCTCAGATTCAATGGATGAGTTCATTTGTGGTAAAATATTAGGATCAATATGTGCATCATTGTGTGTTTCACTGACACCATTGTCGACTTTTAATTTTTCGCTTTTAGTTAAAACAGTATTTCCGCCAACTACTTCATCTATTCTAGAACGCGAACTATTAAAACTAATCGCATTTTCAACAATATTAGTCTCATTGATTATTTTGCCGTCTTGTTTTAAAGCACCGTTAACTTTGACATTACTTAGCAAACTTTTTAGCGACTTAAAATCCACATTCACACGCCGGCGCATTTGTCTTTTTGAAATTTTGTGCAAATCTTTCCTCATTTTTACCTAAAAATATGTTTGTTACGTTAGAAATGCACCAATCTATTGATAGAATTTAAATAAAACCGTAAATTGAATGGAGAATTTCTAAATCTTATTTTATGCTTTGGGGCCCTCCATAAATCTCGTGACGCTTATGATGTTTAAATGTTCAAAATTGACACCCTCCCCCTCCCTCGTGACAGAATATGACCATGGTCACATGACCATTTGGGGTTTTTTACATGCATGTAAAGAACCCCCCAAATGGTCATGTGACGTATTATTGAACTCTTTTTTAGTAATAATTTGACTAAAAATGGAACAAATAAGCAATTTCAATCGATTTACTTTGTCAAGTGACGTTTTATACTCTACCCCCCTCGGGCGTGAAACATAGTGACGGTCTTCAAACCCCCCCTCCAGCGTCATGAATTGCCCCTTTATGCTTTATATTTGTTGTTATTCTTATACTGTGTTCTTCTACAGTGTGTTTCACTTTACATGGAAGCACCCCTGTATTTTCTTTGTTTCTGTATAAATCTACTTGAATGTTTTATTAGTTGAGCGCAAAAGACGTTATTACCCTGGCACACTGTTTATATTTAGCTTCGAGTTATAACAAAAAGTAATTTTTAAAATTATTAGGAAAAGTTTTTGAGAATCAAAAGAATACGCCAGATACTAACTTTTGTTTAAAAATTCGAATTTTTAATTTCTATTAATACATTTATTATATTCAAGGTGTCCCTAAACTTATTGGCATAAATTTAGGAAAATATTGAGCAAGTAAAAATAAGACGAAAATCTAAATAAATATTTTTCCTAATTACTTATGTTTGCAGGATACAGGGTGATAAAGTGTTACTTATCATATCAGTTTTTTTAATATAACTTCTACTATCGTAGTCTTGGAAATGTGATATTTTGCGAACAGTCACTTACTACCAAAACACATATTCACACATAATTACAATTGTTTGAGTGAACACAGGGTCGTAGAAACGGGAGTTGATTTAAGCTTATTGTCCCATACAAACTTTGAGGTTAGGTTTTTATAACATTTGATGCAATTTTTCGATTACACAATTCGGCTACCATTAAAAAGGTGTACCTCTCAAACTTCGATAAAATAAACCGTTTCCGAGATATTCGAGATTACAATAATTGTTATATCGCATTATTTAAAAGGATTAAAAGGTAGGTATATGATAACAAATTTTATTTTTTTATTGAAAAAACTAAAAAGGGCATTCCATGAACCTCGGGACTTTTTGTCCTGACCATAATATTAAAAAAAATTGTAGTTTTTTCAATTAAAAAATTTGTTATTATATACCTTTTAGTCCTTTAATGTGATATAACAATTATTGTAATCTCGAATATCTCGGAAACGGTTTATTTTATCGAAGTCTGAGAGGTACACCTTTTTAATAGTAGCCGAACTGACTAATTGAAAAATTGCATCAAATGGTAAAAAAACCCTGTTTCTACGACACTGTGTTCACTCGAACAATTGTAAATATGTGTTTTGCTAGTAAGTGACTGTTCGCAAAATATCACCTTTCCAAGTGTACCATAATAGAAGTTATATTGAAAAAACTGTTATGATAAGTAACACTTTATCACCCTGTATCTTTTAAACATACGTAATTAGGAAAAGTATTTATTTAGATATTCGTATTATTTTGACTTGCTTTATGCCACTAAGTTTAGGGACACCTTGTATATATTTTTTGCCGTTCCCGGCCCAAGTGATCAAAATAAATTTCAGCGAAATCGATTAACATTAACCTAACTTTGTTATTAACTTACCTGTCGCTCGGCGCAAAATGTGTCTTCCATATTCATTGATTTGTGTATTAACTGCAAAAACAAATTGATTAAGTACGTAATAGTACACTTTTCTTTAAGTCTAACATTGACTAATATTACTTCTCACTCAAAGCTAACATTTAAATCAACAAAATAACCACTATTGGTAATAGCGCCATAATGGCGATATTGGGACAATTAATTAATTATATTATAACCGTATGGTTGCAAACAAATGATAAAGCCAACTTACCTAAACCGTACAGTCTCGCCTATGGAGGACAATGCGTTTTCTATTACACAGCCCTAAACCACAACAACAAATGGCAACACCATAGAAAATTGCGTTGAACACAAAACAATGGCAGCACAGATTATAAATGGCAGTCGCAACGGAGTATGCCCTGTTACAGGGCCCCTTTTATACCGATATATCGACTGGAAACGAAATTACCCGAGTCCTTTTTTACGTAAATTTTACATAAAATATACGTTTCTTAATCTCACGATGCGATGATAATAATAGAATAATTATTATTTTATAAGCGTTAATATTAATTAATAAATCACTCTGGGATTTATATTAAGTCATTAAAATAATAATTGTACCTACTTACATTGGTTTCTAAGTAAGTAGGTACCTTCGGTTTAATCTAAAATTATGAATTAAATTCGGTATTTAATTATCTAAGGTATACACTCAAAAAATGTAAATATTGTATATATTTCAATCTTCATCATTGGCAAACCAACCCCATTCATATTTATCATGTGTCACATTGGTGACGTAAAATGTACGTTGTGTTTTGCACCTAATACGCTAAAGTAAAATAAAAGGCATAGAGTGGACGGTATAGTGACGTGCTCGACAGTACCTTTTATTTTTTATCGTAATTTTTACGTAAATTGAACATCACTAAAAAACGTAGTTAATGTGCCTTAAAATTGACAATTTTTGAACGTCACTGTGACATCACAACATCCATAATGTTCAGTGGGTTGTTGCTATTTAAAGTAATGTCAAATGTCAAATTCCTGTGTTCTCCCCTCTCTGATGCTTTCTCCTCTTTTTGAGAATAAAAAATGAACCATTTTATCTTGTTTTCTATTTTGTTCAGACAAAAAGTGTGTAAAAGGAATGTAAAGCTTAAAATTTCCAATATTTGTTTTCTGGCAAATATTGAATTTATTTTTGTCATTAAAACATATTTATATTGTAATATTTTTGTTTATGCAAATTTCTTTAATATATTAAGGTTTAAATAATTATTACAATGGTTTGGAAAAAAAATGGAAAATGGAAATCTTTTTAGTTTTTGTGATAAATAGCTATTTTACATTTTACTTAACAGACCATTTTATTTAATACCAGTATCAAGGGGGTCATAAAAACAGGTAGTATAATTTAAAAAAAAGTTTTAACATTCTATAATGAACATACAGGGTGTTCCAAAAATGGCGCACTAACGCCATATTAAGCATATTACAAAATTAGTTTATTAAGTTATAGAGGTTTTAAATTTGAATTTTTTGGTTCTAGGCTATTTATTTATATAAAAGTATTAAACAAAGTTTTCTAATGTCGTTTCAAAAATGAAAAAAATAATAACCTAGTGATTTAATTTACATTTTTTCCATGACAACCATATTAAAATTAAATGTGAAGTATTTAATTTCCTTAATATAGTATTAATAATAATGTATTATATTATTAATTGTTTCGACCTTTACTTGATGAAACTCCATATTAACTATGTAGATATAAAAACAATTTTGTTGTAAAGTTTCACGAAATTTATTAAATTTTGACAGCTGTTTCGCTACACAGTAGCTTCTGAAGAAGCTACTGTGTAGCGAAACAGCTGTCAAAATTTAATAAATTTCGCGAAACTTTACAACAAAATTGTTTTTATATCTACATACATAGATAGTATATTATGTATCAAGTTTGATAAACGCCATTTTAGGCACGAGCAAGCTCGCAAGCGAGTGCTTAATTAAATGTATACTTTTTCTATGAGAAATACTTAATATTATTTTATTTTATTATTTATTTTATTATTAAATTAAAACTACTAATCAACTTGTAATAGCTGTTAACGTAGATTAATCTATACAATAAAGATAAAATAGATTTATAAATTGAATAACAGAGTAATAATTATAAAAAAAAATTATTTAAATTAAATATTTATATAATACAATAAACATTTTTGAAGTGATTTTTACCTTTAATATTGCCCATTATTATTTTAATTAAACTTAACAATTATTGATACAAAACATGATTATGTTAAGAAAATATGTTATCCTTTGTTATTTTGTGTTACTATAAAATATATACAATTTTTAACGCTTTATCAGTTAAATCTAGTTAACTGCACTATTACGGCGAAATCAAAAGGTCATTACAACGTTCTTTTCAAATATTGGCGCCAAGAAACTATTTAATACTTTTGTATTTTTGTATTAAAATAATAAAATAATTTTCACATTTAGTATTATTTTACAAGAAAGGCACTTTATTTTAACGATTGTATGACATTTGACAACTGTTAACTAACTTAAAACTAACTTCAGCCCGTGACTAAAAACCTGTTGCTTACTTCAGCCCGTGACTAAAACGCCGTAAAGCCACAACTTGTCAATGTGTATTTAAAAGGTCACCTAGTGTGATGGAAACACGTACGATAATGTGCGTGTTATAGGTGGAAGTAGAAAAAATATTTTGTGGAATACAAAATTTAATTTTTAGACGATTCTGTCTCGGCAGATATAAAGCTGGAAACTGAAACAGAAGATGGATTAACGGGCGAAGATGTGCCGGCTACACTATCACCGAACATGTACCACCCAAGGCAGGCTCTAAGAAACGCACTAAAAGAGTGGTTGCTCGAATTTAACAAACACAAAATGGCATGGGGACCGATAGCAAAGCCGCAACCGTCCGTGGCAGTCGTACCAGTGCCCATAATACCATCCATTAACACCTGCATGAGTTTAACTTCTACCACGACCACCACAGCCACTGCCACGCCTATGGTCAATTCCAACCAACTCCAAGCTTTAGCTGAAGTATGCAGCACGGTAAGTATTGCCGCTTATTATTAAAATAATTACTAATGAGTTTAATTTTTATTAAGCATTACTTTTTTTTAATGAAAATTCAATTAATTTTCATTATATTTTTTCCAATGAGTAATGTATTCTTTTTTACATTACTCATTTTTAATTTGTAATGAGTATTTTGAGATTTTCAATTAAAATTGTTTATGTTAATTATTGTTAACCTTTTAAATTGTGATGATGAGCTCTAGAACATAACTACTACTATACTTCTTCTTCTTTTTCTTTAAATTAACTTCTTATTCAGTTTTTTGGCCTTAACTTCGCAAATCAGCTGTCAAACAATTGACATTTACTCAAAAAAACAGGACAAACTTTCAAAATAAGAATAAATTCCCGTCTGAAAACTTTCCAAAATGGAAACTTTCCTTGAAATTTAAACTTTACAATTCCCACCCAGCAAACAAATAAGTCTGATTATGTAATGGCCCATTACATAGTTGTATGGAATGTTTTAATAAAAATAATAATTTTGATAAAAAGCTGTCTTGATAAGGTTTTGCAATGGCCCTTTTCAGGCTAATATTTGTATATTTTACCATAAACGACCCATATATGGCAATTTTCAGTATCAAGTTAATGGGACTTTAGAAACCATTGAAGTGTCAAATGTTTTCTGTATATATTACATTATCCTTTGGTATTTTAAAAATGATGCCCAGAGTAATTCCTATAGTTTTAATAGTGTGTTATACCACAAAAAAAATATCTAAAGGTTGTTAAATTTAAATGTTTAGATCGTTACAATTTTTTTTAATTGTAGGACAATGTTTACCACATACCAAAAAAATTAAGTAAATTCACTCAATTTTTTAATTATTGGTTTTTCTAAAAAAGGCAAAAAAATTCAGGTCAAAATCTTGATATTGCCACATTTTTTTACTTAATATTTTTTTTGATTGAAGTCTTGAGTTTTCTAAATTTGTCGTTTTGGAATTATTATTTTTTTAATGAAAATGCCATTTTCTAGGAAATTCGTGGTTTATCGCAAAAGTTTGGTATGTTTTATGACCCTAGATAAAATACCAAATTTTTGCAATGAAACACGAATTTACTAGAAAATGGCATTTTCATTAAAAAATTATAATTCCGAAACGACGAATTTAGCCAACTGGAGACTTTTGGTGAAAGTTGTTGATATTTTCAACTTTAAACGAAAAAAATATGAAGTAAAAAAAAGTGGCAATGACAAAATTTTGACCTCAATTTTTTCCCCCTTTTTTAGAAAATTTTTTATATATTTTTTTGTATGTTGGTAAATGTTTAACCTACAATTTAAAAAAAAAATGTAAGGATCTAGACATTTTTGGCCAAGTAATCGCATTTTCAAGAAAAAATGTCACTCGTAAAAAGAGAAAAATCGATAATTCTGTCCATTTTTCAAAAATTTCCAACGGGTAAAAAAAAACAAATTTAAACAAAAAGAAAAATACGGGTCTCATCGATTTCAGCAGAGAAACTGTAAAAAAAATTCGAATGGAAAGACCCGATTGCATTACTTTTTACTAGAAATTCCCATTTGACGAAAATTCCCGAAATTTTCCGAAAATTTCAAAAAAAAAAATTTTATTGCGAAAATATTTTTTTTTATGTTAGGGATTTGCAAAAATATATAACACATTAACTTTTTGTCAAATTTTTGGTTGCATTAACGACATAGATTTTCTTAAAGAACTTGCTTGAGAGCATAGTCTTTTTTGTTTTTTTGCACTATTTTGTAATAATTCCAAACACTAGATTTTTCTCTTGGCATTGTGCTATGCCTATAAATAAACAACAAAAATTTAAGAATGATTTTAAATTTGTTTATTTTTTTAAAAAAGTTTTTTGTGTTGATGCTGAATAATCCGGCTTCATTGAGGTTATGTAACATAACTTACATTATTTATACTTCTTCTTCTGCTTTAAATTAACACAAATTAAATTCTTATTCAAAGTTTCTTTGCCTTGTATCATGGCCTTAACGAAAATCAGCGGTTAAACAATTGAAATTTAAATGAAAAAAACAAGGAAAGTTTCCAAGGAATGTTTCCGGTAGCTTAAAAGAAACTTTCAAAATGAAAATAAATTCCCAATTGGAAACTTTCCCAAACGGAAAGTTTCCTTAAAATGGAAACTTTCCGATTCCCATCTCTACTTTTTACATTAACATAACTCTGGTTCGGATGCACTCGGCTATCTGTATTTATTGTAGGTGACCTCTACCGATAGCCTTGTAACTCCCATGCCGGGTCCCGTGATGAACTCCCTGGTATCGGAGACAAAAGTGATATGCAACGATTCCATCCCGAACCCAATAACTCCAGTGCCTGTGCCCATACCCATCGGCGATTCCGACTCGAAAAGCATCACGATTCTGAGCGGCACGCACCTCAAAACGGGCCAAGCCAAGTCCATCGAAAGTGGCAACGGCGCGAAAGAACCCAAGGAGGAGATCTCGATGAACACCGACACGAGTCTGAGCAACGAGTCCAGTTTGAGCCCGTCCGAACCCATGGACTGCAACAGCACTCCGAACATATCGCCCGCTCACGTCGTCAAGTGCCCAGTCGATTCCGCCGAAGACGTGGCCATGAGTGAAACTTCGGTAAGTTCAATAATAATTTATTTAAAATTTTCGTTAAATGTACATTTTGTATATATATTTTGTCCAGGCAGGTCAATTTGATCGATTTTTTTTCCTTTGTGATAAAACAGTTTAATATACTGCAAAATTTTTTTATAAGTTTATAAATAACAAAAATAAACTTTAAAGAAATAAAACTTATAGGGTTAATCTGAAATAGGGAAGGAACACAAGGAAGAAATGAAACATTGTCCTCCTCCTAACGCATCTTCCTGAACGTTTTATGACACATTGCTTTTGACTTTTTCAAACGTTATTTTTCAGAAATACTGTTAAATGTAAATATCTTTCAGCATTTGTTTGGAATTTCTACTATGCTATGATACAAAATGAAAATAAAAAAAGTTAACTTCTAAAACAAGAGTTATATGTAGCGTTTTGTAAAAAACACCAAAAAATCTTACCTTTAAAATATTTACAAAAAAATTCACACACTTTACACGTGCTCACTTGTTGTTGCCGAACTATCAAACTGGATGCCCTCTAGAAATAAAACGCTAGTATCTCTATCTTGTGTCTATATTCCGAAGCAGTCGGCATAGAAGACGATGTTAGGAAAAAGACAAGATTTTTGAATGTCAACTTTAATATTTTTTTCTGTTTAAACTACTTTGTAGAAAACTATTTTAGTTTTATATACGAATAAAAGTATTTTCCATTGTTCAAAAATAATTTATTTTTTTAGAAGAAAGCTGCAAAGAAGAATATAATAATTTAAATTAAAAAATCGCCTCTGGGGACAGTTGGGTTACAGGACATTTCACCTAGTATTTCTGCCATATATAGAAACACAAAGTAATTAAAAAAAAATACGATGGGTCCTAACAGAAAGGGGGTATTTAAATATAATAAATACAAAACTTATCAACAAAGGTCAAAAATAAAAATAATATTAGCTGGGGACAGCAAATGTACATTTAACGAAAATTTGCCCATATGCTATTGTTTTAAAGATTTTAGTTTTTTTCTTTTAAATATATAAAAAGGATAGTTTGTTTAAACTTTATTTACGTTTACTTAAAAATAAGAATATTTGAATTTTTAATAATAGTTTTATAAAAACATGCAAGAAAAGTATAGTAATTGGACATTTTATATAGTAATTGGACACATGGACCATAGTTATTGGACATCCAATTTTTATATAAACATAACAACTTTACATCAAATAACATATGTTGTTAAATATGTTTTAAAGATAAATTGCTGTTTTAGGTAATTTTTTTATTTCGTTTTTGTAAATATCATATAATTCATATATTTCTTTCTCGGATTCATCATCCCTTTTCTGGATTCTGAAGGTAACTACTAATTCCTTGGTCTGAGTTGTGAAATACCTTGTTGCAAATATCATTGTGGTATCTCTAGTTTGTGAAGCATTTATAATGTTTAGGCCGGAACAGGATGATTTAAATATATCTAATATTTTTTCAGGTGATATGTTAAAAGTATTTTTCGTATTTATTAATTTTATTGCCATTACTTTTTTATGTTCTCTATCATGCACTGTATTTAAATCATTGTTATTCTACAAGATGTCCTGTGACGAAGAAATCACTTTATTACTTACTCTCTAAAAATGTCATATCGAAAAATCAGCCACTAATAATTCTCGTCAACAGCAATTTGTATCCAGGACATTCAGCAGTCAATTTCTATGAAATATTATTCGCTGAATCCGAAAATGTCGTCAAAAGTTATCAAAGCAGAACAGTTTTTGAAATATAATCAATTTTACATATAATATGGAATTGACTATATCTCAAAAACTGCCTAACTTTTATAGTTTTTGACGGCCTTTTCGGATTTAGGGGACAATTTTACATAAGAATTGGCTGGTAAATGTCCGGAATACAAATAGAGTATGATATTGGACATATGTACAATAATAGAAATTTACATTTTTTACCAACCAGTAATTGGACACTGGCCATTTTACTGTTTGTTTTCAGAATTAAAATTAAAACTCATTAAAGTGACAATGTTTAAACCATGATCTGTACACTTTTTAGAAATATTTTTTATTGTAATTTAAACACAGCCCTGCTCTTAACAAAGTCTTGCCATCAAAGTAACGTGCAAACTTTTTTGTCCTATATTGGACCCAAAATAAAGTAGTTCATCTAATAATTAGAATTATTCATCTAATGATTTGACTTTAAGGTAACTATTTATAGAACTCTTGTTTTTACAGTATTAATGTTAATTGTCCAATTACTATAAAGTGTCCGATAACCTGTCTACTTTACGGCCATTCCAAGCCCATGGACAGGACACATCAAAACATGTCTAAATTATATTCTTGTTACTTCCTTAAGTTTACTTATTTTTTCTACGAGTATTTATGAGAAGTATTAGCCAACTTTGGCTAATACTTCTCATAAATACTCGTAGAAAAAATAAGTAAACTTAAGGAAGTAACAAGAATATAATTTAGACATGTTTTGATGTGTCCTGTCCATGGGCTTGGAATGGCCGTTTACTACTTTAATTGCGTTTAGATAATTTTGTTTATTTCTGTCAGGTATCAAGTGGCAGTATGCAAATTGAAACGCTCGAGGCCAATCAAATGGTCGTTGAATCTATTGGAGAAACGGACAAGTGAGTAAAAATGCGAACCTAATAATTTAATCTGCACAAGTGTCTTTCAGAAAGGAGCAACTAACTTATGAAGACTTATCCCTTTTTTGTGATTTATTTTACCTACCATTCGAACATGGTAATCAAGGGCTTCAACTGTTGCAAGAATTCAATTGGTTGAAATCCAACGCCCATTTAGTTATCGCAGCGAATCAGAAAAACGACAAATCTACTCCTGAGGTAAAACACAATAGTATTACATATTATGTTACAAGCGGGTGTTTTAAAAATAAAGCCGGAAATGTTAAAAAAATCGTTTTTACCGGTTTCCCAATTAACAGTAAAATACCAAGAAAGGATATTATAGTATGTATTAGTTGCAAATATTGCATAATTTTTTAATACACATTATTGAAATAATGAGTAATGTGTTTAATTTGCATTATGCATTACTTCTTTTTTAATGAAATTTAAGTTAGGTATTCATTACTTTTTTCCAATGAGTAATGTATTATTTTTTACACTACTCATTTTTTTAAATTTGTAATGAGTATTTTGAGATTTTCAATTAAAATTGTTTATGTTAAGGGGCATTCCACGTTACTTGGTAATTTTTGTCCCGCCCGTCACAATTGAAAATTGTGAGTAAAAACCACAAGTTATAAAATTAATATTTTATAACATTATTTTTATTGTGCTTATAACTTATTAAAAGCATAATAAAACAATATTTTTAAATAAATTTTATAACGTGTAGTTTTTACTCACAATTTTAAATTGTGACGGGCGGGACAAAAATCCCCGAGTAACGTGGAATGACCCTTAATGAGTAATGTACTCACTTTACATTACTAATTTTTTTAATTTTATATGAGAAATGAATGATTATAGAATTTTTAGTGGGCAAGGAAGATATTTTTAATGCATGACACATTTTTTTAATTTTTGTTTTAAATTGTTTAAAAATTTCAATTTGGACCATTATTAAAGAAATTAGCAGCAAAAAAACAAAAAACGCGATTTCTTTGAAAATTTCATATCTTTTAAACAAGTAATCAAAAAAATATCAAATTTTACCAGAAAGGAATTTTTATTGGGTATGTTATACATAATATATTATATGTAATATGTAATATATAATACATTATCTTATAAAACTAGAATATATACTTTGTAAAACATGTTAGTATTATGCCCTTTGAAGGCATAACTTAAAAATGATGTCTCTTGTAGAAACATAATTTATATATCAAATAATAGTTAATTATCAGTACTTTAACGTGATATACTCAAAATTATAAAACAACGTTGCTTCTTCGAGTTTTTAACCCTTAAAAAATGGTAAAATTTTAAATTAAATCTAAAAAAAATACGTGGATTTATTACGTTTTTAAATAAAAATGTTATTACAAAATATCAAAATTTATATATTTTTAACACAGTAGAGGGACTTACGGCCTAAAAACCACAGCAGTCAATGTATGACATTTTTTTTTGTTGAAAAAATGCACCATTTAGATGTAGAAACAAGGTTAAAAAAAATATATTCAATTCTGGCATCACTTGCAAACAAATGTCCAAAATTTGTTCAGATTTTTACGAGAAACCAGTTAAATATATTGTCGAAAATTCTTAAATTCACACAATGGTATCTAGCGCCACCAGATGGCGCGCTTTTCGAAAACCCGATGCTTCTTTAGCGTATAATCGCGTACTTATATTTTAGGTGCAAGAATGGTTCTCCAGAGCTGACAAGATGAACGAAATGACTCTCGCTGTCAACAAACTCTTCAAACACTTGTCCAGTTGCAATAATAGGGAATTATTGTACGACCTGTACTCTTACCTGTGGGATATAAGAGGGGTTATATGTTTGCTCAATTCGTACATAAAATGGCTCGGTATGTATTAAGTTTATGCGATGGTTTAAATGAATTTTAATTCGGTTATTTTTCAAAATGTGCAATGCGTATTATTTATTTACCGCCTGTGCGTAATATTTATTTTTAGTAATTTGCTACAAAAACAATTTGTCACAACAAATTATATAGGCGTTTGCGAATATACAGGGTGCACCAAGTATCATTCTATGTGTGGGTATATTTTTTATTTGAAGAGCTACAAGGTCGGTTGAATTATGCAAAAGTTGCGCATTCACAAGTCTTTACAAATGGCATTTAAAAATTTTTGAAAAAATCGGCGAATATCTAATAATTTCAATAAAACAAACCTGTCAAAACCAAAAATCGTTATTTCTGGGAAATTTGAAAAAACTAAGTTTCCCATGTAAATATACTAGGGTCTTGAAAAAATTGGCTTTTTTGGGAAAAATTGTTTTTTTTCTGAACATTATTTTAATTAAAAATCCTTAACATGGTACTATTACTATAAGTTTAATTTTATTTCAATGTTTTTTTCATGGATAACGGCAGAATAAATTTTTGTAGCTATTATTGTTCATTTTTCTACCTAAATTTTTTCAATAAAATTTAGTGTAGGGTCGTTTTGAGGGGTGGGGAATCCAGTGCCGTGCTTAGATTTTGCTTAAAAAAATCGCTAATATGAATTCTTAAAAATTTACTCTTAAAAACTGACATACCTTGTATTTTGTACTAATATGGCGTCTTTGGCTCAAAAAATACAGTTTATCAAGATCTACACAAATCCGGTTAAAATCGCACAATAAATAAAGATTTTACAGGGGTGAGTCGCAAACAAATGGGTCACACTATATAATTAATAATTATATGATTATAATCAGAGTAAAAAAAATCACTTTTTTCTTAATATCATGGTAAAAAGAAAAATTTACTTTTTAATTTTTTTGCCAAAATTAATTCCGAAAAAAACGTTTTTTCCGCCGGCTCAATTTTCCGGAAATTTTAAGTCCCTAAAATATACATATATCTACATTTTCATTCAATTTGTGTTTTTTTTTCGCCTACCACCTCCATCTTTTGTTTTCAAATGGCCGCCATATTGTAATTTTACATGGTTAGATAGAAAAAAAACAAAGCTGGTGATGGTAACTCAAAATAAAGGAGCAAAGAAAATGTATAAAAATGTAGATTAGTATGAATGTTTACATTTAAAACTTACTTTGTTTCAAAATTCCCAGGAATAATCAAGTTATAACCATTTTTGGCTTTGAAAGATTTTTAGTTTATTTCAAATATTTTGAAAACCGCGGGTTTTAATTCATAAATTTAATTTTAATAGGCTTATACCCAGGGCCGAGCCGTGCCGGGGGTGCAAGGGGTGCATGGCACCCGGGCGGCACTAACACAGGGCGGCAAAATATCATCAAAAAATTCATATTATCAAGAATAAAAAAGCCACCTTGCAATATGCAAAAAACTTTCTAAAAATCATTTGCGTTTTATTGATGTCGGCGTTTCAAGGAATCATCGTTTTTATTCTACACATAAAAACAATGCCAAAATTGTGCTGTCAGGCGGCAATGATAAAAAAGACATAACCGAACGCGCGATAGCCCCAAAAAATAATGATGACAATTTTCTTAAAGCCCGGTTTATAGATTGCCGCCCGCCCGCTTCGCTTTCCGTCCGTCCGCTTCGAGTTCGTCAAGTTTCATGTTTTACGGAAGCGGGCTTACGGGAAATCAATTAAATCGCGCGCTGTGTACCACGTGATATTGTTTACAAGCTGAAGCTAAGTTAAAGCATAATTTCTTCCTATTTGACGGCTGCGTATTTCAGCAATTTTTAGTTTTTCTATTAACGTGAGGCAAATAGGATGCAAACATAGTAGTTTATTTTGTCTTTTAATGCGTTTAAGTTAAAAACTAGTTAATGATTTAAAAGGCATCTTTCCGAATTTATTTGTAGCTTTAAGAATATTTTTGACGATACCAGTTACTGTTGCCCATGGAGAGCGGTCATTTTCGAAATTAAAACTAATTAAGACCTATTTAAGATCCAATATGAGTCAATTCAGGCTTTCAAATTTAGCAATTATAAGTATTGAAGAAGATATTTCTAACAACTTGGATGTAGGCGACTTGATTAGGGAATTTGCTATTAAAAAAGCGAGAAAAGTAGATTTTAGATTTTTAGTTTAGTTTAATTATTTTTGTTTTTTTTTCCTGAATGTATTTTTATTTTATTCTTTTATGTATTTGTTAATAAATACTTTGTTATTTTACTATAAAATTTGTTATATGTTTATTGAGAATGAACTCCTTCCCTACCGACAACCTAATTTTTTACATTAATGGGGGCGGCAAATTTAATTCTTGCACCCGGGCGGCAGATACCCTAGGCTCGGCCCTGCTTATACCGCAACTTTAATCTTAAAGCTCTTCCAATAAAAAAATACTTATACATAGTATTCATTTTTTGCTTCATTACATGTAATTTGTTAAAAGGATGAATCCATAGAATTGTAATTTCTCTGGATTTCTGAAAAATAAATGTATTTTCTTTCTTATTTCTTTATTACTTGGTGCACTCTGTATACTATTATTTGGTTTCAGCTCTGAAGAAAAGGTGTATCCAGGACAAAGCAAGCGTACATTTTTAGCAGTTGCGTAACTATTTGGTCATTTTGTACATTTAAATACTTTTGAAAAATAACTGTTTTTGTCAGAGAGAATGTTTATGTAGTGGATGATGTTGTGTTATTTAAAATTTGAAGCCAAACAACAAAAATAACAAAGTTATTTAATTTTTTTATATTTGGGCGTGTTCCACCCCTAAAAAGTATGGCACGACATTTTAGTATTTATTAGTTAATAGTTTGAAGATTAAAGTTTAGCACTTTAACGAAGTTTTAACAACATTTTTTTTAAACTCAAAACAATTGATAGTAAAAAAAAGTTTAAATATAAAATACAACTGTAAAACTTTAAGGCTAAAAATATTGATTTTTAATGTAGTTCAAATATTTTATTCTACAAAATTTTCGTTTTTAAATTGTAAATTGTTCAAAATAAAAAGTTTTGGTTTGAATATGTAAAGAGTTATTTAAATGGTAGTCAATACATTTTTTATCCAAAATTACCACTTTAAAATTTAAAACTAACATTTTAATGTAATTTGAGAATTTTTGTATTAAAAATGTATTTACTATCATTTAAATGACTACAAATTTAAACCAATAATTTTGTAGAATATAATATTAAAACTACAATTTTTAAAAACCAATATTAAAATAAACTTTTGCATTTTACATTTAATATATTTTTTGATTATCAATTCTTAAGAGATTAAAAAAAATACCTTTTTAAACTATTTTGGTGAAGAATGTTTTCTATGTGTTTTTATTTTAAATGTCTGTACACTATTTTTAAATACTAAAAAAATTTAACTTTACCAATTATAGGATTTACAAAATTCTGCCCAAATAAATTAAAGTAAAATTATTTTTATTAAAAAAAATTGATTGGAAATAATATTGTTTAATACAAAAGTTAACTGTTGGTTAGTAAATTTATCAATACATGATATTTGAAATATTTAAAATTTATAAATGTAAACCTAAAATTTTTAGTTAAAAATTTTTTAAAACCAATAAAATTTTAAATTAAAAATGTTAAAACGGCGTGCCATAAAGAAGCCTAAACATTTTCACATTGTTTTGCTAATTTCTTTCAAAGCAAATTGTTGTTTAAAAGTTGATAAGTTCACGATACTACACATTGATAATGTTTCCTAACATTACTGCAAAACATTTCAGTGCCTTATTTATTAATGTTATATTTATTTTCTTAGCTGGTGGCCAGTTTCCTTCTTCTATGCCTTCCTACACCCAAGGGACATATACATGTATGCATCATCCAGGAGTAGTATATGCATCAGCCGAATTGCGTAAACTCAGCTTTGCGTAATATTCATGCGTAGCATTTTAATTATAAATTATTGTTGGCGAATCTATTTAGATACACCTACCTGCCATGGTTTTTCTTTTAGAAAAAATGGACGTACTTAAAAATAAGGTCATAGTTTTAACATTAGGTACTTTGCCTTCTATGTATTTGAAGAGCTACAATGAGAGAAAAATCAGCTTCACAAAATGTAGATTATAGTTTTCAAAATTCCTAGGAAAAACGATTTTTGGTTTTGAAAGTCCAGCAAACACAGCCGTAAAGTTTCTAGTATGGGGTATTAAAGATTCTATAGTTGTTATTTAAATAATTTTTAATGGATAATTGAAGTATCTGTTATGGTGGATTAAATGTGCTAGGTATATATTTATTAGATAAGGATATTCCACGATAATTAGAAATTGTTATACCTACCGTCACAACACAATTTCTGACGGTCGGGATAAAAATTTCCTATTATCGTGGAATATTCGACCCAATAAATATAAACAAACCATATTTAATCCACCATAATAAATACTTTACTTATCCATTACATTCATTAATTTATTATCGTGAAATGTAATACTAAAACATTCATAAAGTTACAAGAAAAAATACAAAGCAATGTGTAGGTACCTAAATAAGTGAAATATAAAATTTTTATTTTAAAAACTGTTTATTACCTAAATGGAATCCATAATAAACTGCGCGTCAAAATTAACGCATAACAAGTTAAAAAAATCCAACTCTAAAACGCCTTTACCAATCTTTATAAAATTTGGGATAAAAATACTTTAACTTGTATCTCAGTTTACGTGTTCAAGGGTTTTTCGAGAAAATATCCTTTTATTTGATAATAAAAAACGCTGGAAAAAAAACTTTTATAGGGAAATTTTTTTTTAAGTAAATAAAAAATATGCTGTGAAAGACTGTATTTTTGTAAGTATACCCTGAACATTTTGTACAAATCAAACAAACAGTAAAAAAGATACAGCGCTTCAAAGTCGTCAAAAATGACCACTTTTCAGCAATATAATCAAAAAGGGGTCATTTTTACCGACTTTGAAGCGATGTATTTTCGTTACTGTTCGTTTGATTTGTACAAAGTTTTCAGGGTATACTAACAAAAATACGGTCTTTAACAGCATATTTTTTATTAAGTTAAAAAGTTATTTTTTGAACGTTTTTTTTATTATTAAATAAAAGGGCTTTAAAATATTTTCTCGAAAATACCTCGAACACGTAAACTGAGATATAAGTTGAAGTATTTTTATACAAAATTTTATAAAGATTGGTGAAGGCGTTTTAGAGTTAGAATTTTTTTACTTATTATGCGTTAATTTTGACGCGTTCAAATGTAGGCATTTAGAAAAACATATTTGTATTTTGTTTATTTATTTTCTTATTATGGTAAAAATAAGTTTCCTTTTAATTTTATTTTAATTTTTTATACAAAATTCAATCAAACTAAAAATAAGAGTTTTTTATGTAAATAAAATTGATAAAAACTACAAACAAAAAATGGTCAACTAACAAAAATTGTATAATAGGCAACCAAAAAATAAGTAAATTTTGCTATTTTTTAAATAGACAATAAATAACTTTTTTTTTAATAAATTTAGAAAAACAATAGTAAAACAACTTTTTCTGAATGGAAACTTAACATTTTAATTGGCAAATTACAATTTTAATGTTATAAATGACTATCCTAACTATTGGATATCAACAATTTTCAAATGTTTGATTCTGCCACAACAGTGTGGTTAAATCTACCAAAAAAGATCAATTTAAAAAAGGGCCATTGCAGGACATGATAACCTTTTATCAAAATTAATATTTTTATTAAAACATTCCTGTAAAGGCCCAGTAAAAGGAAAGCTTTGGCTATAAATAATAATGACATTAAGGTATGAAACTATATAATAAGCCATTACATAATCAGACTTATGTGTTTGCTGGGAGGTTTTGTTTTTTTCAAATATTTTGAGAACCTTGTAGCTATTCAAATAAAAAAAATACCCATGGAAGTATTAATATAAAAAACACATAACATAAGCTATGATCTTGTTTATTTATTTGATAGCTTGCGTAAAATCATGTTTGTTTTAATTGCGTTAATGCGTCATGTAACTTCTATATGCATATTTTTTAACATGTAATTGTATTAAATATGGTAAGTGTTTTAAAAAGTGCGAATTGTGCGTAAATTTATAATATATAAGGCGCAAGCGATAGCAGAGCGTTTATATAACGTATTTTACATTAATTATTTTGTTTTGTGTAATGTAGGGTTCTCTAAAGGTTGGAAAGAAACCTTTATGAGTGGAGAACAGGAACCCTGGGTATTCAGAGGAGGCCTTACTGCCGACTTACAGGTGCATATATAAAATTTATTTTAATTTAAACTAAAAAGTTAATGCGAAATAAATTTTAGCGTTTAATCCCCGTTGATTCAGGGAATGACCTGTTTGTTTACAAAGTGCCAGATATACCCACATGTCGGGTGTTTACGGTTAGGCCGTATTTGTGCACCGATGAAAAGCACGTTTACAACGTGTGCACCAAAACTTGCAAAGACGGTTTAGAAGACCCCCACGTGTACCCAGAAAACTTGAAAAATGTCCACGCTGATCGCATCATCGGACCATATTTAACTTTGCATCCCGAATTTTGCATGGTTGTTGAAGACGACGTGGGTATCGTCGGATATGCGTGCGCAACTCCGGATTACAAGAAGTTCCGCGTCAAACAGGAAATCGCGTGGATCCCGGAAATGTGCGAAAAGTATCCGTTGAATCTCGGCAAGGACTTGCCCAAATTCGGACAAGTATGATTTTGTATTTGATCCTGTATGTATTAATTTTAATTTTGTTTTTAGGAAAGCATATCACATTTTCATAATTTCGCAAATGAAATGTATGTAAATAGCCCAACACATCCTTCCAGTATGATCTGTAGTCTTCTACCATCCGTACTTGATCAATCAGTTAGCAAACGTTTAGTCACCTGCTTATTGGCAGCCCTTAGAGCCAATGGTAAGCATTTTTATTAAATTTTATTTAATTTAAACCGAATTATTTTTATTTTAGGTTGCTTTGGGGTTCACGTAATAATGAATACTTGTGATAGTTACACTCATGCATTTTATGGAAAATTGGGTTTTGTAGAGAACACTCAAGAAACTATTAAAGGAAAAACTGTAATGGGCCGTACTTTTTAATGCACATGTGAAATATTTTAATGACTGATTTATTTTTTGTTTAATTTAGTTATATTTATCCTATTTATAAATTCATTTTTACCAGTCTGTTTGCGTATTATTGATATATTTAGTAGGTAGATTATACTAAAATATGATTTTTAATTTATAAAATATATATTGCTAAGTTTTAAAATGTTTTATTGTCATTTAACGAAATTCACTACTTCCTTGAAGTTGAATAATCTTCTTGTGAATGTCCATTATCTGAAAAAATAATTATTATTATTTAAAAATTATTACATTACATAATGGGCAATGTTTTATAAAATCATTCTTTAAATATAAATTACAAAAATAAATTAGGCAATAAACAACTAAATTATTAAATCGTCAAAACGCACGCTGGGTAAATTTTACCCTATATCTACTAATTCTTGCAATTATTTATTTCTATTGGAGTATAAGTATAAAGGTAAGTTGACTATTGTATTTCAGCAGTTTTTATAGCTAGCATAAAGATTTTGGCAAATTCCCCTTGAAAAAGTGATACAAAAATGTCTGAATTTGAAAATAAACTTATTTTGCTTTATAAATAATTAATTATAGGCATTATTTACCAAAATACTTTTTTATGAAATTATTTTTTTATCAAATTATTTCTTTATGAAATTATTTTCTATGCGATCAAAAATTGTCTGTACTGTAGAAATATGAGTTATATTAACTTCTTCTTTTTGGCATGGTAATTCGCATAAAACGTTAACTTAAAACCTGCAGTAAAAATTTATTAATAAAATTCGCTCGGCGTCTTTTAGCAAATAATTATAATTATTATTATAATTATAAATCAATAATTTTTTATTCGCATAAAAAATAATTTGAGAAAATAAATGTTTGATAAAAAAAATAATAATGATAATAACAAATTAATTTTATACAAAAATAATTTATAAAAAAATAGTTAAATAAAAAAGTATTTGATAAAGAAATATTACATAAAAAAATATTTCAAAAAAAAATAAAAAAATAATTTAATAAAGAAATTATTTAATAATAATAATAATTTATTAAAAAATAATTTTATACAATAATTAGTTTAATAAAAAAGTATTTACATTAAAAAATGATTTGATAAAAAAATTGTTTAATAATAAAAAATTGTAAAAAAAAATAATTTCATAAAAAAAAAATATAAAGAAATAATTTGATAAAAAAATAATTTGGTAAATAATGCATGTAATTAATTATTTATTTATAAGGCAAAATAAGTTTATTTTGCACTTTTAATTTTAACACTTTAACAGTTTTAAAATAAAAATTACAGTTTTTTTACGATATCAAGAAAATTAAAAATGTCAAATGTTTTGGATCATGATGGGCATATAATTTCGAAACTTAGATATCTTGACCCACAGAGTCCTAGGAGCTCCTCTGCGACCCCTGTGGGCTTGCCAGAAATCAAAATGCCCTAACTAAAAGAAACTAGAAAATATAAAAGTATAAAAAAATATATATATTTATCATTGCATTATATAGGTATAAAGTGAAATTTTGACAGTGCATTCCTATAATGACTTCTAAGGAAAATCTCCTTAGGAGATTAATAAAAATTATAATGACGGAATAAACACTAATGGCGACATCTCTGTGTTTAATATCTGGGGAGTGATTTTTAAAAGGTCGTATTTCCATTTGCAACAATTTTTCAAAAAAATGACTATAACCTGTATAGGTTAGGGCAATATAGATTATTAAAAAAAAAATTCTGATGAATATTTAATAATACTTCAGACCTGCTGTCATATTTCGCCGTTAATATATGCCTTTTAACCATACCTTTGGGATTTTGCCAAAAAATTACATTCAAGTGAAAATTAAAATAAGGCTTTTTGAAAAATCACTCCTCATCTAACAAATTTTAGACCGATCCAACCTCGCTTTCTCCCAATTAAATTATTTTTCAATGGTATTTTTTGGAAACGTAGAAAAAGTATAGTCTGAAACACGTTTGAAATTGCATATTCCGCTCTCTTGAAACCGTCAAACTCGCCATATTTAAATCACACCTATTTTGATTAGACAACATAATGATGTAAAAAATAATACTAACCATTTTCATCTGATATCCTGCTCGTTCGAGTTCTGTCCCAGGAGACTGCGCATTATCCATGTCCTTTAATTGCATAACTAAATCGTTTATTATGCTTTCAACATCAATATTTGTTGCGGTTCCTTTTGATTTTGCTGATAAATTTCTTTCCTTTAAGAAATCATTAAGTTCCTTTGATATATCCTCACGAGATAACATTTTATTATATTCAGCACTCGTTCCAAATGGTGGTTTTACTTCCGATTGTTCTTTCGGTATATTTCTTAGCGATTCCTTTTTTTTCGTTAATCTCCACGATGCTAAGGAATTTAAATTTCTAAAAATACATGTTTTAATTAAATACATTTTAACAAACAGAACAGTACTTTTCTTGTTGAAGTATTTTTTCTTGATCATTTAACAATATTTTTAGTTTTTCCAACCACATGTCTTTTAAAGTGTGTTTTGAGATATTTTCTTCATCGATATCTTCCTTTTTGTAATATGATTTCAAACATATTTTTGATGGATCCTTGGTTATTTTGTGAACAATTTTAGGTGGGTCATTATAAATATTTTTATTCTGAAGTTTAGGATATGATAATTTTTTTACCGATAGAGTCGGTCTTAATTCTTTAATCATATGAGATGAGGAATATACATTTTTTAAAATCTCCTTATTTTCCTTCGATTTTTTTGTATCCTTTTCACTTACATTTTCTTGATCAAAAACTTTTATTAACTGCTCTGATTTAGATGACTCTGGCAAATCATTTTCGTATTGACTTTTTAAATAAGAAATTAAATAGTTGGTACCTTCCGATACAATTTTTTGCGATGGATAACATAAAGGATTATTGCTTATTTGTAAAGTTTTTAAATTGGCAACAGTACCTTAAATAAAAAATGGTATTCTTGGTTTTTAACAATAAGTACGAGGTGTGTTCAGAAAACATCGGGAATTTTCGTTTTTTGAAACAAATATTTATTTATTCGTCTACATTAATGTTGTCGCCTTCAAAATAGTCCCCATTGGATATTATGCACATGTGCCAGCTCTTCTTCCAATACTCGAAACACTTCTAAAACTCGATCTTTGGGATAGCCTTTAGTTCTTTCAGCGATGCGCTTTTAATGTCATCTATGCTTGCTGCTATTTTTGGGAATAGGAAAAAGTCAGACAGAGGCATGTCTGGCGAATATGGAGGCTGGGGCATCATTACAGTATTGTTTTTGGCCACAAATTTTGTTCAAAATTTAACAATTTTAGAACAAATTTTGCTGCCACGCGTTTCATACCCAAAACATTCGAAAAAATTTCATGGGATGAGCCAATCGATATACCAACATCATCAGCGACTTCTCTAATGGTTTATAACCATTTCTTTCACTTTTTCCATGTTTTTATCGGTTGTTAATGTGCTTGTGCATTCGAGGCGTTCGTCATCTTCAATGTCTTTACGGCCATCTTGGAAACTCTTATACCACTTGTAAACTCTTGTTTTACTTATAGCAGACTCACTATAGGCCTTTTTTAACATTTCACAGAATTTATTTAATTTTTTAAGCAAAATTGGATACAAATTCTTTGATCCATTTCTTTTAACGAACGAAAAATCGCCGAGCTCATAAAACACGTCTAACCTTAGCGGCTGCCACAGACAAAGTAAACAATGAAAACAGCTAAAGTTTTTATCATACTTAGGGGGCATGTATACCAACATTATAAAGAAAATTTTATGACAACCGGACCCTCCGAACCCGCGAAATTTAACAATTCCCGTTATTTTCTGAACACACCTCGTATTCTTACCAAGTTCATTTGGCAAAGCTTTTATCTTATTGTTTGTTAAAAGTAAACTTTCCAAGTGCGGATGATTTGCAATACCAGTTGGTATCCGTTCTATTGAGTTATTTCTTAAATCCAGCCACATCAACTGCGGAAACATTTGAAAAAAGTCTTCTGGTAGTGCAGATATTAAATTTCCTTCCATAAATAACATTTTTAAGTTTGTCTGGTTAAAAATTTCTTTTGGTAGAGCAACCAGACTCTCTTTGGCATGATCAGAAATAACGTCAAGTTGCGACATTTTCTAATTTTGTATAAAATTTTGACAAAAAACTAATAATCCGAAAACTATACCTGAAAACTCAAAACGATGATGTTACTAAGGCAATAATTTTATTGATTTAACAAAGAGGTATTCCTTAATATACCTACAGGGTGAGTCATTTAACTTGAAACTGAAATATCTCAGTTACTATGCATTTAACGAAAAAATGTTTAAAATAAAATGATTCGAGGGGGGAAATCAATCAGTAATAAAATTGGTCCTCATACTCTTCTCCTTATAGGGGGAACAAGGGGTAACTTTAAAATTTCCTATGGAACACCCTATTTTTTATTGCAGATTCGGATCATTCGACTAAAAATAGGTAGATTTTGTCTAAAACATTTTTTCATATTTGTAATAGATGGCGCTGTAATAAAAAAAATCAATTATGTTCGATTATTACTGATTGATTTCCCCCCTCGAATTATTTAATTTTTATTTTAAACATTTCTTCGTAAAATGCATACTAACTGAGATATTTCAAAGTTTCAAGTTAAATGACACCCTGTATTTTCGCGGAAAAAAAATTAGAAGGCCTACCAATTATTTTTTTACTTAAAAAAATATTAAATTCCGTCTCAAAAAAAGCACAGAACCCAACACTACATTTCTAATTACAAACATTTTCTTGAATTGAAAAGTAGGTACATAGTTTCAGAGTTTCAGGTTTATCTCAATGCGCCAAACATTAATGTTTGTATTGTTGTTACCTTAACAATACAACTTGGATCGCAATGACAACATAACACCGGTTTAGTGAATTAATTACAATTGTAAACGTGTAGTTTACAATTGTTAAAATGTCCTTTACACTTAAAAAATCTGTCATTTTTATATCAGGTAAAGTCTTGTTTTTAATATTTGTATTGCATATTGATTATTTATTCCTTAATACCTATATAGGCTGCAACCTGGGAATTAATTTACTGGAAAATGACTTTGGTAAAGATGTTATTGGACTAAACGATCTTGAAACATTTTTATCAGAACAAAAGTGTCTTATTTTATATGCAGTTTTAGAAGAAAGTGAGAAATCTAAAAAAATAAAGTTTTTTAGAAACGTAAGTGTTTGTATTCCAAGTGCAATATAAAAAATCGACTTCGCGAATTCGACTGGCAATGATATGTTTATTTAATATACCTAAATCGTTTGGAATTTTTAAATTAAAATAAAAAACAATATTTTTTCGATTATAGTTTTCGTTTTCGTTCCAATGGAAACAAAAGTATACAACAGCTAGCTTTAAAAAATAAAATTCAACTTTTTAAACGTTATAACTTATTTTACAAAAGACGTTAGGAAAATGATATATCGTGTACATATACAGTAAACGAAAAAATATAGAAGTGTATTGGATGAGGCCACGTTTGTATTATCGAGCGTTTTTTCAACAAAACCTCTGAAATTTTTAATACAAATATAGGTACTTTATATAATACATAAATATACTTTACATCATATCCTCTGTGCTTTATATACCCGAGTTGTTACGGTAAATAAAAATCAGACAAAGGAACTAAAGAAAGGAACTGTTTTCAACAAAATCATATGCAGAAATGAGAATATTCAAAATACTTGCATCCATCAAAAGATCAAAACTTCTTGCAATAATGAATTACACCCTCTTTTTATCCTCTCAGAAATATTGACTAGAACAGTATTATTTTTTTTTTTATTATTATTAGAAATACTCCAGTTTCTATAACTTGCTAGAGTAAAGAGAAGTCGAAACCGTTGCGATATTGCATTGCGCTGTTTATTAAAATTCTCGGGGACATTAACGAAAATCACTGCCAGTAAAATTCGAAAAGCTTGAGTTTCTATGTCTTTGAAGAGAATAATAATCCGAAGTTGCTGAACCATTGGACTGCCACCTTTTTCAGTAATTTCTAGAGACATGAATGACTGCGCCATTCGACGGGGTCGAGTTTCTACCTCTCTGTTGAATATAGAAAATCAAAATAATGTGTCTTGTAACACAAAGCACGATTCAATACAGTTCTGAGTCATCCTATACAGTTCTATAATTTTCCATTTGCTTTGTAGTCTAGAATAATATAATATAATAGATTTATATTAACCTGATTTTTAGGCCGATAAAAATAATTACAGCCGACTTGTTATACTGAGTAAAGAAAAACCATGTGTCATTACAGAAGAAAATCTTTTTTCATGTATCCAAGTATCGTCCATATCAGGACCTCCAACACTAGCTTTATATTACTCAATAAATAATATTTTTACTCCTCTGTTAAAAGAGGTAAGTTTAAAAAGTTAATTGTATAGGTATATATTGTGTTTTACAGCCCTAAACATTTTGTATACTTGAGTCCAAAATGTGTAAATTATAAGGATATGTAATAAATATTTTATATTTAGGAGCACCGTCAAATTCTGCAAAAGCATATTTACAATATGAAAACTGATTTACGTTCTTTTATACTTACGAACGATACTGACTGTATGGAAGATATGTCTCAGTCATTAATGGGTAAGAAACAAAAATGTTTACTTTATCTTTAAATTTAATTCTGTTAAGTGTATTATTAAAACGTTATTTAGACTAAATAAATAGGCAAATATGTTTTAATTTTATTCATAATTTAGTTGTAAACTCTTTGGAACACGAGGTTGAATATTGGGGTTCCGGAAAATGTTCATCAAAAAAAGATCAACTGAGCAAAGCTACTAGTGCCTCGTTCAGAGATATATTAGCACCACTATCTCGAGATTTTTGGTAAAAAAAGTCAAGTTGTTATTTTCCATAATTAAAGTATAATTTTTTATAGCTACTTAGATGCGCTATCATTTATGGAAGTAGAAGATACTCTAGAAAGAGCACACAATGTTTTGGATGATTTATGGAGACATGAACCTCCATATCCTAAAGATAGAATCAAACATTTAATGCAAATTATTGGTAAGCATACACGGTGTGCCTGAACGAAGTTTAAGTCACATAAAAATTCCGCCAAAAACTGATTGCAGTTTCTTTGGTGACTTAAAAATGATATTTACCAAAATCCTAGCTGCTCCTCTTTTCGAAATTTTTTGAAAATTCATGATTTTTTTATTAATTTTTGTTTATTTCAAAGTCTACATTTGACAGAGTACACATTAATGTACACCGATTTTTATAAAATTAGAGTATATTATTGAGGAGACTTAAAAAATACTTTTTAATACTGTTCACATCATTTGATATATACAGGGTGAGCCAAGAATCGCTTATTTTTAATAAAGCAAAAGCGTAAATTCATGATTTTGGCATAACACGCAAAAAATATTTATCCCCATTTTTTTTTAGATATTTCTACGTTTATCAGGTTACAAAATGGCATTCTTATTAACCTTTTATAAAAAAAAGATTTTTAATAAAATTAAATAAAATAACGCTTAGAGAATATTTAAAATGTTGTTTAATTTAGGCTTTTTAGTAGTTTTCAATTTTGAACGAAAAACTGGTTAAATTTTTTAATCGGCACTCTTTGGAGATTTAAAAACGATATTTAAAAAAATTCTAACTGATTTTTTTAAAATTTGTTAAAAAATCATTTTTTTTTAATTATTTGTTTATCGCAAAGTCGCCTTTGCCAGAGTACACATTTGTACACCGATTTTTATTGATTGCAGCTTCTTTTTCGGGAACCTTTGGTAACTTTAAAATGATATTTACCAAAATCCTAGCTGCTCCTCTTTTCGAAATTTTTTGAAAATAATTAATTTTTTTTAAATTTTTGTTTAAATTACCTTTGACAGAGTACACATTTGTACACCGATTTTTATAATATTGGAGTATATTGTTAACGAGACTTGAAGAATATTGTTTTCATACTGAGCACATCATTAGATTTATACAGGGTTAGCCAAAAATCACTTTTTTATAGTAAAAAGCATAATTCACAAAAAAGATTTATCTCCAAAAAATGTTATTTTATTTAATTTTATTCTAAATCAATTTTTCTTATAAAGTCTTTATAAGAATCCCATTTTGTAGCCTGATAAACATAAAAATATCTAAAAAAACATGGGTGGGTTTATATCTTTTTTGCGTGTTATGCCAAAATCATGAAGTTACGCTTTTGCTTTATTAAAAGAAGCGATTTTTGGCTAACCCTGTATATATTAAATGATGTGCACAGTATAAAAAGTATTCTCCAAATCTCCTTAACACTATACTCCAATATTATAAAAATCGGTGTACAAATGTGTACTCTGCCAAAGGTAGACTTTAAGATAAACAAAAATTTAAAAAAAATCATGAATTTTCAAAAAATTTCGAAAAGAGGATCAGCTAGGATTTTGGTAAATATCATTTTAAAGTCACCAAAGGGTCCCGAACAAGAAACTGCAATCAGTTTTTGGCGGCATTTTTATGTGACTTAAACTTCGTTCAGGCACACCGTGCATAATATAACATAATATATTAAATGATTAATACAAAGAAGATGGCTATTATTATTATTATTATTTTCACTAGGACAAGATATTTGCAAGTATATATCAAAACAAATTGAAAAACATAACTTTTGGGATGATGAATTTAATAAAGTTACAGAAGTAGTTTACCAGTTAATAAACATTGGTGAAAAGTGGTTAACAACATGCAAACAACTAACTGAAATATTTTGGCCAAATTATTCTGATCATATGTGGAAAGATGATATTTACGTACCCATTGAACTCTATAATTATGTTCAAATTTTACATGAGGTAATATACCTAAAGTTTTTTTAATTTAAAATAAAAACCTTACTATATTTTAAGGCCATAAATATTAAAACTCTTCATAAACAACTTATAAGGCTACTTACTCCTGAAGAACAAGAAGAAATGAAAACTAAGGAAATGTTTAATCCACTAAAGGGTAATAGTGTTTTAAAATTATTAGTATCATACACTTATTAATTGTATTTTTAGAAACAAATATTTTTAACTATGGGGAAGTCTTACCGAATACTTTGATTATAGCTAAAAAACAATTTGAATTACTTTTAGAACCAGCTGAAAAATGTGTTGCTATGAAATTAAAAAAACAGTTGTCCACCCTAAATGCCAATACCAGACAGGTACCTACTATATTTAATTCACTTATTTAAATCGATCTTTGGTTTTTGTTTTAGTTACTCTATGAATTTTCACGCTATGCAGAAATAATTACAAGACCTATCCTCAAACAAGCTCTTTTATCAGAAAGACAATTTTTACTGTCTTCTTTATATGAATACATTAAACTACTACAATCAAAAATAAACTCTGAAAACAATAATTTTTCAAATGACATCGAGTTATCTACAACTCTAAAAGATGTTGTTTTGGTAAAACAAATTGAGACAAGGGTAAAAGAAGTAAAGAATATGGCCGAGAAAATTTTAAATGATTTAGATGGGTATGACAGTATAAATCAGCAGGTAAATGAAATACTTGTGGATCTGAAACAACAACATAATGAACTGTTTCAAAGCTGGGTTAATGAAATATTATCATTGATAAGTAATGATACATTGAGGTAAGTCTAGAGCTATAACTAAAGTCATATTTTTTATATAAATATTTTTAGTCTTAAAGAAACGGATTCTGTGGTTCAATTTTCCAAACAAAAATTTATGAAAGTGAATTATTCCAACCGATTTGTAATGTTGATATCAGAAGTGAGACAACTAAGATCTATGGGTTTTCATATTCCAAATCAAATCAAGCAAAAATCTGATCATGCGAAGAAGTTTATTAGACACGCTAGAATTTTGGATCAGGTAATAATATTGCGTTGCCTATTTTCATCAATTTTAATTTAATATTTCAAATTAGATTGCAAATTTTCACAATACCATTGGTGATAGAATGATTCCGTCTTTAAAACCTTTAATGCTTACAAGTGCTTTGGAATTATCCAAATTGGTCCAAGAGCAAGAAGTTGTTTCATGGGGAGATGAGCAATCTGTAGAAAAGTACGTTTTGTGTTTAAAAAATGCTGTAGAAAAATTATCCAAGGAAAATAACATGCTTTCTATATACCATAACCAAGTTCTTGAAAAGGTAATTTGTATTAACTATATTTGCACTACCTTAAAGGTGGTGCACCAAGGTAGAATTTATTTAACAATTTTCTACTTAACTGAACAAAAAACAATAATGTTATGAACTATTATAAAATCCTTTATAGATAAACGAATTGGAAGATGTGGATTTAATTAAAGATTATAGCAAGTGGAAGGAAAATGTAAGGGTTATAAGAAACATAGTCACCCAAGTAGAAGACAAAGGCTTCAAAAATATGCAACTATGGAAAAATGATCTTGATAAACAAATCTCGAAATCACTTGAAAAACAATACATAAAAAGCCTGAATACAGTTCATTTATACTTGCCTGAAATTTATACTAATTTGGTGTATAAAAATGATGAAATTAATTTTTCTCCAAAAGAGGACGAATTAAGAAAAATATACGACCAACAATTAAAGAAGTTTTTGGAGTTGCCAAAACAATTTCGTGGTATATCTGAAACATCAGATATAAGCATTTACACCGATATTATATATGTTAAGTATGTACTTTTTAAACTATTAACCATATATAAATTAAATATATTATTTTTTTGTAGAAATAAGGAAGCATTGGATGGTGTTAGTAAACATACTGATGAATTATTTGGGCAACTACAATCAGTTATGATTCATTGGAAATCTTGGATCCAGTTGGAAGATTTGGATATCAATAAATTAACCAAAAGTCAACATTGGGATTTACATTTTCGAAGTTCAAAAATATTTGGGCAAGAAGTTGCGAAACTACCAAAGTAATAAATACTAAAATTATATTTTTTAATACATTTTGAATATTTTTAGCACTGAAGAAAAACTTGGCTGTATTATTGTTGGGCTATCCAGATTAAGACTAGACCTGGAATTGCATAATCGAAATTACTGGGACCAACTTGTATATTCGTTGAAGGATTCCATTGCTCATGATGTTGTTAAGCTTCAAAATTTCGTTGATCCAGCAACTTCAGCCTTAACAAGGCAATCCGTCACTGTAGAAGAATTAGCGGATATTGGTGTATCTCATGGTCAAATTTTGAAGGATCTTCCTGAGGTAATATTAATTTATTATATACGGTTTTACTTTTTAACTAAGAGATTATTTTAGATGCAAGAAGTGTTTGATGAAATGCTTAAAAAATCAGTGACACTATCAAGTTGGTCAAGAGAGCAAGTAGATTCAGTTAATAGACTAAAAGGAGCCTGGGAACGGCTACTTAGCTTAATAGAAAGTCATCATACAATAATTGAAAAACAGGTAATACAATATTAAAAACTATACACAGAAAACTTCCTCAATAATGGTTTTGAAGCAGCATAAAATAAAAAAAAAGATAAGAATGTTTTTACCATTTTAAAGATCTAATTTTTAGATTCTCTTAATTAATGATACTAATAACATAAATACACAATTAACGAATTATTATGCACAATTTTATAAAAGGGGTATTTTTTAGATGGATAATATTAAAATGTCGCTAAATGTGCAAATTGAAAATCTGAATAAAGAACTTGAACTTTTTTCCGCCAAATGGGATTTAGAAAGTTCAAACATTTACTCAAATAAAAACAATGCAACTTTGGAAATGTTATTGGAGAAAATCAAATCTAAAAAAATTGAATGGCTGGAAATAAGTTCTAAAAAAGATAAAATAATGTACATTAAATTAAATTTGAATAAAAAATATCTACCTAATTAATTTTCTTTATAGATCCGATTTTAATAAATTTAATATTGATGCCCCAGAAATGCTGTTATTTGATAAACTTGAAAGTAACCTTAACAAGGATATAGATTGTGGAAATATCTTTGAAGAATTTTATCAAGGTAATTTGGTGTTTAAGAGTCTGTTTTTACATATTATTAAATAAATTGGTTTTTTAATTGTACACTGAAAAAAAAGGTGCCCTTAAACTAAAGTAGTCAACTCTCTTGATAAAAAATTATTAGCGGCAAGAAACAATATTTTAGTATAAAAGAGTATTTATTGCTTGAAGAAAAAAGATCGACTTTTAATTAAAATAAATATTTTATAATTTTAGCGTTTGGTTCTTTATCAAATGAATACTGGATAGTGTTCAGAAAAAAAATATATTTACTTGAGGATTTTTTAAATATTTGGGAAAACAAACTTAAGGGCGAAGACAACAATGAATTACATAAATTACTTTTAAAGGAGATACAGAAGTATAAGGTAAAAGTTTTATGATATTAAAAAAGTTTTATGATATTAATACTCTTTTATAGGATATTTATCCATTGCTTAAATATGTTAGAGGGGATGATTTTTCTAATGAACATTGGATGGATATATTTGCTTTACTGCAAATGACGCCCAAACCCATAGACCAATTATTATTAAATGATTGGCTTAACGTTTCAGAAAACATTAAAGTAAATTTTAAACAATTAGAGGTAAAACAACAATTATTTTTATTTATATTCACTGAATAAACAAATATTTTTATTCATTTGTAGGCAATATCAAAAAAAGCTGCAAGTGAAATTGTAATTCGACAAGCTTTAAATGAGCTGGATCAGTGGGATACTCAGGCTAAATTTTTACTAATTGAGCACAAAGATTCCAAAAATAAAGATATTATGCTTATTAAGGAATTTAAGGAACTATTAAACAAGGTAATTGAACAAATCTTCTTTTAATGCAGTTGAAATAATAATAAATATCTTGTAGATTGGTCATAATCAAAGTTTATTACAATCTGTAAAAAATTCCACCGATAATAGGTCATTCTCGGACAAAACTGTTTTATGGGAAAATAAACTAACAGATTTGGAATTTTATGTGACATCACTAGCACAAGTTCAAAGAAAGTAAAATTTGACGAATTTAAATTAATCGAATTAATTAAATGTGAATATTGTTTAAGGTGGTTGTATTTGGAGCCGATTTTCAGTAGTGGTACATTAGCAAACGAAAAGCAACGATTTGATAGAATTGATAGAGACGTTCGAAACATTTTAAACTTTATACAAAAAGACAGTCATTTAAACGCCTTGTGTCGGTTTTCAAATTTGCGATCATTATTGGACACTATTACCGATCAGTTAGCCCGTTGTCAAAATAGCTTAAACAATTTTCTTTCGGAAAAGCGAAATAAATTTCCTAGGTTTTATTTTCTGAGCGATGAAGATTTATTGGAAGTGGTCGGTCAATCGACCAAGGAACACGTAATACAATCACACTTAAAAAAGCTATTTTCTGGAATAAATAGTATTGAGTTTATGAATAACAAAATAACCGCATTGTGCTCTGTTGAGGGAGAAATTGTAAAATTATCAAATCCTATTAACATCCAACAACCTGTTGAGGTAAATATATTTTGTTGCTAAATGGTTATGGATGAATCTCACGAAATGTCCCCCGATGGTGTTACCCCGTGATATTTAACAAAACTAAATGAGTTTGACCTACACTTTTATTGTGTTTTGATCTTTCATAATTAAGTAGATTTTACAGCTCAGGTTCCAAATTTTTAACGGCAATTAATTTTTTTTTAGAATGTTTTAAAAATCTAAAACCTATTCTCCGTGACTGTTACTCTTTCTTGGTTAACCTATATGTTTTCAAAAATCTGAGGTAGTAAAAGCATACTAAAAATATCAATTTAATAAGTAAATTAAACACATCCAAAGCAATCGAATCAAATATTAAATAATATTAAAAATTAAAAGAAATAATTTTTATAACCATTTATGTAGGTGTTACCAAAATTAATTCTATCCTCCGTTAATCTGTTTTTGCTTTAAATTTTATGGCGCTTTAATCAATTTAAATAAGCAAAAACCTCTGTTTACGACATTATAGATGCATGTGATTCCTGAAGGTCAGTTAGAATTTATATGCAGATGAGAGTGTTGCTGTTTTATAATTTAAAAGTTTAAGTTCATTAACTTGCTATTTTAAAACCTATCCACCGTGAAGTGTAATATCTCCGTAGATTTTTTTTATAAATATTTTATGTATGTACAATTTTAAAAAAATATTAAGGTGTCAAATTATACAATAACTTATTTCAAATATACAAAGGGATGTTTAAAAAAAAACATACGAAATCGTAACCTACGTGAAGCTATCTTCCGTGAAACTCTAATATTCAAAATGTATGATTTCTTAAAATTCTTGCATTAGTGCAGAACCACTTATGTTATGTTATTACTAGACCTGGTGGCTTTCCAAAAACCCCATTCTAGACTAACAGTGAAACAACCAAAAATAAAAAATAATCATTTTCACTTGGGGGACATCTCAATATATTCACCCTTTTATCATAAAATTAATAATATTTTAGGAATGGTTACATCTTGTGGTTAAAGAAATGCAAATCACATTAAAAGAGCTATTGGTCCAATGCCAAAATGAAAGGGATGCTCCTGATCCTCTTACATATCCATCGCAAATTTTGTGCCTTTCAGATAATATAACATTTACCTTAAAATGTGAACAAGCTATATCATCACTAACTTTACCAGCTCTGCTTAATAAATATAAAGTAAAATAATTTCATTACTTTTTTCATAGTTTAATTTTTAATTTTATAGGCTCAGTTAAAACACTACAGTTCCTTAGAAATACACGAATCAGACAAATTAATTGCATCCTTATCTGAATTTGGGGATAACGATAAATCATTATTAGAAATTAAACTTAAAGCCCTATTACTTGACACAATTCATCATATCAACGTTTTGGAAAACTTAATCGATAATAATACATCTAGAGCTACTGATTGGGCTTGGCAGAAGCAACTCAGGTAATATTGTTTTTTTATTTTAAACCTGGTAACCATCACATTTTTTTTAGGTTTTATTCAAATTCCTTAGGAGACGTAACAGTGAAAATGGCAAATTCCAGAATGGAATATTCATATGAGTATTTGGGAAATGCACCAAAGTTAGTAAGAACTCCTCTTACAGACCGATGCTTTTTAACACTGACACAGGTAAAAACAAATTGCTATACAAATAAGCGAATTTCAATTTTAATACACTTTTATAAAAATTATTTATCTACAAACGCTGCTTTCAGTAATAGCATTTACATTAATTATAAAGTAAATTTACGTTTCGTTTATAAAAACACTCTTCCAGATGCAGAAACGCATTGATAAATATAGTTAATATGATTTGTCCAAAAAAACAGTTCTATACCGTTTACAAAAACGTTTTTTGGTATTAATGAAACCCTAATGGTATTATTCATAAAAATTTTGTAAATTTTACAAATCCCTTTTCGTTTAAAATAAAACATTTTTTATAATATTAATAAAATTTATGTAAATTTAACAACAAATTAATTGTTAATTCAATAAACTATTTTTATTGTAACAATCTTCACATTTTTAACCCACTGTTAAAATTAACTCATATTATACGATGAACAAAATAAAAAAATATGAACTCACTTTTTAAACAACAAGTCTGCTTCGTTTATAGAATAGACGTTAAATATTTCTTTTAGAAAACGTCGAAATTTTAATTTTTTTAGTGATCTTTTTGATATTTTTATCATGCTAGATTTTACCACACTTCTCTCGCACAAGTGAAATCAATAAGATTATAACACAGACTGTGGATTATAAAGTTATGTTCACCAAGGAGAGCGCTGGCCCTTTTCCCCTCTTCTTAAGGGAAATAACAAAATTTTGTTACCATTGCAAAACAATAGTAAATATTAAAAAAGTCTTTTTGTAGCAATAAATATTTTTGTTATTGTTCTTAACGTAAGCTAGTAACAAAGATTTTCTAACTGAAATAAAATTAATTTGAATTACAAGTAATTTAAAAAAGACAAATTTGCCATAGTAAAATGAACAAATTTTACTATAACAACTGCGCATTACTTTATGTAAGGGCAATTCACACACAACTATAGATTTAACAAAAACATTTTTTCGACAAAGATTTAATATAAACATAAAGTATTTCTTATTGCCATGACAATATGATAACAACTAGTAATAATTACTTTGTTGGATGAACATTTTTTTTATAAAAGCTCAACATTGCTGCTTCATTATAGTAAATGAGATTTATAAAAGCTCAACATTGCTGCTTTATTATAGTAAATGAGAATTTTATTAACAGTAAAAAAAGTTTATCCTGTAAATAAAAATAATCTCATTACTTTGACAAATCGTAGGTTTTTGTCCTAATAAGACACTGAAAATTTAATAAAAAAGGTACATTGTTTTATAGCCATTACAATTTTAAATTTTTCTGAGTGTAGGGTCTACATTTGGGCATGGGGGGCAACCCATACGGCCCTGCAGGAACTGGAAAGACGGAATCAGTTAAAGCACTTGGGCAGCTTTTAGGTCGACAAGTTTTAGTGTTTAATTGCGATGAAGTAAGTTTTATTTAAATAAACACAAGATTAATAAAAATGGTGCGTTACGTACTTTTAACTTGTAGGGAATTGATGCGCTATCAATGGGTAGAATAATATCTGGATTAGTTAGAAGTGGGGCTTGGGGTTGTTTCGATGAATTTAATAGATTAGAAGAGGCCACTTTGTCGGCAGTTTCAATGCTCATTCAACCAGTACAAGTAGCTTTAAGAAACAATTCCTCCAAACTAAATTTACTTAACCAGGAGGTAGGTGTATTATAACAGTTAAAAAAGTCCCTGTGTCCCTGAATAACTTTTAATTGAAAGGTTCAGGCGTATCCGATTTTTTTTAATATTTTGATAAAAAATTACTTACAAGACAATTTTTTTTCAGGATAAACTCAATTCGCTTGGCACTTTTTTAGAAAAATCAATTTTTATAAAATCATTAATGATTTTTAATCAATTTTTTGGGATTTTTAATTAGTGAACTCCAAATAATGACTAACAGCTTTTAATGTATTTGTTACATGAAATGTGCAATTCATTAGACTAGTGAACTATTGACATATGCCACTTGTCACATGTCGAAATCGTGATTGAAAATACCGTTGCGTTATTTTACCGTTTTTTTTTCAATTTGTCGCAGATTTATTTATAAATTAGATATAAATAATTATATTTGCATTGCAATCATGATTTTAGTATATAGTGCAATGAATGTCTTAAAAAAAAGAAAAAAAGAAAAAATGTCTAAAATATGTGGAAAGATTCTGGGAAAAGTTCAAAGCATAGCTTTAAGTCCGAAACATCAGCAGCAGTTACTATCGCTCTTTTAAAAAAAGAAAAAAGAAAGAGCGAAATAATAAATCTGGGACAAATTGAAAAAAAAACGGTAAAATAACGCAACGGTATTTTCAATCACGATTTCGACATGTGACATGTGACAAGTGACATATGTCAATAGTTCACTAGTCTAATGAATTGCACATTTTATGTAACAAATACATTAAAAGCTGTTAGTCATTATTTGAAGTTCACTTATTAAAATTCTCAAAAAATTGATTAAAAATCATTAATGTTTTTATAAAAATTGATTTTTCTAAAAAAGTGCCAAGCGAATTGAGTTCATCCTGAAAAAAAATTTTTTTGTAAGTGATTTTTTATCAAAATATGAAGAAAATCGAATACGTCTGAACCTTTCAATTAAAAGTTATTCAGGGACACCGTGAAAAGTACGTATTAATACAATGTGTATTTCAGGTGGATCTTAATAAACATTGTGGTATATTTGTAACATTAAACCCTGCTGGAAGTAACTACGGTGGTCGAAATAAACTTCCAGATAATTTAAAACAATTATTCAGACCTGTTGTGATGACACATCCAGATCATGAGGAAATCGCAAAATCATTGCTCCATTGCGATGGATATCAGAATCCGTCTGTTTTGGCTGCAAAGATAATTGAAATATTTGATCTTTCCAGGTAAAATGTTTTTACTAGGTGCGTTCCACCAACTTCAAATACCGACAGACAGCTGTTTCGACCTATATTGGGTCTCATCAGTGTCGGGCAACTTGGGGTACTCCCTGAGCTTATATGTTCGGTTGGTAAGCCAAGCCAAGCCAAGCCAAGCCAAGCCAAGCCAAGCCAAGCCAAGCCAAGCCAAGCGAGATGTAAGAACATCAGGGGATCCACATCGTCAAACGACGCGGCCTTTGCCCGACACTGATGAGACCCAATATAGGTCGAAACAGCAGCTGCTGTCTATCGGTATTTGAAGTTGGTGGAACGCACTCAAAACAAAAAACTTTGGCGAGGTGTATGTTCAATTTTTTCTTATGAATATTACCAGTAATGGGTCAAGAAAGTTTCCTAAAGAAACGAATGTTTGACTAGGTATTTTTTAATTTCATTGTTATGATTTTAGCAAACTATTGAGTAAACAAAAGCATTATGATTGGGGTTTGCGTGCAATAGGAACCATCCTCGTTGGATGTAGTCGGTCTATTAAGTCACGCAAGCTAAAATCAAAGTCTTCAGAAAGCTTATCTCTACATGAAGAATTTATATTGGTGGTTGAGGTATTAAGAATGAACACACTGTCTAAACTAACTTTTTCCGATAGTGTTAAATTTGACGCAATAATTAAGGACGTTTTCAAAGGTGTTCCAATAAATTTGGAGTATGGAAATTCTATGCTTATTAAAGCATTGGAAGAGGGGTTTCATCAAATAAAACTGATACCCAACCAACGCCAGGTTAATTAATTAAAACTAAGGTTAAAGGAACATGTAAAAAAATATTTTCTAGATTAATAAATGTTTGGAATTCTACGAACAACTGAAACAGCGCATGGGTGTAGCCATTATTGGACCTCCCAGTTGTGGAAAGACCACAATAAGAAAATTGCTTTTTACTGTAAGTAAATGATTATTCCCAAATTTGCAACAATTTTAATACAAATTATTGAATTTAAGGCATTAACTAAAGTGAACAAGGTAATAAATACCTACGCTTTTAATCCAAAAAGCATGAAAAGGTCACAGTTACTTGGATATATAGATTCAGATACAAAACAATGGAATGATGGGGTTTTAACAAGTTATAGTTTAAAGGTCGCAGCAGAGCCTCAAGGTAAATTAAAAATGGTGAATAGGCTGTAGACTAGTGAATCTATAAAAGTGAAGTAAATTAAACACATCCAAAGCAATCGAATCAAATATAAAATATTATTAAAAATTAAAAGAAATAATTTTTATAACCATTTATGTAGGTGTTACAAAAATTGATTCTATCCTCCGTGAATCTGTTTTTGCTTTAAATTTTATGCAACGAATGGCGCTTTAATCATTTTAAATAAGCAAAAACCTCTGTTTACGACATTATAGATGCATGTGATTCCTGAAGGTCAGTTAGAATTTATATGCAGATGAGAGTGTTGCTGTTTTATAATTCAAAAGTTTAAGTTCATTAATTTGTCATTTTAAAACCCATCCACCGTGAAGTGTAATATCTCTTTTTTATAAATATTTTATGTACAATTGTATTTTTTAAAAATATTAGGGTGCAATAACTTATTTCAAATATACAAAGGGATGTTTTAAAAAAACATACGAAATCCTAACCTCCGTGAAGCTATCTTCCGTAAATCTCTAATATTCAAAATGTATGATTTCTTAAAATTCTTGCATTAGTGCAGAACCACTTATGTTATGTTATTACTAGACCTGGTGGCTTCCCAAAAACCCCATTCTAGACTAACAGCGAAACAACCAAAAATAAAAAATATACATTTTCACTTGGGAGACATATCAATATATTCACCCATAACACAAAACTCGGTATCATTGTTCAGTTTGTTCTGAAACAAATTCAATAAAAAATGTTTTTTCCCCAAAAAATTTCTCGATTTTGCTTTCGCACTTTTTGAAATATTTTGAGAAAGTTTATGAACATTTCCTCTATAAACACTTTTTAATTTTATTAAACCTCCATTAAAAAGTATTTTAATAAAAACTATAAAACATCAAAACATTATTAAAACTATAAATTTTCCACTTTTAATATTTAATATTTCCGAAACAAAGGTATAAATGTGCATATAGCTAAAATCAAAATTTCATAATCTATTCCAATCTATCTCCTACGAAAAGAATATTTGGCAAAAAAAAACGCGAATTAAAGGATAAAATAATTTAGTTTGACTTCCTAAAAGATAATAGTCATGGAGTTGAAAAGAAACTGCTAAAAGTTCGTTTAATTTTGATCGGATTTAAAATTATTAAATAATCGTTAAATTGATAATAAATGTACCTAAATATATTTCAGAAATTTGGTCTTGGATAGTCTGCGATGGTGACATAGACCCCGATTGGGTGGAATCTCTAAATTCAGTTCTTGATGATAATCGCATTCTGACTTTTCCCTCAGGATGGCGCATTCAGTTTAGAAAGAATGTTAATTTTATATTCGAATCGCATAACTTAACACATGCCTCACCTGCTACAATATCGAGAATGGGTGTTGTATTTTTAAGTGAGGAAGATTTGCAATCGGAGTTGATCACTAAAAAGTTTGTTGAAGAATTAGTCGAAGAAACGAAACCCATATTGGAACCGCTGATTCAAGACTCATTTATCAAAGGTAATAAAGCGGTTGAATTATAATTTAAATATATTTATTTAAATGTTTAAGCTGTCAATTGGATTGTTAATGATGGCGAAGTTACAATACCATCTTCAAAATTATCACTGACAAAAGCGGGCTTGTCTTTTATAAGAAATGTTAAAAACAAAACTGAGTTTGCCGTAGCTCTAGCCAATGGTCTTGGTCAGCATCTTCAATACGATTTTATTGAAATATTTGTAAATGAGGTAGATTTATAATTGGAATTTTACTTTATAATGACTTATTATTTAGTATACATATGAGCCGATTTAGGCCAATTTATATAAGAAATATATTTTTATATTAATTTTTTTAGGTATTTAATTGGCTGGGCGAACCTGAACCTCCATTGCCTTTGAGTTGTCGATATAATGCTGATAGGGATATTATAGATACTTACATGTCCAATCCCAATATTATTATAGACAATGTTTCCAAAGGTTTACCTCTTATACTGACAGGACAAATATTAAAAACTTTAGATTGTTTAAGAATATGGATGGAAGCAGATTATAAAAAGCCTTTCCTTATGGTGGGTCCTCATGGCTCTGCAAAAAGGTATAGAAATATTAATTTAAAAAAAAATTAGTAATTATTTGTTTATATTGAAATTTCAAACATTTTTTGTAGACTTATTTTGGAACATTTAGTTCAAGAACAATCCAATGTTGAACTCCTTACAATACATTGCAGCTCCAATTTAACACCTGCTTATGTAATAAGTAAATTATCCCAGGTAAATGATAATACTATTTTTATACTTTTATTAAACAAAATCTAATTATACAGGGTGATGATAGTACACGCCCAAATAAGAAAGTTTTTTGCATTAGTGCATTTTTTTTATAAAAAAATTATTAAAATGATTATAAGTAAAGTTGAAATTTTGGGCCGCCACTGGTTATTCCTGACCTATGACAACTGACGCAAAATATGCTTGCACAGTGGGCTTATCTACATTCATTAAAAGTTTACATTTGTTTTATCATTGATTACTTTGTTAATAATTGTTTTTTGTTTTGCATACTCAGATATTTTTAGGTACTTTGAATAAAACAATACTTACTTTTTATTGTTAGGTATCTCGAGGTTTCCGTGGTTTTTCCGTCGATTTTAAATTTCACTTTTTACGTCGATTGATGCTCATGTAGCTATTTTTTTAAGTGTTCTACAAAATCATAATAAATGTTTCTTTTTTGATTGGAGTAATAATATCATTGTTTCTAGAGGTTAAAACAATTATGATACATACGATAGGTCAGTTATTAAAAAACATTAGCTTTAATACAAAGATGATAAAAAAAACTTTCTTGTTTTTAAATCATAATAAAAATTAAAATATTTATTTTAGCGGTGTTTGTCTTTAAACACACATAAAGGAAAGTTTCTTAAGCCAAAAAAGGGAAATTTAGTATTATATTTAAGAAACCTTCATCTTCTTAAACAAGATAAGTGGGAAACAAATATTATGATTGAATTTTTAAGTCAAGTAAGTATTTTTTTAATTATTAAAACAAAATAAAACCACCATTATAGGCATATGGGTCCTTAATTAAATTCGATACTGTATTAAATATTATATTGGACTATTTTGTACATTTGGTTCCTATTTCCGAATAAGTATTTTGAGAATTCCCATTAGGGGGTTTACCAATTTTATTAAATGTCTTCGAATTTTTAGTATTTTTATTGCTTCCGGTGTCACATTTTTTGTTTAATTTATTGACTAAATTTTCATGTTCTTGATTTCTCCTGATTAAAATATCCTCATTTCTTTTAAGTCCTTGTATAATAGCTTTAGCGGTCTCATATTTCTGTATAAGTGTATGAAATGCCTCATCTAATTTGTTAATATGATTTTTAAAAGTATAATTTTCAGCTTCCAATTGTTCTTTTTCATGAACTATTTCTTTTATAAAATCTTCATATGCCTGCATTGTTCTTTGAAATTCATTACTTGTACTGCTCTTAAACTGGCCTTTGGTAATATCAATATTATTTGTTTTTATAATCGACTCCAGTTCCAAATTTCTTTCTTTCAGTTCGCCTATATGTTGCTCCAAATCTTTTATTTTTTCCTTTTGATTTTTTAAAATTACATCCTTTTCTTGAACAAATTCCTTGTATTTTCCAATATCAGTCTTTTTCGATAGTAAATCTTTTGAAATTGGTTCTTGCATTTTAAAAATCTTCAAGGCCATAACAAATAGTGATTTTAATACCGTATTTAAATATCTATTATTAAATAAACTTACTCTTAAGATATCCATTATGAGACGTGGTAATTTCGTTTATATGAAAAATGGCGTTGGCAGATTGTCAAATTTGTTGTGAAAAATGTGACTGTTGGCCGTAATATACAGGGGCGGTTAATATTGTTGTTTTCGGTCTCTGCAGAGACCGAAAACAACAATATTAGCATGCTAAACTTGAAATTGGACTCATCAAGTAAATGAATTGAAATATCATTTTAAATATAAACTAACTATTCTCTTTTTAGATAATTGAATATAGAGGCTTTTATGATTTAAACATAGAGTTTATAGGATTGGAAAACGTACAAATAGTTGGAGGCTTTTCCAAAACCAATAACATATCAAAGCGATTTTTATCCAAAATATATTATTACAACGTTTTGTAAGTTAGATATTTAAAAGTTATACAAGTTTTACTTTTTAAATAATTCCAGGCCAGCACCACAAGATGACTTTCTTCTTATCCTTACATCCTATTTATCAGCTGTATTGAAAGAAATATTTACCAATTTTTCATGGGCTAAAACTAAAATCAGTAAATTAAGTACAATGATGATCGACATTTTTGAAAAGGTTTTTTATTTTATATTGGTTTTAGTTGGTAATTTCATTAAAAATATTTCTTTTAGATAAAAAAAACATTTACCCAAAATGTTCAAAAGCATTATATATTTAGTCCACATGATGCGATAAGCTGGATTACAAACCTACTTCGGTATAATATGGAAGATACCAATGCTGACGACAGTAAAGTTTTAGAGGTGATTTTCTCATTTGATTTAAAAAACGAATTAAAATTAAAATTGTTTTAGATTATTTCTTACGAAGCAATTAACATGTTTTATAATAAATTAGTGTGCCATGAGGATATTGAGAAACTTAAAAATATAGTAAAAGACTCTGTCCAGCAAGCTTGGGGAAAATCAAATATTTTGGATGAAGTTTTTAAATATTTTTATATTCCAAATCCTCAAGTATCCTCAATTAGCTCATCATTAAAACTTCAAAAACACACAAAAGAGGAGTGGCAAAAACAAATAGAACAAGCTATAATTTACTGTGGTAAGTTGCCCAATTAAAACACCATAAACACTTTCCAAACAATCATTTAATTTTGATTACAGAAAGAGAAGGAATGGTTATGGATGTAATGGTTAATGATGAGCTTATAAATATATGTTCTGTTATCTCAAAAATTTTAAGTGGCTTGGAAGAAAATTTAGTTTTGTTGGGAATATCTGGTGTTGGACGAAGATCGGCCTTAAAAATAATATCAGCACTTCTTTCAGCTAAACTTATTGTTCCGTCATCTGAAACTCAATCACAGTTATACATTGAATTAAAAAAGGTAAGAGATTTTATTAAAATATGATGTTATGTCTGCCATATATTGTATAAATTAATAATTTTTTTTTTTTTAATAAAAATAAAATTTAACAATCTTATTAATTTGGTAGGCAATGCATATGGCTGGAATGGAAGGGGAACAAGTATATCTACAATTAGACGATTATATTTTGCAAAAGGAATCAAATTTGGATCCAATAAATATGTTAATATGTGCTGGAGAGGTAATATTTCAATCAAAATAAAATGTATTACATTAAATTCAAATTTTTTAACATTTTAAGGTACCAGACTTATATAATTCATTAGAACTGGATTCTATGGTAAAAAATTTAAAGGATGAAGCAGATAGGGTCAACTTTGAAGGGACTTTATCTGAATTTTTTACTAAACGTAAGTTTAAAATATATAACTTACTTCCCTGATAGCAAAATTTGATTTTAAGAATCTTCTAAGAAGATATGACCCGGAATAATGGAATATTCTTAGAACCTTCGCTTATTGCTAAGAATGTTCTTAGGGACTTTTAAAACATTCAATAGATCTATTATTCATAACCTTTTAATGATGCAATTAGATTCTTAAAAGCTTCTTAAAACCTTCCTAAAAAGCATCCTAAGAACATTTTAAGAATACGTTTTTGGAATGCTCTTAGAAGGTTTCTTTTGGAGCTTCTAGGAAGCTTTTGAGAATATTTCCAAATAAGTCAGATACCCACGTTCTAATATGTTGTATTCTACATTCGTAAAATTCTTAAAGAGACGACAAATACGCCTCACTGTCAAAATATGGCAGTGAAATGTATTTGTCGTCCCCTTAAATTTTGCGACATATTAATATATATTTATTTAAAAATAGGTATTAAATAAACAATTTGACCATAAGTTTTATGACATTATTTCATAAAAAGTAAAATTGGAAAATGTTGTGGGATAAGACAGATTAGATTGAAGTTGAAGATAGTTAGGATTATTATACATACAAATTTTAATTCAGAAATAAAAAATCGGTATACAAATTAATAAATATTTATTTTTAACATAAAATAAAATAGGTACCTATAGTAAAAATATTTTTGTTATCGAATATTGTTTTAATTTGAAAAATAACTATAAAAAAATATTTGTGTTTTTTACCTAGTATTTAATACTAATTACTAATTAAGTAGGTACTTAAGTATACCTTTATACGTAGTTTATGGTATATTTTACTATTATATAGGTAACTGAACTAAATATGCTTAACAGGAATATTCCTAAATGAACTTTCTATAGCAATTACTTTGTTAACATTCTAAGCATATGTTTTGAGTAGACTAATTTTTACTACTAAAACTTTGCACCTTCTAAGAACCTGCCTATAGGCCAGTAAGAATATTTTTAGGATCATGCTATATGTCTTTTAAGCATGTTCTTTAGAAGAAATATAGCATGATCCTAAGAATATTCTCACTGGAAGGTTTAAAAAACATTCTTAGAATAAAGTGTGCTATCAGGGTTATACTAGAACAACACTGAATATTTCGTAATAAAACAACTAAATTGTATTGTAATACAATATAAAAACTATAGTTTTGGTTCATTCAAGTTTATGGGTATTGTAATTTTTATAAAGTTTATAAAAATTTTTAGGTGTAAAATCCAATTTACATGTTGTCGTTTGTTTGGATATAAACAACCAGAATCTATCAAAAATATTGGAACAAACACCAGTTTTAATTGAAAACTGTAACATAATATGGGAAAGTGAATGGAGTAGAGATTCATTAGGACAACTCCCATCAATAATAATTAATAGGTTAGTTGGTATTTTACTCGTTATTTTATATCCTTTATAGTAATAAAGAAATACATTTATTTAATGTGTAAGCCAGTATTATTTTTATTGGTTCACGTAGGTATTAAAATAAAATTTTGATTTAACTTTAAAGGTTTTTTATTATACTCGCTCTTACATAATAATATACGTTATACATTAATATTTCTTTATTATTTTACCATTTTTAGGTTTAATGGAACTAATGACCCAATTAAAGCTGAATGGAATTCTGATTTTATAAAAGTATATAAAAATGTTTCAAGATATATGCCAGAACCATCTCGTTTTGTATCAATGATAAAATTATATGTTTCTATTTATAATGAAATAACTGAAAATATAAATTCTAAACAAAGCAAACTTAAGGTAATAAAAATATATTCTTATGTGATTTACCAATATTTAAGTTCCCCTTAAACTATAGTTATAACTTTTTTTCGTGTGTACAGACCTTAGTAATTACATTTAAATATCCTTTAAGGCTGGTATTACCAAATTAGATGAAGCTAAGCAGCTAGTTAATGATCTTAAGCTAAAGGCAGATGAACAGCAAAATAAATTGTCTGAAAAACAAGAAAAAGCCAATTCAGCGTTGGATATGATAAGCAATACGATGAAAAACGCCAACAGCAAAAAAGAGCTCATGGAAAATCTTAAACAACAAACGGAAGATGAAAATGTTCAAATATTGCGAAGGTAAATTATATAATAAACTCCTCAATGAAAATAACCTCTTATTTAAGAAAAAAGGAAATAGAAGAAGAACTATCAGAAGTGGAACCATTAATTCAAGAAGCAAGATCAGCTGTTGGTAATATTAAATCAGAATCTTTGTCTGAAATTAGATCGTTACGTGCTCCACCCGAAGTAATTAGGGACATTCTTGAAGGTGTATTAAGGTTAATGGGAATACAAGATACATCTTGGAATAGTATGAAAACTTTTTTGGCAAAAAGAGGCGTTAAGGAAGAAATTCGGTGAGTAGTTTTAAAAGGATTTCTTATTTTGCTTTTCCTTTTACCTTATTTAATAATGTTGCAATGAAAAAAATAATATTATATATATATATATATTATATATTATAGAAAATTTTTGCACAAATGGCTGCTTTTTCGTTATGATAATTATCATGTTGTTTTTGACTAATTCATTTCTCTGGAACTCTGGAAAACAAAAATTAGAAAAATATTTTTGTTAAAGGTCATTCGATGCAAGTAGGATTTCCACAGATAGCAGATTAGCCGTTGAAAGATTAATGTCAAATAAAAGCGACTCTTTCGACGAAAAGTCTGCGAAACGAGCCTCACTGGCAGCGGCGCCTTTGGCTGCGTGGGTAAAAGCCAACGTTAAATATTCCCACGTAATGGATAAAATTAAACCGCTTGAAAGGGAACAAAACAAACTTCAAAAGTATGAAACCTAATTCGAATCTTAAATATGGGTGTTTATAAAAAAATGTTTTAGAAATTTAAAAGAAGCCGAGTTACACCTTGTAGAGCTTAGTTCGGGCTTATCAGATGTAGACGCAGCCGTAGTCAAATTAAAAGAAAAACTTTCAGCGTATACCAAAGAGGCAGCGGAAATTGAAATAGATTTAAACCGTGCTAAAGAAACACTAAATGCTGCAGAGGATTTAGTTAACAAATTAAATGATGAATATGAAAGGTGGAAAATTCAGGTATAGAAATATTACTTTTATTAGTATTAAATCAACATTAATAGCTTAAAATAAATCAATATTATTAATATATTTTACCATCAATTAGTTCAAAACTAAGATTTTTTAAAAAGTGTCATAATAACTTTAATAAAAATAATTTTTTACAAAAACAAATTTGGTCGTATCTATAGTATAGATTCTATACGTATTTCTCTGCACTGTTAAAAATTTCTATTGTAATTTTACTAAACATGATAGTAATAATGAAACTCAGTTTTTCATTCACTACACTATTCATTACAACTCAATTTGGGATAATTACAAAACGTTTATTGAAATTCACTAAGCATTTATTAAAAATTTGTAACATAAGTAACATAACTATACAGATATTGTAATTTTGCTAAAAATATACTAAATATGTTGAGTAATTTTAAAATTCGTTATGCAATATTACAATACAAATATTGTTATTTTGTACAACAAATTACACTAAAAATAAATATTTAAATTTACGAATGACGCTAATTATACTACGAAAAAAACCTTAGTTTCTTCAAGAAACTTTCTTGACCCCTTACTGTAAAGAATAAAAAATTGAACCTTGCCAGACTTTTTGTTTTAAGTGCGTTCCACCAACTTCAAATACCAAAGACACCTAGACAGATAGACCAATTTTGGGTCTTATCAATGTCGGGCAATTTGGTGTATTGGAACACACCAAAAGCTGCTTAATTATATACTGTTCCATAAGTCAACCGAGGCGAGATGTAAGAACATCACGTGATTGCCGCAATCGGTACATATATATATATATATATATATATATGCAATCGGTACATATATATATATGCAATCGGTACATATATATGTATGCATTTTACACAACATTATAGCAAATCAAATTACATACAACGTTTGTAAATCTGAAATGCTTTTTATTAGAAACTGTCAAACTGTAGTAAAATTACAATGGGTGTAGGATTTATACATATAGATTGTAAAATTACAACTTATCTTAGTAGATTTCCCAACATGTGTTGGAAGATTACTCAAATTGTATTATAATTTTGTATTGTTATACACTGATTTGTAATTTTACTCATCCTTTGTTTTGCAAAACAATTGTAATTTTACAAAAATATTTAACAGTGAACATGATTAAAATGATATATAGTAAAAATACAAACAGAAGTTGTATAAAATAAATAATGATTTGTATATTTCCAAACACTTATTGTAATTCAAATAGCAAATTTTGCTTAGTAATTTTATTGATTATCTTAGTAAAATTAAATTCCGGAAATGTATAGAAATTTTACAAAATTTCAAATTCAATTTTACAATACAAATTACTACGAGTATAAGTATCTGACAAAAAAAAACATTTTAAAATTGGAACCTGTTTAGTACTTTGGCTATAACAAAATGTAATATTACAACAAATGCCTATTAAAATTGCAATACAATACAACATTTTGTAATTTTATTATGCAACTGCTTAGTAAAAAAGTAGTAATTTTACAAACATTTTTAACAGTTTGGTTTTTATCAAAAAAATTATTATTATTATTTAAAGGATAACAATTTATTAGGTAACACCCTGTATAAGCATTTCTGTCCATAAGAACCGTTTTAAAGTTCCATATATTGCTTTTGTAAAGTTAAGTTATAGGTACTCTGAAAAAAAATAATATTTCTGTTTAACTTTAATTGGCATAAAAATATAGCTTCAGGAGTGTCAGCTAAAACTACAAACTCTACATCACAACTGTTTACTTGCTTCCGCCTTTATTATGTATCTATCCAATGCTAATGAAGAAGGACGACAGTAAGTTATTGAATCTCTTAAATTTATTTTATTTAAACTATCAATTATTTAGGAATAACCTTAAAGAATGGATGTCAGAAATGGGGATAAACGAATTTAATTTTGAATCGTTTTTGTCCACAGAACGGGAACAACTTTTATGGCAAAGTCAAGGGTTACCTTTCGATAAATTGTCTATACAAAATGCTATAAGCATTCTTAAGGTTTTTATTGAACAGTATTTTTAATAATCTTCACAATAATCGTTAAATTTTAGTCTACTATAGTTCCCTTGGTGATAGATCCTACGTCAACGGCAATTAATTGGCTAAAACAACATTTGAGCCAAAAAAATGTGGAATGCTTGGGTCAAAATTCCCCCAAGTTTAATACTTCTTTGGAACTTGCAATAAGGTAATAATTTGGATTAAAAAATATAATTAGGAAAAAAAATAAAACCTACACCTCGCCAAAGTTCTTTGTGTGAGTGCGTTCCACCAACTTTAAATACCGACAGACAGCTGTTTCGACCTATATTGGGTCTCATCAGTGTCGGGAAACTTGGTGTAGTGGAACACACTCAAAACAAAGGACTGAGCTTATATGCTCGGTTGGTAAGCCAACAGAGGCGAGATGTAAGAACATCAGGTGATCCCACCGTCTAATGACGTTCTTACATCTCGCCTCTGTTGGCTTACCAACCTAACATATAAGCTCATGGAGCCCTTTGTTTTGAGTGTGTTCCACTACACCAAGTTTCCCGATACTGATGAGACCCAATATAGGTCGAAAGCTGTCTGTCGGTATTTGAAGTTGGTGGAACGCACTCAAAACAAAAAACTTTGTCAAGAAAGTTTCTAAGAAAATTGAATGTTTAAAAATATAATTACTTACTTTGTATTTTTTATTAGATTTGGAAAAATTCTTATAATCGAAGAAATTGAAAATATTCCCTCTGTATTATATCCCTTACTGAGAAATGAGTGTTTTCAACAGGGAGAAAGAAAATTAATCAAACTTAATGGGAAAACCGTTGATTTTAATAGCAGTTTTAAATTAATTTTGTGCAGCAGAAATACGGAACTGCAACTCATTGGAGACGTAAAGCCATTGATTAATATATTTAATTTTACTGTAACCGGGATTGGCCTGACAAGTAAGTCATTAAAAACAAATTTAAAACCTATCCACGTCAACTTTACAAGAAAAATAACATTGTATACATTTTTAGATCAATTACTTTTTGCGGCAATTAAACAGGAAAATCCTGATTTGGAAAATAGAAGAAAATTACTTTTAAGTGAAAAAGAAAAACTAAAAGAAAAACAGGAAATGTACCAAAATCAATTATTGGAGGATTTAGCTAATTCAACCGGCGATATTTTACAAAATAAGGTATACTTATTATATTTCTGTTAAAGAAAAATATATACTTGGTTCAAAATTTTTATACAAGGTGTATGGTGTATGGGAGATACAGACTGTTTAAATTAATTAATTTGAACACACTGTATCTCAAAAACTAAGCGTTTGCAATTGCCATGTTAAGCAAAAAAGCCTAATCTCCATTATTTAATACTGCTGTCATTTTAATATTAATATTTTTTGGATTTAGGTATCAAAATATTAAAAAAAGGTCCATGGCTTAAATTTCTGTAAAAATCTTGATAATACAGGGTGTCAACAAATAAGTTGTCATTGTCAAAATTTTTTTCTTTAAAGTGAATGTTTACATTTTAATTTAAGAAACAAAAAATTTAGAAAAACAAGGATGAAGCAAACTATAAGATAATACCAGTTGTAGGATAGTTTTTATGATTATATAATAAAATTTATACAGGTTCTTTGGTAGAACATTTTTTTAGAAAAGGAAAAAATCATTGCTTCAAAATTTTTTCGGTACACCTTGCATATTAATTTTAAACCAAAGATCCAACTGTAAGTTAAAAAAAACAAAGCATTATTCACTTTTAGCTTCTCAAATTAAATCTTTAATATTTATCTACTCCCACCTTTAAAACGCCCTTTATCGTACATGTTTCCATGACACTAAGTGACCTTTTAAATACACATTGACAAGTTGTGGCTTTATGGCGCTTTAGTCACGGGCTGAAGTTAGCAACAGGTTTTTAGTTACGGGCTGAAGTTAGTTTTAAGTTAGTTGACAGTTGTCAAATGTCATACAATCGTTAAAATAAATTGCCATTCTTGTAAAATAATACTAAATGTGAAAATTATTTTATTATCTCAATACAAAAATACAAAAGTATTAAATAGTGTCTCAACGCCAATATTTGAAAAGTTCATATGAACATTGTACTGACCTTTTAATTTCGCCGGCAGTAAACTATATCTTAAATTCGGGCACGGACTCCACTGTAAAGTGCTCATAAAACATTTTCTTTACTTTCACTGTGAAAAACTGTCAATTTTCAAGAAATACATTTCGATTTATAACCTTTATAATTGTGTAAAAATTTGACATTTGACGGTGAAACACAGATTTCCCTATTGTTTCATTTCTATACAAATATTTGATTTAAATCATTTTAAGATAATAATAAGTATTTGTCGTAGAAAAAGTATAGTATGCACCTCGTTTATAAACTTTTCTATCATTAATTTAAGCTAAATTAAATTCGTGTATAAAATGGCGTTTATTTAACTTGATACATAATATACTATTATTTACTCCCACATTAACAAGCTGTTTCTTTATGGCGTTTTAGTCACGGGCATTTTAGTCATGGCATTTATAAAACTTGATACATAATATACTATTATTAAACCCTATAAAGCATAATAATTTTATTGTTTCCAGAATTTAATAACATCACTTAATGAAACCAAAGCCAGTTCTACTGCAATTAATAAAGCTTTGTCTGAATCCATGGAACTTCAAAATAAGCTACAACAAGAATACGATTCTTACAGAGAACTGTCATCATTTGGAAGCCAACTGTACTTTAGTTGCAATGAGTTTTCTAACAGTAGTGTTCTGTATTTGATTTCCGTTTCAGCATTTTCAAGGCTATTTTTAAAGTCTTTGGAAAGTTTTCAAGTAAAGAAACGTTTAATTTGCTTTTTTCACTTTAATTATTTTTATTGATTTTTAGGTAATAGAGAAAAAGGTTGATTCACAAATAAGACATTTATTTGTTATTATTTACAACTACATGGCCAGAGGAATATTTAAACAAGATAGGCTTAAGTTCCTACTGCATTTAGCTCATAAGTTGTATTCCGTAGAAATCCCTGAAAATGAATGGAAATCATTTTTATGTAGTAATATATCAACAACTAAACTTCCTGATGATTTACCATCCTGGATACCAGAACAATGCGTGAATACAGTTTTTAATTTAAAAGTACGTAGGTAATACCTTTACACACAAATACTTTTATTTTTTAATTGAATTGTAGAATTTATTGCCGGAACTTTATGAAAATTTAAAATTTAATGAAAATCAATTATGGACAAATTTTTTGAAGTCAAACGACGTGGAAACAACTTATCCAAGCCATGTTAATCTCACCGACTTTCAAAAAATATTAATTGTTCAAGCTTTTCGTCCGGAAAAGTTGTATTCAGCCATGCAAACTAATATTTTACAAATCACTGGTTTGTATTTAAATCGTATTATTTTGCAATTCGTGATAAACCGTTTTAGGACTAAAATCATTGGACCCGCAAAATGTTGAACTCTCTCATATATTAAAGGAATCTGTATTTTTCGAACCAATTTTAGTGTTGTCAATGCCCGGAACAGATCCATCTATCGAAATAAAAGAATTAGCTCAACAGACTATTGGAAATGACAATTATATAGAGGTAATACATATTTTTATTATATATAATTTAATTAACTAAATTATTTTCCAAAAGATTGCTATGGGCGAAGGACAAGAGACATTGGCTTTAAAATCTTTACAAGAAATAGCTCAATCTGGAAGATGGTTGATTTTGAAAAATTTGCAATTGGTAACTAATTGGCTGCCCTCTTTGTGTCAATCCTTTAAGGATGTTGAAAAACATGAAAACTTTAGGTAAGTTAATTAGGTACTTTTTAAATCAGGTAAAGAAAATTGATCAATTTCACAGTTTTTCTTTAAACGAATCAGGATTTCGAAACAAAACGAACTACTACAAACTTTTCAATTCGAAAGGGTTTTGTTACTTATAATAATTCATATTTACATTTTATATAGATTATGGCTTATATCAGAACCTACTGATAAATTTAATTCAGTATTGACCCAAAATAGTTTGAAAATCGTCTACGAAGCTTCGCAAGGAATCAGGAATAACTTATTAAGATCATTTTCGTCCTATGGAAAAAAATATTTCGAGAACCTAAATCCCACTGCATCGAAAATATTCTTCATAATATGTTGCATTCATGCTTTATTGCAGGAGAGGCGTAAATATATTCCGCAGGGTAAAATTATTAAAAATAATAATGTTAATACTTACTTAAACATAATTAATTTTCAGGATGGTCCAAGTATTATGATTTCAGTGATACTGATCTTTCCACGTGTATCAAATTGGTGGAGGATATTTGGCAAAGCCCTTCGCCAAAAATACAATGGACATTTATTTCTGGATTATGTGGCGAGACTGTTTACGGAGGAAGAATAGAAAAAAACGATGATATGAAAATATTACAAGTGTATGTTAAACAATATTTTGTTGACGAAGTTTTGAGTCATCAGTGGAAGCTCTTTGGAAAAACAAACATACCAAACTCTGCTAGTTACAATGTATGATTTAAAGTACATTTAACACAAACTACATTTTATTTTTTAGGACTATGTAAAAATATTAACACACTTACCTTTAAAAGATGTGCCATCTTATTTTGGATTACCAGATAATATTGATAGAGCTTGGGAAGTTCAAAATGCTTTCAACGTAATTAAAGGATTAAAGGATATATACGTTTTAAAACAATCACATGTTAATTTTAACAAAGAAATATTTCAAAAAGGTGTAATGCCTTTTATGGGTTTATGGAAAAAACTAAATCAAGGTTACGATTTTGTAAGAATGACAATTTCCGATGAAATTTTAAAATCCACAGCGGTAAAAACTTTTATTCATGAAGAATTTACAAATGCATTAAATTTGATTCAGTCTATTCACAAAAGTTTCGCAAGTTTAAATAAAGTATGCAAGGGTGTAATATCCCCAAACAAAGATGATATTGAAATAGGGTCATCATTATTAAATTATGAGGTATTATTTGTATTACTAAGGTATTTATTGTATAATCATAATATTTTTAAGACTCCACTCAAATGGATAAATATTTGGTCAGGCCCTAAAGAACCAATGCAATATTTACGTACTAGTATGAGAAATTTAATATTTCTTTCAAAGTTAAAGGACGAGGATGCAGATAAAATTTTACAAAACTCTATTAATTTATCTTACTTTTTTAATCCAAGAGGATTTTTAGCATCTTATAAACAAGACGTTTCCAGGTAATCTATTGTTAGTAGCTAGTTTTAAGTGATTCATGTTTTTTTTAGAATCTCAAATATTGCTTTGGATGAACTTCATTTACAAACAAATTGGAGAAGAACTGAAAGTAATGAAATTATTGTTAGCAATCTTTTTGTAGAAGGAGCATTATTTGAAGGCATTACTTTAAAAAAATGTTTACATAATTCTAATAATATCAATCCTGCACCTGACTGTTACATTAGTTGGAAATCAACGGTATTATTAAAATTATTGATTAAAGATATTTTTTATTGTCATTTTAGAACCAGGAAGACCAAAATAAGTTCCTATCATTGCCACTATATACCAGGTCAGATAGAGAAGAAAAAGTGGTTTATTTAAATATATTTGATGATGCAAATGAATCAGAGAAATGGATATCAAGTGGTTTATCTTTCTTTTTAGAATGTTAGTTAAAAATAATTTTTTTAGATACAGTATTGTCTTAAAACACGTTTTGTATTTTAGCTGTCAATAAATAAATGTTTAATTTTAAATATTCCCTTTTTCTAACTCGACGCCTTTTAAATAACAAAAAAATTAAGACCGTGATATAACATTTATATAAACATCCGTAATATAAGTACTTTGATACTGAGCTAGCTAGGTCTTATGGAATATTAAAAACCAATATTTTAATCAGACATTTAGAGATGAAGTGTATAATAAAACAATAAAGTGTTAAAAAATATTTTATTTAGTGTCTATAATTGTTAACTTGGTCAAATGTTGTATACTGTGCCGTACAAAATGTTTTAATATAAATTGTATGTATTCCATTAAAGACGCTGTTCTACTGGAGATGGTGTCCTGTCAATGTAATCTATGTTTTGTAATTTGACTTCGTTAATTTGTGTAACTGGGTTATCACTTTTTGGTAAACTTAAATACCCAATTCTGGTTGAACAACCTTCCCACGGTTCTTCCGGAATGTCTTCTGAGCTTTTCATTAAATTAATTTTTAAAATACCACATTTACTAAGTTTTCTAAATTGACTCTTTTTTTGTTTTTGGGTATCGCTATTCTGTGAAGAGTTTGGTAGTTCCTCTTCTTTTTTCTGGTCATTTGGCGAACACATTGCCAATTCCAACTCATTTTCCCAAGCCTCTTCCTTCTCTTCTCTCTCCCTCTTCTCAATTTCTTGGTATCTGTTGTAAACTATGAACTCGGGAACAATTGAAGTTTGGACATTTATTGGCGAATCTACGTCCTAAATACAAAATAATATAAATTATTTTAAGCTATAGTTTTTAATTATATACTTGCCATGTCTATACTTAGAGAACCTTGGATTTCTCTTAAAGAACGTTGCTTTGCCAATCTCTTTTTCTTCTTGTGTAGAGGCTTAGTTTCTACAATCATTTCTTCCAGCTCAAAAGTTGGATCACAGTTTAAATGGTCCTTCTGAAATTATAAACACGAAACTAAAAATTGTCATAAAATAAATTCACAGTAAAATTTATTTTTTTAAGATTGTACATATTACCAGTATAGTTTAGTATAGTGAGAACCTATTATTAATTATAATTATTATAAGTTAAACTTACAGCAGGTACAAATGCTGGTGTATACATCCTTTGAAATACCATATCCATGTCATATTTTTGAAGGCACTTTACTTGCTTAACCTCTTGTAATGATGATATTCTTAATCCTGGACTATTTGCCAGTAGCTAAAAAGTAACAACAGATGTATAAATGTATAAATTGTTATATAAAATGCCCATATTAACTACTATTGCTCATTTAACTAACATATCTTTTATCGTGTGAAATCTTTATCTTTGTTCTACCTAATCATGTAAATTCTTAATATGGCAACCATAGAAAAAACAAAAGATCTTGGTGGTAGGGTAAATTAGACAGTTATCGTACACTTTATAGTTATTGGTCAATTAACAGTTATACTGTAAAAACAAGAGTTCTATAAATAGTTACCTTAAATTCAAATCATTAGATGACGTTGTATACAATTATAACTTGGCTGTGTTTAAATTACAATAAAAAATATTTCTAAAAAGTGTACAAATCAGTGTAAATGTGTTCCTCACGGTTTAATCATTGTCACTTTAATGCGTTTTAATTTTAATTCTGAAAACAAACAGTTAAATGGCCAGTGTCCAATTACTGGTTGCTAAAAAATGTAAATTTGTATTATTCATTTGTATCCCGGACATTTACCAGCCAATTCTTATGTAAAATTGTCCCCTGAATCCGAAAAGACCGTCAAAAACTATAATAGTTAAGCAGTTTTTGAGATATAGTCAATTCCATATTATATGTAAAATTGATTATATTTCAAAAAATGTTCTACTTTTATAACTTATGACGACATTTTCGGATTCAGCGTATAACATTTCATAGAAATTGACTGCTAAATGTCTGGATACAAATTGCTGTTGACGAGAATTATTAGTGGCTCCTTTTTCGCTGTGACATTCTTGACTTATTCATTTTTAGAGAGTAAGTAATATAGCGATTTCTTCTTCACAGAACATCTTGCAGAATAACAGCGATTTAAATACAGTGCATGATGGAGAACATAAAAAACTAATGGCAACAAAATTAATAAATTTGGAAATACTTTTAACATACCACCCAAAAAAATATTAGATATATATAAATCATCCTGGTATGATATTTGCAACAAACTATTTCAGAAGTCAGACCAAGGAATTAGTAGTTACCTTCAGAATCCAGAAAAGGGATGAAAAATCCGAGAAAGAAATATATGAATTAAATGACATTTACTTAATTTAATAATACTTAATTTATTTTTAATAAATATTTAACAATTTATGTTATTTGATGTAAAGTTGTTATGTTTATATAAAAATTGTATGTCCAATAGCTATGGTCCATGTGTCCAATTACTATATAAAATTTCCAATTACTATACTTTTTTGCATGTTTTTATAAAACTATTATTAAAAAATTCAAATATTCTTATTTTTAAGTAAACGTGTATAAAGTTTAAACAAACAAACTATCCTTTTTATATATTTATAAAAAAAACTAAAATCTTTAAAACAACGGCATACTTATATAAATATAAAATAAATAATATTCCTTAAGTTTCCAATAACTTTGTGGTTTACCCTATCTCAAAATCTAGTAGGGAAAAAAATCAAATTAGATGAAAATGTATGTAGATAAATGTGTATGTTTACATGTAAAACCTACTTTTTAAAAATTCCCAGGAATAACGAAGATATAAAGATTTTTGTTTTGACAGGTTTTTAGTTTTTTATCAATTATTTGAGAACTGCTGATTTTTATTCAATTTTTAATTACGCAACTTTTGTCTAATTTAACCAACCTTGTAGCTCTTCAAATAAAAAAGTATACTCTAAATATGTACAAAATTTAAGCTGTATATTTTTATATATAAAAATAGTTAGACTATAATTGATAACTCTGAATTCAAAGTCTATTACGTTTTTATTTATTTCGTTTAGCAAAATAAAAAGCAGCTTAATATATTTACATGTCGTACAAGCAAGAACATGTAGAATGCAAACTAATTGAATTAAGATTAGATGACAATCCCTCGGATTACTAGGCTAGGTGTTATACATATGTATTTAAATGGAAATTTCAGAAGCCCGTTTGACGTCAACCTTACCAAGAACGTTGAGAACAGTCTTATACATTATGTTATCTCTAATCCTATTTTATTTCCAAACATTTACATTTGCTTAGCATTATATTTAGTTATACGGTATAATCTATTCAAAATTTACATGCTTTAAGGGACATTTACATTTACAGTATTAAATTATGACATTCTTATCTGGATTTTTTTATTTCTGAAAAAATGTTGACTTTTACAAAGGTTTCAAAAGTTTCCAACGTTCTATAATTTAAGCTTTGTTATTTTATATATACGAAGGGCGGCTATAATGATCTTTAAAATCGGGAAAAAGTGAGGTTATAATAAATTTTGTTATCAATGAAAATTACTTAATTGGAGTAGAAAATAATGCGCATTATTTATCCTTGTGCATAATACCCTACATTATCTCTCGTATAATAATATACCATTATATTGACCATAAAGAAAGTTATTTGCAAATAACATAAAACTTAATGCATTTCTTAGTTTTGCACAAAATAAAATATTGATATAAAAGTAATATTAATTGTTAGTATAAATTATTGAACTCATATTTCAGTGGTGATTTAAAACATAAAATCGACTTAAATGAATAAATTTTATAGGTTTTTACCCAATATTCCACTGCCTGTGTACAAATGCGTAGATTAAAAGAGTGAATAAATAAAAAATCCAACGGTACATTGTTACCAAGCAAATGAAATGATATCAAAAATGAATACGATTTTAAATTTAATAATTTTACCTTTGATAACAAATCGCATATACCATCGCTCCATTTTTTCGGAAATTCATATCCCAATTGAAATAAAATTCTAACATCCTGAAAACTTGTTGTTGAGTGTATGTCATAAGGTCTTGCACGTGCCAATGCTTCATAAGCAACAACGCCTAAAATTAAACAATATTTTAAATATGTATATATATTTATGTTCTGCTTTCCACGGGCGTTATATGTATTAATGGTTTTTCGGGATTAGCTCCGTGTTGACGGTTTTTGGTTCTTAAAAGAATTTCTGACGACGTTTCGGTACAATCTCATGTACCATCTTCAGGTCTTATCTATACAGTGTATATATACATATATATATATATATATATACAGTGTGTCCACGGATGGACTTAACTATACTTGTAAAAATATTTATTTTTAATTTTTGGAAGTAAAGTCACTTTTCATAATTTCTTATGCTTGTTATATAAATTCCATTCACAATGAGAAACTTATATTTTGTTATACAGAGTAAGCAAAAAAAATACAATTGTAGAATTTTCAAAATTAAAAATTGTTAAATAGGTCTAATATGAAGAAATTGTAAGGAGAAACCAAAAAGCCAAATAAAGTTTTTTATGTGAGTTGTTGTTACTAAGATATTTGTTATTAAAAATGAGTGATCCCATTGTTTTGTAGAAATTGATTGCTATCTCATTTTGTGATTATGAATTAAGGTTGTTGCTGTCAACTGTCATGTCTACATTATCTACAATTATTTGTTTAAATTTGAAAACTAATATATTATATTTTCTATATTAAATATCTTAGTATCAAAAACTCATATGAAAAAACTTTATTTGACTTTTTGATTTATATTAGCGCTTCAAAAAAAATATTTAAAATTTTTTAAATTTTAAAATTAGTATTTTTGCTCACCCTGTACAACTAAATGAATGTTTCTCAACGCGAATTGTATTTAATCGTATGTATAACAAGCAAAAAAAATTATGAAAAATGACTTTTTCTCGAAAAATTGAAAATAAATATTTTTACAAGTACAGTTAAGTCCATCCGTGGACACACTGTATATATATTTATAATAATTGAAAATAATTTTTTTAAATCCACGAATGTACTTTTTTTAGCTAGAAAATCTGCAAAAACTAAGCTATGTATATGAAATAATTTTATTTTAATTTTTAGCCTTAAAGTATGCAAAGGATTTGATAAGAGCGTCTCTGTCATTTTAATTACCGTCACCGGTAACTGTTAAAACGAAGTTGCTTGTTTAAAGAATTATAAAACTGACATTTACATTTCCTATTTTCTTTAAGGACTAGATTAATTGATTTTAATAAAACTTTGGTTAGCTAACTCAATCATGTTTCAATTACTACCCAATCATTGTTGAGTTTTTTAACCTTTTTGATTATTTGCAGTAATCAAAAACGTTAAAAACATGTTTTTATAATCAATTTTAATTTAAAAAGTATAGAATATATAGTATATGATTTAAAGAAGAATATTAAAATAATTCATCCTATCCATATCTATCGGAAAAAAGATGTTTCCGAAAAAAATTGACCTATCAAGATTATATTGAATTTAAAAATACGTTTTATTCCAAATTCTTCTTATTACCTAAGTCGGCATAAGAATTAATACGAAGTAGCAAATTCATGGCAAAGTGATAATTTAGCAATATTGAATGCCACAATAATTTATACCACGACATAAAATAACTCCTAAATATCATTATTTAACTTACCCAACGACCACCAGTCTACTGCGTAGGAGTATCCAACACATAAATCCACAGCACAATCAAAAATCTCTGGGGCGATATATGGTTTTGTTCCCGACATTGACGTGGCAAGTTCATTGTCATTAAGAACAGTTGCTATATTAAAATCTGTTAAATGGAAATGTCCTAAAAATAGTTTGATACTTAAATAAAACTAATTTGCATTAATTGTTAAAAATTGTAAATTAGAATTATTATAAAAATCGTATTGAAGTTTAGAAAATATCATTTACTTGCCTTCTTCATCGAGTAATATATTATCAGGCTTAATATCTCTACAATAAAAAAATATATATTAGTCTTTTGTGTAAATCAATGTATAAAATCGTTAGATTTAATACTTTTTGAAATAAAAAAATATTGGCAACATTTGATCCTTTTATAATTTATACATTAGTATTCACCTTTCAAGTTCAATTAAAATGCCTACTACTGTTTGTTTTTTTCGTTACGTTCCAGCCTTTTTATTTTAATTAAAAATCGATTTTCACTTGGTCGTAAAAAATGACTAACCTGTGTATAATGTTTTTTGTTTGCAAGTAGTCCAAAGCTAATGCCAACTCACATATCATTAGTTTAATGGATTCTTCTGAAAAATGTACTTCCTGGTGAATGTGAAATCTTAAATCACCTCCCAAAAGTAAGTCGGTCACCATAAAAAAATCTTCCTCGTCTGAATTATGTAAAAAACGCAATTAAAATAAAATTTACACATATTCAATAAACATGTAAGCTAAATAAAAAATATTACCCTGGAAGGAAAACCAAATATTAACTAAAAAGGGATGTTCCAGTTTTGTTAAAATTTCCACTTCCTTTAAAACGTTTTTTAACGCATCGCGTTCCAAACATTGATGTTTATTCATGTACTTCATAGCAAACATTTGCTTGGTATCTTTCTTTTGAACAATACATACCTAAAATGAGATTTATAAATTTACCACATTTTTATACCTAAGATAAGATTTATCAATTTAATAAATTTTTATTAAATCTAAGAAATAATACATATTATGTTAATCTTGGGTGACATTATTATTATAATTTATTTATCTTGTTTTGGAAAATCAATCATAATAAAACATTAATAGATAATAGTATTGCACTTTCTTCGTGGATAATAATTTTTGTCATGTGGTAACTAACGAAATTAAACTTTTTAAAAGATAGGTGTATTTATCAAAATTGTAGAATTAATGATAATGTTATACGAGGTGTGTTCAGAAACTATCGGGAATTTTCGTTTTTTTTAACAAATATTTATTTATTCGTCTAAATTAATGTTGTCGCCTTCAAAATAGTCCCCATTGGATATTATGGGCATGTGCAAGCTCTTCTTCCAATACTCGAAACACTTCTAAAACTCGATCTTTGGGATAGTTTCTTTCAGCGATGCGCTTTTAATGTCATCTATGCTTGCAAAACGACGGCCCTTTAAGGTTCTCTTTATTTTAGGGAATAGGAAAAAGTCTGGAGAATATGGAGGCTGGGGCATTATTACAGTATTGTTTTTGGCCAAAAATTTTGTTCAAAATTTAACAATTTTGGAACAAATTTTGCTGCCACGCGTTTCATACCCAAAACATTTGAAAAAATTTCATGGGATGAGCCAATCGATATACCAACATCATCAGCGACTTCTCTGAAGGTTTATAACCATTTCTTCTACTTTTTCCATGTTTTTATCGGTTGTTAATGTGCTTGTGCGTTCGGAGCGTTCGTCATCTTCAACGTCTTCACGGCCATCTTGGAAACTCTTATACCACTTGTAAACTCTTGTTTTACTTATAGCAGACTCACTATAGGCCTTTGTTAACATTTCACAGAATTTATTTAATTTTTTAAGCAAAATTGGATACAAATTCTTTGATCCATTTCTTTTAACGAACGAAAAATCGCCGAGCTCATAAAACACGTCTAACCTTAGCGGCTGCCACAGACAAAGTAAACAATGAAAACAGCTAAAGTTTTTATCATACTTCGGGGGCATGTATACCAACATAATAAAGAAAATTTGATGACAACCGGACCCTCCGAACCCGCGAAATTTACCAATTCCCGTTATTTTCTGAACACACCTCGTACCTATATCAAAATTTTCTAAAAATGCTATATTGCATGATGCTAAAATGTTATCAAATTTTTTTTAAACCACGGCGTAAAGAAATAGGACGCTAATTAGTAGGGATGGGATTTTAGTTATTTTACCTTTTTTTAACCGATGTAACTATTTGAAAACCAATAATGCCAAAATGTGTTTTAAAAGATTTTCTTTTATATGAACCTAACTTGTTTTCACCTTTTTTACCTTTTTTGGAGGTTTTTGCTTTTAACTACCTTTTTTATACTTTTGTTACCTATTTTTTTAACTTTTTTTCACCTTTTTTACCTTTTTTGGAGGTTTTTGCTTTAAACTACCTTTTTATACTTCTGTTAGGTACATATTTTTTAATTTGTCAGTTTATTTTCATATATTTGTTACCTATTTTTACTTATTTTATTTTTTTTGTTCTTTTTAAAATTTGCGCCAATATTTTATCCAGGGCGTGCAACTCAACGGAATGGAATTTTTTCTTATGGTTACAGACTGTAACAGTAACTTTCTTTACAGTTACCTCCTTTTCACTACTAGTGAGCTTATGTTCTGTCATAGAACTTCTGTGTAGTGAGTGTCACTCAGTAAAACACAGTTTATTGCATAGTAATAGTTTATTGTGGGTATGTTCTGTGTTTGGGTATGCGACTAAACAAAATTATAAACGAAACTTAAACTTTTAATGTTTTTTTTTACCTAAAATGCTGTTTTTTTAACCTAAAATGCTTTTTTTTAGTACCTTTTTAGTTACCTATTTTTCAGTTTTTAGTACCTAAATATCCCATCCCTACTAATTAGACACCATACATTTTAATTTATATAATTAAACAGGTTTTATTACAATTAGTAGTAGACCATATTATAAATGTTTTAATTAATGAGCAGGTTGTACTTAATAATTTATGAATTATTAATCATAATTCACCATACCCCACGTAATTAATTTTACGGGATTTTCAAATAATATCAAACCACGGTCTTATCAAACAATACGTTTAAAGACTTCTTATTTTATTAATGTCTTAATGCAGATTATATCAATACATTTTGTTTTCTTTGTCTACTCAAGCAAATTATTGATTTATTGTGCTTATGTTTTATAAAGTTTTAGATAAAAACATGTAAATGTATCTATTGTTTTAAATAAATTTAATTTTATTTTTAGTTTAGATTTAAATTTATTATACTCCAATTTAAATACGACGGAAGGGTCAAGTGTGTAAATCTAAAGTAGGTATACCTATAGTCTGTCATTATTTCAATTTATAATTATAAAATCAATTGATAGAACTCTACTTACTTTTCCAAAGCTACCTTTTCCAATGGCTCGTAGAATTTGAAAATGATCAAAATTTACTGAAACAGAAATTAAATATGAATAATTAATTTTTATCGCAAATAAAATATATTTGTAAGGCCCCTAAAGACTTATTTTTGTCATTCTGTATAAATAATAAACATATAACAGATTTTTTGCTGTTGAAAAAGCTTGTCATGTACAAAAGAAAATAGCAATTTATTTTTGCTGTGTCAGTCATAATTTTTAGAAGAAGCAACGCAGCCCTTTATGATGATTTTTTGTTTCATAACTTCTAAAACAAAAATATTATGTCCTTTTATATAAATTATGTAAATAAATAAGACAAAATGCGTTACTGAAATGACGATTTTTCCCTAGATGATTGGAACCACAAAACAAATTAATCTATTGCCAGTTTTATAACTAAATATAGTATTAATGTATGTTTGCGGATATTTCAACAATGCGTTACCGAAATGCCCTTTGCAACGTAGTAATACTTCAATATTATTAATTAAAATACATTATGTGTAATTTAATTTATTTTATCAATGCACGAATATTACCTAAATGTATCCAACAGTATTGATGAATGACGTAGATTAAAGCTTGGGTATCTGTAGGGAAAATAGATAGAATTTGAGTATCAAGTTTGATAAACGCCTATTTAAACGAAGCGTCTAGGATTTACCGTAAAAGCTGACTGAATTTCCAATATACTTTATTTAATTCGTAAATTTAAATTTAATTTATAAACCAATTTATTTTCAAATTGCAAATACCAATTAAAATATGATTACAATCAATAAATATTTTGAACCTAGGGTTAAAACATGCCAACTAATTAAAAATATTAATTTATCTTAAATCACCTCAAATCAAAACATTATTTTTTAAATAGTAGGTATATTGTGACATTCCCGACCAATAGTCGCACATAATATTTTATTCGACTACCACAAGGAATTTTATTTCCAATTGTATTTGACATCTGACTGCTGTGAAGCAGTTTTAACCTCATTTTTGAAGAAGTCAGTGTTGAATAAATATATATATTTATTTTTAATAAAATTCATTGAAACACACTACCTGTCTACCTGACCAAAGCTACGCCCCTCGTTGAAGAGTCATTAATCTTTATTTATTTTGTTTTAATGACTAAAGTTTCTGGCATGAGAACTGGTTCATTAATTTAATGAACACCTTTCTCTAAAGGTGTCGCAAAACACAATGTAGGACATTTGTAACTTAAATGAGATATGTTGCATAACAAGTTTGAAATTGTACACCACCACATTAGTGGGTACTTGAAATTGTCTACATTTTTGAAAGAATATTAATGAGAACGAAGGTTAAAAATTATGTATCAAGGAAAAACATTATTTTTTTACTGTCATTTTCTATATAAAATTTCTATTGTATCTGGAACACGTCAAAAAATGTACGTACTATGTGCTACACTGTTAAAATTTTTTTGTAAAATTACAATTGTTTTGCAAAACAGATAAGTAAAATTACAAATCAGTGTATACCAATAGAAAATTATAATACAATTTAAGTAATCTTCCAAGACATGTTGGGAAATCTACCAAGATAAGTTTTAATTTTACAATCTATATGTATACATCCTACTCGCATTGTAATTTTACTAAACAGTTTTACACTTTCTAAAAAAAAGCATCTCAGATTTACAAACGTTGTTTGTAATTTGATGTGCTATAATGTTATGCAAAATGCATAGTATGTACCGATTGCGGCAATCACGTGATGTTCTTACATCTCGCCTCGGTTGACTTAGGTGGACAGTATATTAGGTGTCTTTCGTTTTTGGTGTGTTACAATACACCAAATTGTCCAACATTGATAAGACTCAAAATAGGTCCATCTGTCTATCTCTGTCGTTATTTGAAGTTGGTGGAACGCACTTAAAACAAAAACTCTGGCGAGGTGAATGTTCAATTTTTTTAAATCTTTACAGTAATGTGTCAAGAAAGTTTCTTGAAGAAACTAAGAAAATTGCAGGTTTTTTTTTCGTAGTATAATTACAATACCATTCGTAAATTACTAAATATTTTTAGTGTAATTTGTTGTATAAAATAACAATATTTGTATTGTAATATTGCGAATTTTATTTCTTCAGTTCAGTAAAATTGTAATATATATTTTGTAATTTTCTTAAACTGAGTTAAAATGAATTCTATAGTATAATTTCAACAAACGTTTTATTATTTTCCCAAATTGAGTTGTAATGAATCGTGTAGTGTATACACATATATATTTATAAAACTGAGTTTTATTATTACTATATTGTGGTGCGTAAAAACTTCATAAACATGTTTAGTAAAATTACAATAGAAATTGGTAACAGTGTAGTGGTTACTTTCAATTTTAAGTGTCATTATATGTTAACCCAAAATGTTTTCCCTTGGCACATAATTATTTTTTTACCCCAAAGATTAAATTTCTGAAGGCGTAATGAGATGCGTAATGAATCCATTACGCGTCGGTTGTTATATATACGATATATTGTATCCTAGGCGATATGACAAAATAACAGCTTAAGGTAGTTGTCGTGGTACAATATTGTCAAAATTTTTTAGATTATACGCACCGTAAAAGTATACGAGCTGGTAGCTAAGTGATTCATAATTTGTTCGCAAGACTGTACCCTGGAGACGTTATTTTTACGTAATACTTTCAAATATTTTCATAAGTTTTAATCCGGCAACGTCGCTTATGCTCAACCAATAGATATATTGGAGACTGAATCAGACGTTTGAATTTACTGCGGAAATTATATCTATACTCGCGTACAGCCTTGCCAAGTTGTTTTTATCTGACACTAGTGATGTATACTTTTTACAAATTGTTGAACTTTAAACGGTTATTTATAAACAATTGGACGGTCAAAAATTTTTAATTATTTTTTTTTAAACTCAGCAAAAATACATTAAAACAATGTTAGTTTTTCGAAAGCTTCTGACAGTTAGTTTTTTCTGTATAACTAAGAAACTGGTACAGAACTACAGAAAGCCTATACAGTCCATGTTAATTATCCAATTTTTAATTGAATTTATCTCGGGTTATAGACGGTCAATCGACTTCAAATTTTAAGGATATATGTATTGTCATGTCCTTAATAAGTATACAAAAATTCAAAATTTTCTGATGGTATGCTTATAGCACGACAACTACCTTAAGTTAAAAATAAGTATAAATTTAAAATTGGTGAGAATAAGTAGGTACTTTTGATATTCAGCTAGCCGATTTATCAATAACTTACGGATTTGCAAAAAATTTATTTATTTAATTAAAAAAGTTTTTAATTAAACTGATCGAACTTTAAGTAAGAAACCGTTATAATTGGATTTTAGTTAAAGTAGGTGGGTCAATACAATATTGAAACAACAAAGGCGTGCCACAATAGTTGCACGAACTGAAACTATGTATTTGATGTAAAGAAACATTAAATTTTAAAAACTAAAACAACCAAAAATAAAAAATTAAAATCTCTTTAATGCGGATATTTTTAAAAAATATCATTTAAAAGCATTCACATTGCAAAACTATTTAAGGTAAAAATAATAGTATACAGGGTGTTATGTAATTAATGTTATATATTAAAATGGGTTGTTCCTTAGGGTCCATAAAGAAGCACCTGAAACTTTTTTTTTCTAAATTCCAAAGTCTAAAAATAATTTATAATAACCTTTATCCTACCAAAAAGTACGCCATTGATCGACTAGGAACTTTAGGTTAATCTGGTGGATTTATTATGTTAAGGTTGGTAACAACAGTTTTTCCAAAATCTCTCAAAAAAGTTGACAAACATTGTTTAAATTTAGCTTAATTACAAAAATGACAAAATTAACAATGCAAATTGTCAATTTGGCGTTTTTATTAATTGTTGGTCATGTCATTTTTGTACTGAAGGTAAATTCAAACAAAATCTGCCAACTTTTATGACAGAATCTAGTGCATTTCTTTTAAATTTTAGGTTATGTTTTCAAATTGTAAATATCTTAACTATGGGAAGTGCTTTTGGATTTATTTACACAAATTAAATGTTTAAAGTTTAACCTGTGAACTGGTCCCAATTTCATATGAGTAAACAAAGAAAAAAACTGATGAAAAAATTAATTTTGTGGTTATGGATTTCAAATTTCAAAGGTACTAAATTTTCTAATCATTGCTTAAGCTAATAGCTGGATCAGTAAATAAATACAGAAGGGTATTAGAGCTTTAAGGGCATACAACTTATGTATTTATTGAGTTTTTTGCAAGAAAAATTTTTAGTAACAATTTTTTACATCTGGCAAAGATAAACCAAGTGTGTAACCAGTGGCGTATCACAAAAAATATAAAAAACTTCTAATGCATATTTTTTCTTTATCTTTGGAAAAATGTTTTTTTTTAATATTTCAAAAGGTATTCAGTATTTTAATATATAACATTAATTACATAACACCCTGTATTATGAAAAAAATTGCCGATTATAAACGACGAACAATTTTTTACGAGTTTTACATATTATTTCGTACCCCAAATAAATCAAAAATTAAATAAAAATTAACACTTTATGACCGAATCGTAGTGTGAACTAACCTTAACGGTTTTATTGACAGAGTGTTCTGGGTTTGAAGTTAAGTTTTTTAAATTTTTTTAAAATTATATTCACCCATAATATAACTAGTGGTATGATTATCATCGATGATATTTTCGAATTGAAACCGAGCTGCAGATTTCACGAGTCCGCAGGACGAGTGAAATGTGCTGCTTCGGTTTCAATGAGTAAATATCTTCGATTATTAATCATACCACGAGTTATATTTAGTGAGAAAATATAATGAATTTTAGGAATTAAAAAATTTGTCAGATTGACATTTAAAATTAAAATGTGCTTTAAAATATAAAAAGACTTTAATAAACCTTATTTATTCAAACTTACCTTAATTTCATTATCGTTTACACCAACCCATCGATCTTTTAGAGTTTATAATTCATTATTTTATTGATATATATCAAATACAGAATTTAAATGATGTTAAATCAAAAAAAGTGTCAAAATTCTTAGTAACGTGTAAACAAGATGATAAAAATTATTGCCGCTGTGATAAAATACGTCACTATGGAATACTGGCATTTTATTGGTTCTAATATTAATGAATTGTATTGTCGGTTAGATATAACATTAAAAGCACTATCCTGCAAAAACTGATAACATACTCATATTATAACGCTTAATGGACTGCATCAAATGTTTTAATTACTGACCTTCCTGCCCATAAAGGGTTTTGTCCATTCGACCAGATTGATTGGCACCCATTGTCTTTGGATTCCGGCTTTAATAAATTTGAATTGGGAGTTAATCATAAAGGAATCAATAATGGCATGGAGCAATTGATTAACGTAGATAGGTGAAACCGCACTTCAATATCTATGATACGTCCATGTTCAAGTTGAAAGCCGGATCTGTAAATATAAAAGGTTTGTATTATTTTGTGCGGGTCAATGTACCAAATTTATTTGTCTAGGCAAGCTTAATCAATCTTGAGATTGATTGATTGAGCAATCATTGAAGAAGTGTTTTTTATATACAAGGTGTCCCTAAACTTATTGGCATAAATTTAGGAAAAGATCTAGCAAGTAAAAATAAGACGAAAACCTAAATAAATATTTTTCCTAATTACTTATGTTTTTAAGATACAGGGTGATAAAGTGTTACTTATCATATCAGTTTTTTTATATAACTTCTACTATGGTAGTCTTAGAAAGGTGATATTTTGCGAACAGTCACTTAGTACCAAAACACATATTCACACATAAGTACAATTGTTTGAGTGAACACAGTGTAGAAACGGGGGTTGCTTAAAGCTTATTTTCCCATAAAAACTTTGAGGTTAGGTTTTTGTAACATTTAATGCAATTTTTCGATTACACAGTTCGGCTACCACTAAAAAGGTGTAACTCAAACTTCGATAAAATAAACCGTTTCCGAGATATTCGAGATTACAATAATTGTTATATCGCATTATTTAAAAGGATTAAAAGGTATAATAATTGAAAAAACTAAAAAGGGCATTCCATGAGCCTCGAGACTTTTTGCCCTGACCGTCACATTAAAATAAATTGTAGTTTTTTCAATTAAAAAATTTGTTATGATATACCTTTTAGTCCTTTAATGCGATATAACAATTATTGTAATCTCGAATATCTCGGAAACGGTTTATTTTATCGAAGTTTAATAGGTACACCTTTTTAATAGTACCCGATCTAAGTAATCGAAAAATTGCATCAAATGGTATAAAAACCTAACCTCAAAGTTTGTATGGGACAATAAGCTTAAGCAACCCCTGTTTCTACGACACTGTGTTCACTCGAACAATTGTAATTATGTGTGAATATGTGTTTTGCTAGTAAGTGACTGTTCCCAAAATATCACCTTTCCAAGTCTACTATAGTAGAAGTAATATTAAAAAAACTGATATTATAAGTAACTTTATCACCCTGTATCTTTTAAACATATGTAATTAGGAAAAATATTTATTTAGATTTTCGTCTTATTTTGACTTGCTTAATCTGCTCCTAAATTTATGCCACTAAGTTTAGGGACACCTTGTATATTTTACTTCTTTTCTCTGGAGTTATTTTTAAGGCATAAGTTACTAAAAATAGAACAACATAATGGTATATTACTCTCTCAAAATGAAATAGTCGTTTTCACTTTTAAACAGTTATTTTTTACTACGTAAATAGTTAAAGTTTGACTAATTTAAGATTAGTCACCATCTTTGACTATTTCTGAGAGTTAAAAGTAACTAATTTCTTTAATCGTTTGCGTCCAACAACAAAGTATTATTTGAATTAAATGCATAAAGGCTCCATGGTTAAATGGTTCATAAAAACAAACAAAAATAAAAAAATATTATGAACAATATTTATTGACAAATAAAATTGATTTTAATAAGAGCGAGTGATAGCCACATCATTGGTTATGACAACAGCTTGACAAGTGAGACCTGAGTTCAATCCCCGGCTGGGTCAAAAAAATTTTTAAATTTAAATCTACTAATTTTACTATTTCATTCAATAGAATTTGACTAATTATTAGTGACTGCTTTTTCGCTATGACATTTAGTGAAATATGACTTATAATTAGTTATTTTTGACTAATTCATTTTAAGAGCGAAGCGAAGCTTGCAAACGAGTGTCTAGAGAAGTTTATAAAACGAGATGCATGCTATACGTTATCTACGACGAACAGAAATATGAAATTAAAGCCAATTTTATTTAATAAGTATTTGACATTTAACGAATTTAACCTCACTTTTTCAAAATTTATAATAAAGCTAACTTCAGCCCGTGACTAAAATGCCCAAAAGACACTGTTGTTAACGTCAGCCTGTGACTAAAATGACATAAAGTCACAGCTTGTCAATGTAGAAGTTCGATCTACAATTATTTGGACACATTTGGTACTGTATACTTTTAGCGTGATAATACGGTAATCATTGTTTGATTATTATAGGAAATTGCTGAAATGAATAAATTGTTAATTTTATTTTACAGGTCGCGAATGAATATTTACACCAAAAATAACGGAAATTAAATAGACATTAAACTTTTCAGTTTCTTGAACAAAACTTTTTGCCAAAGATTTTTCCCTCCCTTCTTAATAGTTGTAGAAAGAACTCTCTCCGTGAAGCCACAGAAAACAAACTTTTTACCAGTACATCAAATCAAAACTAATGTTTTTATGATAGCCAAAGAAAAGATATTATAATTTATGTAGGTTGCACTTTCTAATAAATAGTATACAAAGTTGCTTCTGTTCTTTGTGTATTTGTTAGTTGCAAGACATCTAAGTTTTAATTTTATTTTAGTATTTCTAAAAAGGTTGTATCTACCTACCCTAAAGCGTAATAACCTGAACTCATCTGTAAACAAGTTAATATGCTAACTACACATAAAAAATAATTATAAACGGTTTTGAAGACCTTTGATAAATATTTTAATTTTAAAAAGTGCTTTCAAATATGAAATGTTATGACAGGTTTTTAGAGTATTTGAAAATAAAATTATTAAGAAAGATTTTCAAATAAAAACTAAAAGTTTTCTAAATGTATTTTCTGTAAAATTTACTTATACTTATTTTATAAAATACAGTATAAGTTTTAATAAAAATACATTATATAATGCAGTGTGAAATCAATAAAGTACAAAGTATCTGTTTTTCTAAGAAATGTAAATCCCGACTCATTCCCATAAAAATAAACTTTTTAAATTGTGAAATTGAATGTGATGCCTAATAGTATATTATTATATTAGAGATAATGCATGCTATTATTCACGAGGATGGGGTTATTGTCTCGAGCCGTGAGTCCTAACTAGGTGAATAATAAGTTCGTTATTTCCGTTGTTAGATGAGGCGGTTATAATGGTTACCATTATATAGGGAAAACCCAAATATTGTCACCCATAATATAACAAGTGGTATGATTATCATCGATGATATTTTCGAATTGAAACCGAGCTGCAGATTTCGCAGGACGAGTGAAATGTGCTGCTTCGGTTTCAATGAGTAAATATCATCGATAATTAATCATACCACGAGTTATATTTAGTGAGAAAATATAATGAATTTTAGGATTTAACGAATTGTCAGTTTGACATTTGAAATTAAAATGTGCTTTAAAATATAAAAAGACTTTAATAAACCTTATTTATTCCATCTTACCTTAATTTTATTATCGTTTACACCAACCCATCGATATTTTAGAGTTTATAATTCATTATTTTAATCATTTAACAAACACAGTATTTAAATGTCAACAAATGTCAAATCAAGAATCAAGAATAAAAAAAATATTGTCGCTGTGATAAAATGCGTAACTATGGAATACTGGCATTTTATTGGTTCTAATTATAATGAATTGTATTGTCAATACTATGCTATAGAATTAGAAAAAAAGTAATTATATTCATATGTGTGTACATAAAATAGTTAATTACATAAACTGTCTAGAAATAAATTTAACTGGCATTCCCACTTGTATTATTCCAGTAAATTTATTAGTTGTCATTTATCCGTTCGAAAATAAAAAAGTTTTTATAACCCAATAACAATAAAATTAGGTATATTGTTAAGTGGTAAACAATTGTTAACTTATATGTATATTAATATAAGCCTGCAAAATTACAATATAAAGCTCGATTTTCATAAATAATATTTTATACATACATATATCAAAAAATTATTCAATAAAAAGCATGTAATACAAATTAAATTTATAGTATTTATAAGCGTATACCTTTAATTTAGCATTTAAATAAATTGTTTTATTAACAAAAAGTATTGTAAAGCTCAAGTTTGTTGTTTCAAATAAACTTTACCTGACCACAAAACTAAACTCGACTGTGTACCAGATGGGCCAAGAGTTTTCTTTGTAATGCAGGCTTTACATTTAAACCCGTCTGATTTAGAAAACAACAAAATAAAAATATCGTAAAGTGGTTTTTTTCAAGAGCACATAAAAATAAAAAAACTTCCAATTAATATAAAATTAGTTAATTTTAAAATTAAAGTTAATTAAATTAATTAATTAAGTTAGCGTTTTTATAAAGAAACATTGTTTTCGCAAATATAAAAACTTTTAAAAGAGAAGAATTTGCTTTCTTTTTATTTGTACCCAAGACATTAAAAGTAAAGTATTTACAGAGAAAAAGTCAGTAGTCAGCTTGTGTATTAAGTTATGAGTCACAAACTCTTGCGTGAGAAAAGTGAGAATTCAATCTAAAAATATTTTATTACGTTACCATTTAGTGTTTGTGTTATTTCTTTCAACTTTGTTTTTCTTGTTTTGTTTCATTTTATAGGGATTAAAGATTATTTCGCAAACAAAAAGCTGTTGTCTGGTTTATGTAGAAACTGATAATGCTGTCAATCTCTATGCTCAGCGTTTTCCGGATAGAGTTCGATCACGTGTTTTTACTACTGACGGAAATGTTCAACCGAAAAAAAAAACCCGTCGAGCAATAGTTACTGTGGAAAATAATGAAATTGCTATAAAACAGCTGTGGCCGCTAACCTCACGTTAGTACATTAAAAATAGCATTGCAAAATTCATCCAAATTCTAGATTATCATGTTATTTATATTTTTGTTTTTAAGAACATCTTTTCGCATTTAAAAAACAGTTCTTTAAAAAACTCCAATTATTTTAATAATAAAAGAATAATTTCCTGTGCTACAAATAATGATTTAATGATAAATAAATATAATCATATATTATATCACGAGAACTATGAATTTAATCGGTTAAACTAGGCTCAGTAGTTTTTGTTGGAAAATGTTGAATGCAAAATAATTTAATAAAATCACGAGACCGCGTAGCGGTCGAGGGGTTTTATTTTTAATTATTTTGCATGAAACTATTTTCCAAAAAGAAAAATCAAATAAAAAACTTACTGAGCATAGTTTGACAGATTAAATTTATAGGTTGAATGATATACGTCTAGATTATTTCTCGAATTAAAGGAAACTATTTGACAATTCATAAAATCTGACGTATGTGTCAAAATTTATAAATATTTTTTTAAAGAAAATTCCATTAATTTAAGGTATGTAATAAGTAATAATTGATATTTTGTAAACTAGATAACTTATTTTTTATTGTTTTTTAAAAAATGTTTGTTAAAACTTGTAAATAACACCATAAAATCGTAAACAAAAATCCAATATGGGGGCTAAAATTTAATCGCTGTTAAATAGTTCTAGTGATTTAATCGCTTATTTAAACGAAATTTATTCGAAAATTCAAGGCTTTTGATTGGTTCATATTATAATGAGGGAAATAATCAATTATAAAAATTAATTTATGGAAAAATAAAAGATAATTTCTATAAATAAAACAAATTCAGATGAGAGTGGATATTGAGAATGATATTAAAATAAATAAACTTAATAGTAAATATTTAAATATTAAAATAAGAAATCTATCCAACTATTTTATGATGAGGATGTTGTCCCCCCACATAGTGTTGACGCCACTGGTACAAAAACTCAAAATTCATAAATTAGTCAAGAACTTCAATGAATTTCAATGAATTGTCCAAAAAATCAAAAAATAGCGCCTGTAGTTTTTCAGATATTAAAAAATAACATTTTTAAGACATTTCAACACCCTATAATAAGCTTAGACGGCATTTTTTGGCAAACATACGTTGATTAGGACTTTTCGCCTTATCTTTAGGTATTCTACTCTCAAAGTTTGTTACACTAGTTATAAATCACCACGTATATACCTATGATTTTAAGTTTACAAGTTTTAACCTCCATTTAGATTAGATTTTGCATAAAATTAGACCGAACTGAAAATTTGCTGAGGGTTTACTTGGCTGAAGGTACAATTCCTAGGGACTTGCTTAATCATTTTATACCCCGTTCAATGTGCCTTTATGAAGTACTTGTCAATTAACCCAGTCTTAACGAACGTTTCTTCATTGTGGGTTTAAGCTGCAAGAAACGCAAGTTTGAGTGAACTAACCAATTAACCGAAATTTCGTCAAATAATAAGAGTTAGGATCCCAGACAAATGGATTTCAAATGTTGTTCTAATGCACTAATGGAATTGTTTTTATGTGCGGTTAGAAACGGTTCAATAAATCGATAGAACTAAAATTTATGTCTCGCATTTGCTAAAACATGTTAATGTTCTTTTGTTGACGCCTTTTCCTTGCAAAAGTTAAATTTTTATATTATGTTAGTTATACAGGGTGTCCAAAATGTGATGGGATAGTATTGCTATCTCGGTAACGGTTATAGTTGGAATAGAGCATCAAGAGTTCAAAAGTTGCATAATTACATGCCTTTTACTATGGCATAGAAGATTGAAAAAAAAAATCAGCGGTTCTCAAAATATTAAAAAAATATAAAAATTGGTTAAAACTTATTATCGCTATAACTTTTTTATTTCTAGGAATTTTAATATACTGAAATGTTTACATTAAAACATATAAAATTACATACATTTTGATCCAATTTGTGTATTTTTACGCCAACTAGATTTTGAGATACGGCTACTATCTTTTGTTTCTCCTATGGCCGCCATATGTGGCCATATCTCAGAATCTAGTAGGCGTAAAAATACACAAAAAGGATCAAAACGTAAGTAATTTTGTATGTTTTCATGTAAACCTTTCAGTTTTTCAAAATTTCTATAAATAAAAAATAATAGCGATAATAAGTTTTAACCAATTTTCAGTTTTTTTCAAATATTTTGAGAACCGCTGATTTTGTGTGCAATTTTCAGATGCCATAATAAAAGGCATGTAATTACGCAACTTTTGAACCCTTGATGCCCTATTCCATCTGTAACCGTTTCCGAGATAGCAATGCTATCCCATCACATTTTGGACACCCTGTATATGGTTTATTAAGTGGATTTAAACCGTATTTTATATTTAACAAAATTATCATATTTAATTAACATATAAAAAGTGTAACTTTTTGCCGAAACTCATTTTTTTTTATTTGGACTTAAAGATATACGCTTATAAATACTCTGACACTGTCAAAAATTGACAGTAATATTTATTAATGATAATTTACTTATTATATAATATCGATATAAAAAGATAACTATGCCAAAAATAATATCAGATTTTAAAGTAAAAGAACTTTTAAGGGCAAAACTTCATTTCGATGAAGTTATGCCAAATGCCTCAATGGCATAAAAAGTACATCGCCCTATGGTAAAGTGACTAGATTCTGTCAAAAAATTGAGGGACATTTTGTATGAATTTACCTTAATTACAAAATTGACACAATGATACAATGCAAATAGTAAATTTGACGTTACTTAATTATAGTTGATTGTGTAATTTTTGTAATTAAGGTTAATTTACACAAAATGTCCTGTTATTTTTTGACAGAATCTGGTCACTTTACCCTATGGACATTTTTGAAGTAAAAAACGTTTTAAGTTTTACAAATATTAAATCACACATTATTTTCAGCTAAGCAGATCAAAAACTTTTGAAATTTTAAAAAATAAGGGAGAATAAAAAAACAAAAAATAAAAATGATTTGCTGTTAGGTTCAACCTTTTTGAGAAAAATCTAGTAGTTAATTTTCCTGTCTTTGAAAATAGCATCCATTTGGTTTGAAAAAGATAATCAATAATCACAAACTTTTTCTTCTTTCAATTTGCAAGTTACTGATCATTAATAGTCTTGGACAATATATACATTATAATTATTATTAAGCCACTACAAGTATTAACGTACAGTGGCTTTAACAAAATACCCATTCATATTGGAGTCCAATGATTGGACAACATTCACGTGTGTTCACATTAAATTTTAATTTCCTTTATATAAATTCTTTTCAAAACGAAGATTATTATCCGCTAGGAATACTTTGTCTCTCCTGGGCCGTAGTCACCTATATTTAACTACTTTTTTATATGATTTTACTCATTTTAACACCAAAGCCAAATTAATTGCATTTTTAACTACGAATTTTGACAACCGTTCAATGTAACCTACAATAATTTAATCATAACCACAATTCCATAATAATTACATTTATGACTAGTTTAGTTTGTTTTAATCAATGCAACCAATTTTGGTTCCGTATTTTCCAACCAAATCCCTAAATTTGCAACGTTGCCGCAGTCCACAGCAAACAAATTGTTAGAAGGTATGCAGAAACATTTTTAGGTTCCTGTAAAATCTAGTTTAAGTGTGTTTTCATCACAAAAGTAAAACTATGTTAATAATGTTAAGCTAAAAATAAGTCAACCTTATTAATCTCAGCTGCCTTATTTGAATTGTTGTCCGTAGCAACCTATTTAAATGTAAACCGTGTGAGCTCATTAAACATTTTCAAGTATTTAAACTTAATAACTCAAAAAAACGTAATTTTTCGTACACCCTGTATAAAAAAAGCTTTAAAACTTCACTTGCATCGATTAAATGGTTCGGGTAAATTTCCAGTGGTTTCATTGGTTGCTTATAACTTTAGTTTTCCATCAATGTATCTCTTTGTGTTTTGCAGAATATGCCTTTTTTAAAAATTTCGTTTTTGTTTACGGCCATTAGATACTTAAATATGTAAATATAAATTATGGAATACCGACAAAAACTTAAAAAAGTAATTAAGTGAGTTATAAATAATTAAAAAAGTAGATGTTGAAAAGAAAGCCCCTAAAAAATATTAGGGAAGCAAATTAAAAATGATGGAATTAAGGAATTTGGCTATAAAAGTGAAATCAAAATATATAAATCATAAAATAACAAAGTAAAATATGAAAGAATATTAATGAAACCTTGTCTTGAATTTTTTCCCTCCAAGTGTAAAATCTCGAACAAATCTTAAATGCCATGGTTTTAATTTATTTTTGAACTTCGTACCGTATTAAGGAAAAATTTACAAACATCTTATATTAAAAGATGCAATATTTACAAAAATGGTGTATGCGCCAGGAAAATAATTGATCCCGGAGCATTCGCCATTTTCAAAGTTTGTATAAAATTTAAACAAAGTTTAAAAATGGCGAATGAGCCGGGATCAATTATTTTCCCGGTGCGTTCACCATTTTTGTATTATATATACAGGGTGTACCAAGTATCTTTCTGTGTATACTTTTTTATTTCAAGAGCTGTTTGGTTATTTTCAAATTTCTTGTACATTTGCTGTTCTCAATTTTAATATTTTATAAAAAATTGAGTATAACGCAATTTGGAACTTTACTAAGCGAAATCAATTGGTTAATATTAGTCAATATATATATTGGTCAATATTAGAAAAATTTTTATTAGAAAAATTTTAAATAATAATTTACGACATTTATTGATCAAAAATAACCAACTGGCCATCGACAGAACTTTAAATTTAACCCTATAAAAAATTAAACTTTTCCCAACAGTACTTAATGCCATTTAAACATCTTAGAGTAAATTAACATCCCCATATATAGTTGAGAAAATATTAAAAATATTACAGAAAAAGCTTATTTGTAGTAATACTTAAAAATACAAGTGGTTAAAATAAGCCACAGTTTTTATAAATGACATTTTGAATTAAGAGCACATTTTTTGTGCTGCCCCCTTGTGGCAATGTATTTGGTAACGGATTTTAGTAGAAATTGGTGTTTTCAACTATCTTAAGACCACAACACGTTTTTTTTTGTATTTTTATACCATCGCGATGCATCGTGGCAAAACTGCATTCTCCTGTGTAAAAGTAATAAAAAGCAGTAGGTACCAGTTGGATTTCTTTTCATTCTCAAAAGAAAGTATCCTAGTAATGGTTTTAAGGGTAAAAATACAAATTTTTATCTTTAAAACAGTAAAGGGGTTATGTTCTAAAAACATACATTTTTTCCTCTGGGTCACACATCTCCTGGATCACATATTGTGTGACAATTCCAAAGAAATGAGTTAATACATTTTTAAAATAATAATAATTATAGAAAAGTTTAAAAACATTTTTTTTCGACTTTCCACCTTTTTTGTTTCTGAAAGTACGTAGCCAATTTAAAATAATGTCCTCCACCTTTTTAATAGTAACTTTTCTAGTCAATGTATTTTTCCTCAAAGAAGCTGGAACATTTTTTTGTAGTTCAAGGAAACAATGTTTATATTTACTTTTTATTATTATTTTATTAATATTATTAATCACTAAAACTAACTTTTTATTAATTTATTGCTCTTTAAATTGGACAAGCTGGGCAAAGATAAAAAATCGAGAAAAAAGTTTTGAATACGCATTAAAAGAAAATTTCTTAAACTCACCTTTTTTAATGGACATTCTTTAAATACAGAAAATATATTAAAAATACTGTTTGTATGTAAGAAAGTTGAGAAATAGAACATAGTTTTTGCTTTTACTTAGTTTTGTACTTAACATTTTTTATAAATAATAAATTTATGTTATTTTTTTAAACAAATCCTAGTTTAAATAAAACCCTAAAAGGATTATTAACAAGCAAAAAAAATATATATTCAAAATGATTAAGCATTTTAATATAATTTTTTTAGGTGTTAAATAACACCCCTAAATAAACAAAATTTGGAAAAAATAGGTTTATAGATTATGTTTTTGTTTTTACTTTTTCTTCTTTAAATGTACAAGAATTTTGAAAATGACCCATTTACAAGGTCAGTTAAATAAGAGAAAAGTTTCCAAATTACAAGACCATTAAACGTTCAAATTGAAAAAAAAGCCAGTGACTCTCAAAATATTTAAAATAGACTATTAATAAACAACTACAGTTTCATCCAATTTTAAATTATATATATATATATTAAACGAATATTAGTACAAACTAGCTTATTCTAATATAATATATTATGATGTTTCTATAATATGTAAGCTAAGAATATAAGCGTAACAAATTGTAGTTGGAAGGTATAAAAATAAATAGACGATCACTTGTGTTGAATTTAAGATTCGGAAATAAAGTTTATAGAGGTTTCGTACAAGCAATTTAAAGTAAGGAGATTAGCTTCAAACCTAATAAGCTGAGGTTTGCCGGATATTACCACGAGGGATAAGGATTGAACGAATTACCTTGAAAAATTGGTCTAAAATATAATGTTTAATATTTATATAGGTACGTCTTAAATCCATTAATACTTAACAACTTATTATAACTATTTTGCATTTCCCCCTGTTTTGTAGCTTGAAAATACTATCTACTTCTTAAAAAAACAGCACTTTTTACTAAAAATTCAAAGGACATTCTTTCTTTGTGTTTATGTGCGAAATAAGACTGTGGGTGATACAAGGATCAATAAAAAAGTGCGCATATAATATACATGAAGAATTAATTTTTCAAAGCACGAACCATTTAATATTAAAATAATTATTTTAAAATTAATATGTATGTACCTTGTTGCTGAAAAATTAAATATTCACGCTATAATTTTGTAATATCCATACGAATCTACATATGAAGCTAAGCTGTGGAAAAACTAAAAATGACGATATTTTACTTTGCATAAAATAATATTTTCTATTGTTCAAATAAATTATTTAAAAAATGTTTATTTTTAGTTTTGGACGTTATTAAATGTTAAATAATTAAATAATTATTGTTAATATTATTATAAGCCCTATAAGCCCTTAAAATATATATATATTTTTTAAATTTCATGTGAAATTTTTCTGGATTGATGTACAGACTTAATATTTTTTAAATTTATTAAAGGGATATTTTGTGTAAAATTGTATTCTTCCACAATAAAAGTAAAAATGTTTGGCAGTGCCTTAGATACTAAAATCAACTATGCTATTTCCCAGATATTTAATAAAAAAATGTTTTGCCAATTTTGTTTTTATGCAACATATGCAACAAATTTTAAAAATGTGCCTTTTTTGTTTATGATATATGTACCATTTGACAGAAATGTAATGATAAGTTTTGTTTCTCCACGATGAAAATCTAAAGTTAAAGATAAGATTTAGATATGTATAATAAGATACCATTTGACACGTATTTAAGCATTAAAACGTTTAAAAATATTAACTAAATGCTATTTTTTTACTGTTGACAATGCTTTAAAAAAAATTTTTTTTTAATAATTTTGGCAAAAAAAAATCACATACAAATAAGTATAAAATTATAAACTTGAGGCAACTGGCTAGTCCATTAAATTTATTTTAAATAGTATGTATATTAGGGTGCTTTTTTTTCATGAGTATTTTTATTTTTTCGCTCCCAACTCAAAATTTTGTTGAAAATGTTCAAAAAAAAAATCCCTAAAAATTTGAGCGTTTAATATTAATTCAAAGTACTCGACCAAAGCGTATAAAGATTTCCCATTTAAAATACGAATACACGTAAAAATATTTAATTTTTAAAACTTATATTATGTATAAGACAATAGGCTAGTATATATTTCACAGCAAATAAAAATCGTATTACCATAACTACCTATCTATTAATAATATTATGGTCTACTTAATGTAAAATTTAATTCGTAGTTAAAACTAACTTCTCTTTAATTAACTATTTTCATTATTCTACTATTACTCCCTGGGCATTAAAGAATAACGATTTTTTTCATTGTTGTTTAAATTTTGTTTTGTTTTTATGTGACTAAAATTCTAAACTTAATAAAGATAATATTAAATTCCTTAAATGCTTGCCTAACAAAATGATGTTTAGGAATGTAGTAAACGTAATAACTTTACAAACTTATTTTAATTATATTTAATAACATGGAATAATATGGTTGAGAGCGAATAAAACTGTTTACAAAATTACTCAACTAAATAATAAATATGAACAATTCAAACAAAACGACAATAAACGAAGGTTGTATCTGCGTATATAATTATTTAGGCCGAGTTATTTTTGTCATGACGTACAATCGAGAAGAGCTCGTAAAGGGCTAAGCAAATAACTGTGAAACCAATATATTAATAAATTGTTTTTTAAACCCAGCTGCCACATAAATTCTGACCAAGTGTCAGACTTAGTTTTGAACGACGTAAAATTAGGATCAATACAACAAAAGAAACAAATTTTAATTAATTTAGGTATATTTTTGTAACCATAAAATAATGTCCTGGGATACAGATTAGGTCTGCAAAATATCAAAATCCCAACTTAATTAATAACTGAGCTACATAAGAGAAAATCAATTATCTCAAAATGATTGTTCTGCTACCCTTATCAACAATTTATTTTTGTTTTGGTATACAACCACTGTTTTTTTGAAAAGTTACATTTACTCACCTGTAGAAGAGTTGAGAAACGTGTCATCATACATAATTATAATTAATCATAATATTCATAAAAAAATAATCCTGTTTGAGAATTAAAAATTTCCTTATAACCGAAATATAGTAAAATAAAGTAAATGTTTGTTAAGTTTTCTCTGGGAATTAATTTTCGACAAATATTAATATTCCTTTTTTGATTTTTGCGTATGACTTACTTGATAACTCAAAAACTACTCGGAGAGAAAAGTATAATGCTGATTACCATAATTATAATACCCTTTACTTTAATTTATATTAGTGTTTGGGACAACTATCTTTTATATTACCAGATACTATGCATGTTTAGTAATTTTTAAATATCCATGTATGTTAAACCTTAAGGTAAAATATTATTATTCTCAACCAATTTCGTTTTTAATTCTTATTATAATTAGATTTTTTCCATTACTAATAAGTATAGTAAATTTTAAAATATAATGTTGTCATTTTAAATATAAAATATTTTAAAATTGAATATTTTTATATGTTAACAATTAAAAATTGTAACATATTTATTGTTCTTTTTAATATACAAAAATGTTATAAGAAAGAATTGAACCTACACCTCGCCAAAGTTTTTTGTTTTGAGTTCGTTCCATCAACTTCAAATACCGACAGATAGGTGTTTTGACCTATATTGGGTATCATCAGTGTCGACACGACACTGTCGAGCAACTTGTAGTAGTGGAACACACCCAAAACAAAGAAATACCTGAGCTTATATAACATGGTTAGTAAGCCAACAGAGGCGAGATGTAAAAACATCACGTGATCCACACCGTCTAACGACGCGTCGCGACGTGGCCTTTGCCGCAATCGGTACATACTATGCAACCAAGTAGGTTCAATTCTTTCTTATAAGTATTACCAGTAATGGGTCAAGAAAGTTTATTGAAGAAACTAAGAAAATTGAATGTTTAAAATGTCATCATATTATATTTAAATATATTGTTTATTAATCTTTATTTTTACTATATTTTTTATTAAAGTCTAATATATTATAATAATAGATACACCTTACATTTGATTAAATCATATAGTAAATATTACTATTTGTAGATAGTAAAATCAATTTACTATACGAACATATTAAAAATTAAAATATATATTATACATTTATGATTTAGTAATATTGGTGTTGTAATCTTTACTAAAATTGTATAATAAAAAATAGTATTTTGTATTACAATCTTAATATTGTATTGACGAATATATAATATTGTTACCCTAAAAATTTGTTAAAATAAATTTTACTATATTTTTTTTACTAAAATTTACTATACATTTCTCGTTTATTAAAACTTTGTTCTGATTAAATAAAATTAATAAATACAGGCTGAAAAAATTATTTTTTGTTTTAATGAAATATTTTAAACAAATTAATCGTGGCTAAACTTTAATTATGATTATAATAAAGATTTTGACTAATTCTTAATTTGTATTTATGCAGCGTTTTGGTAATAAAATTTATTTAATTCATTTAATGATGCTAAATATTTTGTTTTGATATACGTATACGTATAATGAGTGGGGAAAATACGCCAAACTTTAGGAGTCTATTTTACCCAGAAAAAAACTACAATAATTATTTAAATGAATTTCATGATTCATTACAAACATAATAATAAACGCATTTCTTAAGCAATGCACTGTCACTGAAAGGTATAAGAAATAATTATTTTTTTTACTATAGTATTAAAAAACTAAGTCAGGACTTAATCCTGTTAACCATGGGAATAGCGTAAAATAATATGCAAAAAATGTGTAAACTGATTTTAAAAAAGTGTACTTAATACAGTTTGGCTCTTGGACAGATTTATTTATATAAATATATATAAAACAATAAATATTAAACAAGAATAAGAAATATATGAATTTTGAACCCTAGGTAAAGAATTAAATATACTTTTTAAATTACTAAAATTTTGCAACGTAAACAATAAGTAAAAGCTTACATGTTTTTGCTGACACGTGCAATTGTTTTTGAAGCGTCGGTGACGAAGGTATACCCCACAACTACAGACTGCCGTCGAAAGCGTCTTTTGGCGTCTTTCTGTCGGATATGATCGGAAATTTCCGCATCGGGGCAGTTTTAACACACGGCTTTTGTACTTACTTGATTTTATGGAAATATTCTTTAAAAAATTCAGAACAAGTATGGCACGCAGTTTCACTTTTTAATCGGATAAGAAATATTAAGTTAAATATTTCTTAATTAATTTTATGTGTACACAAAAAATTAATGCACTGAATTTTTATTTTTTAATTAAAATTATGACCATATAATAAAAAATTTAGAATTAATTTTATGTGTACAGAAAAAATTACGAGGTGTGTTCCGAAAATATCGGGAATTTTCGTTTTTTGAAACAAATATTTATTTATTCGTCTACATTAATGTTCTCGCCTTCAAAATAGTCCCCATTGGATATTATGCACATGTGTCAGCTCTTCTTCCAATACTCGAAACACTTCTAAAACTCGATCTTTGAGATAGCCTTTAGTTCTTTCAGCGATGCGCTTTTAATGTCATCTATGCTTGCAAAACGACGGCCCTTTAAGGTTCTCGTTATTTTTGGGAATAGGAAAAAGTCAGACAGAGGCATGTCTGGCGATTATGGAGGCTGGGGCATCATTACAGTATTGTTTTTGGCCAAAAATTTTGTTCAAAATTTTACAATTTTGAAACAAATTTTGCTGCCACGCGTTTCATACCCAAAAATTTGGAAAAATTTCATGGGATGAGCCAATCGATATACCAACATCATCAGCGACTTCTCTGATGGTTTATAACCATTTCTTCCACTTTTTCCATGTTTTATCGGTTGTTAATGTGCTTGGGCGTTCGGAGCGTTCGTCATCTTCAACGTCTTCACGGCCATCTTGGAAACTCTTATACCACTTGTAAACTCTTGTTTTACTTATAGCAAACTCACTATAGGCCTTTGTTAACATTTCACAGAATTTATTTCATTTTTTTAAAGCAAAATTGGATAGAAATTCTCTTTGATACATTTCTTTTAACGAACGAAAATCGCCGAGCTCATAAAACACGTCTAACCTTAGCGGCTGCCACAGACAGAGTAAACAATGAAAACAGTTAAAGTTTTTATCATACTTCAGGGGCATGTATACCAACATAATAAATAAAATTTTATGACAACCGGACCCTCCGAAGCCGCGAAATTGAACAATTCCCGTTATTTTCTGAACACACCTCGTATATAATTAATTTTATGTTTACTCATATAATTAATTCGGCGCTGCGAAAGTGCGGCCAAAAGTGGCAACTGCAGTAGTTCAAATAGTAAGTATTTTTAATTTATCTACACCATATAATCAAAAAACTAGAACCTTAGGTTTTGTGTATTTTACACATTTAAGGTTTTGTGAATTATTTACATAGAAATAAGTTTTTTATTTATATAGATAATAATGCTCACAATATACTGTGAATTGTGATCTAACCAATGGTTAAAGTACGCATAAATACCTACTATGCATTTGAACTACTATGTAGACAAAAATTAATTATATAATTTTATGTGTACAAATAAAATTAATTCTATAATTTTTATTATGTAAGGTCAAAATTTTAATTGTAACATAAAAATTTCTTGCATTAATTTTATGTGTACACTGTACACATAAAACTAATTGTATCATTTTTTATAAGAATTAAAATTATGTGTACACATAAAAAAATTGTAAAATAAAAATGATTGTCGTGTTATAAAATAAAAATTTCAAAAAATGAAAAATGAAACAAAATAGTTTAAAAATCTTGGTCCAACAAAAAAATTGTTCAACAATGTTTTTAGTCTCACAATAATTCCAATATAAATTTCAAAGTAAAAAAATAAAGACCCTCATACGAAATAAAAATGGACCAAATTTAAATTAATTTAACTAACAAAATAATATGTAAAATGTTAAAAAATATTCGTCAGGTAAAATATTTAAATCCTAAAAAAAATGCGTATCAAATTAAAATGTATCATAGAAAATAATTTTTATTGAGCCTAGAGATAGATACTTTTAAATAATAATCTGTTCCATTAAATTTGAATTAAAATTACGCTTGACATATTTTTATTTAATTATTATTGTCAGACAAAATTAAAATTATAAAAAATTATATATTCCATAATTTTAAAAAACCTATTTTCTTTTACATTTACAATTTGCCAATGTTAAATTACAAAAAAGTTACTGTGGAAAGGATATATAACGTTTATGAGATTATAAATCCTATACCTTCCATAAAAAAATTTAAGAAATTATATTATTAACATTTTAATATAATATACAGTGGAAAAGCTATTTTTTTAAATTCAAAAAACATCTCGTTAGTTCCGTGTCAAGAAAAGTCACAACTAATTGAACATCCTTCACGTGCTTCAATTGCAATGCAATACGACTTTTTATTAAAGATGTCAGTTACAGATGCTTTTGCTTAGTCGAGCTTGTTTAAAATTAATTATATTTTTAATTGTTGTTTTTTAAAATCCATCTTAAAATGCTTTCTGTTTTGAATAAAACAAGTTACCGTAAACACGGGTGGCTTTGCACCCCGCGATTGACTTTAACCCTTTTATGAAAAATCTTTTCGCGCTCGATAAAATTAACATTTATAATTTGTTGGTCTAAACCTGTCAATTGAGCAATTCTATTGAGTCTATATTACAGGAAAATCAGTGTTTTAAAGAAATAAATGGGATTTAATACACTTATAGTATATTATGTTTCAAGTTTGATAAACGCCATTTTATACACGAGTTTAATTTAGGCACGAGCGAGCTTGCGAGCGAGTTCTTAAATTAATGAGTGTATAGAAAAGTTTATAAACGAGGTGCATACTATACTTTTTCTACGACAAATACTTATTATTATCTTAAAATGATTTAAATCAAAAATTTGTATAGAGCGCCATCTATAAAACAATAGGGGAATCTGTGTGTCACCGTCAAATGTCAAATTTTTTTATTTTATAAACACAGATAATAAAGGTTATAAATCGAAATGTATTTCTTGAAAATTCACAGTTTTTCACAGTGAAAGTAAAGAAAATGTTTTATGAGCACTTTACAGTGGAGTCCGTGCCCGAATTTAAGTTATAGTTTACTGCCGGCGAAATTAAAAGGTCAGTACAATGTTCATATAAACTTTTCAAATATTGGCGTTGAGAAACTATTTAATACTTTTGTATTGAGAAAATAAAATAATTTTCACATTAAGTATTATTTTAGAAGAAAGGCACTTTATTTTAACGATTGTATGACATTTGACAACTGTCAACTAACTTAAAACTAACTTCAGCCCGTGACTAAAGCGCCATAAAGCCACAACTTGTCAATGTGTATTTAAAAGGTCACTTAGTGTCATGAAAACATGTACGATAAAGGGCGTTTTAAAGGTGAGAGTAGAAAAAATTGTGCAAAACTCATGTATCATGTGCAAAACTCTTCTGGTTAACTACAGGTCGATTTTTTATTTTTTTATCGGTAATTCCATGCAATCGCTATAATATATAATATGTATAACTCATATTATGAGTTAAATATTGAGTTAATTTTATACGTAAAAAACACTGTGAGACAAAGTGTAACTTTGCACACCCAGTTTTTATTTTTGAAACTCAGCCCTATGTAATATTATAACATAGTTATTATGAAAGAGCAACTCAAGACTCAAATTTTGGTATACAATATTTAATGTTTAACCACAAAAATTTTAAGCTTAAATTTGAAACTTTTTTAATAAATTAATAATATATGATTTTTATTTTTGATTTATTACTGTTCATAGCGAAAACATGAAAATAAACTTAATAACACATTGTCAAATTTTGTCTAGATTAAACTTATGAAAATTTAGTTAAAATTTCGAATGGGTAGGATTATAAAACACCTTAACTTCAGCTCTCTTTAAAGTGGACTTGAAGTAAAACTTTATCTTTAGTTAAAGTACATTTTAAAGTTTGATTATGAAACTGGCTGTAAATAGAGCTTTACTTATATAACTTATGTGTATGTCACATTGTGTTTAAGTTAAATTGTAGGTTAAATTAATAGTATCTGTCACCCATCTTTCATTTTAGTTTCATCCATTTATTTCTGATATGACGAAGGATTTATGCCAAAGAAAAAACGATTCAAAAGTTTACTATAGAATTTATCCAATCCATTATATCGATAACAAATACGTTAAACTTGATAAAGATAATATCAATATTTTTATAAGAAATAGACAAGACCTAGCAAAAAATTGTAGTGCTTTACAAAAAGATTACATATATTGGAAATTTATAACTGATGGAGTGTTCAGAAATATTTCACAAGGAAATATTTACAATACCATAATTGAGGATGTATTAGATAGGTATGACCAAATATAAAAGTGAAATTTTGCGATTTTACTGTTTATAGAAATGATTTGTACAGAAACCAATAACCAATCAGAACACCGCATTGCCTGTAGCAATCTAGTGTGCTTTGGGGAATTACATACTTTGATTGGACAATCAAATACGATAGAAATCACTTTCTATAGAAAGTAAAGTAGCAAATTTAAAAAAATATAATTCTTTTGTATTTTAATAGAGTTATTGAAGGCAATGATGCTATAATATTAGCATTCGGGCAAACTGGATCTGGAAAAAGTTTAACAATTGGAGGTTTGGATGGAATTCGACAGGTTAGTGCCTTAATTAATCATTTATCTACAGTTTCTCATCACATTTACAAAATAAGACGAATTGTAATTTTTTGGCTATAGTTATATACTTTATTGTTATACATGGTGAGTATATATATATAAATTATAATTTAACATGAAACTTTGAAATATTTCAGTTAGTACCTATGCATTTTACGAAAAAATGTTAAAAATAAAAATTAAATGATTCGAGAGGGGAAACCAATCAGTACTAAAATTGGTCATCATATTCTCCTCCTTATAGGGGGAACAGGGGGTAACTTGGATCACCCTATTTTTTATTGCAGATTATTATCATTCGACTAAAAATAGGTAGATTTTGTCTAAAACATTTTTTCATATTTGTAATAGATGGCATGTAATGAAAAAAAAATCAATTTTGTTTGATTTTTCTTCTTATACGATTCTGCAATAATTTTTCTATAAAAATATCCCTTTTTTCGGTAATAATTATCTTATTAAATTAAATCTGATTTTTTTTAAGTACTCACGATTTTTTAACTAATATTTAAGTTTCCTTTGGTTTAAGTTTTATACATTATTTCATTCGGTGATAATTATCAATTGCGCACCATGGTAACTTTTTACCTGCCAGCATTAAATCCTTTAATTTAAAGGATTATTGTACCATTTTTAATTAAAATACCTCATTTAAGGTCAAAAAAGCATTATATTGTCAATTAATTAATTTAATCCTAATTAAGGTATAAAAAATAGTAGATTATGTCATAGGGAGTAGAAGTGGCTCTTTTTGTGGTGAGTACAGAGATTGACGGCCGAAGCGTAGCTGAGGCAGGCAACTGTACGAAGCACAAAAAGAGCTTCTACTCCAAATAACATATACAATTTTTTTTATTTCATACTGTACTTTAATGTGCCATTTCCCGGACTCATTTGAGTCCGGGAAATGATACATTACATCACTAGGCCGGTAAAGTAACTTTACCGGACTCGTATATTTTAACTAACACATGGTTATTTCCAGGGCCGGATTTACCATTCTTGCCGCCCCTGGGCAGTCATGATCTTGCCGCCCATTTTATCAAAGCTACGAATTCGTCGAAAAAAAATCAAACAACGAATTTAACATCAGTTTACATCAATGTTTTTATTTTTACACAATATCTTATACAAATATGATTGTTGGAAACTAACCATACAAAAATACAGTGCGAATATAATTATAAGAAACTATGCATACAATATCAAATAACTATACAATCACGATAATCAGAAACTAGTAACTTTTCATTTTGTTTTGTCAGAACGCTAACATTATTCTCAGATAAATACTCGCCTAACTTTTTTATTAGCAAATTGAGTGATTAAGTTTTCGAAGTCTAAAGAACGGAGCAATTCAGATTCAATACTCAAAATTGCTGAGCTGTTGAGGCCATCTTCTGTCATCGTGGAACGCAAATAGTTTTTTATCCTTTTTAAACAGGAAAACGAACTTTCTGCGCTGCAGTTGGTTACAGCAATAGTAATGAATATTCTATAGCTATAGAATATTCATTACTATTGCTGTAACCAAAATCGCCTAGGCGATTTCAACATTCGGAAAAACGCAGGACAATTCATTTTCACGAATTGATTTCAATAATTCTAATGGAGACTTTTTGTGAATTTTTTTGACATGACAAAATGCGTGGAAGTGAACAAACTCATCGTCCAATGATGATTCAAAGTCTGAGTGATAGATTTCTCTCAGTAAATTACTGACAGTAATTTTGATTTTTCACGAATTTCCTTAGATTCCAGCTTATCAAATTGAACGATAATGGCAAAGTTTTCGTAAATTTCTTGATATTTTTTACATCTTTCTTCTAGTTCTGTTGACAACCTATCCAAAATGACGTTGAAAGTTTTGACCCTGAACGTATCCCGACCCGAAAATTGAACTTCACTGTCTATTGTTTCGTCGGCACGTAGTTTTCTAATTTTTTTTCGGGACAAATCTGACACATACAATTTATAAGTTGATATTTGAAGTGCTTTTTGTTCAAAACTATCAAATTGATTGTTTTAGCTTTCGCTAATATTCTCAGACTATAATGATTTCTTCAAAACCAAATTTTAATGTTTCGGAAAATATGAATCTTTCCACCAAAATTTGCCGCCCCCACACTCCTCCAAAAATTTGCCGCCCTGGGCAGTTGCCCAAAGTGCCCATGATTAAATCCGGCCCTGGTTATTTCTGAACGATTATAAGTTTTTGCGCCATTTACAGAATATCTCGTATTCCTTTTGATATCGTCCGGAAGACTTGACCGGGATAAGTTTCGCCGTCGCTTCAGAACTTTTTTTTCAAAATCTCTGCATCCATTTTATTCGAAATTATTCAAAACCACAGATTCAAAACGATGCTGAACTGACAGACAAGACAATCAATAAAAAAAACTCTTTGTTACTGTTAGCAACCGATTTAAAGCATACTACATTATCACCCTATATTACTGGTGCTACATTTTATAGTTTGTTTAGACCACAGACCTTGTTTGTAGGTCTGTGGTTTAGACAATACTGATACCATCATGTACTGACACATTACTGACACCTTCACCTGGATATACAGTTCAATTTTTGTACCAAAAATTTGAAAAAAATATTGAATAGTATGAAATAAAACATTGTACGATACACGGCCGTGAAATGTCATTAAAGTACTTGTCTAGAAATTCCAGACTCGGCTCCTTCGTCGCCTCGTCCGTAAACATCTAGACTCGTACTTTAATAAGCCATTTCCCGGCCTTGTAACGTAAATTACTATTTCAAGGGCGTAATATAAATAGGATAAGCAATATAATTATTTTATTTACTTATAACTCATGTGGTATAAAATTTTGGCTAAAAGCATTACAAATTATTGATAAAAACTAAAAAAACTTATAACCCTTACTTACAATGCCGATAAATATCCTAAACTAAAAATAAACACTGCTCTGTCAAAATGCTGCGCTTGAATGAATTTTGACGTACTGGCATTTGTTTGGAGTTCCGACATTGGCGACTCGTCTATCATCATAATATTATACTAATAAATTAGTTGTTCTTTATTTCGTTCAATTAAAATTTAATAAATAATCACTAAATATTCCGTGCGATTATAATTAATATAATTAATACATCGTGATTGCTTTGTATGAAATGCTAAATTAATTTTATTATTTGACGTCTATTGAGTCACCTATGGATTTACTTCTATCCCTAGGCTTTTTTTGAGTTTTTTGTCTGCCGCTAATGAAAAAGACGTACTTCAACTATCTCTATACATGCATATAAGGTTGTATATCATGGCCGCTTGAAAAAAAATGGTATTTAGTTATAAATAATAATTATTATTGAGGTATAAAGAAACTATTTATACATAGTTTAGCATTATTTAATCAATTTAATTCGAAGATTAATTTGCAAACAAAAAGACCTCCTTTCGTTAAGCAGTTATTCATAATGGATTTTTTAACAGTGGAAGAAAAAATAGAAATGATCTTGATTTATGAAAAAGCAGGCAGGAATCTTGATGATGCTGTTAATATCTACGCTCAGCGTTTTCCGGAAAAAAATCGATCACGTACTTCATTTCACCGAACAGTCAAGCAGTTTAATAAAAACGGGAGTGTTCAACCGAATTTTTTTTTTAAATATTTAATATTTTTATTATTTTTTCGTAAAATGCATACTAACTGAGATATTTCAAAGTTTCAAGTTAAATGAATGACTCACCCTGTATATGAATTTTTATTTTAGCAAGAACTGACAAAAATTTAAAAAAAATAGCGTTTGTATATCTTTTTTTAGCTTTTCTAGCTTCTGTCACTTTTTTAGTGGGTGAAGGAAATTTTATGTTAAATTGTAAATGCTCACACCCTTTTTGTACAGGTGCCCTGTATATTAAATTTACGTCTTAAGTTGAATAATTATTATATAACTTTTTATTCAAGTCATTGGCCACCTTTTTAGACATATGGCAACGCGCTGTCTGGTGAATTAAATTTTGTTAATATGAAATTAATACTAAAAGTATAATTTGTAATCTAAACTAATTTGTATTTGTTCTGTTATTGATCGCACACTTTAACGAGTGCACTGTACTACTTTTAAACACTAAACTTTATATGCTGGAAAGCCTTAACATTTTTAATGGGTTTTTCTATTTAAAGTGCATTATTCGATAATTTATTGAAAAAATTATATTAATATTAATTTTTTTAAATAATTTAATACCAACTTAAAAAAAGTATTTGAGAATTTCAACAATTTTAATTTTGATTATTGCATTAATGAATTTAAAAAAAGAATTATATAAATCTACAATATGTTGTACGAACCTTGTTAAAACGTTTCATGTTTCCTTTGGGCAATTATCTGTAATCATTGATGCGCAGTAGTAATCCACTTAATATCCTTTTCGAAATCATATTTAATGTGTAGAATATTGCTCACTCTAGATCCTGGCACTACTCATCGATGTGACAAAACTAACCATTGCTGTTGTCAAAGTATTCTAATAATGTTTTTTAAACCTTCCAGTGAGAATATTCTTAGGATCATGCTATATTTATTCTAAAGAACATGCTTAAAAGACATATAGCATGATCCTAAGAATATTCTAACTGGCCTTTAGGCAGGTTCTTAGAAGGTGCAAAGTTTTAGTAGTAAAAATTAGTCTACTCTAAACATATGCTTAGAATGTTAAGAAAGTAATTGCTATAGAAAGTTCATTTAGGAATATTTCTGTTAAGCATATTTAGTTCAGTTACCTATATAATAGTAAAATATACCATAAACTACATATAAAGGTATATACCTATACTTAAGTACCTAATTAGTAATTTGTATTAAATACTAAGTAAAAACACAATCCAAAATATTTTGTTATAGTTATTTGTCAAATTAAAACAATATTCGACAAAAATACTTTTACTATAGGTATTTTATTTTATGTTAAAAATAAATATTTATTAATTTGTAAACCGATTTTTTATTTCTGAATTAACATTGTTATGTATAATAATCCTAACTATCTTCAACTTCAATCTAATCTGGCTTATCCCACAAAATTTTCCAATTTTACTTTTTATGAAATAATGTCATAAAACTTATGGTTTAGAGGTCAAATTGTTTATTAATCTTTAAATAAATATATATATATTAATATGTTGCAAAATTTAAGGGGACGACAAATACATTTCACTGTCATATTATGACAGTGAGGCGTATTTGTCTCTTGAAAAATTTTACGAATGTAGAATAAAACATATTAGAACGTGGGTATCTGACATATTTGGAAATATTCTCAAAAGCTTCCTAGAAGCTCCATAAGAAACCATCTAAGAACATTCCAAAAACGTATTCTTAAAATGTTCTTTGGATGCTTTTTAGGAAGGTTTTAAGAATCTAATTGCATCATTAAAAGGGTATCTATTGAATGTTTTAAAAGTCCCTAAGAACATTCTTAGCAATAAGGGAAGGTTCTAAGAATATTCCATTATTCCGGGTCATATCTTCTTAGAAGATTCTTAAAATCAAATTTTGCTACCAGGGATTTCGCCGTATTCTAAAAAATTATAGTTTTATTATAATTTACATACACTATCCTCCTTTTTAAAAACAGTAAATTTCATCAAGGTATAAAAAAATCTAAAATAATTTTCCAAAATGTATTTGTTTATACCTTTATTAATTTGACCACATTGCCCACTAAAGCTTTTAATTATTAATTTGTTTTTAGAATATAGGAATATCCCCAAGATTAATCAGCGATTTATTTGAATTAAAAACAAAATTTAAGAAAAACCTAAAATTTAATCTGGAAATGTCATATATGGAATTTGGAAGTAATAATGCTTTTGATCTGCTTAAAGAATGTCCCAACACTGTTGACTATCCATTTACAATGTCAAAAATTAGGGTAAAAGAAAAAATAGAAGCCTATACTTATCTATATAAGGGTAAGATGAAACTATTAATATCATCAGAATTTCACCAACCAATATTTTTTAACGGGTAGTTTTTTAAAAAATAATATGGTCGAATTTTGCTTCTTTATGGAGTTATTTTTGATTAATTTTTTTATAGGAGAAGGTCGAAAAGACTTTATTTTGAACAACCATAGATCCCATATATACAGCAGCGTATTAACATTTTTCATAACTATTAAAAATTTAAGTCTTGAGAAACCGCATCAGTTTTCCTCAAAGGTAAGTGATACTTCCTTAAATTTAATAAATCATATTAAATTCGTTTCAGATTCATGTTATTGATTTAGCGGGTACAGATAGTTTTGGAAATGAAAGCTGTGGATTTAAGTCAATCAAGGCAGTCGGAAGTGCTAATTTAATTAAAAGTAACTTGGAAGCATTTATTTTATATTTGTGTGATAATCTTCCAGAAATTATTAAAGTTAAATATAGGATGAACCCATTAATTAAGTATTTAGGATCATCGTTAAGTAATGAAACTATTCTAAGGTGTGTAACAATTTATACCTACTTAGAGACAGAAAACGCAAATTTTACAACATGGATTGTTTCATAGGTGTTGCGTTTTCTATCACTAGAGGGCGAAGTAGAATTTCGCTCACCGGTTGCAGTTAAGAAATGAAATGTAATGTATTTAATAAACATATTTCAGATTTATAGGCCATATCAGTTTAGAGCCTGAAAATATTCTTGTATCTTTATCTTTATTAAGATTTGGTCAAATTGTAAAAGGTGTTAAAACAAAATTTAAAGAATTAGTTCCTGAATTAAACAAGGAAGTTGAAGTTGATTACTATAAGGTTAATACAAAATTATTTTCATATAATATATAAATAAATAATGTCTAATAAATATTTTCAGGCAGAAATCCAAAAATTGAAAGATGAAAAGAAACTAGAACTAATATTATCTAATCAATTGATGAAGAAATCTATTGACGGAGAAAGATTTTCCCAAATGGAGAGATGTGTTAAAGAATATTTGGAAAATAGTTGTTCAGCTATAGATCTTTTAAATGTTGCCGAAATAAAAACAACTTATGAAATATTTAAGGATATTTATCGAGATTTGGTAATCAAAAACGAACAAAGTTATAAAATTGCGTACAGAACGGCACTGGAAGATATTGCAAAAAACAAAAATATACTTGAAGACATTACTAAAAACAACAAAAATAGCGTAAGTAGGTACTTATACTTAAATTTAATAAAACCATTGTTTAGGTTAAAAACGATTTCCTATCTTTTTTTTCATTAATTGGTTATGACTGCTTTATTTTTTTTAATAATTGAATTTTCGTTCAAAACAATATACGACTTTTTAGACGATTTAGATTTATTACTATTTTTTTACTATTTAAAAAATAGAATGAGTGATAATTTTTTTGATGTAAATATAGTAATAAGTAGACAATATTCTGGACAAAATGCCTACCGTCAATTTTGATAGGGCATTACAAATTTCTAGTCCAAAATGTGTTTTGGGCATTTTTATTGCAATTTAATCCAAAATCATTATTACCTTTTTTCGACTTTTTAAAAAATATTACCAAAATACCTTTTTAGTAGGTACTTTTAGTTTTTAACAATTAATAAGTATATATATTTAATAAAACTAAATAAGTTTGACTTACACTTTTATTGTGTTTTGATCTTTCATAATTAAGTAGATATTACAGCTCAGGTTCCAGATTTTTAACCGCAATTAATTATTTTTTACAATGTTTTAAAAGTCTAAAACCTATCCTCCGTGACTGTTACCCTTTCTAGGTTAACCTATATGTTTCCAAATATTTGAGGTAGTACACCGAAAAAAATATATTCGTTGAGTTAACATTTGCCTAAATGTCATTTTTGAAAATGTTGTTTCAACAAAAAACCTATTGGATTAATCTATATTTTGGTGTCAAAGCAATAGTCAGAGTTTGTCAAAGTTTATTTGTTCATTTGACAATTTAAAATATTGATCTTACATGAACTAATTGTTTGAATTAAAGTTTTTATCCTATTTTGATTTAATAGCTGGAATTGGTTAAATCAAATACTAAAATTGTTGGGATTACCTAAAAAAACTATTAGATTAACGTTTAGTTGCTGTTTAATCCACAACATTAAATTTATTCATTTAACAAATTGTAAATGTTATTTTAAAATTTAAAATGTTAAATTTGCATTCATAAAGTTGCCTTAACACTCTAAGAATGTTAAATTAACAAAATTAGCAGATTGGAACAAATATCCTAATTTTGTTCATTTGACTGTTATTTGTTGTTCAATTAAACAATACAATTTGACATTTTTAGATGGTTAAGTAAACGTGCAAAAACCATTGATTGTATTTAAAGTGCATAAAGAGTTGAATTAATATTTTTTTTGTTGTTTCAACAGCTTATTTTTTTCAGTGTAAAAGCATACTAAAAATATCAGTTCAATAAGTAAATTAAACACATTCAAAGCAATCGATCAAATATAAAATATTATCAAAAATTAAAAGAAATAATTTGTATAACCATTTATGTAGGTGTTACAAAAATTGATTCTATCCTCCGCGAATCTGTTTTTAAATAAGCAAAAACCTTTGTTTACGACATTATAGATGCATGTGATTCCTGAAGGTCAGTTAGAATTTATGTGCAGATGAGAGTGTTGCTGTTTTATAATTAAAAAGTTTAAGTTCATTAATTTGCTATTTAAAAACCTATCCACCGTGAAGTATATTATCTCAGTAATTAGATTTTTTTATAAATATTTTATGTATGTACAACTGTATTCTTTTAAAATATTAAGGTGTCAAAAGATACAATAACTTATTTCAAATATAAAAAGGGATGTTTTAAAAAAACATACGAAATCCTAACCTCCGTGAAGCTATTTTCCGTGAAGCTCTAATATTCAAAATGTATGATTTCTTAAAATTCTTGCATTAGTGCAGAACCACTTATGTTATGTTATTACTAGACCTGGTGGCTTCCCAAAAACCCCATTCTAGACTAACAGTGAAACAACCAAAAATAAAAAATAATCATTTTTACTTGGGGGACATCTCAATATATTCACCCATATATTTTGTTTTTACTAAACAATGTAGAAGAACATATCTTTGTACCCACTGTAAAATTAACGATAAAAATGCGAAAAAATGATAAGTTTATAATAAATAAATAGTTCATACCGATTTTTTTTCATGTAGATTGATGCATCAACAGTTAAATCTAAACAGTCCATCCTTCCTGCAAATGGCTCTCAGAGGCCTTCAAATAGCTCAAAAGCAACAAATTCTTCAAAAATGATAGGTAAGGAGTGATGGGCACGTACGCGGTATAATACCCGATTATACCCGATTTATTAACATTTGGATAAATAGGTACCCAAACTATGTACTATGTACTGTATACCACTGGTACATACTACATACCTTGGGTAATTATTTTAGCAAGATCTAATTAGCTCAAATCTCTTACAGCGTCTTCCTCTAAAGCAAACAATTTAAATGGTTCTATTAAAAGCGCAAGAAAGGAATCAAAGATGCCCGTCAAATCCGTAGAATCCACCATACCCAATGAGATACCGGACTTTAACGAAGTATGGGATAAATATATTAAGGATGAAACAACAAATTATAATCAATATATGGAAGAATACCAAAGTAACGAAGCCAACCTTAAAGATATTTATTTAATATATAAAAAGCAAATTGAATTGTTACAACAGCTAAAAGAAAATGTCGTTAAAAGAGAACAAGAATTTGAAGAGGTTAATATACTATCTCTTATACGTTTTTATTATATATTTTTTATTTGTAGATAAAATTGCTAAATAAAACTCTTCAAGAAGTAAGTGACGAGGAAAAAAATAATCTTTCTGACTGTCTTCATAATTTAAACTGTGCAAAAGAAGAATATGCAAGGCAATTAGATGAAACTCTAACCTGTAAAACACATTTGCAAGTTAATTTAAAAATGAGAAGTGATTTGAGAAAATTACTAGATGAAGACTTTGCAAATTATAGTAAGCGTTTGTATGATGCAATGGTTCCTAATTTAGAGAATTTCGATCCTTTGGTAAGTAAATTAAAGTATTATAAAAAACAAGGCATTCGTAAAAAAATTGTATAAATAGTTTTGTATAATATTGTATTTTTATTACTACACTCACAGGCAAAATAATCGATCCACACACATTTTCGATGAATTTCAATCGCAATAACTTTTTTATTTGATTTCGGAAGTAAACAAATATTAAAGAATATTGTAGATACATTAATGGAGAATCGCTCACATTTTAAAAATTACTAAAAAATACACGTACGTTTATAATTTACAGGTGTAAACAAAAAGATTTTTTTTACCGTAAGTTTAAGACACTCTGTAGAGTGGCAAAACCGTATATTGTTCTAAATTAAGTTTTAATTATCAAGTCACATCTATATTTAACGGTTTTGTTTTTGGTTCACCTTGATATATTTATTTTTGTGGAAAATATGGATTTTTTTAAAAAACATTGCAATTTCCAATATTTTTCCTGTATGAAGAACTAAGGTTGCTATGGTACATCCATAGCCTACGGAGGATGACAGTTTTGTTGAATCATCCCATACTTGGACATGTCATATACAGCTTTCAAAAGCTATCAAATTGATTTTTATAAATTAGTGTGTTAATTTTGAGGTGTCTTCTTACTTTTAAAAATGTCCCCGACTGTTGTTGCCCTTTGTACTTTACTTCTTGTGACGTTTAAAACACTTGCCACGTAATACTGTGACCGTCCATCCTGGATTAAATTAATAGCTCTGGCAACATCAGTCGGAGACATATCCATTTTATAAAGTAAAATTTAAGCATTAATTTGCAAAAAAACTATTTGATAGCTTTTGAAAGCCGTGAATGACATGTCCAAGTATGGGATAATTCAACAAAACTGTCAATGTCATTCTCCATAGCCTATGGATGGACCATAGCAACCTTAGTTCTTCATACAGAAAAATATTGGAAATTGCAATGTTTTTTTAAAAATCCAAATTTTCCACAAAAATAAATATATCGAGGTGAACCAAAAACAAAACTGTTAAGAATAGATGTGACTTGATAAATACAACTTAATTTAGAATAATATACGCTTTTGCCACTCTACAGAGTGTCTTAAACTTATGGTAAAAAACATCTTTTTGTTTAAACCTGTATATTATAAACGGACGTCTATTTTTTAGTAATTTTTTAAAATGTGAGTGATTGTTCATTAATTTATCTACAATATTCTTTAATATTCGTTTAAATCCGACATCAAATAAAAAAGTTATTTGCGATTGAAATTCATCGAACATTTGTGTGGATCGATTATTTTGCCTGTGAGTGTATTATACAAAGGGCAATGAACGCAAACTTTTAATTCACTTAAATAATGGACTTTCATTTTTTAACTTTAAGTGGGCAACATTTTTCTTTTCTAAATTTGGAAAAAGTGAGGTAAAAACTAATTGACAGCTGTCATAAAATATTAGAGGAATCTAAACAGATACAACTCTTATGAGGCTAGTAATTAGTTGTTAGGCGTCAGTGATTGGCCGATTTTATTATTCACTGTAATTTGGACCAATTGGGTATCTGTCAGACGGTTATAACCTTACTTTTTACTTTTATTATAAATAACTATTATTGTTAAAAAGTCTGCTGCTTAAATAATTGCAAATTTTCAATATTTACTAACAAATAATCATTAATCAGGAATGGGGTATAATATTATTATATTATATTACATTTTCAGGCTAACGAAACTGTTAATTTGGACGATATCAGTGAAGAGCCGGGTGAATGTGAAGCCGAAGTAAATAAGGCTATTTCTGATGCTTTGGACGCACCATTTGAGAAACTTAAAGTACTTATGAAACTGGAAATGAAGAAAAAACAACTATATTTAGAAACCCATAAATCCTTTAATAAGTCAAAGAAATATCATTAATTTAAATAATATTTATTGTATACTATTTTTTACTTTACTAAATATAAATATGTTAAAAAGCATTTGGAAGTATATATAAATGCATAAAAACATGCTTTTTATTTTATTGCAGCTCTACTTTGTGCTAGTTGGTTTTTTGATAAGAGATGGCTTATAAAACGGAATGTAGATCGGGTAAGTAATTTAGCCTTTAAAATTGATTAAATTAAGCCCATTTCAATGGGCATCATACGTTCTGTGTCTCGGCAATCAACTTTTATCAGTAAAGTGGTATTTGTTTATGATTTTTGCATCCGAAAGTTATTGGTTGACAAAAGATAATAATTTTCTTATTATGTTTTTAAAATCAATAATGGCCTATGCTTGTGAAACAGCTTAGTGTTCCATAAGGCAACAATATACCAAACAAGTATTTGATTAAAGCAAATTGCTTTAAGCAATATGGAATTTACAAAGTTCAACAATAAAGAGAAAAGGTATATCAATAAGTACAAATTGTCAGCTAAAATGTGTTTACGACAAAAGTATACTACCTCCTTAAAACCTATTGCACTTAGCAGGTTTAATGACAGCTGTAAGGTAGGTTTTATGGCTGCTGTAAGGTGTGCCTTAGGAGTAATACAATAAAGCAAAACTGCTTTGTCGCTGACACACAAATTGCTCTTAAGGACAGCGATAGGATTCTCCTTTTTAGCCCTGTGATGGTTTTATCGAATCTGTATAGCTGCTGTTGAAGCAATTAGGTTTTAACTAAGCAATGCAAATTACCCTTAAGAGTAGTTTTATGGAGCCCTTGTATACCTTAAAAAAACCTATTTTGCTACTTGAGTACAGTGATGTGGTATAAATCATTTTTAGGATATACTATATATAATGTTATTGCTACAAAATATTTTGGGGGTTGTAGATATGAACATTAAGATATTTCACCAATGACCCAATTTTTCCAAAAAGAAGGGATTGCCGGTTTTGCTACTATATTAAATTTTCTCGAGTTTTCACTAAAAATACAAAAAAATTTAAATTTGTTGGAACAAAATTAACAAAAAAACTAACTATATTGCAATAGTAATAAATTATTTTTACTTTTAACTGTGTTTCTTCCATAATATGTGGTTTCTTGTTCCCAAACCGATTCATTTTAACAAGTTGTGTGCAAAAACGTAGTTTATGATGCAAACAAACCATAGTTATAGCAACGTGGTATATCCACCTATTAATTCAGTACCTGTTACATTCTTACAACAATGCTTGAGTGAAATATTCGAGGAAAAATAATAAACTAAGTACATATATATTTATTATTTAGTTTATTGAATTAAGAGCTTTACAATTTGTATATAAATATCGCGTTTAAAATGTAGGTATGGTTAACATTAACACGACGTTTTCATAAAGTCTTCCTGAAATAAAAAAAAATTATTTGTGGTTTTGTCTTGTTGATTTAATCGTAATTAAAAAAACTTACTTAATCCATTAGTTCATTGTTATCAACTTTTGTGATATACATATCTTGACATTCAGAAGTTAAGGCATCATACAATCCAATATAGGATTGTCTGGTAATTTCATTATTGCAGGCACTGTTTATGTGGGATAGGAAACAACCTTTAAGAGATGATGCTGTGCTAAAATAAAAATTTTATCACTCATTTATATTGTTAAGAATATTTTAGTTTGGTAATAAATTTTATATAAACTTGAACGTAATGGTACTATGCTTTTTATACTTGTCTGTAACAATATATTAGGTATTGGTTTCAAAAAATCGTTTTCTACATAAGGTGTAGTGTTTATATTGTAAGAACTGGCCAAATACCTCGTCACTTAATAATATTATATATTATTTTTTTATCAGGACGGCCACCCTGATAACACACTTTATTCTAAGAATGTTTTTTAAACCTTCCAGTGAGATTATTCTTAGGAGCATGCTATATTTCTTTTAAAGAACATGCTTAAAAGACATATAGCATGATCCTAAGAATATTCTTACTGGCCTATAGGCAGGTTCTTGGAAGGTGCAAAGTTTTAGTAGTAAAAATTAGTCTACTCTAAACATATGCTTGGAATGTTAAGAAAGTAATTGCTATAGAAAGTTCATTTAGTAATATTCCTGTTAAGCATATTTAGTTCAGTTACCTATATAATAGTAAAATATAACATAAACTACATATAAAGGTATATGCCTATACTTAAGTACCTAATTAGTAATTAGTATTAAATACTAAGTAAAAAACACAATCCAAAATATTTTTTTATTGTTATTTGTCAAATTAAAACAATATTCGACAAAAATACTTTTACTATAGGTATTTTATTTTATGTTAAAAATAACTATTTATTAATTTGTATATTTTTTATTTCTGAACATTTTTATGTATAATAATCCTAACTATCTTCAACTTCAATATAATCTGACTTATCCCAATGTCATAAAACCTATGGTTTAGAGGTCAAATTGTTTATTTAATATTTTTAAATAAATATATTTTAATATGTCGCAAAATTTAAGGGGACGACAAATACATTTCACTGTCGTATTATGATAGTGAGGCGTATTTGTCTCCTGAAGAATTTTACGAATGTAGAATACAACATATTAAAACGTGGGTATCTGAAATATTTGGAAATATTCTCAAAAGCTTCCTAGAAGCTCCATAAGAAACCTTCTAAGAACATTCCAAAAACGTATTCTTAAAATGTTCTTAGGATGCTTTTTAGGAAGGTTTGAATGTTTTAAAAGTCCCTAAGAACATTCTTCGCAATAAGGGAAGGTTCTAAGAATATTCCTTTATTCCGGGTCATATCTTCTTAGAAGATTCTTAAAATCAAATTTTGCTATCAGGGCAGCCTCATATTATATGTAGGTGTCTATTATGCTTATTATTTTTATTTTATTACCATTTTTTGTATGTAGTTTGTTCTGTAGATGGATTTTATATTTGTTGAACATTATTATTATTAAATTAAAGGGCAATTTTTGTATAAGTGTGCCACTTTTCTATGTTTATGTAGTTATTAAAGTAATTTAAAAATAAAATAATTATCTTACCTGCATAAATCGGTCTTAGTAGGTTTTTTGGTTTCATATTGTTCCACTTTAGATTGGACCATTCTTATACACCTTTCAGTTTTACGATTTATGTTCATTATGCAGGTGTTTCCCAATTCTAAAAATTATCGAATTACATTAGATGTATGATTTATGGAGGATTCTGGAGGATTTCTCCAATTATAAAATACTAAAAAAATTAAAACACAGTCTGTTCCGGTATTTAATTAAGAATATACAAAACCTTTGCGTATACGCAACTTTTGTCTTATTTAATTGAGGAGTGACCATTCAAAACGAGACATGTCCATTTTAGCGATTTTCAGAAATAAGTCAAAAGAATTCTGTTATTTTTTACTTGTTTCTGCAAATCGCTAAAATGGACATGTCTCGTTTTAATTGGTCACTCCTCAATTATACCACATAGTTATTATTATGGGAATATTAATTATATTATTAATTTATATATGCCCTTGTTTTAAAGATTTTAGTTTTTTTCTTATAAATATATAAATAGGATAGTTTGTTTGTTTAAATCTTATTTACGTTTACTTAAAAATAAGAATATTTGAATTTTAGTTTAATAGTTTTATAATTTATAAAAGAGTATAGTAATTGGACATTTTATTTAGTAATTGGACACATGGACCATAGTTATTGGACATACAATTTTTATATAAACATAACAACTTTACAACAAATAACATAAATTGTTAAATATTTTTTAAAGATAAATTGCTGTTTTAGGTAATTTTTTTTATTTCGTTTTTGTAAATATCATATAATTCATATATTTCTTTCTCGGATTCCTCATCCCTTTTTCTGGATTCTGAAGGTAACTATAGTATAGTATAGTATAGTATAGTATACTATAGTATAGTATAGTATACTAATTCCTTGGTCTGACTTCTGAAATAGTTTGTTGCAAATATCATTAAGCGTTTGTGAAGCATTTATAATGTTTAGGCCGGAACAGGATGATTTATATATATCTAGTATTTTCCGAATTTATTAATTTTGTTGCCATTAGTTTTTTATGTTCTCTATCATAAACTGTATTTAAATTACTGTAATTCTGCAAGATGTCCTGTGACATGAAGAAATCACTATATTACTTACTCTCTAAAAATGTCATAGCGAAAAATCAGCCACTAATAATTCTCGTCAACAGCAATTTGTATCCAGGGCATTTAGCAGTCAATTCCTATAAAATATTATTCGTTGAATCCGAAAATGTCGTCAAAAGTTATAAAAGTAGAACAGTTTTTGAAATATAATTAATAATATGGAATTGACTATATCTTAAAAACTGCCTAACTTTTAAAATTTTTTGGCGGTCTTTTCGGATTTAGGGGACAATTTTACATAAGCATTGGCTGGTAAAAGCCCTGGTTATAAATAGAGTATGACATTATAAATATGTCCAATAATAGAAATTTACATTTTTTACCAACCAGTAATTGGACACTGGCCATTTTACTGTTTGTTTTCAGAATTAAAATTAAAATGCATTAAAGTGACAATGTTTAAACCATGAGGAACACATTTATACCACACACTGATCTGTACACTTTTAAAAAATATTTTTTATTAATTTAAAGACAGCCCTGCTCTTAACAAAAAAACAAAATTCTTACCATCAAAGTAAAATTATTATTTTGAAAGATAAAGATGTAAAGATGCCTCTATCTATTAAAGAATGTTTTTTGCTTGAGACTATCTTAATAAGCTATAAAAAACTCTCAACAAGTTTCAAAGAATCAAAAAGTACTATAAGAAATAAAATAATTTTTCCAACAATACGAAAAACGATAAAACTAAACAGTAATGAACTAGTGGCAATAAAACTGTTTAATGCACTGGATACAAATTTAAAAAAAAAATGAAAAAATAAAAATCATACAAAAAAAATATTAAAAAAATGGATGAGTGATAATACGCACAAACTCCTAAATCTTCAAGTAATTAAAGCAAAGGACTTATTAAAACAATAACACACCCTCATAATAATTATACTCTATATTATAACATCAAAAAGTTTAGTAAATCAATCAATCTTAAAAGTACAAGTTTTCTTAGTTTTTAGTTTATAAGTATTATTTAGTTTGTAATTTAAACTAGGTCTACGCACAGGTTTAATAAACCTCTTGCAGATTGTATGTAATGTCCAATTCATAAAATGTATCCCATGGGATACATGCATACACGTGTACCAGGTACCTGGTTCAATAAATTATTAAAAATTATTATTAAGTAACGTGCGAACTTTTTTGTCCTATATTGGACCCAAAATAAAGTAGTACTATATTATTACCGACTGAGATAGTTATAATTGTATACAGCGTCATCTAATGATTTGACTTTAAGGTAACTATTTATAGAACTCTTGTTTTTACAGTATTAATGTTAATTGTCCAATAACTATAAAGTGTCCGATAACTGTCTACTTTACCCTATAATTATAATTAGAAGTCTATTCAAAGCATTTAAAATAATTCATCTACATTTTCATTTGTAGATTTGGTAATAAGTTTTATTACTTACCAAAGATATGTTCTCCATCAGTGTGGCATGCAAAATCCAGAACACGACTCATGGTTTTTCCTACAAATTCTGGAATGAATTTGTTTTCTTCAGGTAAGCATTCTTTGAAAGTTTCGTAAAATGGAGAAAAACATTTTGATTGGTACTTTTTAATGAGAGAACACATAGTTTCTTCGGAACGATGTTCATTAAAGCATACTGAAGCGTTTTTTACGGTTTCCTATAATGTGATAAAAATAAATTACTTTTCATAAAACCCTTAGGTACCGCTAATTTGAAAAAATTAGTCGCGTATATTAAGTTTTAGAGCTCTTATATTAAACTTATTTTATTAATAAGGATACCTGCGAGAAAAAAATAAAAATTGTTCTTCAAAAATGCATTTGTATGATTTATTTTCTGTTGTAACCTTCCAAAACTTTTCTGAAATGAATTAATTGCCTTATACTTACCACAAGTACCCTGCTTAATTTGATGGAAATGTTATTGTTAACATCGTTTTTTTTATATACAAAAATTAAAATGTTTACTTGAGATAAGAAACGTATTCTTAGTAAGAATTTCTTACGTAATTAAGTTAAATTATTATTTCCAAAGTTCATAATTAAGAAGATAACCTTCTGAATGTTGTGACTATTTAATTTTTGTATATGCAGTAAATGTAAACCTCAACAAGTTTTATAATAATAATATTATTAATATTTCTTTGAATTAAATACCAAAACATTATATTAATTCACCACTAAGTTTAAAGTCTCAAAATTACTGGAATAAACTAAAGGGGTTGTTTCCTTGTGAAAAATCTAAGAACTTTTTCCTGTGCTGGAGCGGCAGTAGGTGGAATTTACTACGTTTAAAAAACAAATATAAAAATAAAACAAAATTCTTGCTGTTTTTTGTGTTTGATAAGGTTTAAAGTTTCACTATCGATAATTTTATTCTCCCACAATGTTTAAAAATAATTCAAACTTATTGAAATTCAAGTTCTGTTCAACTATTAAACTATAGTTTTAACTATATATTTATATTAAAAAAAATGAATTTAAAAAGGTAATTTTCATTAACCAAAGTTTGGTTCCCAATCATTGAAAATATTGAAATATATTATCAGAACCAGGACACAATAAATCACTAAAGCACGCAAAAAAATTGTTGCACAGTGAATATGAGTATACTCATGTATACATTGGATGCAAAACTCGGTTTTTGCAAATTTAAAAAAAATATATATATTTTATCCTATTCAATCACGTCGCTAGTATACGCATTACGTGACGACATAACAATCACCTGATTAATTGTTATTTTTTGGTATTTGCACTTTTCACTTGCAAAACTTGGTCTTTGAACGAGGAAGATGCAAAACTATGTTTTTTAATCTTTTGATTTCAATTATTTACTAAACTACCTTTTTTTTAAAATGATCTTATGAGCCGTTTTTCATGTTTTTCTTAAAATCACTTATCCTGCAAATACAGAGTTGTGCATCTAATGAACTCATATATAAAAACAAAAAATGACACTATAGTTATATAAAAAATGTACTTACTATAATTCTGTCGCTATATCCAGGGCAAATTTGTTCCACACGGACTTTAAGTCTTTGTAAATTTATTAATGTTTGGGCGGATTGTGAACGTAAATATGATTCATATGTATCTAAAGCAGTACTAGCATGTACTGTTGACCCAACAACTAAAACAATTTTATTTATTATTGTTTTAATAAATAAATTAAAAGTATGTATATTTATTTCAAACAGTATTGTTTGCCAAGTATAAAGCAAATGAATATTATTTAAACTTTATATAATAAATATTATTATAATTATTAATTCAAAAAATAACTTAGCATTTTTATTTTTAAAGGAATTCTCATAATTTTATTATTATTTTGTATAACGCAACATTTTTTACATACCTGCAATTGCAGCTAAAGTTAAAACTATAAATCTCATTTTTGTAGATTTTCGTCTTGCACTGTCAATTAAAATGTGTTAGGATGTTCTGTGTTCTGTTTATATACCACGCACTTATCTCTTGTTTTCCATAAAAATTATATGATAAAACTGTTATTGGGTTTTCATTTATAACATTGTGTAGATTATATCCATAAAATTTAAAATCTATCACCGCAATAAATAATTTTATACCAACCTCATGAAAAACTACCAAGAATAATGTTGTACGATGAGTAATAAAAAAACATTTTAAATTTTCCTGTAGGTAGGTATACCTTTTATTATAATTGATTCGTAATAATAAGTTACTCTAAATTACACAGACGTAATATTTGTACATATTATGTGCATTGAATACAGGGTGTTAAAAATGACTTTTCATTGGTACAATATTTTTTACTTCTACAAATTGATTATTGCATACGTTTGTTGTTATTACATTCTTATTACCCCTTAATGATATTATTGTAAAAATGTAGATTAGGTATATTTAAATTGTAAATTAAATTAATTAGTTTAAAGTAAAAATTAAAACCATAGCTGCTATGGCATAGCATAAAAACATTCGAAAATATGATTAATTTTAACAATTAATTAATTTGCATTAATAAAAAGACAATAAACAAACCAGTAAAAGGAGAATTCGACATCTATACATTTTTCAGTTGTTGAATGCTCAAATATTAAGCCTTATATCCTCGCCGGCTCTGTCCCTATAGGTAGATAGGTATTTTGTTAGAATAGTTTAGACCACAATCCACATTGTGGTTTGGACTTCGTTTGTGACTTGTATAAAAATACCATGTTTCAGTAAGCATTTCTGTAGAAAATTAAATGAGTTTACGTTTAAATTTCACTTTAAATCGCTTTTTTCTCGCTAAACGATTTTCTTATTCCAAATCACATTTCCCGTAGATTTGGGTTGGCACAAGGTCTCGTAATTATACTATAGTGTAATGGAAACGACATATGGGGAAGGTAAATTTTTAACATTTGGGAGTTTAAATTTTTAAGCTTAACAAAATATGAGATTAAATTTTAAAAATTTGTTTTAAAATTGTATTAAGTATTAGGTAAAAAGTTTTATTTTAGAATTCGATACACTCTTTATTTTGTTTATTATGATATAGTAATTTTTTATTCTCACCTGAGGGATCGTTATAGAAAGACCAAATAAGTTTTGGTACAGTTCCTAGACTTTAGTCTTAAAAATAAAGTTTATTGTTTTAATGTAAAATCAGTTTGTGTTCTAAATAGTGGTTTAATAACTAGGTTTGTTGGTTTTATTAGTATTATTATTATTATTTTATTATTATTATTACTTATTACTACTTATTATAATATCTAAGGTGAGTGGTTAATTATTTAATATTTAATTTAAACTATATTTTCTTATTATTTCATCAAGGAATATTCATATGAGCTAAAATTTGTATTTTATGGCTGTGGTTGGACAAACCAAATTACATATTTATTATTATTAATATATTATGTTTATAATTATTATATTTATATTTCACTTTGACATAACATATTATATTGCAATGTAATGTACCATTTTACTACATATTTCTATTTCTACAGTTTATCTTATTTTATTTATTTGATAAATTCCTAATTGTTATTTATTATGTTAAGACTTTGTTTCAATTTCTGCACAACAAATACTTGTTAGAATTTTCTTTCTATTGTTTAACGGTAACCTTATCAAAGTCGATGGGGTCGAGCCCGGTAATTACCGTTGATTGATAATTACTTAAGTAATTATCAATCAAACCATTTTTACAATGAATGTTAGGTAGGGCCCATGATGTGACGTTGTCTTGTTTTATAATTATTGATAATAATTTTATTTTGCTATATTTGATTTGCACTGCCATAATTTGTCTACTTTATTATACCTGATTATATTTGTTATTTATGACTGTACAATTAAATAGCATTACCGTTGTCCACTACTGTACCATTTGTTATTTGTATTTTATTTACCACTGCCATTTATTATTGTTGTTTGTGACCTAAGTTATACTATACTTTATGTTCCATATTGTTGTTGTTTGGTGCTGTACATTGATAATTGTTTCAATTTGTATTTACTTTTCTACACCGTATTATTTATGTACACCTATAGGTGAATAATCTTAGCAATATGATAATATAATAATTATTGATAATATTCATATTGATTACTTTGATTTTGTTGTATTATTTATATTGTTGAGATGTGACTCACATATATACATACCTATGCATGTCTTGATTGTATATATACATATGTGGGTTTTTAAGGATTTACCTTAACTTAAATCGATGATACTTTTCAAATATAACTTTTTTTATTATATTATTAATGTACAGTAGCAATCATATTTACTCTTGTATTAATTGCCTTTATTAATTTTTCTTAATTTAATACTTTTTCTTTGCTTTTTAAATATCGTTTTAATTGGTCAAGTACTTACGTATCCAGAACCGTATTCACAACAAAACGGGGCCCTAATTTAATTTCTTTAAACTAGACGATCACGTGTTTTGGCAAAAGGTAGTTTTGTTGTAGTTTTAATATTCGTTTCAAACGAGGTGCCCCGTTCGTTACAGTGTATAAAGTGTTTTTTTAATTAAAAAACAACATATTTAATTTACCCTACAAAAATATATTTGACTATAGCATACAAGGATAAAAAAGATGGAGCTTAAACTAATCAATTAAAAAAAGTTTATTTTACATAAATTTATTGTAAAATCTAAATAAATAAATATTTACATAGATACATAATTACAAAAAAATAACATTCAGTCTTTGGCATTTTTAAACCTAAAATAATAAAATGGTACCTATAAATGAAAATTAAAAAATAAATAATTTATTGAACTTGGAACTATAGTTATAACTTCATTTTTGTAGAAGTTTTAGAGTTTGTATTTTGTTAATATAAAATTTATTTTAAAAAAGTGAATTAATTTTAAAAAAGGCTGAATTTATTACAAAAAAACGTACCTTTGTGACTTTTTTATAATAGTTGTGACTTATTTCAACCCAGAATATCAAATTGGGGCATATCATGTTTTTGCATAATATTACATAATATATATATATATTAGCCTTTCAATTTCAAATTAAAATTCTTAATTGACAGCACATGTATTTGTTGTTTTAATTTAACAGTTTTTTAATTTGTGTTAATTTTTTGCTTAAATATTGATGGCAAAATTTGTTTAGTTTTCTTTATAGAGCAACAATATATTTTCTTTCACAATTATTAATACTTCACTTCCATTTTCAAATCTATGGACACAAACACGTTTTTATCTTGAAATAAAAAAATAAAATATTGATAATTAAGTAAAATCAATTTTTTAATTATCTATCTCTCAGTTTAACGCCAATTTCGTCTTATTTTTAGAATAATACATTTGTACGTTTTTTATTCTATTATTTTTAAAACTAACAGAAAATAACCTTAATTATTTTCGTTCAAATGTCAAGGTGGGCCTTTTCTATGTTCAATAAGATATCAATACAATTTTTCAAATATCGTTTATATCGATACAATTTTGATTAGAAAAAGAAAATAAAAATAAGTTTATTAAATTAAAAATAAAATATATATAACAAAATATAAATTTCAAAAATACCTACATCAACAAAATTTACAAGTTAAACAAAAAAATAAAACAAATCCTACAAATTTCAAACTAAATGTTAGTTTAAAAAATTAAACTTAAAATTACTTTAAAATGAATACAAATTAAAAAATAATATTAGGTTTAACTTTAAACTATTTCCCATTAATTTTGTTTTTACTGTTAAGTTTTTATTTATTACTTATAATATTCATATATTAATGTAAAATTTTATCTATAATTCAGACTTAACTGTATCATTAACTTTCAGTATTTCAGATATAATATTATAAATACCTTTAAAAAAATCATATTTATTGAGTTCATTTTTATTTTCAATCTCAATTTGGGCTAAAGTTTGATAGCGAGCTCGTAATTCATATAAAAGAGATTTATCAAAAAGTAGAAAACAGTACGATTTCACGGTATTCATGGATAAAAGACATTTTTCTATTTTATCATGATCATCAATGTTAAGAAGAACAGTGGATAATAACATTTTGTCAATATTTTCACACCAATTGTTTTCTAATAACATCCCTTTAAAGTCAATTTCTTTGTATTGTTTACTAATACTTTCCTTTGGATTCTCCCTTCCTTCTTCATTCTCAATTAACAAATCACTTATTAAAGTTGCTATTTTAATTTGCATTTTAACAGTATTGTTAACCAACAATTGGGACAACACTGCAACACCTCCTTGTCCAATAAAAGTTTTTTGAGCCAATGGAAACCTTCGTAGCAATGATCCCAAAGCAGCAACTCCAGCTGATTTTACCATATCATTAGATTCAATTGAAATTAAACGTAACAATTTATACAAACAACCTGATTCAAGACAATGGACCTGGACTTTACCGTTATTTTGAACCAATGATCCAAATAATTTTAAGGTCATTTGTTTTATCTCCGGATCAGTTTCATTAAAATTTTTATAGACAATTTTATTAAAACCATCTTGTCTGACAAACTCAATAGCATTATCAATTTGATGAGAAAGATAGTCCAAGTCCTCAATAATGATCAATACTTTTTCTAAATTTCTTTTATCTTTCTTCATCTGTACATCAAAATCAGCTAATAAATCTGTAATAACCTCTGAATCTTGTTTCGGTGCAAGATTTAAATCTGCCAAAGATATTTTAAGTTCTTCATATGAGCGAAAACCCTCAGAGTTTTTATTAGCATTTTCTGGATCATTTTTTATTCTTTTTAGGGACTCTTTTATTGCATCCTTATCCAATAAAAAATCTTTATCGCTACTACCATCAATTGGAATTATAGCTTGGTTTTTATATGTATTTTCACTTTCATCCAATAATTTAGCTTCAGTTACTCCAGTGTCAAAATTAAATCTCACATGTAAGCCCTTTGGAATTTTTTGACCTGTTAAACAAAAAAATGTATACCTATCTACACTCGTTTTTTATATAAATTATGGTGTTTTACCTTTTTTTACTTCTTTCCACTGATGAGTGGGAACAAAGTCGGCTTCTTCGGCGTTTTGTTTTAAATAAACAATACTAATACTTGTCAAAAATACCAACACACAAATTAGATTTCTTGCACTCATTTTAATTTAAATTATTTATATCACAGAAGTCTTAATAAACGTATTCGAAAAATGATGGTTATTTGAAGTATTTTTAGGTTATTTAATATTTTCATTTAACCTGTCATTCTGATTCGTTGTAATTTTATTGGCTAGAATCTCGTATTCTCCCCAGCGCGATTGGTTAAATTTCCCAATGATCCGCTTTTTTGTGTCTAAATTTTAAATTGATGAAATTATTTTTGTTTTTGAGATTTAAAATAAATATTTTTTATATTTTTAAATGAATTAAATTAAATTAAAAACAGTTTTTAGTAAGAAAGTAAAATATAAACAATAATTTAATTTAAAAGTTTAAATAAAAACTTATGTTTTGTTGCTTTAGACACAATGGACGGAAAAGTGGCTCCCTCAAACGTCAAATTTTACCGCTTGCGCCATTGGTGAACGCTAAACATTCTTTTCGTCTTCGACCCGTTTGCTTCACCGGCTTCTAGTCACGTGCATTTTTGTAGTTATCCGTAAACATCACTAATATACAATGGCTGATGAATATTTTTATGGTAAGAATTTCAAGAAAAAACATCAATGGTCTTGTTAATAGCGATATTTTTTTAAACCTCGGTCTATGTTCAGATATTTTTATTGTTGAAAATAACCGAAGCCGGTATTTTGCGCGCCATTGTTATGGACAATGTTTACCAAAAGTTTGCATTTTCTTTGCAGCATTGACTTTGAAAGGCAAACAAAGCAGTGAAGTTTGGGATCCAGAAGCAAAGGGCGATGGAGATTTCCAGGGAGGTCACAAATTGATCATCAAACAAGCATTATTGGGACCAGAAGCCACTGAAGGTAGAGGCAACTTTTTTTATTTTAACCGACTTTTGCATTCCACTTGAAACATTGTGATGAAATTGTAATGTCATGCCAGACTAGAGTTTCTGAGCTACTTCCATGATTATTTACATGTCTGACATTCAAACTTACAAAAAATGTTTGTGTTTTAAATTGATTTGTGCTAATAATGTTTCGTTTTTAGGAGAAGTAAATGTAGTGCAAGTAGAAGCCATGACTTGGAAAGACTCGGTTAAAATCCCAGTGGCAACATTAAAGGCTGGTGGCGCCAATAACCAAGTTTTGTTAGATTTATCGTTCCCGGATCCACCAGTTACATTTACATTAATACAAGGAAATGGCCCTGTTCACATTATTGGACATCACTTAATCGGAAGTCCAATGGAAGATTTTGAAGAAATGGATGAGATGGAAGAAGAAATGATAGAAGATGAGGAAGGAGAAGAAGGAGCAGTAAGTCGAGATTTATTTTTCTTTATACAAATACCTAAATATTACTTTTAATTGCAGGAGGAGGATGAGGAGGAAGAAGAACCTAAATCCAAAAAGGCAAAAACTACAAATAATTCTGCCAAGGGCAAAGCTCCTGTAAAAAACAACAAAGCCAAAAAGTAACTGTTTTACTATCTTAAACGAACTTTTAAAAAGTTTTATGTATGTCAAAAATTGTTTGAAGTGAATTTTTAGTTGTAATTAAGCATTTGAAAATAAAACATAAATTCACTGTTCGTGTGCCAGAAGTTATGATATTTCTTATTAATTTTTAAGACTTAAGAATAGTGATTTTAATGTTTTATTGTTTAACATGTTCTGACAGTGAATGCTATGTTGAATTTCAACATATTTTGTGAAAGTTCTTTTTATTCCAATGTAATTGTAAGCTGACACTTTAGATATTTATTTTAAAATTCAGTTGTAAATATACAATCTCATTAAACTAGTTTTTTCTAATATGTCTATTATTTGTGTTCCTTTTTACATAGAGTACAGGCTGCTTCAAATCTCTTGGGGAGACTTGTTAATAACTTAAAACAAGTGTAAACATTTTTACTTTTAATATAGGTATAAATAGGTACATGCAGTATGTCAGCAAATGGGGTCCCAGAAAATATTCTTGATAAAAGTAAATAACATGGGAAATTTTTTTATAATTTTCTAGCTAAGTTCATAATATTAATATTAAGAGCAGCAAGTTTTTGTTTCAGAACTCCTATATTGAGTTTAACAAAATTGACTCCGAAATATTTTTTTAAGAAAATTAAATGCTCTACAAAAAAGGTTAAAATGAAATTTTCCGTCCTTAAAATTATGCCTTAAAAATTGGTATAGTTTTACATTTTGATCTTTTAACTTTGGAATTTTGTAATTCATGTAAAAATCAGTACCCAGAAAAAAACTGATGAATATTCTTATGGGAAATCAAATGCTTTACAGAAAAAGCCTCTTAACATTTTTGGCTAAATTTACTCCATCAAAAGTTATTCAAGGTTAAATTTGAAGTCAAAACGAAATTCTTGTTTTTTCCTCTGTAGATTTATTTTTTTATGGGTGATAATTTGATTTTTTTCTTTATAAATGTGTATTATATAACTAATTAACAATTTCCAATAAAAAAACAACATGATTGTTATTATTTAAACGATTAAATAGGTAACAGTGAAAATAATATTTTTTAAAGAAAATAGCTAAGAATTCTTAAAGCGAAAAAACTTAAATGTGTTATTTTTTTAAATTTTCAGTAATTTTATCAATAACATAAAGATTATCATCGATAAAAGAATACAAGTTTTTAACTGACCCAAAAAAAATCTAGAGCGGAAAAAACAAGAATTTCGTCTTGACTACAATTTAAACCTTGAATAACTTTTGATGGAGTGAATTTATCCAAAAATGTTAGGAGACTTTTTTGTAGAGCATTTGATTTCCCATAAGAATATTCATCTGATTTTTATAAAATTACAAAATTCCAAAGTTAAAAGATCAAATTGTAAAACTATACCAATTTTTAAGGCATGATTGTAAGAAAACGGTTCATCTAACGGGAAATTCCAATTAAACCTTTTTTGTAGAATATTCAATTTTCTTCAAAAAAAACTCGCTCAAGAAAAAAAAAATCTAAAATGGGGTAGTTAAATTTTTTCTGACCTATACTTTTTATGGTTTTATTCAAGGCGTTTTGTTATATTAAACATTTCTTTGAAATCGGAATTTCAATTGAGTTTACCGTTTTCGAGATACCTATTTACAAAAAAAAATCTCCTAATTACGTCACTAGGATATTGACAACGTTGCCAGCTTTTTCTATGGTTGCCAGTGTGTTTAGTTTAAGATTCTTACGATAGATGGCGCCACGTTATAATATTTTAGTTGAGAAGAAGAAGAATATTCATTTTAAATTTCGTGCTGCCAACTTAAGAAACACAAAAATATGAGTTTTAAACCTTAATTTTGCCATTATAACACTAAATGTAACTATAGTTCCCAATATTAATTCAATTTAATACTCAATTTTCAGTATTTTCTTTTTATTAAAAAAAATTACTACAAATAACTTTATTTAAATTATTTGATACTAATTTGCCAAACGTCAGGTAATTATCATCGCAGATGTCTCCTATTGATTGAGTCTAATGAAACAAAAATGTTTTGTAAAATTTTATTTAAAAAATTATTTGTTACACTTGTTTTAAAATCCTCATTTTATTTGTAAGCTCCAACAAAATTGGTCAAAATTTAAATACTGTAGTATACATTTGTTAAGTTTAAGGACACTTTCTATCAATTTGTGCTTTGCCGGATTCTTGATATTCTTGCATCGACACCCACATTTGTTGGAATGTTCCAATCGAGGCCAAAATCGATCCCCCCACCCACGATCCGAATCGTCTTTCAACTGTACCGTTGGCTGCAATCATCTTTAATCTCATCGAACCTGGAGTCCGACTGGACAAATCTTTGCTAAGTCGTTCACTGAATCCTTGCACCAAGGAATTACCTCCAGTCAAAACCACAGAACTGTACAAAGCCGGACGAATGTCCACGTCGCACATACCAGCACTTGTAGCAGCTGAAAAATGGCAATATTATCAAACTTTACTACTACTATAGTCCACAATCCATTGTGTACTAGTCTACTAGTTCCCATGGTACAAGAAAAGGTATGTTCTTGCGCATCTGGTTCCACCACTCCATCAGATTGGCGAAGAGGTGGGAGCACCCAGTCGCCGCCATATTGACTGTTTACATTTTGAGGTGAGTTGTTTTTAAGCTATTTTAAAGTTTTTTAAGTGTAAAAAATATCTACCTACCAAGTGAAAATCTGTAAAAACAATGCCAAAAGATAAAAAAGTTGTCAAAATTTGCAGTTAAAAATGCAATTAATTTGACTTTGGTGGTGCGCAGATGAGTAAAATCATATACAAAAGTAGTTAAATATAGATGACTAAGGACCAGGAGAGACAAAGTACGTATTCCTAGAGGATAATAATCTTCGCAAATTACAATTTTATGTGAACACACGTGTATGTTGTCAAATCATTGGACTCCAATGGTGAATGGGTATTTTGTTAAAGCCACTGGACGTTAATACTTGTAGTGGCTTAATAATAATTATAATGTATATAATATATACAATTGTTGTTATTAATATTATTGTCCAGGACTAATAATGATCAGTAACTTGCAAATTGAAAGAAGAAAATGTTTCGTGATTATTGCTTATCTTTTTTTTTGCATATCTTTTTCAAACCAAATGGATGCTATTTTCAAAGACAGGAAAATTAACTACATACTAGATTTTTCAACAGCAAATAATTTTTATTTTTTGTTTTTTTATTTACCTACACTGAAAAAAATTTACGAAATTTTACACATCCAAACACACATTTATTTCTGTTTTTTTACTTAAGAAATGTGTTGTTCCATATAAAACATGTACACACATACTTACATAAGTAAAATAGCATCAATTTATGTATTTTTTTAAATTAATATGTAGTTTTTCATATTATTATGTAATAAATCCTTAAATTTATGTGCTTTTACAATTTTTAATGTACTTGTACTATTATTTTCCTAAATTTTAGATTTACATGACCTTTGCATTTTTACACATTATATGTAGTTTTACAGTATGTTTGTACATATACATTTAAATACGTGGCATCAAAATAACCAACGATCAGATGTGTAAATTTACTAAATATTTTTTTGAGTGTACCCCTTATTTTTTTAAATTTCAAAAATTTTTGATCTGCTTAGCTGAAAATAATGTGTAATTTAATATTTGTAAAACTAAAAACGTTACTGTTTTACTCCAAAAATGTCCATAAGGAGATGTATTTCTGCCATTGAGGCATTTGAAATATCTTTGAAATGAAGTTTTGTCCTTATAAGTTTTTTTACTTTATAATCTGATATTATTTTTGGCATATTTATATATAATATTATATAATAATTAACAAATAAATTATCAATAATAAATATTACTGTCAATTTGATAGTATCAGTATTTAATTAAGGTCTTCATAAGAAGTACAATTTTTTGGCATTAGCTACCAACTTAATAAAAAAACACGAGTTCAAATAAAAAAAAATTAACTGTATTTGTGCCATTTACTTTGAAAATAGTTGCTATAAGAAACAAAATTGGATCGAAAAAACATATAAACTACATTCCCATAAAAAAGTCTTTAAAAGTGAATATAATTTTAACTTAAAACTTAACAGCTGATCTATTATAAAAGAAATCAAGTAGGTACTTTGTAAGAAATTAAAATAAAATTGAATTCAAAACAATATAAATCATAGTTCTTTTTAATGTGTACAAACTGCATGATCAAACAACCCCCCAGAAATAGGACAAATCCAGGAAGCATGACCTTTGAAGACAGCCTGTGACAGAAACTCAAGTACTGCAGTGAAAGAATTTAAAATAGAATTTAAAAAACAAAATTAATAAAAATTAAATCTTTATTTTTGCATTGTGCAGGAAATGTGCCAAGACAAGGAAGCTAATGATCTTCAAGGACAGTCCATAAGAGAAACTGAAACTAAACCTAAATTTCGATTATTTGTAAATACAATTTTGTAATAAATAAATTTAGAAAAAATATGTTGTTTACATTTTCTTGCAATGTTAATGTTCTAACTTGAAACTTTTCATTTCATTCTTTATATTTACTTTAAAACAGGATATTTTATTTTATTAAAAACATTTGAGTAAAAAAATTTAATTTAATGGCTTTAAAACAAGATATTTTATTTGAAAACCCTTTATTTAAAACCTAAAAACTAAAATTAAATTTTCTTGCAATATTAATGTTTATTTGTTAATTTTTTTCATATATTTTATTTGTTATTTAGTAAATATTATTTACTTTAAAACAATATATTTGATTTGATTGAGAAATCATATAAAATAGTTTTTTTCAATAATAATACTTTCTTGAAATGTTAATATTGTGACAGATGTTCAAATTATTCGACAATATAATCTAAAAATCGAATAATTTTATAGAAATTTGGATGAATTTAAAAAAAATTAAAATGAAAGAAAGGAAAGAATGAACTAAGATGGCGGTAACTGGGTGGTGCGCAAAGTGAACCAAAATTCGTCCTACTGAAGAACATACCTTGTTTCTTGTACCATGATGAGAACTGCTTGATCAAACAAACCTAATAATTGACGTTGCGTACAAAAAATTATTACCTAAATGTCCAGCCCCCAAAACTGCATGATCAAACAACCCTTCAGCCAATTTAAATCTTTCTGGGCCGAAATCTTGATGGTAACCTGAAGGAAATTCATAGTGAAGAGCTGGTAAATTTAGAGCTGTCCTTTCATCATAGGGCAAGTCTGAAACCTATACAAAAAACGTAAATAATTACTAAACTAGGAATTATTATTTATACTAGCTTTGCTACCGAGGTTCTAATACCATTTTTATTTTCCATTTTTGATAAGGATTAATTATTAATTGATTATTATTTTAGAATGGTACACTTTTTTAGAATAGTATTTCATTGTAGCAGCAAAATTAAAATACAAAATTATTATATCAAAGGATTACTTACTTGTAATACAGTTTGCTGAAAATCCTGAACAGTCCTCTTAATCATATATGACATATAGCTATTACTTGGAGTAAAACTAATTTTTTTTTTCGTAAACCTGGGCTTATCTTTTTCTCTTACAACTTCTTTGTTTGCTACCAGGGAAGCTGGTGTTAAATCAATACCGATACTCTCCAACATTTCCTTTGATCTTATAACTAAATAGTCCCCACCTAAAGGCGATTTAACAACAGCATTTGTCAAAACGTAACCATCCAGCACTGGAACAGCAGTGGTATGAGTGGCTCCACTGTCAATAACAAGGGCAGTGGCTCTTCCATTTGCGAAAGCTGCTAGCGCAGCATTTTTAACCAAAAAGAATGCAGGCACTTTGTACTTTTCAAACATGATCTCCGTAAGTTTTTCACGTTTTTGCCTTTGGTTCCATGGACATTCAGAAAATAATACAGGGTGATATTGGGATTCGGATTGAATTATTTTTTCATATGAATAATCCAAGATTTTTTCAAACAAATCCCAATTTTCTATCATTCCGTCTTTCATGTAATGGTGTAGTTCCATATTTGGTCTTGGTGTATGAAGGAATGTTGTGTCAATGTAATACTTGTATGCTAAAATGGTAATTTAATTATCAGGATCATCTCTGGAATACAAGAAATCTTGTAATAACTTCCATGAATTATACAGTGTGTCCCCAAATTTTAGTTTAAAAAAATCAACGAAATTTTCAAAAAACCCTATTTTATCCGAAATCGGCAGTAAAGTAGTCAACAATCGGCAGTAAAGTAGAACTTTACTGCCGATTTAATGCGAGTATTGTATGCAACCCATTATACATTTTAAGAGGTGTCTACTGCTCCTCAGCAGCAACTAAATAATATTAAAAAAAAAGCACCGTCGCGGAGGACAATTGGACCCTTTCATAAAATGTTGTTTAATAAAAATAAGTTAATTTTATTAATTAGATTAAAAAATCGCCGCGGCGGGTAAATATATAATAACCGTCGCAACAAACAGTATACGTAGACACTTCCTAAATTTGTTTTCAAAAACGTATTTATTAAGTATTTGTTTTGTTGATAATAACCATAGACTTGTCTCTGATAATAACATATATTATTAGAACTGTTATGTCAATGATACTAAAGTACTTTTAATTGTAAAATAAACTAATTTATACCTGACGAAGAAGTAGTAACATTTCCATCGTCTGGTTTAACTTCAGGTTCCAATTTCGGAGAGTCATCCGGAGCAACACCAACACAAGCCGGAATTTCGGCTTTTGGAGTGTCTTCTTGAGCGTAACCAACTCGCAACGAATGATGCCCGGGATCAAAAACCAACGCACCTATTTCATCACCACCATATAACATACCACTTGACATGATTTATGTTTAATTTGTCGCTTTTCTAAATGTTTTTTACAGTTGCTACTTTAAGGTTAGAAAATTGTTTTGACAGAACAGCGTCCTTCAATGTCGCCAACCTAAATGCTTTTATTTAGCGTTAATTTAATTTGTTTAAAGTCGACTAATAATAGTAAAGCTATTATATTTTATTTGTATAAGAAAAATTAAAATTTTTTTTTTACTGTCTGTACAGTTTAATATTACAAATATGTATATAAACTTAAATGTTATATATTTTGGTTGGCTATGGTTTTGTGCATCACGTCGATAAAACAGATTCCAAAGTTATCCCCACGAAAAGCAAATTTTTCGGTTTGTCTGGAAATGTTTTTAAATGACGAGAAGGATGGCGGAAAATCAACAGAGTAGATTTGAAAAATCTTTAGGATTATTGACGACGAAATTTGTAAACCTATTACAAAAGTCTCATGGAGGTGTTCTGGATTTGAAATTGGTAGGAAAAACAATTTATGGCAAGACGTTTTTGTTAACTTTTCATTTTTTAGGCTGCTGATTTACTGGCTGTTCGTCAAAAACGAAGGATTTACGATATAACAAACGTTTTGGAAGGTATTGGATTAATTGAAAAGAAAAGCAAAAACAGTATTCAATGGAAGTAAGTTTGTCTGACATATTTTTTAATGTCAATTTATATTATGACAAAATAACATTTTAGGCCTTACACATATAAAGATTGTATCCAGGGAAGCAATTCTCAAGAGTTTTCTCTAAAGGTTACTGAATTAAAGCAAAAACTGACAAAACTTGATGAATACGAGCAACAATTGGATTTACATAAAATTTGGATTAATCAGAGCATACGTAATACAACAGAAGACTTGCAAACTAAAAAGTTTCTTTACATTACCAAGGATGATTTTAGTACAACTTATGATGATAATCAAACTGTTTTAATTGTTAATACACCAATTAACAAAACAAATGTTAAGTTTCAGGTAATAACAATTCTAATACTTTTTTATTACTTGTTTTTTAGACCCTTTTACTTTTAGAATGTTCAAGAGCTTTATAATTTAAGAATTAGGTCTACTGACACACCAATTATAGCAAATTTACTTAATGAAAAGTATTGTAACGACATTGATGAAGATATTCAAAAAAACATAATTAGAAAAAGAACCAATAATGTAAGTATACAAAAAATTCTATTAATTTCTATAAACATTTTTTTTATACAGGTTGTCCATAAAATACCACACTGACTAATTTAAAGTCATTTTTAAAATTAAATTTAATTTTAACAATTTATTAATTCCTTAAGTTTTTTAACTTTAGGATTAATAACAATTAAACAATTAAAATTACCTTCATTAGTGTGGTTAATTGGATTTTTCTTTTAACAATTTTTTAATGAGTTAAATTTTTAGAGTTATATGCCACCAGAAAAAAGAAGGTGTTATTCTCATGATGATGACCCTGATTTAATAACTGCTGAAATTTTGTTTAAAACAATGTCAAATAATGTACCTCATATTAAAGAGGATGACTTATGTGAAGGTGGGTAATTGTAATTAATGTGAAATTATTATAATTAATTTTTATTTCTATTTTAGAAGATCCTTTTTTGCGTTTGAGTCCAATACCATTAAGTCAAGATTATTCATTTGGTCTATTAGAATCTGAAGGCATTAGTGATCTTTTTGATGTTACCACAAATGCATGAAATTATTAATTTAATAATATAGGTACTTTATCATGTTTTGAAAATAATTTTATTTCAAATACTTTATTGGTAAATACAGAATATTTAAGAATCATTATTTATTTTTATTAAATATTCTGTGTGGAACATGGTTGTTATTTTTTACAAAAATAAAAGATTAATTACTTAGGAATTTATGTAATTATTTTGTTAAATATATTTTGGAAAAATATATGTTTTTTTATGCCTAATTTAAGAAATTTATAACTTGGTGGACCACATGGCGAATAAATTGAATAACTCTTAACATTTATATATTTTTTTGACAGGTTTTTAAATTCCAGTCCTTCATACTTTATATTTTTACCAATTCAATATTTTTTACAACTAAACTAAAAAAAAGTTGGGGGGATAATAGTATATTATTATACGAGAGATAATGCAGGTTATTATTTACATGGATGAGGTTTTGCGTCTCGAGCCGTTAGGCGAGAGACGTAATTCATCCGAGTAAAAAATGCTATTATTTTGAGTTAAATACTATGCTTTTTCTACTCCAATTAAGTAATTTTTATTGATAACAAAATTTATTATAACCTCACTTTTTCCCGATTTTAAAGATCATTATAGTCGCCCCTCGTATATACAAACAAATCTGACATCTGTTAATCTTACTTTTCCCAATATAAAACCCGATTGGTTCAAATAACAGTGAATATTGAAATCAGCCAATCACAACGTGAATAATGAGTTCATTATTCACCTTATTGGGCCGGGCGGTTATATTGTTTACCATTATTTACGAAAAAACCCAAATAATTTCAATAATATATTATATATATGCAATAGGAGTAGAAAAAGATACATATCCTGTGTTCCCACATAAAATGTCCCATGGGAAACATAGATTAGATAAAACTAAGTATAGGTACTTAGGCTATAGCCATTGTGGATTTGGCTGAAACTTAAGAAACCTGTCGGAAACATAAATAAATATATTTGTTAATTTTAAATCCAATTTATTTTGCGCTTATCCAATCTTGACCAAAATCCTAGAGAAGGTTTTGTCTAGGACCAAAATCCAGTGGATTTAATTTTGTTGTGATTCATTAGCCGCCACTTGTCCTTAGTACACCCCTGTGCAGTAAATTAATCGAATGTAATAAAGAAAAAAAGAATTTTAAATTTAGAAAAAGAATAATAATAATAACAACATTATTCCTTTTATTTAGTATGAATAAGTAAATAAATACTTTTGATAAATCCTTAAGGATTAATTAATTTAAAAGTAGCCCTCTATCGGACGTCATAGACACGTCACTTGACAGAATTTGTATCGTCGAAAATTGCAAATGGCAGTAGATGTCATGTATTGAAGAATTACGTTATTTATTTTGTTCTAAATAAAGAGAACACTTTGTATAGTCTGTTGGTGTTATAAATTAAAAGACAAATAAACTATTTGCGCTATGACTACGAAAGAGAAGTTGCCGAAGCTGGTGGACGTCTATCGCCCCACGAACACACTTAGCAGGAGGCAAATACCCCTTGTTGTGGATGAAAATTTAACGGTAATACTTATTCATATCGATTAGAAACGTATTTAAACATAAATTTTTGTTTTTAAAATAGTATTTAAGTTATTTCAATAGAGCATGTTAATTTGTCACAATTTATTTGACCTAGAAAATATTCACAAGTATCTGTAGGTATACCTAGATTAAACCTGAGGCTTTTTTAGCTGGTTATGGACGTTAAGGGATCGGGAATCATTAGTGATAACCAAGCATTAAGGGGTAAAGAACTGGAAGAGTTTGCTTGCAAATGGTTTATCCTCTCAAAACAGGAATTACAAAATTCATTACAGATAAACAAGAATGAGTTAATGGATGTTCTTAATCAAAATGTACCTTGTGTTGGATGTCGTAGAAGGTAAGCTAAATACTATTTCTCTAATTCTTTCCAAAAAGGTCACTGAACCTAGATTCCCTTTATGTTTTATACATTATAATTTGCTTTAATGAGTTTGACAAAACTTAAAAATATTACGTTGACATGCAAGATTATTTTAGTTTTTCTTGATTTTTATTTTATTTTTTACTGTTGAACAAATTAATAAGTGGATTAAGTTTTAAAACTTTAAAATTTGAACTTTAAACCAAATATTTAAAAATATTTGCCCACCCTATGATCTCTAGTCAGAAGTCCTGCTCTAAAAATTATATATATGGTTTCTTTATGATATTTGCATTATCAAAAATGCAGTTTATACATTTTCTGTGTTGCTTTTAACCTAAATAAATTATAAAAAATTATACTCGCAACTGAAACCACAAATTTAAACTTGACATAAAATAAATGTATTGTTTTAGTGTTGAGAGATTGTATATTGAGTTGTTAAAGTATGGCCATCCAACATTGGATCCATTATTGGTGAAGTCAGATGGTACAATAACAATTAAGGAAGATAAGCAGGATTATCCAATATTGGGAGCAATTTTCCATGATCATTCGTAAGTACAAATTTGATTTCAATGTTTACTAAAAATTATCAAGTAAAAAAGCATAATAAAAAATTGTGGCATCACTCATCCATTAAAAATTAATGCATGTTGATTTTTGCAACAGTAGTAACTTAATTTTTTTCCTAATTCAATAGTTCATTATTTATAGTATTTTAAAAAGTTTATTTTTATTTTTTAATACACCACAGAGATTAAGAAATATAGCAACAAAGAAAAATATTGTTCATATTATAAGATTCATTTTTTTAAATCATGATTTTTGCGACCCCTAATAAGTACAGAATAAGATTAAATACTACCAATAAATGCAGTAAAAAATTGCTACAAAACAATCAAACTGTACCTGTATAGGACTTATTGCTAGAAATGTCGTAAAATTACACGACCAGGGGAATGTTTCTTTAAATTTGGGAATTTACTTTCTATAGAAAATATGTTCTATAGAAAGCAATAAATTAATCAAAGTATGGCTTATCTTATAGAAAATATTTTCTATAAAAAGCAAGAAATTAATCAAAGTATGGCTTATCTTATCTTATATTTTAACCAATTCGTAGATAAGATTAGAAAATGGGTCACCCCAAAAAGATTGTGACCCAGTACTTTTGGATTAGTACAAAATATTTTGAAAATAAATTTTATAAAACGAAATTACGTATAAAATAATAAACAAATCTTTAAAAGGAGCATATTGAATGAGTTACAAAGTGTTTTTGCAAAATTAAAGTATATTTTAAACACAAAATCACTTTTAGTAACTTACTATGGTCTATTTAATGGCCTTGCCACTTATGGAATTTCCGCATGGGGCTCTGCTTATGAGAATGTTCTTTTGCCACTTTTAAACTTAAAAAGGTACTAGGAATAATTCTGTATATAATATTTATTAAAATTACTATTTAAAAACCATACTTATCAATTTTAATAATATGTACATTATCTACAAAAATAGTAACAAAATACTAGGCCAAAAGTCAAGCTTGCAGTTGGTAAAAAAACTAGTCTCTACAATGGTATACAAATCTTCAAAATGTTACCTTATAACATCAAAGTTGTAAATAACCCAAAAAACAAATTTAGTTTACAGTTTAAAAAAAATGTTAAATACTGGTTTACCAAAAACTGTACCATACTTCTTTATTAACTTAATAGACTGCGCGTCAAAATTAACGCATAATAAGTAAAAAAATTCTCTAAAACGCCTTTACCAATTTTATGAAATTTTGAATAAAAATACTTTAACTTATATCTCAGTTTACGTGTTCGAGCGTTTTTCAAGAAAATATTTTTAAAGCTCTTTTATTTAATAATAAAAAAACGTTCAAAAAATAACTTTTAGGATTTTTTTTTAAATAAATAAAAAGTATGCTGTTAAAGACCGTATTTTTGTTAGTATGCCCTAAAAATTTTGTACGACTAACAGTAACGAAGATACAGCGCTTCAAAGTCGGTAAAAATGACCCCTTTTTGATTATTTTGCTGAAAAGTGGTCATTTTTGACGACTTTGAAGCGCTGTATTTTCGTTACTGTTCGTTTGATTTTTACAACATTTTCAGGGTATACTAACAAAAATACGGTTTTTTCCAGCATATTTTTTATTTATTTAAAAAAAAATCCCTATAAAAGTTTTTATTATTAAATAAAAGGACTTTAAGGATATTTTTTCGAAAAACCCTTGAACACGTAAACTGAGATATAAGTTAAAGTATTTTTATCCAAAATTTTATAAAGCTTGGTAAAGGCGTTTTAGTGTATTAAATGTGGAATTAAAAACTGTAGTCATAATGATAAAGAAAATATTATTTTAATTTTAGTTTAGTTTTAAGATCCTAGTTTTAAGTTATGTACTGGACCTATGTACAGGTAATTTATTACCTCCAATAGGCGGAAATTCTAAATTCTATTCCAATGCACTTGTATCTGGTTGTTAAATAAATAAATAAATAAAATGTAATGAAGTTAGGTTGTAAACTTAAATGTTAACCTTTCCAGAGCCCGCTTGGCAAAACTGATTGAAAATCAGCCAAAACGAAACAAAAAGAGCGTGAGATGCCTGTTGCATTCGTTAGATTCGCAACGTAGTAGACCGCTTACTCCAGTATGGAGAGACGTATGGGACTGCATGAAGATAGACTGCAAAAAAGACGTGTGCATTATTGAAGCATCCACCCTTCATTCTACCTTGGAAACCTATTTGCGGAAGCATAGATTTTGCGCCGAATGCAGAACTAAAGTCTTGAAAGGTGCCTTACTTGCCTTGGAAGTGTCATTAACATAATCAATGTTGTTTAATTTAAGCTTATACCTTGCTTGTGGAGGAACCGGATCCATCTAAGGAGAAAGGCTATGTCTCGTCTCTATATGCAGAGATTAAAAGGTGCTTGCCAGATAAACACATTCATTTGCAACCGAAGACTGACTACATTACTAAACTGATTAGTCGTGCTGAGCCAGAGTTGTTGGGAAGGTGAGTAAAAATATATAGATTGCAGTATGATAATTACAAAAACTACTGGAATTTTAAAACAGGTATTAAACAAAAATTGAGTTGTAGGTGTAAAAGAAAAATTAATAATTTATAAAAACTTTTGCTTTAGAATAGGTTTTTAAAGCAAAAAATTAAAATTGTATTAAAAAAATTGTGCAAGAAAGTAGTTTATATTGTTAATTATTAATGCTCACATTATATTTATCTTAATCATTCAGAATTTTTTTAATCAGAAATATTAGAATAATACAATTTCAATTAGCAATAAATTTAAGATTTGAACTACAATATATTTATATTGTATAAATTTTAGCATCCTTAAAAAAATTATATTAATTACTTAATAAATATTAAAGATAAGTTAGATTTTTAAAACCATGTTCACACAATTTGTTTAGAATATTTATATAAATCCATATAATAAAAGGGATATGGAATTTAAGGTCGTAAAATTTATAAAAGTAGGTACCTGAATTATTCAGGTAACGTTTTAGTCGAGAAAATTCTTAAATTAGGTACGTACTTTATAAAAATAAGTACAGCATAGCAACTTTTAGTTGGTTTATTTAAACTTTATTATTGTATGCAATTGTATTGAACAAGATTTACTGATTTTAAAAAATTCAAAATATCAGATTTTGTACAACGAAAATAACTACAAAGTTTATTACCTATTTGTCTACTCTAATTATCAACTCTAGGTGCAATGGAACAAAATCCGTTTTTGAAGAAAATGATTTCAACTGATGGGCCATTTCAGGCATGCGGATGGAACAAATCACAAAACTGTTTTTATAAAAAAAATTGTAGATACTTTATTATACAATATTTTGGCATCAAAATTGTCAAAAATATTCTTCTTTTATTAGGCTATACATTAAATGTAAAAAAACGCAAGAAATATTTTATAAAGTAGAGATAATTTTAATAATTGACAGGTGTGGACAGGACAAATAAATCTTTTTTTTTCAATTATTAAAAGTATCTCTACTTTTATAAAATATTTCTTGCGTTTTTTTTATTTAATGTATAGCCTAATAAAAGAAGAATATTATTGACAATTTTGATGCCAAAATATTATATAAAAAATTATCTACAATTTTTGTTATAAAAACAGTTTTGTAATTCGTGCGTTTCGCGTGCCTGAAATGGACCTGATTTTATTTTATATTTTAATTTTTTTAGAGAAATGCACCTAATTTTTAAATTTTACTACCTAAAATAGTGTGATTTTACCTATTTTACATAAATCCCTATAAAAGTTAACCAAATATATTGAGGTTGTCATATTTGAATTAAATTATTATTATTGTACAAGTAAAGGAGAACTTCCTATAAAAAACAAATAAGCTACAAATGATAAGTTTTTCCTATTGTGGACTCCTGGGAAACATTGTACAATGTACAAATTTTTCTACGATTACGATTTTATTGCGATTAACGTTAATACGCAAAATCTTTATAGTTGGGAAAATATTTTTTTAAATATTTCTCCATTACACCCTAGGTCAAAAGGTATTTAGTATTTTAATATATTACATTAATTAAATAACACCCAGCATATAAGCGTCGAGTTTCTTAATCAATAATATAAGGAATAATAAAAAACACAAATAACGTGCGCGATTTAGCTGTGCAATTGAACAAAATTTGTCTACCTTTCTTTTTTTAGTGAAAAAACTACTTAGGTATTTATTTAAAAATAGAGATGGCAGATGCTCGAGCGCTTTGCAAAGCGCTCATAAGCGCTCATAAATGCTCATAAATGCTCGAGCATTTATAAACGATGAAATATAAATTTTATTAAAAAAAAATTTGATTGAAAAAAAAATTTCAACAAAATAGAGTTACTTAAGTATACTAAGGTTCATTTAAATAAATATGTATTGTAAAGTTTTTTTTTTTAAGTTTTTATTAAAAACACATTTACACATTTACATAGATACAGTACAAAAAATAATATTTTGTTTATTTTAAAACATAAAATGGTTGGTTGACATAAATAATTTTTTGTGTGTCCATGTCGCCTTCTTCCTCAGATCTATTAGTGGAAACTTCAATGTTCGACAAATTGTTAGCACTTTCATTTTCAATTTCCATATAATTTACAATTTTTTGGTTAATTTATAACCCCGCTTTTTAGTGTTGGCGCCAAACTTTTGGCGCCAAATTCAAATATCGAGCACTTTGGTAAATGCTCGAGCATTTATTTATAAGCGCTCGAGCATTTATGAGCATTTATGAGCACTTATGAGCGCTTTTGAAAGTGCTCATCCTTCTCTATTTAAAAATCATGTGCAGTTCGTATGCTTTAAATGTATGGTTGACAATTCTTGAATTCACACAATGCTATCGAACACCGCCAGATGGCGCGCGCGTTTCGAAAACCCGATGCCTCTTTAGCGTACAGTTTCGTATCCGTTCCATTGCTGCCAATGACACGGCAATTGCCGTGTTTTCACAGCTTTTTAGACTAAATGTATGGCCACGGCTTCATGGTACTGCCGTGCATTTAAAAACACGGCTATTTCGTTAAAATATTAAATTCATATTTCACCATTTTTGACAAATATTTAAATATTAAATAAAAATGCCATTTAAAAAATATCAAATTCATATTTCACCATTTCTGTTATAAAATAATTAATTTTTAAATAAAAACACTATTTAGTTTTACTGAAGTTGATAAATTTCTCGAAGTGTATGACCAAGACTTGACTGAGCCTAATTTTTTCTGCTTAGACAATTGGCAACTCTGGTCGAAGCCACTGGGATTTCCCGCTTTATATTATTTTATTTCAATTGTAAATTAAGTGCGTGAAATAAGTTTTATCAGTTAATTTTTTTTTATTCCAATGAATGAATTTTAAATTTGACACGGCCATAGGTCGTAAAAACACGGCAGTTTTAGATCATGCGTGCGGCTTTTAATTTCGACTGGTTGGCAGCACTGATCCGTTCTGTCTAATGTACCATTTTAGTCGTAGAGAACGGCACGCGAAAACGTTGGAAATAGCTCAAGAGGAAGTGCTCACCTGCCTCGGCATCTGCATGTACGAGCGCCTGCACCGCGTCTACATGCGCATGCGCGAGGAGGAGTGCACCTGCCAGGTGTTCGCCGCCGTCGCGGTGCACACGCTCAGCCGCAGCTTCGAGACGGCCGTGGAGCGCACGCGCGGCATATCGCAGCTGGAACTGCTGTACGAGGAGTTCGCGCGCGAGGAGCAGCAGAAGCAGATCAGGAAGGAGCAGAAGAAGATCAAGCGCAAGCGCAAAAAGGGCAACAAGCCCGACGGCGAGGAGAAGGAGAACTGCCACGACTGCGATCCGGACGACTACGAGAAGGAGTGCATGTGCGTCGAGCCAGGCAAAGAGGACGCTCTCGGCTGTTACGGCTGCGAACAGCTGTCGCCGAACAAGAACCCCCTCGCCCACATGGTAAGTTTCATAACATATAAACTGAACTCATTTTTTATCCCACTTAATGGGGTAGTTAAATTTTTTCTGACCTATACTTTTTATGGTTTTATTCAAGGCGTTTTGTAATTTTAAACATTTCTGTGAAATCAGAATTTCAATTGAGTTTACCGTTTTCGAGATATTTACAAAAAATATAAATTTTTATGACGTCACAAACCTCGCCATGTGACCAACATTCTAAGATGTCTATTGGTTGAAAATTACCCTGTTGTCAAGTTGTCTTGTTAATGATTTCATTCGGTTATGTCAGAAAATACCCGAAGAGGTTATGTACAAATACTGTCACTGTCAGTTGAGTGAAAGATGGTCACCAAATTCATTCCTTATTACGAGGTATCATATTACTGTTTGATATTTTAGAGTCCAAGATATATCTAAAAGAATATAAAGAACTAGGCATTATACTAATAAAATGCATTTACGACAAAATATGATTATAATTATAGGTACTTACTTTATTTGTTTAAAAGCTCCATGTTCAATGTAACCAACCATTCCACAAGATTCCTCTGCTTTGGAGTCCGTTATTAATAAATCACTTATCTAATATCAATTACAAATAACATAACAATAACATTGATTTTCAATAATCTAAATTTAAAAAAAACATAACCCGAAAAAAAGAAACATCAAAAAATCAATTTTTCTTCTTCTTCTCAACTAAAATTATTGATCAAGTGGTTTTAAAACTAAAATATTATAACGTGGCGCCATCTATCGTAAGAATCTTTAACTAAACACACTGGCAACCATAGAAAAAGCTGGCAACGTTGTCAATAGCCTAGTGACGTAATTAGGAGATTTTTTTTTGTAAATATCTCGAAAACGGTAAACTCAATTGAAATTCCGATTTCACAGAAATGTTTAAAATTACAAAACGCCTTGAATAAAACCATAAAAAGTATAGGTCAGAAAAAATTTAACTACCCCATTATCATTTATTTTCTATAAATCCGTTAATTGTGAAAAATAAAATAATACGTACCTCCTTATTTATTTTAAGACCAAAAGCATCTAGGTCAATCCATTTCAAATCAACCAATGATAATTTAGATTAATTATTATTAAAGTTGTTTAGTTTTTTGTGAGCTGACATTTTGTATTGGTGCATCAGCCTATTTTGCATTTTACAGAGGTTTGCGTTAAATCTGTAGCTTATTGTTTTTTAAAGATGTTTGGTTTAAACAAAAACCACGTTAAATAGCATAACATGTAGAGATGTAAAAAACGGTTTTTTTCAGATGAGAAAAAAAAACATGAAAAAAAACTAGAAAAAAACTGTTTTTTTTGTTTTTTTTTCAAATCCGTTACAACAAAGCATATTCTGTGAATAAATAACATCAATCTTAAAAAATGGAGCAATTTTTCAAAATAAAATTTTGAGTAAAATGTATATTAATAATAAAGTGAAATGTAGAATATATTACATTTTTCATTATTGAAAATTTTGACTGAGACTAAAAAATCTGATTTCTTATTATTTTTTGGTAGTTTCCACATAAGAAACCATTAGCAATGTAAAACTTCTACACTAATAGAAAAAATTAAAGGATAAAAAAAATTCCAAATTTTTTGCGATTTTTCGGATAGCTGTATCTTCGTTAAAAATGGTCGTATGGGAGCCGTAAAAAAGCAATTTGAAGCTTGAAGTTTCTTAGTTTTGAGATTTTTAGATGAAAATCGTGCAACGCTCAATCCTAACAAACACCGTAATACAAGAATTCGAAATTTTTTGAGTTCTACAAGAATTTGCTCTACATAAATTTGAAAAACCATGAAAAAAAGTGCTTTTGTGGTAGCTTTTTAAAAAATCAAGCGCTGAATCAAGAATATTATAGGTAGTTACTTATTTTAGGACCAAATCAAAACAAGCGCGGCCCTTATTGGTCAATTCGGTGGTGGTGGCGCGTGCAAAGCGCGAGACTATTTACTAAATGTCATTTAGTGGCTAATTTTAGTCCATGAACTGGACTGGAAACATAAAAAATTAGGCAAATAGGACTAATCTTGTAAAAAAAACTAAAATATGAAAAAAAAAACCATTTGAAAAATTACAATATAAAACAAAAAAACATCACATCACATCTCTAATAACATGAACAATATTCTCTCTGAGGCGGCTTACTAGGCATCTTTCTTTTTATGGGATTGAGAGATGCGATTTTTTTATTGCAAGTTTGCTAACTACGTCTTTGTCTGCATTTTCTCCTCCGATTCTCAAACAATTTTTGAGAACACTATAGCGTTTTAAAAAACGCAAGAGTCAAAACTCTTTTATGGCCTTTGAGAGAGCGCGTGGCGTCACAATAGTATTGGCCATTTCATGTCAAGACTAAAGACTGAAGTGAATACATGCAAAAATAAAAATACGACCATAACCATGTTTAAACCTTTTTATTTGTTATAAAACCAGTGATGTAAACTAAAAAAACATTTTTTGTTTTTTTATTATGTTTTATTTTTACAAATATTTTCAGAGACATTGTTTTTCTTAATAGACCGGATAATATGAGGTCTTATTATTGTAAATTGATATCATAGCAACACGCTACTTTTTTATCGATTTTCAGTATATTTTAACCAAATATTGTTTTAAAATTTAAGGGTAAAATAAAACTAGAAAGATCATAAGCTTGTTAGGATTTCTAAAAACACACAGATGAACAAAACAAATGTAAGCAAAAAGAAAAAATACGGATCTCATCGATTTAGGTAGAGAAACGGTAAAAAAAATTTTTTTTGCCTGGTCGATTTTAGATGGAAAGGCTCTGAGTTAAAATTTTACAATTAGTGTTTGGATAGAATTTGAAATCTTTTTTTGTTAATCACTTTGCTCCAAAACGAAAAATAAAGGTAGTTTACTCTTGATAGTATTTCATATTTTCTCGTTTTTCGATCTCTCTGTATAATATTTTCAAATTTAAAGTAAGGCAATAGACTTTCTAAAACAAGCACAACTTTTTATGAAGAATGACTTTTGGTCGAAAAATGAAAATTTTAGTCAATTTGTCCTCTTGGACATTCTGTATAAAATCTTACTTTTAACGATTTTGCACATTTTGCCAAAAATTACGTTTTCCTTGTGGCAGTGTAACAGCGACCTGGACAGCAACTACAACGATTACACAAAAAGCGCCGGCAAGCAGGACAAACTGCGCTGCACGAACGAGTTGTGGATAGACGATTGCAAATGCGAGAACGACATAAAGGAGAACAAGAAGAACCTGTACGGTAAATGCGACGGCTGCTCGGCGCACAAGGAGAGCGGCTCGACGAGCGACCACTCGCACGACTGCGGCTACTCGTCGGAGAACAACAACGGGTGCTGCGAGACCGGCTCGTTCATGTCGAGCCTGTCCAGCTCGCCCGAAGGCTCGGAGCTCGCCTGCTCGGACGGCTGCTGCCAGCACGACACCGACTACATCTCGCACTGCAGGATATCCTACGGCGGCAACGGGACGCAGCTCAGTCTGCAAGAAATGTTGGAAGTAAGTACTATATATACTAGGGTGTTTCAAAAAAATCGACTTTTTCTTTTTCTTCAAATGGTCAGCAAATTCTTTCAGAGGATGTCAAAACAAAGACCTCGTTAAAATTTGAGCTTTTAATTTGAAGATTTAGAGGTCGCGGATCGCAATTTTCTATTTCCCATTTAAATAACATAGGAATTTTTTTTTTTTAACTTTGGAATTTTATACGTCTATATCGAATCAACTTATGGCAAGGAACATCTTAGATTTTTATAGTAAATTTAACGCTCTATAAAAAATGTCTCTTATAATTTTTCTATAAATTGATTTCTTCCAGAGTTATTCGAGGCCAAAGTTTGATTTCCATCGAATTTTCTCGTTTTTTCAACTTTTAGCATCATGTAGAAAAAAAATCACATATTTATATCTGAAACATAGGAAGTGTTGTAAAAAAAAACAAAAAAACGTCACTTTTTTCCAAAGCCTACTACAAAGTTTTAATGAAAATATGAGATGTGTATAATATGCAAAGTAATTTATTTATAAATGCATTTTTCTCGAAAATGGTGCATATGAGCAATTCAAATCAAGAGTACCTATTTTTCGTAAAAAACTATAAATTCTCATAATTTCATAAAAAAAAATAAATTATTAACCCAGAAAAAAGTTGGGGCTATTTTTGTAACTTTGCCCCCTCCAAATGTTACGCCTATGATTAAATTTTAACAGTTTTGATCATAGATCTAGATTCAGCATGTCAAAATTACCAAAGTACCTACCGAAAATTCATTTGTTCATGTTCAACCCTCTAGGAATAGTTTTAAAAAAATTATCCTCTTAGGCTCCTATTCAGGGGGCCGTAGCTCCTTTAGGGAGCATTTTTTGATACATGTTTATTAAACAAAAAAAGTGTTATTTTTATACGAATAATTTCGATTTCGGGACACCCGTATAATGATAATTGTACCATAAATGTTAAAAAAACGCGAAAATTCGATGGAAATCAAACTTTGGCCTCGAATAACTCTGGAAGGAATCAATTTATAGAAAAATGATAGGAGACCTTTTTTGTAGAGCGTTAAATTTACTATGAAAATCTAAGATGATCCTTGACATAAGTTGATTTGATTCAGACGTATAAAATTTCAAAGTTAAAAAAAAAAAAATCCCATGTTATTTAAATGGGAAATAGAAAATTGCGATCCGCGACCTCTAAATCTTCAAATTAAAAGCTCAAATTTTGACGAGGTCTTTGTGTTGACATCCTCTGAAAGAATTTGCCGACCATTTGAAGAAAAAGAAAAAGTCGATTTTTTTGAAACACCCTACTATATATACTATATTTTTTATCAAACACGAACGTTGAAAAAAGGGGAAAAGTAGTGTTTTTGTCCACTTTTTTGATTTTGGGCATGATGGTGGACAAGATCTAATTTTATTATTATTATTTTTTACCTACTACCATTATAATTGAGGGGCCTAGAAGTAAAAGGGTTTAAGTGCATTTTTGTTAGTTCTGAGATAAATGGCTTTAAAGTTAACTTGAATTTTAAAATTCTAGAAAAGAGTTAAAAAAACTGTGTGAATATTTTAGTTTTGTTTAAAGACTAAAAAGGATTATAAAGAAAAAGGAATTTTTCAATTTTGCTTTTTTGTTAATTTTTTTTACAAAAATGTACTTAAATCGTCATGCATGTAAGACAAAATTTAGTGGTAAAATGATTTAAATGCAATTACTGTACTAGAACAAAACTTTATTTTTTAAAATTTGGGTAAGTTTTACAACTTAAAGTATTATTCATAATCAGAATCGCTTGTGCGAACATACGTCCGACGTCTGCTGGCCGACGTCCTATGGCCGATTCTATTCCGACGTCGGATCAATGTCAGTAGGGACTAACACTGAAAAATATCTGTGAAAACACATAATCACTTGACATGTTTTAAAATACTTGTCAAGGCTTTAGCAGCATAGATAATAGCCCATGTTTAGCAGTAAAAGGTGCACTTAAATCGTTTTACCAAAGATATATTTTAAAATATTTTGACAGGTTTTTAAAGAGGATAAGAAATGGCGCCAGGGAATGTAAAATGTACTTATATAATTTTACCACTAAGTTAGAATATTCTTTAGGTGTGATATTCTGCACTTAGACCATTTACTTAAAAAAGTGCACTTGAACTGTTTTACTTCCAAGCCCCTCAATTATAGTAGTAGGTGTCAGGGTTCAAAAAAATTATGATTTAAAAAATAATAAATCAATGATTTTTATTAAAAAAATCAACAAAAAATGCTTTTTGATTTTTTTATGCACTAATGGGTTAAATAAAGTGTACCATTAAAAAAATACTAAAAATAACTATAATATTATATTGGCACTACTTTAAAAACAAATAAACCACCGTCCGCAACTGTCATACATTTTTTTGTTTATTCCTTTATTTCTTATTATTTTATTTAACAAAATAAGCAGTTTTTCTAGGCATATGAATTTATTTAAATAATGTCAAGATATTATTGTGCTTTAGTTTTAGGTCGTGTTTTCTCGGTGATTTTTTAGATTTTAGAAACTTTTTAAAACTTTTAAATCATTGATTAAAATAAAAAAATCACTTGATTTAAATCGTGATTTAAATCAGGCTAACCACTTAAAAATGTTGGTGCTTGACTAGCCATTGTTATCTTATTTAAATTTAACATAAGCAAATAAGTCAACCATATAAAATAATAATAAAAATAGTTTAGCAGTTTAACGTTCAGATGATAATCTACATAACATACACGATAAATGAAGTTTAAAAATGTTTTATTGTTTTTTAAGTTGTTTTTGACTCCCCAATATAATTATATTAGGGCTCCCACACCCAAAGATAATACACCCCACACCTCCTAAAACTCATAAAATTCCTAAAATTTGGCTTAAATCTTGAAAACTCCTAAAATTATCCATCAATCTCCTAAACCTTCTAAAAATGAAATATACATAAATAGGCCAACCTGACTGCGTTTAAGTAAGGTTGTTTATGTGCTAATTTTTTTCTAAGGTAATTTAAAAATATATATTTTTATTAGGTTCTAGTTTATTAAATTCTTTTTAAAATGATATAATATCACAACCAACATTTTTCTTAAGAAAAAACAAAATATACGTAAAAAACAACTAGTCAATGAAAATTATTTGTACAAAAGAAGTGTTTTGTTAAAGTTTTGTTAAAAAGAATTATTTTTTATCTTATTTTTTAAGTACAGTGTAGAGTTGTTTTTATTTAATTACATAAATTAATTTGCATACCCAAGCAGCATTTTAAGTAAAAGCAAATAGCTTTGAGGCAATAATTTAAGTAAATATTTTGTTAAATTAACCTTAAAAATTTACATTGAAGTAAAACTTTTTTTAAAGTTATTCAATAAGTTTTATTTATGTTATTTTTACCTATTTTAATAACCCTTAAGTTTCAACACTTTAAAGTATTATGATGGACGTAATTTTTACGAAAGAAAATTACTTGTAAGTGTATTTCACCTAAAGAGAAATTTAACGGTAATTTTAACGTCAGAATGTTACTTAATGGTAAATTTTACTCATAAGTCATAATTTTACGATATTAAGACCGTAAATAATTCCTATTTGCCTGGTATTTTTAAGGGTTATTAGTGGTTATAAATACTATTTATACTAAACAAAAAAAAATAAGCTTAAAGTGAAAAATAAAATTTGAAAGGTACATTTTTTTCAGGTCGCCATAATGAGTATTTTAAGATGGCATCCATTACATATCTAAACATTTATATAATAAGAAAAGTTTTAGTTATTAAAAAATGATTAAAACTAATTGATTTTTAAAAGGTTTTAAAATTTAAGTTTTGTTAAATGTTTACCCAAGCAATAATTTTTCTTAAAACCGTAAAATATTTAGAGGGCATATAATTTTTAAGATGTATTGTGCCTATTTTTATCAATAAAATAATGTGCGTTTGAGTTTTAATGCAAAATATTAGTTTTGACAATTTAACGTATATTTTTTAATTTTACTTACTCTAGGGTGGCCTTTATTACTTTGTAAGTACCATTTTGTAAAATATAAATATAAAGGAACAAAGAAATTACGAATGTCAATGTTTTAGAAAGAGAGCAAACAGTTAGTAATTATAGCATTATTTTTACGTAAATTTGTGGTATTTATATTGTTTTTATTACGTTATTCTCTTAGTAGATCAAAAAGGTTATTATGTAGGTAAAATAACGAAATAACCCATTCCTAAAATTTGGTAATTTTTCGTATCTAAACTGTTTTGGTTAAATTTGTAGTTATTTAAACTTAAAATGCTGCTTGGGTACTTTATTTGTCCTAAATTTTACAAAAAAACCTCCTAAATTCCCAAATAGCCGTGGGAGCCCTGTTGTAATAAGGTTTTTTGAATTTCATTTGTGTTTAATTGATTTTGTCCAATTTTGTCCAGAGCAATTGATTTTGTCCGGGCGGACATAATTGGACAAAATTGTCCATGTCCACTTGGTTCTCAACTGTTAAAAACATTGTAGGGCCATAGCGATGAAGACGACAGTGATTGTTACATAACGCCCGAGGAGGTGAGGGAGTTCAAAAGCAACAGTAGACAGGTTTATGAACAACGTCAGGAGTTGAGGGAAACTTTGCAGAAAAGGTTCGCGCAATTCTGCGTGAATGGGCCGCTGCAGGTGCCTCGACTGCCCATTCAGGCAAAGTTTGCCTCAAATTGAATGCACCCGCCCTTTTTGAACCACTCATTTTTATGTTTTTATAAGTTTTAAATTTGTAAGATAACTTTTGAAAATATCCAAAAATAATTTAGTTTGAAATAAACTTTTGATTTCATTTAAATTCATGTTTGCTTTACATTTCCATAGACTATATTTCCCTCAATATTTCCAAAGTTATCTCTATCTTATGAAACTTGTTTTAATTTCCATTTTAATTATAAACAGATAATTTGGCACAAGTTTGTTTAATTTAGTTGTGATAGCTTTATTAAAGGCTATTGCTGAAGGTATAAATGAGCCGGCATATATCCTACATTATAAAGATGTATTTGTTGCATTCCATATGGGTTATTATTGTTAAAAAATAAAACTGTTTTGTATGGAAACGACGTTCTATATTTCGTCGTTTCTTCTTTTATGTAAGTCAAATAAAAGCAAATAAATTATATAACATTATTTAAACCATTAAACTAAAATTATCATTGCTACTCCTATAAACAATTTGAAACTTATTAGCAAGTTATTAACTACAGGTAAGTTAAATTTCTATATTAATATTGTTGGTTTAATACATTTTTTATAAATTTTATTTTACAAATAGTTTCGTTGAACTTTCCGCATGAGAACAAAAAAAAACACTAAACTTGTAATAATAATTATTATAAAAAATAATAAAGATAATTATATTATAATATTTGCATTAATTTTGTTCAAGCTTTTAAAGTAAAAATCAGTTTAATGTTTTACACATATTTAATTGTCCAATGGATATAGTTCATATTATGGGGTTTAAAAGAGGATAAATGTATTAAAAAATTAAATATTTTTCTTCATAAAAGTTTTTCAGTCCTGTAAAAATAATATTTATTATTTATTTATTTAAGTTTACATATTACATTACATATTAATAGTAATTTACTATAGTATATCTAGCCAATCAGTTTTTTAACTAATTTATCAAAAAAAACTATATTATAGTATAATAATAATAATAATTATACAGAGAGTTTAAAAATTAACAAAACATGAAAATTGGTAAAATTAAAGTATTAAATAAAAAAATATTAATTTAAAATTTTAGTTATCAATACCAATAAATTAAATTAATTAATTTAATTGCTGTCAAATTAAAATTTTGTTTCATTTAGTTTTTGGTCGTGTTTTTATATGATGTATAGTATACATTGTATACCTAAGACCTTTGTCTTAGATGTATACATAAGAATGATTTATTTAGTATTATAAACAGGGTTTGAAAAAATCATAATTTTTAGAAAAAAATAAAAAATCAATGATTTTTATCAAAAAAATCAACAAAATTAATCATTATTTTTTTAAAATTTAAGCTTTTTTTTATAAAGTGTACTATTAAAAATATAATAAAAATAACTTGAGTCAAGTTACTTGACTGTAATAATATTTTATTGGCACTACTTTATAAATAAACCACCGTCCGAAACTGTCATATTTTTTTTGTTATTCCTTTATTATTTTATTTAACAAAATAAGCAGTTTTTCTATGCATATGAATTTATTTAAAAAGTGTCAAGGTATTATTGTTATTATTTAGTTTTATATCTTTTAAGTGTTTTTTTAGATTTTAGAAACTTTTTTTAAAACTGATATAAATCATTGATTAAAATAAAGTCACTTGATTTAAATCAGGCAAACCCTGATTATAATTATGTCTAATATTTGCTATATTACTAATAAAAAGGTCAAATTTAAAATAAATTTAATAACAAAGTTAATTAATTTTATTAAAAAGCTATATGTACACTTATAAATAGGTATTTTCTAATTTGAAATTATTCAAACTGTCCTATACACAAACAAGCATTGGTCCCACCAAAACCAAAAGCGTTTTTTAATGCTATCCTTTTATTACTTTTCCACTCTTGACTTTTCAAAGCTACAAAATTAAAATCTGCATTTTCAACAGTCTCCAAGTTAACAGTAGGAGGTAAAATCCCCTCTTCCACAGCCTTAATTGTAAAAGCTGTCTCCAGGTTTCCAGCCGCTCCCAACAAATGTCCATGTGCACCTTTGGTGGAAGACACTGCCACTTCCATACTCCTGTCTCCAAACAAGCTCTTTAAAGCCCTTGCTTCTATAGCATCTCCAATGGGTGTAGACGTTGCATGCGCATTTACATAAGTTATGTCAGACACATCTATTTTAGCATCCCTTATTGCTCTTTCCATTGCTAATTGCGCCCCTGTGCCATCAGCCCTTGGAGCTGTTAAATGGGAAGCATCCCCAGATAATCCATATCCCTTAATTTCAGCATATATATAAGCATTTCTTTTGAGAGCATGCTCCAGTTCCTCCAAAACTAATATAGCACTACCTTCCCCCATCACAAAACCTTCTCTAAGTTTATCAAATGGCCTGGATGCTTGTTCTGGTTTATCATTAAAAGACGTACTTAAAGCTCTCAGTCGGCAAAATCCAGCTATTGCCAGAGGTGAAATACAGGCCTCAGTACCCCCACAAAGCATAATGTCTGCATCACCATTTTTAACAAATCTAAAGGAATCGCCAATTGCATGAGCTCCTGTTGCACAAGCAGTGGAAACAGCATGGTTGGGACCCCTGAGGCCATACTTAATGCTTATTTGTCCTGCAGCCATATTAGGTAATATTCGTGGGACAAAAAATGGGCTGACATGGTGGTAGCCTTTTTTTAAGGCATCGTTAGTAGCACATATGTCTGCTAAATCAACCATACCCATACCAACAGCAACACCAGTATTTTGTTTAGTTTCTTCATTCATGTCGGTAAGTTTAGCATCTTCAAGAGCCTCTTTGGCAGCCAATAAAGCATACCCAGTTCCCGGACCCATTGATTTTAACTCTGTTTTACTAAAGTGTTTATTTAGCTCAAACTTTTGCCCATTTTCTTTAACAAACCCGGCCACTTTACACGGTAAAGTTTCATATTCGGGACCTTCTAGTTTAGTGATTCCCGACTTTCCATTAACTATATTTTTCCAGGATTCTTTAAGAGTCGATCCAACCGGTGATAATACACCGATACCAGTTACAACCACCCTTCTTTGCATTTGAAATTATATCATGTAAAAACTAAAAAATAGATAGGTTAGTTATTTATTTTGAGGTTATAAACATTGAATGAAAGACTGTCATTGACAGTAGTTCAAAGATTCCGTCCATGGTACCTTTGAACTACTGTCATTCAATGTTTATAACCTCAAAAAAAATAATTAACCTATTTGCTATTTTTAGTTTTTACATGTTATAATTCCAAATGCAAAGAAGAAACTTAAGTTTCTTCTATGTGCGTCTATAAATAATCAAAGGAAAAAATAAAACCAACATTTAAATTAATAATAATTTAATTATAAGTGTAAATACAAATGGAATTATATGGACATAAAAATACATGTATATGGTAATATGAATGTATAAACTACATTGTAAAACGCTAACAATATCATTTATAAACTTAATAATAGTCTATCTTTGGATTGCTTAAATCTAATGTTAATAAATATACAGTTTATAGGTATGTTTAGATGTGAATAAGTATAAATTAATAAAAATGTGTAAAATCAAATCAAATACCGTCCCCTTCTCCAGCTAGTTGATAATGATGTCTTCTTAATGCTGCCAGTCTGTATCTTTCTTGTTCAAGCTCTTTTTCCAATTCTAATACTCTAACTCTCGAGTCCATTTCAAGTCTTTTAGCCTGATGAAGGGTTAGATTTGACACATCCAACTCTTCTACAAAACAACCTTAAATAGTTTTTCAAATTAAATTGAATGTTAGTAAAGCCAAAGCAACACAGGAAATCTGTCAAGAAAATTATAAATAGCTGGCGTATTGCCAATATGAGCTGTTTAATTAAAAATAACGTTAAAAATATCGTAATTACAGTTTATTAATTAAGTATTGCCAAATTCATTTCTTAATAATTACACTGCGCGTCAAAATTAACGCATAAAAAGTTAAAAGTCTAAAACGCCTTTACCAATATTTATGAAATTTTGTATAAAAATACTTCAACTTATATCTGAGTTTACGTGTACGGGGGTTTTTCGAGAAAATATTTTTAAAGCGCTTTTATTTAATAATAAAAACACGTTCGAAAAATAACTTTTAGTGATTTTTTTAAGTAAATAAAAAATATTAGACCGTATTTTTGTTAGTATAACCTGAAAATTTTATACAAATCAAACGAACATTAACGAAGGTACAGCGCTTCAAAGTCGGTACAAATGACCCCTTTTTGATTATTTTGCTGAAAAGTGGTCATTTTTGACGACTTTAAAGCGCTGTATTTTCGTTAATGTTAGTTTAATTTGTACATTTTCAGGGTATACTAACAAAAATACGGTCTTTCACAGCATATTTATTATTTACTTCAAAAAAATTTCCCTAAGTTTTTTTTCGAGCGTTTTTTATTATTAAATTAAAGGGCTTTAAGGATATTTTCTCTAAAAACCCTTGAACACGTAAACTGAGATATAGGTTGAAGTATTTTTATCCAAAATTTTATAAAAATTGCTAAAGGATTTTTTTTACTTGTTATGCGTTAATTTTGACGCACAGTGTATCTCCAATTTTGAAAACGTCTGCTGTGATAAACAAAAAAAATATACAAAAATCCCTTAAAATTAAGAAATTTACACTGAGTTGTTGGACCTCCATTTACATTTTTAATATGTTTCTGTGAATCACTTGAAGTTCCCTAAGAACGTACCATCGCCGGTTTCACAGAGTTTTTGTATATATACAGTGTGTCCATGGATGGACTGACTACTGGTAAAAATATTTATTTTCAATTTTTCCAGAAAAAGTAATTTTTCATAATTTCTTTTGCTTGTTATATAAATACGATTCGCGTTGAGAAACATCCATTTTGTTGTACAGGGTGAGCAAAAATACAGATTTTCATAATTATAAATGTTTAAATATTTTTTTTGAAGCGCTAATATAAAGAGCTGGTATGGAGAAATTAAATGACGTTTTTCCATATGAGTTTTTGATATTGAAAATTTAAGATATTATTTTTCAAATATTAAAAAATAATTGTAGACATGTCATTTGAAAGCAACAACCTTGATTCATAATCATAAAATAAGATAGCAGTCAATTTCTACAAAATAATAGGACCACTCAAGTTAGGACCTGAATAACATATATCTTAGTAACAACAACTCACATGAAAAAACTTTATTTGGCTTTTTGGTTTCTCCATACAAGCTCTTCATACAAGACCTTAAAAACAAATATTTAACAATATGCGACACAAAGTTAACCCATTAATGGGTGCAGTGTTTGCAATTTTGATTTTTCTGAAAATTTTGGACACTTTTTGATAAAAAATCATTTTTTGTCAGTTTTCGTTCATTTATAATTTTTTTCCAACAAATGAATGTTATTATCATGGTAGGTAGAAATCTCAAGAATTCTCCATGGATGACAATAATTTTTACTTATGAAAAAGTATAAAAATGCATAAAACGGCGATGAAAAATGTATTATTGGCGATAAATTAAAAATAAAAGCATTGAACATGTCAATAAAAATTATTACTTTTGAGAAATGACAAATTATGAAAAACTGACCAATAATGATTCAAGAAAACCCGAAAATTGATATTTGATTTGTCTGAGAAAATCTTTCACTTACCGATGTTATCGCAGTGTCGAAAATTTCTACATTGCAATTTCAATAAGAAGTGTTTACATTTTTTTCGTAACTTAAATTCGAACTTGTAGCTTGGTCGCAACCAATTTTTATTTATTTTTATATTTTAACCCAAACGATTTTTTCCGCCCTAGGTTTTTGCTCCGGCCCTGCCCATCCGTGGACATACTGTATATACAGGGTGTACCACAATCAGTGCAACAAATTAATGGTGTATGATCTCTATAAATATATATCCCAGTAAATTAAAAAAAATCTACCTTTACCATTTAAAGACACATCCTCTCTTTAAATGGAAATATTGCCTTATATGTGCTACTTTATTTCTTAATCATCATGACAATAAACAACAATATTAAAAAGCGTCAAAATGAATTCGTTAGGTACCAACTTACTAAGCCCCCGCTCACCCAACCTGTCACTTGTCTATGTTAGATACTCCAAGTTAGAGGTTATGTATTTTACGTCAGACTGGAAATAATAAGGTTTTATAAGTAGCTCAGGCGGGCTTGATCAGTTGCTGAGCACAATTCCGCGCGCGCGGAGCAGTAGTTTGACTATTATCGTTACTTTCCCGTTAATTTCAGTTTTTATCGCTTACCGCTTACCCTTTATAGGGTGAGTTTAGTTAAATCTGCACAAACATGCATTACTGCAGCTTTTTTCTCCATACACCCTGCACAATAACATTCAAAATGAAAGCTGAAAGGTTTTTTAAAAATGTACTATTTACACCTGACGTTATTGATAATGAAGCAAAAAAAAAGAAAGAAATGTGTTACCGGCTTCGTCGATAAGTTGACTGCAATCTTTGACAGTGGCCACCACCAGCCCAGTGGCGGAGGTAACACCTTTGGACGCCTGCGTCAGCTGTTTCAAGTTTCCGCTGTTTCTGTCCGCCTTCACTCTACTGGCCACGACCAATTGCGCGGTCGAAGCCGAAATTTCCTGCGAAGCCACCACCAACTGTTCCAACTTTCCACTCGAACTTACAACTTTGTCGGCAGCGGTCCTAAAAACAATAATAATATAAAATTTGAGGAACCTAAATGCAAATATTAAATATGTAGGTACCTAATAATTAAAATGAAATATTGATTGAGAAAAATAAATTTGAAAAGCATTTATAAGGCAATGTAAACTATTTTATTTAAATTATTTTCAATGCGTTAACACTTCCGGTTAAACCGGAAGTGATATCAACTTTGGTTTTTCAAATGGAACCATATAAATATTGTTGCATTTTTAAATTCTACGTAAAATTATAGAAATACTAAAATTTAATTATTTTTGAGATATTTTTTTTTTCATATTTTCAGCATGGCTATCTTAGTTTTTTGTTTTGTATCAATTGAGGGGCTTGGAAGTAAAACGGTTCAAGTGCACTTTTTTAAATAAATGGTCTAAGTGCAGAATATCACACCTAAAGAATATTCTAGCTTAGTGGTAAAATTATATAAGTACATTTTACATTCCCTGGCGCCATTTCTTATCGTCTTTAAAAAACCTGTCAACATATTTTAAAATATATCTTTGGTAAAACGATTTAAGTGCACCTTTTACGAAAAAACGACCCTAATATTTTTTTCCGAATTTTGACAACGAAAAAATGGTATAGGGTATAGTAGACAGTTATAGGACACTTTATAGTTATTGGACAATTAACATTAATACTGTAAAAACAAGAGTTCTATAAATAGTAATTTTAAAGTCAAATCATTAGATGACGCTGTATACAATTATAACTATCTCAGTCGGTAATAATATAGAACCTCTTTATTTTGGGTCCAATATAGGACAAAAAAGTTCGCACGTTACTTTGGTGGTATGATTTTTGTTTTTTTGTGTGTTTAAATTACAATAAAAAATATTTCTAAAAAGCGTGGTATAAATGTGTTCCTCATGGTTTAAACATTGTCACTTTAATGCGTTTTAATTTTAATTCTGAAAACAAACAGTAAAATGGCCAATGTCCAATTACTGGTTGGTAATAAATGTAGATTTCTATTATTGGAAATATGCCCAATATCATAATCTATTCTTATGTAAAATTGTCCCCTGAATCCGAAAAGACCGTCAAAAACTATAAAAAAGTTAAGCAGTTTTTGAGATACAGCCAATTCCATATTCATTTGTCAAGTGACATTGAAATTATTTTTTATAGCTTAGAGTTTTTTATTTTCAATCTTTTGAGCCTTTGTTCATTAAAATCGAGTAACAAATAAAAAAGTTACACTGTATATGTTTTTTATAATAATATTAAAAAAAATATAAGTAGGTACTACATTTGCGTATTAATTAAAGAGTAAAAAGCTACAACTTACAGTAAAAACTTGGCAGCTACAGCAACTGCCTTAGCAGCTGATATAAATCCATCAGTCCATTGATGGTTACGTTTGTAAAACTCTTTTGCACTTGCAGTGCCCTACAACACAAACATAGAAATACAGGGTTGGAAAAAATAAAACGTCCTTTTCTAAAGTCATATTTTTTGCAGTTAAATCTATACTAATTAGTAGGAAGCCAAAAATAATTATCTTTAAAACAAAACATTCAGTTACTTACTCGGCCTTGGGCTACAATTTCACTTTGCAATAACTTCGATTTTTGGACTAAAACCCTTATGGCATGCATTAGGGTTGTGCAAGTGTCTAGAATTTTTTCGTTTACTTCCAGTTTTATACCCGAATCGGCAGCTTTCGATTTAGCAAGCATATCCTATAACAATACGCAAATAATAGTTTTGGATATTTGTATTTTTTATTGATGGTAGGTAGGTACATATAAATCATTGTAACCTTAATAAAATAGAAACTAAACATGTATAAAACTAAATAAATATAAAACATAGTAAATACTTTTACAAAGTTAAGTACCTGAATTCTGTTGGCAGCTTCTTCTATGGCTTTGTCCATAGCTATCATTTCACTTTCCAACATCTCGGCATGACTTTCGGCCTTTTCTCCCAAAAGAGACAAGTTTATGCTCTCCGCAAGAGCTGCAACTTCTTCCAATTTTTCAATAGCCTCTTTTACAGTTTTATCAGTGCCTTGTTCTTCTTTCATTGTTTTTATAACTTCCAGCACTATTCCGCCAAGTTTTTTACATTCTTCTGCCATTTCTACAACGAGAATATTCATTTATAATTAATAATAGAATAGTAATTATTAAGCTGTGGTTACAAATTTAGTTTGCCGTTTTGAAGGCGTATACTGGATGCCACAGAAAACTTTTTTATAAGTTTGTTTGATCCAGCAGTTCTTGTTAGTTTTAGGTCTATTCGCATGCGCAATAATAACACTAATAGGTCAATTCTGCGCTTCCTGTAGCTTACAGAAAATATTGCCAATCGTTTCTACAGTTTGTTTTTATTAGGTTGTGTCAAGCTATAGCTTAAAATTCTTGTTAACTAAATATGTAAATAATATTAAGTAGATCAACTTAAGTACTCAAGTTAAAAATATGTTTGAGGCTGACAATCAAAATTTGAAATTAAAACTTTTTTTAATTTCAAATCCTAATTGTTCTTCTTTCAGCTTTATATAATTTTCTGAATAGTTTTCAAAAAGCTTAACAATATTTTATTTTGATTTTCTGCTTTTTGTTCAAATTTATTAAGTTTTCTGCTAAATTTGTTCTACTTTTCTTTGTTGCTTTTGCGTTACCGCTAAAAAAAATATTTATTATACAATATTATATGTTCTTTTAAATGTAAAATTATATTACCTCGTTTTATTTTCAACTGCTTTAAATTTCTTACTTTTTATATTATACATGGTGTTATGTAATTAATGTAATATATTAAAATACTGATTACTTTTTTACATAAGGTGTAACGGAAAAATATTTAAAATAATAATTTCCCAAAGATAAAGAAAAAATATGCATTAGAAGTTTTTTATATTGTTTGTGATACGCCACTGGTTACAGACTTGTGTTCTGTGAGTACATAGATACCAACCAACAAAGTAGCTGCGCGTTGCCAGTTGAAAAAATTGTTACTAAAATTTTTTCTTGCAAAAAAAAAATAAAACTCAATAAATACAAAAGTGTTATGCCCTTAAACCTCTAATACCCTTATGTATTTATTTACTCATCCAGCTATTAGCTTAAGCAATGATTAGAAAATTTAGTACCTATTCTCAATAACCACAAAATTAATTTTTTCATCAGTTTTTTCCTTTCTGTTTACTCAGATGTAATTAGGACAAGTTCGCAGGTTAAACTTTAAACATTCAATTTGTGTAAATAAATCCAAAAGCACTTTCCTAGTTAAGATATTTACAATTTGAGCACATAACCTTAAGTTTGAAAGTAATGCACTAGAATTTCTATAATAAAAGTTACCAGATTTTGTTTGAATTCATTCATTACAAAAATGACATAATCAACAATTACTAAAAACACGTGTGAGAAAGAATAATAATACTCTTTCGTTTAAATTAAAGTCTATTTACTATTTAAAATTATTAAGAGATTAATATAATTATATAACAAATTAATAGAGAACGTGTGTCGAGTAAAGGGTGAACTCTGACTGCTTTTAAGAATGTTCCTCGTTGTGCCTGTGCCTCTCAGGGAAGATAGATAAATTCCTAAAAGCCACCTGCATAAACAAACAAATGTCTAGCCTGGCGCTTAACGGGATCGACTCCCACGATCGCTCTTGAGTCGTCTCAAATTTCGTTACAGTCGGCCATGCTACCCCTTTTTCCGTCCTCGGAAAATATTCGTTTAATCCTATGGAAAATGTCAAATTACTAAAAGATTACATTGCGTAATTTATTGTGGGTTCAACATCCATGAACAAATAAATTAAACCAAAATAAACAAATCATAGCCTTTTTGCTACATACTAAATTACATTTCTTTTTAACCGAAATTTGTCATGAACGGATCCCAATAAATTTTATGTCACATTATGTATTTGTGTGTTTGCTTTACCAAAAACCCAGAAAAACAACACTATTTGGTTCTCACGTCAGAACTCAAACAATGAAGGCCCTGAATTCTTTGTAAAGCAAACTAAGCTCTTATTCATTCTTAAATTCTACGTCAGAATTTAAGTCTGAATCGTTTTTACTACAATCGTGCGTAGTGTAGAGCTTCGTCTTGTCTGCAGCATAAATTACGTTTTACTCACTCACGAGTTCTACGTCAGAACCTGAGTTTGAGTCGTCACTACTACAATCGTGCGTAGCAATGTATGGCTTTAATTTATCTGCAGGACATACACCCTGATACTTTTTCCGTGCTCGTCGTGTGCCCGGTAAATCGTTTATCAGGTACCTATCGTGATTAAGCACTTTGGTCACAACGTATGGACCGCTGTATTTAGGTAGCAGTTTCTTACTTTTACCCTCGTTAGTAAAAGCATTCCTTCGTAGGAGTACCTGCTCACCTACGTCGTATACAATAGGCTTTTTACGTTTAGCATCGTAATATGCTTTTTGCTTTGACTGTGCAGCCGTTATCCGTCGTGTAGCTTCTTCTCTAACCGTACTCATATCGTGGTCAACATTTTCGTTCTGTTCGACTTCATGAGCCAGAAATGCGTCGTAGATTCCCTTAGGTTTATACCCGAAAAGAAGCTCGTGTGGGCTTTTACCCGTAACGCTCTGCACTGCCGCATTAATTCCAAAACGTATGGAACCAATGACGTCATCCCACTTTCTCTCGTCGTCAGCCGTCGCTGACAGGGAAGTCAGGATCGTACGGTTGTATCTTTCAACCTGCCCGTTGGCTCTAGGTGTTGCTGTTGCGTTTAGCACTACCTGTATTCCAAGACGTTTCGTGTAGTCTTGAAAAAGTTTACTCGTATAACAAGTCCCTCTATCACATATTATTCTGTGAGACACCCCAAAAGTGGTAAATGTTTCATCACAAAATTTTATTACAGGAGCCGTTTTTGTTGATGATACTGCCTTTGTCCATAAATATTTCGTAAAGCCATCCACTGCAACTATTAGGTAACTGTTTCCTTTGCTACTTTTTACAAAAGGTCCCAGATGGTCAATATGAATGGTGTGCATCGGTTGTGGTACTTTCTCAATGGGGTGTAGTAAACCTTCTTGTTTTCTCGCAGGTACTTTATTATATAAACATCCCAAACAACAAGTTATATACCGTTTAATGTACTTTCGCATTCTCGGGAACCAATAACACTCGCTCATAGCTTTAAGGGTCTTATCTGTAGCCAGATGTCCTCGTTTATCGTGGTAATATGACACTAAAATACGGCGAGCCCTTTTTGGCACGTACCCTAGTAGCAATTTTGTCAAAGACTTGGGCCAGAATGGGTCAAGATACTTTGTACAGATTTTTTATCAAGAATCGGACAAGAATTGTTCCAGTTCTTGGCCAAGATTATTGGGCAAGACTTGGGCCAGAATGGGTCAAGATACTTTGTACAGATTTTTTATCAAGAATGGGACAAGAATTGTTCCAGATTCTTGGCCAAGATTATTGGGCAAGACTTGAGCCAGACTGTGGCCAGAATTTTGACAAGAATTTGACCAGAAATCTATAGAGTAGAGGTTCTCATTCTACAGTAGCATCAGAGCCGTACCGAGGCACACTTTTTTGGGGGGGGCGGAGACGATAAAAAACCAACTTATTTTTTTATACAGTATGTCCATGGATAGAGGGCCCAAGAGGACAAATGGACTAAAATTTTCATTTTTCGACCAAAAGTCATTCCTTATAAAAAGTTCTGCTTGTTGAAAAAAGTCTATTGCCATACTTTAAATTTGAAAATATTATACAGGGGGGTCAAAAAACAAGAAAACATGAAATACTCTCAGGAGTAAACTACCTTTATTTTTCGTTTTGGAGCAAAATGACAAATAAAAAAAAGATTTCAAATTGTATCCAAAGACTAAATATTTGTAAAATTATAACTTGGTATTCGGAAAAATAAAATTTGGAATATTATTCCAAATTTTATTTTTCTTAGTTTTAAAATTTAATTTCATATTTACAAAAATGACACAAACAACAATAATCAAGTAACGTCAAATTGACAATTTGCATTCTATCATTGTTCATTTTGGTAATTAATGTAAATTTACACAAAATGTCCGGGTTAAGAACAATACCGTGTTTGGATTTGGAACCAACTGCCTAGACTTTGGGGGGGCGACTCCCCCCCTACACCCCCCTTAGTCAAAATTCTACTATTTGAATTAGTACCAGCATTTTTTACTAATAAAGTAGTCGTTTTTCACTTTAAAATGGTTATATTTTACTACTTAAATAGTTAAAGTTTGACTAATTTAAGATAAGTCACCATCTTTGACTGTTTCGAATAGTTAAAAGTACCTAATTTCTTTAATCGTTTGTTTAATATTATGTACAATATTTATAGACAAATAAAATTATTTTTTATAAGAGTGACTGATAGTGATTGGTTATGAGATCCGCTTGACAAGCTTGACAAGCGACAGATCGGAGTTCAAACCCCGGCTGGGTCACAACTTTTTTAAATTTAAATCTACTAATTTCACTATTTCATTCAGTAGAATTTGACTAATTATTAGTGACTGTTTTTTCGCTTTGACAATTAGTCATATATGACTTATAATTTTAGACTAATTCATTTTAAGAGAGTATACTAGTCGAGAAGTGAGTTTTCTGTAGGAAATGAATCGAGTTTTTCCGTTTGTCTGAAAATACGAACAAAAGCTTATTGGATTCGTCTTCTAGCAAAGAAAAAAATTGATTTTTTCAAAAATAAAATTTGTTATTTCTAAAAATTAAAAAAAAGTGTGTGTCAGCTCTGACGCGTAACTAGAGTTTACTCTTTATGAACATGAACGATTATAAAATATATATTTTTTGTACTTGTGGACGTACATTAAACGTCCGTCGACATACATCAGACGTCCTACGGATTTCCATTTAAGGTTACTTTGTCACAGTTTTGGACGTCCATTAGATGTAACTAACGGACGTACATTTAATGACATTGTAAGCAATGGACGTACATAACACGTAAACAGCAGGAGTGCTTATTTTACTGCAGCGGGTAAGTTAAATAAAAAGTCGTTAATTTCAATAAATTTTTATAACGATAATGTTAAAACATTTAAATTTAGAGCAGGCTATAAAGCCTCTAATTTA